TAACTTTTAAACTGAATAACTGTGCTTCATTTCATTGTGGCTTCGAAAGTGCTGATCTTCCATCTATTTGATCCTGAAAAGAAAATAGATAAAAGTTTTATTTTATTATTTGCTGTGAAAAGAACACGCGTCATAATGCACCCTATGTTTAGAATACTATTTGTATAGGCCATGTCTTTGTAGTTAATAAGATGGAATTGCACTTACGGGTATATCACTCTACTTTAAAAACACTTCCCTGATATTTTAACATGGATAAGCACCAAGAGTGAATAGTGCGGATCATATTCGACAAAATAACTTGTTTTCACATTACGCTGATGGTGGGAAATGATTAATCTAACAGAACGATTTGGTGTGCTATTTTTTAATTATTCTCTCTTCACTGTGTCATTCTAGTCAGTTTATAACACAGTATTTCTTTCAAATGCACCGTAGAACTCATACATAACGGATGAATACTACTCCCTTCAAAAATGAACTAAAACAAAAACATAAAACTTCCTCATCAACCACTCAATGCATTTAGGCGCTGGAATAAAACATCAAATAGCTGTCTTATAATGAAGAATCGCTGCCATTCAGTGTACAACGCCCTGATCACTTGGCTATTAGGAGAAATAACATCTGAACTGCACACATGCTGTACTACCATCGATCCCATTCTTCTATATCTCCAATATAGTACAGTCGTCTACAGTAATGCTGTCTTGTCCATCATACCCTCTCACAAACAAACTCCAAACCGAGGGCAGTACTCATAAACGCATCGCATCATGCCGCCTCTTCTACCAAACACTGGTCCGTTATACCTTCGTAACTAAACCATTCATTTTGACTAATGCACATGCATTTCTCACAGAACAAAAAGCATTAACATTCAGGTCACATTCACTTCTCACAACACCTTTCATTTTCTACACCTTTACTACTCATCAATGTCACAAAAACTACACAATAAATAATATCCTCTAAGTTCACAATCGAAAAAGATCCGATCTACACAAAGAGCCATCAGATCCACGATCACTTCTTCTCCGATTCAATTTAAAGCCAGACCTATCCCATCTTGGCGCTCTAAGAATGAGACAAAATAGAAATTACAAACTTCTTCGAGCACAGCATCAATCTTACTATATTCCGTCCCAATGCATCTGCAATATGTTGAGCTATTTCATCACCGACTTCGTTGTGGTAGAGGGGAAGTGTTGTGAGTGTCTGTAGGTGTCAGATAGACTGAGTGCTTCATCTTCTATGAAATGAGATCAATATTACCGAATTCGTTCGCAACGCATCCGCAATGTGTTGTGCTCCTTCAGCATCGATTACGGTCCAACCGAGGTCAAGTGTGGTCAGTGTCTGTAGGTGTGAGATAGACTGAGTGCTTCATCTTCTATGAAATGAGATCAATATTACCGTATTCGTTCGCAGCGCATTAGCAATATGTTGTGCTCCTTCCGCACCGATTCGGTTCCCATCGAGGTTGACTGTGGTGAGTGTCTGTAGGTGTGAGATAGACTGAGTGCTTCATCTTCTATGAAATGAGATCAACATTACCGTATTCGTTCGCAGCGCATCCGCAATATGTTGTGCTCCTTCAGCACCGATTTGGTTCCAACGGAGGTTAAGCGTGGTGAGTGTCTGTAGGTGTGAAATAGACTCAGCGCTTGATTTCTAATAAAATGAGATCAATATTACCGTATTTGTTCGCAACGCATCCGCAATGTGTTGTGCTCCTTCAGCACCGATTTCGTTGTACCAGAGGTGAAGTGTGGTGAGTGTCTGTAGCCGTGAGATATAATGAGTGCTCCATCTTCTATGAAATGAAATCAATATTACCGTATTCGTTCGCAGCGCATTAGCAATGTGTTGTGCTTCTTCAGCACCGATTTTGTTCCAACAGAGGTTAAGCGTGGTGAGTGTCTGTAGGTGTGAGATAGACTGAGTGCTTCATTTCTAATAAAATGAGATCAATATTACCGTATTCGTTCGCAGCGCATTAGTAATGTGTTGTGCTCCTTCAGCACCGATTCGGTTCCCACTGAGGTGAAGTGTGGTGAGTGTCTGTAGGTGTGATATAGGCTGAGTGCTCCATCTTCTATGAAATGAAATCAATATTACCGTATTCGCTCGCAGCGCATTAGCAATGTGTTGTGCTCCTTCAGCACTGATTTCGTTCTCATCGAGGTGAAGTGTGGTGAGTGTCTGTAGGTGTGAGATAGACTGAGTGCTTCATCTTCCATGAAATGAGGACAACATTACCGTATTCGTTCGCAGCGCATTAGTAATGTGTTGTTCTCCTTCAGCACCGATTCGGTTCCCACTGAGGTGAAGTGTGGTGAGTGTCTGTAGGTGTGAGATAGACTGAGCGCTTCATTTCTAATAAAATGAGATCAATATTACCGTGTTCGTTCGCAACGCATTCGCAATGTGTTGTGCTCCTTCAGCACCGATTTCGTTCCAACTGAGGTCAAGTGTGGTGAGTGTCTGTAGGTGTGAGATAGACTGAGTGCTCCATCTTCTATGAAATGAAATCAATATTACCGAATTCGTTCGCAGCGCATTAGCAATGTGTTGTGCTCCTTCAGCACCGATTTGGTTCCCATCGACGTTAAGTGTGGTGAGTGTCTGTAGGTGTGAGATAGACTGAGCGCTTCATTTCTAATAAAATGAGATCAATATTACCGTATTTGTTCGCAACGCATTCGCAATATGTTGTGCTCCTTCAGCACCGATTTGGTTCCAACGGAGGTTAAGCGTGGTGAGTGTCTGTAGGTGTGAGATAGACTGAGTGCTCCATCTTCTATGAAATGAAATCAACATTACCGTATTCGTTCGCAACTCATCCGCAATGTGTTGTGCTCCTTCAGCACCGATTTGGTTCCCACCGACGTTAAGTGTGGTGAGTGTCTGTTGGTGTGAGATAGACTGAGCGCTTCATTTCTAATAAAATGTGGTCAATATTACCGTATTTGTTCGCAACGCATCCGCAATGTGTTGTGCTCCTTCAGCACCGATTTGGTTCCAACGGAGGTCAAGTGTGGTGAGTGTCTGGATTGAATTAATATGTAGTGAAAAGCGGAAGTAGTAAAGAAAACCTTTGATGGTGGAACGAGAATGATATCGTTCATCTCTTTCTGTTCTTTATTCTCTCAGCTCTATATCATAATATCGCCGGGTCATCTCTCTTCTTCTCTGTTCTCCATATAAGCATGTGACTTATTGTGAAGTAGACGCATTCTGGTGATGTAGAGTAGTCAATAAACATCTATACGGTGAGAGGCGGTAAGCTACTCAACCAGTTTGCTGTTAGAGATGGCACTTCTGATGGTATGTATTGGATTTGAAATAATTATGTGTGGGGTCGATTTTTAAGGAGCAGCCGTGTGTAGATGTGAATTTCTTCGGGCGCATGATGATGCTAGTTGTTGTTCAGGAAAGAGGTGCTGGGTCGAGAATCTAGACTGGAGATTAGTTTGAAAGGATGGGATAGAATTGGTAGAACATAAGTTTGAATATGTATTGGTGGTAATGAGATTTCTCTTTTGAAGTCGCGGTCCAGTGAAATCCAAGTCCTACTCTTCTGAAATGTAGGAGCTGGACTTGATGTACGCGTGTTGAGAATGAATATTGGCATAGGCGAAAGAACTGTACAGTGTTGTTTGCTTGAGTATATGAGTTTCCTCAAAAGTTGTAATTGATGCAAGTTTTGTGTCGAGTAGTGCAACGCAGAAACGGTAACGCATTAGTAAGCGTTTTGCTCGTTCATGGTCGCGTATCGGTTGAATGCATCCTCAATGTACATAGAACAAAGCGGAGAGAGTGATGGAATGCTTGATTTCATGTCGTCTGGCTGTGATTGTCTCATGCTAGCAAACTGTTTGTGAATTATGAAATTAGTTTGGGTTGTCCTACGAGGGAATCTACGACATGAAATACCATTAAGCTTATGTTTAGGACAGTCGACAAGAATGTTAGGATACCAAGTAAACTTACTTGATATCGCTGGTAAGTACTCAGGATCTGATTGAGCCGTCGAGAAATATTTTGCATTGAACAAAATAGCGTCCGGTCATTTTGATGATCCATAATTCGATAAACTAGTTCGACAGGTAATGTGGAAAATGTGTGCATGTTGTATTTCAATCGTGCAGCAGACAGTACCATAGAGACTGGAAGCGATGAAAAAATATTTAGTTTTGTTCGTTATGAGTAATAATTTATGGTGATGATGTAGTTCTATATATTTTTGACGAAAACAAATGACGTGTAATCATTTCAACTGTTATGAATTGTTGGCGTGCACAGATAGATGGCATTAGAATACGTATGCGCAGTGAATTCTGTTTTCACAGTTACAATGGTAAATTAAAAAATAGAAAACAGAACATCCTTTATGGCTTTGGCTCCTTTGGAAACCGATTCTATTTTCATGAAAAGGAATTAACATCTCTAAATTAATTTTTTAAACTAAAAATTGTAATGGAATAAGAAAAACTCTACAGCTTAGATTAGAGATCTGTTTTGATTATGTATGTTTTGTCTTTGAGAACACTAAATGTTACCCAGTCGGTTTTCACTGATCGTTTTGCAACATTTGACGCTTTTTAGTTAAAAAGAACAGATGATTGTAATAAGTTCGACGATATAGTTTGTTGATAGAACTTCATGCAGCATCCATCAGTGTGTTTGTTTCATTTTTTCAAATCTTATTCGATGATAGATAAAACAAAAACACAAATGATCGTTTCTCAACCTGAAAAAATAGTCACATGATCTTTGATTTCTTTTTAAAGCCAAAAACTATAAAATTGAGCTACGGTTTACTGCAGAGGTGACGTTAACTAGAACATTTAAAGTTAAGTTAAATTGCTATCCCTAAACTGCGTATCTGGTTTTTGTGTTGAAGGGTGAGTTAGAACATTCACCATCTTTCATATAAATAGAATGACAGCTCCCTCATCGAGGCGCTCTAACAATTTGCTGTNCTATAAGCTAACTTCCGATTAGTTTCTTACAATATTATAACTGTGATATACAAATGCGAGCAGTTACAACGAAGGGCAAAAATAGTACTTGATGTATTATTTGGCTGTGGAGGATAGTATTTTATGTAAAGCGTGCTATGTTATATAGGTTTCATAATATTTTACTCTATCTTTCTGCAATAAATTATGAAACGAATGGAGCTACATTGTTCTAGTACTTCAGCATCGGTTTTCCTTTGCTGAAATACAGATTGCTCATGTGATTTACCTGAAAATCTATTTTATTCCTTAATTGATGCGCATTCATAGCCCCTCTTACTAAAAGTATTTTCCATGATTTGATTTCACTGGTAATATTAACCCCTTGAGGACAGGATTATTTTTAATAGAGCAAACAAGACTTTACACACTCTGGTGGATGCAAGAGACAATGTGTGCGAAGATAAATAAAAAATAGACGATAAATGATAGCGGTGGACTATGATATAGCGAAAAATTAGAAGTGATGAATATAACTGCAAAAAGATGAAAGAGGTCACTATACGAATGATAGTATAATACATTAACGATATATGTAGTGGCATAGATCATTAAAATATCGTAAATAGTATACGTAAATAAATTATAAGTTGATTTCAACCCAGACGCATACATACGTCATCCGTTCGCAGGGGATTAAAAACAGACAACATGGGATGAATCCTATATACATCTTATAAATGAAATCTCATGAATATTGGATATCACGAAATGTCAGGTGTTATTACCCGTAGTTTCTCAATTACATATCATGTATATACGTTGCCCTTTGACTTTGGAAAGCTTTGTTTTATTGACAATATACTTACAAATACCGTGTTCAATTACGTTATTGAGCTACATGTAGCTAACTAGACGTCATTTGAATATGTTCTTTATTCTTAGAATAGCTAAAGCTTTTCCATTGGTAAAAAACCTTTTGTATTTGGAATACTACTCCGCAGTCAAATAATGCGGAGAAATAATCTGGTAGTAATTCAGTCGAATGAAATCGTTCAATAGCATCATCTTACCTCACTTGAGATTGGAGCAACTGATATTACTTATATCTCTTGGCTTGAAAGGTTATAATGCATATTTTCCTTTATTGTAGATTAGGTTTCATTGAATGTATTTGCCAATCTGAGTCAAAAATAAACTTAATTGTTTCGTTTGCTACTACCAACAAGTAGCGCTCATCTGTTGGATTCGTTGACCCTGTTCTGAAAGAATTACAAGACTCAGATAAAAACTCTAACGTATATCTCACTCTAATCCGCTTCGAATTAAAGCCACTTTTATGCACATTCTTTTCTTTTAATCCTTTTCTACTTTATTCATGTCAAACTACTTTCAATTCATTTGTCCAATGACGTGAGCAAAAAGAACACTGTTTCTAAAGATTTACTAATCGACTCTCTTCCCACTATTTACAATCAAAAATCAATTTACTTACACTTATCTTATCTCTTCTAAGCCACCCAAACAAACTCCTGGTCGCTCGTCGGTCTACTTCCGGTCGGCCACTCGCGGCTAACCGTTACATGTCCAACTTTCATTCTTTCATCTAGCTTAAAATCCCCTTCAAATTCAATCAAACCATTTCCTTTCATTCCCCGTTAAAGAATCACCAATGTTGTGCCATTGTGACTGTCCAAAACAATATTTGTTAGAGGAAGCAATTATTATTTCGAGTAGTTAGCAGCAGATAATGTTTGTGTAATATAGCTGTTTATATAATTGTAATGTTATCAATATACTGATGAGTATGAGTATCCAGCCGGCGGACGCCAATCAGCTATTTTGTTTTATTCTACATATTGCTGCTTCAAACACTATCGCCCACAAAAAATCTTCCTTGCAAAAAATCGTACTTTTTCTGAAAAAACAGAACAGAATTTTTCTACAGAAAAACTAACACCAGATTCGATATCTTCGACGCCGATTACCCTTCGGTCGAGTCTTACTCAACAACCAAAAAATTTTTCATTGCCTAATTAATAATTAACTAATTAGCTGTTTGAAGTCTCGAAAAACTGATATCGGATTCGAGATCCTCGACCTTGGTTACCCTTCGGTCAATCCTTACTCGACAACCAAAAAGATTTTCATTCTTTAATTAGTAACTAGCTGATTAGATAATTGGAATTTCGAAAAAGTAACCTCAGATTCGTAACCCTCGACCTCGGTTACCTCATCAGTGGTCAATATTTGATGATTATAGATAAATTTCATTGATTTATAATATGCTGCAATCTGATTGGATTATGCAAACAAACAAACTTTATGCATTTTCACGACTGTATTTATGTCGCTATAACCCTTTCTTTCAGAAAAGGGAATAAACCTCAGAGTAAAAGTGCGCATGCGAAGATGACGTTGAAGTCGAGAATGGAGCTTAGTGGAAGAAACAATTTTAACCATTTTTGATGATGAAATCATTAGCTTCGATCACTCTTTTATATAAGGAGATGCCACTGAAACTATTGTTTTGTGCAATGCAGAGCGAGAAAGAAAAATGTCACGAATGAAGTAATATGAAGCATACTGGTATCTGTATGTTTCACATCTATTCGACATCTGACGCTTGCAATATAGATATTTCCATCGACTACTCTCGTTAGCAGTTATATATGCGAATGATAATCAAACTCAAATTTAGTACGAAAAATTATATCACTTTATTTATACATCAAGTTGTTTTCCAGCCTCGATCGTGTTTCGAGAAAGTGACACTCGAATATTCGAAAACATTTGACCCATCGCGCGATGCGTAGGTCCGATGATCGCATCACAGGCTGCTTGAACATACACTCCCATTTCAGCGATTTGTGTTCGCGTAAGTTGACGCATTGGCACAAACACCCAGACCATTAAGAACGTGTACGCACCGAACGCCAAACCCCAAAATAACATCAATGGCAAACCGACCAGCACTGTCAACAGACGATAGATGAAGATCTTGCTGTAGTGATAAACTTGATGTGAAATCTTGTGAAAGACTTCAAAGCTGTAGGCACTTGTATCAGGTTCAGCAATGACATGGAAGAAGTCGAACTAAATAAACGAAGAGAAAGATAGAAGAGAAGAGCATGGAATGAATGAATGGATTGGAGGTGGGTGTATACTTGAAGATGTTGATTGATCTTGACTGGATCTCGGTTGTCGGGATCGTGGACAGACGAAGATGGAAATTGAGTTGGATCGCAGTATATTGTCGCCATGGTTGAAATGTTGATGTTTGTGTTCGAGAGATAGTAAATTATATACAAGTCGAGCAGAATAGCGATAGTAGTTTGTTGATACTTTATCAACACCAGACCAAAAAAGATAAGAGATGGTGTGACGTCATGATGAGCACAGATTTCAACACTAGCCAATTCTTTTGTAAAATACGGCTAAATCGTCTGTTTAGTATTTTGAACAATCATAGTATGAACAGACTTCGCCCAATTAATCAATTTCAAAATAATACATGCAGAGTACAGTGGCACAGAACCGACAATAACATTTTCTGCTAGATAGGACCGATCCATATTCTTAGCGTTTCCTGCTTTGTACATATGCTCTTCCGGCACTAATATCTATGTTATTGCGCAATGCCACTATCTATTCAGCATAACACGCACTTGTAAGAGTATCAGAATTGGTGGTCCGAAGGTAGCGGTTTATCACAGCCAAGTCGTAAACACAACAATACCGTTGCCACCTTATGACCATCATTTTTTCTTCGTATATTTTTCTTGCATATCAAGTAGATCAATAAGTAAATCGATCTATTCAATGGAATGATTTCTTTCCATCGCAGAGTGACGTATTTGTTAACAACAATGAGAAACAAAAGCGTCATATCCTATTTCAATTTATATTTAGGTTACATAGGATCAATATCGTTGCTTTCATTTTTCGTTTCCTTTCTTAATCATGTCTGTGTGCTCACGGTGGCAATTTTTCTATGCTTTCATCATGATTTACCGGTTCCATTTTGCTTTGACAATGTCCAGTATGTCATCCGGAACTAATTTTACGCGATGGTCAGAGGATGATTGGATTGAAACACGATTTTCTATTCAATCAAAATTTGTTTTCAATCGCCAACGTTACGAAAATCTTGTGCTTCGTACACGAATGAACGAATGGTCATTAGAATTATCCCACGGAAATTCCAGCCGTTTGAATCGACTTTGGACAGAAATGCATATATTCCTTCGTGATCGTACTAGTTTACAAAACTCAACATTTGGTCACATACGAAATCTTTGTAATCCGCCGGTGATATCTCCATTGACGAATGACTCGAACGCTCGTGTTCCTGAATTAACCGAAATGGATCAACGTATTGCGCAATATTTCATCATTGATGGTTTCTTTCGTACGATTAATTATATTCACTGTAAAATTGACGAACGACGTCGAGAACCTTCATTACATCTCAAACTTGAGATGTATTTAGTAACCAATCGAGATTTTCAAAGCTTAGTTTATTTCGAAATGTCGGAAGAAACGTACAAGATACTATATGATCGTCAAGCAAGGTTCTACATACATAGCCATGAACGAAATTTTAGATACAATTTCAATCTATCTCAAACAAACTATTCCGCAAGTTCGGATACAGGCCGAGTGTATATGACTAAATTATACAACCAAGTCGTGGTCAAAACTAGTAATGCAATGAAGAGATCTGTAAATGTCCTCTATATTTGTATTTTTGCAATTTCACTCGTATCCATACAATAAAAACAAATTGTCATACAATTGATTACACTCAAAGCGAAGATAGCGTTGTATAAGTCAGTTTCATCCGATGAAAGTCTCTGGTTGAATCATGCGTGTCTCACTCAGCGATTAAATTCGAGTGAATATTTTTCTTTTCAATATGGATCGTGCGTTCGCCCTTAGTCCCATTCGATTCAACAAATGATGTAAAACTTTAGAAAATCATTTATTCAGAATATATCGTTTGAATGAACGTGAGAAAATAGAAAATTAGTTCAGGTTAAAAAATAGAAATGAGGATAAAAAATTCGTTAGCACCTTGATTTATTTAAAAATTTTTCCTTGATTGAACTTTTTACCATTATGTTCACCTTCCCAAAGAAAGTATTGATTAATTAAGTTTCTTGTATTCTCATCATCAATTGCTAAACGCTTCCAGGTGTATGATTCATAGTCAACTTGCCAATCCGACGAAAGCTAAAGAGGAAAAAGGCATTTTTATAAAAGCAAACAACTCAATCTTTACTTCAAAGGCAAGTTCATGGCCACGCCAAACCCAAATACCTGTAATCGTATTATTATTATTTTCACCAAAAACGCACATGCTAGCAAATGCATGTTTACGTAATTTATCTAATCGCTGAAAAAATCCTGAGATTAGATTACATGTCATGAAGACTTGAGAGAGATCTTCCGGATATTTGTATTCACAAAACCAGATTGAACAATGATTATTATCGAAATTTTTCCAAAAATATGGAATAGCGACCGTTGCGGTATCTTCGTTCGAATAGACACGTTTGAAGTCATCCATGCTAAAACTTGGCTTAGGCATGTCAGCAAACGGATCCTTTTGTTTTGGTTCATTTGCGTAAATCTCATCGGTTTCATCGCCGGCATCAGCTGCAACTTCAGCTTCTTCTTTCTTCTCGACCTTTTTTGGTTTCTCTTCTTGTTTAGCTTCTTTTTTCTCCTTTTTACTCTTTGCTTCGTTCGTGTTTTTATGATCGCTATGTCCAAAATCTTTTGGAGCTGGTTGAGTTTGAGGTGCATGATCCCGGCGTGCAAGTTCTGCATATTTTTTTGCTAGAAATCAAATTGATCAGCTTTGAAATTCTTGTAACAAGATCTTACGATCAAATTGAGCAGTTCTCTCGCATAATTTCAAGTCAGTACCAATCACTGCTTCAAACTCTTTCTGATGAGTTAACGTCAAAAACCATCGTGTCACATTTGGATACATTTCACGTATACTTGGCTCGATGATCTAAACAAAACTCGCCGATTAACACAGCTGATTTTTTTACAATTGATTCGTTTTCTATACCCATTGAAATAACAGTAATAGATCACAAGTAAGTGCAACATCGGCTAATGTGATACGTTCACCTACAAGATACGTTCGTGTACGAAGCTGTTCGTTTAACAAATGTAAAATATTCGCTAATTCGACTTTTGCGCGTTCGTTGTTGTTCTTGTTAAATTGTAAAATGCCCATACATGGATACACTAAGGTTGTTGATATAGGATGAATTTCCCGATCTGTATATTCAATCCATTGAAAAACTTCAGATTGTTCAGCTAATGTTTGACCTCGAAGTTGCTCATTTGAAACTAGTTTATTTCGAAATGCAATCAAATGCTAAACATTAACTGAGCAAAAAAAGAACACTCACGATAGTAGGCGATGGCGTTCGGTTCGAATAGATAAACTCCCGCATCATTTTCATATGCAGGAACCTGTGTAACAAATAAAATCGTTTTCTCTGACAATCAAAGCAGACGAAGATATTCATACTTTTCCGGTTGGAAATTTTTCTATATATTCTGGTGAACGATTTGTTTCGTTCATTTTAAATTGATCTTCACCAGCAACTTTCAATGATGCACCGCTATACTGTGCTGCAATCTGAGCTTTGTAGCCATGAACGTTACCCGAAAAGGTATAAAGGATCTGAAAAGTATTTATCGTGCTCTAATGATAAGTTGCGTGTTTTACAAGATGCTTACTCCTTTGTCTTTACTGGACGCCATAATCTAGATCTTGTAAACGGAAGAACTATGACAGACTATGGAAATTCTACAACTTAAATACGGAAAATGGTAAAGAGTTTACGAAATCTTGCAAAAAATACTGATGAAATCGTATTGATTTGAGAAATAAGGAGGTTTATGTTTACTCGTATAAGATTGGTCCAATCGTCGAACAAATGAGAGCATGACTGATGAAAGAATAACGAAGAACAAGAAAATGAAAAACACGTTCTTTCTTTTTACTTCTATTTGTCATGCCGCGCAGTCGAAGTCGCAGTCGTAGTCCAAAAGGTACGTTCATGGATTCATATGAACCATAAATGTTTGATTATTGAGTTTAGATCGGTATGCTGGCAGTGGTCGACATCGCGGAAGTGGTCCATCAACTTCAGGCAGCAATCGACGACGGAATAGTCGTTCAAGATCTCGATCACCAAGGAACAGAGATCGAACATATCGTGATCGTGATCGCGAGCGTGAGCGTGACCGTCATCCAGTACGATCTGATCGTTCTGGTAAACGTTATTCACGATCACGTTCTCCATCGCCGAAAGCATTCGGTAATAAAGTTGTTGATAAACGTGCTGAACCAGCCAAACGAATCTTCGATCGTAAGAAAGAAATCATACTTCATATTCTACTGTTTATTAACTCTTGTTTCATTCATAGCTTCGGAATTACAAGGAAAAACAGAAGATGAAATTGAAATGATGAAAACGATGGGTTTTGCAACATTTGATTCTACTAAAGTAAGATTTTCGTTTTCTCGTTAAATTCTCTGCATAGAATCTTTCTAGGGTAAACACACTGATGGTTCAACAAATGCTTTTGCAGCTAATATTCAACAAAAACGTCGTTACCGGTAAGATCACTTTCTTACACGACGAATCTTTTCTACATTTCTATATTTTAGACAATACATGAATCGAAAAGGCGGTTTCAATCGTCCTTTAGATCCAATTGCTTAATCATTGTATCTAATAACTGTCGTACATATGTGTCTGTTTGTTTGATAATAAAAATCATGTTCATTTATCCACGTGTTTTGTTTTCATTTTTTGATCGTCATGAATAACATCGAATCTCATTGTAGACATGGATCGTTTATACGGAACGCATAAGCCAACCAATTTTGTTCAGAAGAGTCTTCTGGCTGTTGGCTCAGGTCTTATGTCGATCGCAGATCCATCGCGAGATGATATGATTTCAATTTTCGGTGAAACAACCGGTAATTTAGCATTGAGATCTATGCGAGAGCAAATGATTGTCGATCCTGAAGGAGATCGTATTCTCAAGTAAGTGAAACAATTCAACTGTTACCTATGTAGTCTATCATTACTTGTCGTAGGGAGCGGCCAGTGATCAATACAAAAACAGTCAATTTAGATTATTTAAAATCACTACCGATTGGAACATTGGGTAAAGAGTACTCAAATTTTCTAGTGAAATATGTAAGCGACTTGTATTCAAATATCTTCTCTTATGTTAGTTACTTTTGAGAGAATTTAACTCCGGACGCTCGCCGACCTGTTTCATTTGTTGACGATGTTGAATTAGCTTACATTATGCGACGTTATCGTGAAATTCATGATCTTACTCATGTTACGCTCGGCATGCCGATAAATATGTTAGGTGAAGTAACAGTCAAATGGTTTGAAGGCATCCAATATGGTCTACCTATGTGTGTGTTAGGTGCATTTTTTGGACCGATTCGTTTGGGTCCAAGACACACTGCTAAGTATCTTCGACTAACATTACCGTGGATAGTTCGTACTGCTCGTCAGTCACGTTCATTCATGAATGTGTACTTTGAAAAACATTGGCATAAGCCTATACAAGAATTTCGTCGTGAGTTAAATATACTCGAACCACCACCAAAAATCTGATTACTATTAGCTCTGCTTGTTATCCATCGTAGTTTTCGCTGGTTTGTTTTTTTTTAAATAAATACCCACAGATAGTTGTGATGAATTTCGAATTATTGTTTGATGGAAAATAATGCAAACATGTTTCAATCTCATTCGTTTATTTTTCAGATGAACAAAAATATGATTTCTGTTGGTTTGTTATTAGATTATTAAATAGAACCCGGAAAATTTCACAATTTATCGAGCATATTAACTCGGATCTCTTAGCATCATCATTATCGTGTATTAGTCGTTAGTATCGATGTATATATCTATCTGTCATAGTCGTTGTTGTCCTTCGAGAAAAGAAAAAAAAAAGGAAAAAAGGGAAAAGATCTTTTTTCTACTATAAGCAGATGATGATGATGTACTTTGCTTTCTTTGTTTCAGATTGGCTGTGACACACATATACATCGACGTCGATTTCTCTTCTTTTCTATAGCAATACTTTGAATCGATCACTTGCTTTTGCCGGTTGCTTATCTTAGCGATACTACCGTGTGTTTGACACTCGCGTGCGCTTAATGCTGGATGTCACTTGCGTACTCTCGATTTCCCCTTTTTCTCTTTCTTTTCTCTTTTATAGGCTTCTAAGTATGTAGATATATATATATATATATTCTTGATGTATTTTTCCAAAACTTCTCATCTACCGTTGACGATGTCGACTCAAGAGAAGCGATAGAGATCACATATCTTTCGTCTTCTCAACATGCATTACTTGTTCTCTATATAACAATCCATTCATTGAATGCAAATTAAGTTGAATAGGTTAGTGAATGTTGAGAATGAGTGTTTGACGTTCTCATCATCTTTTCATACCATGCATCTAATTTCTATTCGCTCTTGATTTTGACATCATCGACTGTCAACTACATATATATATAGGAGGTGGATGAATAAAACAAATACGAACTTCGACGTGTATATATTATATTTGTATATTATTGTTCTAGACTTGATTGTCTGTTGTTATTTAGCTTTATGTTACAATCATTACGTACGTCTTCTAGTTTTTTGTATATGTGAATATGCGTGTGGCGTCCAAAAATGCAATGTAAATGGATTGTTGTAGTAGTGGTAGAGAGAGGAAAATTGGAGCAAAAGAAATGAATAGTGTGTGTGTGTGCGTGCATTGTCGTCCTCGTCTATAATATGATCGCAGTATATCTCCACTGACACACACAAACATTCGCGAAAGGTTATTGTTTTCACATCTTCCCTCGACGACGACGACAACTACAGGCAATTCAAGAAAAAAGTGGGTGTATATCTGTATGTATATTATCTTTCATCAAACTGTGTGTGTGTGTGTGTGTGTGCATGTATGTCTCAAAATTAAGTAGAAGAGAACGATGGGTGACCATTATTAAAATCGTAAACGAATGAGAAATTGTTACCAGTGAGAACAAGTTCGAATAAGTAGGCGGTCAATCAGCAAACAATTATTCAGATCACTGTTGTTTTATTCAGACGAGAAAAGAAGGCAGGAGAGAGAGAGAGGCAGAAAAGAAAGAAAAAACGACGAGATGATTTCAGATTCAGCTCGGCAAATCATCATCATCAACGACAGCAGCATCTTCCCCTCTCTCTCTCTCTCTCCTCACAATAGTAGAGTGTGCCAATGCTCTTTTTTTCTTGTTCTCAGTCTATCTGCCTGTCTGATTGTTGTTGTGTGTGTTACTACACGAAAGATGTGGTGTGTCTCCTCATAAAAGATATAAATCTGCTTATAAGAAAAACAGCGATGTATGCATGTGTGTGTGTGTGTGTTGACGAGGAATAAAGTAAATCGAGCTACATAATGCTGTAGTAGTAGTAGTAGCAGCAGCAGCGACTGATTTTGTTTAAATGCGAAAACCTAAAATATGAGAATGTAAATGCGTGTGTGATAGAGAGAAAGGGTGAGAGTAAATAAATGAAGGAAGAGTTATGTGCTCGCCTTTTCTTACAGTGTGTTTGTGTGTGTGCGCTGTCATTCATCCTCTTTTTTTCTTCAATGCCACACTACATCTATACATGGGCATGACACAAGCAGTATGCACACGGAAAATGACTATTATTATTATTATTCGTGACTTGTATGTTGATAATGTTGTTTGACTGCCAAGTAAGAAGAATAGGTAGAAGTACGGAACCGAGACAGCGCGCGCGCGAGAGAAAAGTAGAATTTGATCAATATTCTCTTGATGTGATGCCAGCCACGTGTATGACTTTTTTCTCTAAGTATTTGTATTCATTTACAAAAGAAATGAAGCTAGGCAATGAAAAATGTGCAAGTAATCGAGAATACACACACATACAATTGATGTGCTGCTTGTTCGTCGATTTGTCTGCTCCATTCATATGCACATATGTATACAGAGAAGCACAATGCGCACGTCAACATAAAGTGCAAATAGATGAAAAAAATATAGAAACAACTGCCTTATTCTCTCGCTCTTTTGCCTTTTTTTCTCGATGGTTGACTTGTCTATGTCTTACTCTTACGATTAGAAGTCAGTATTACGATGACTATACACTATTCTTCATGATCATTATCATCAGTAAGACAAGCAACCGATGAGATGAGCATGTTAGCGTGTTTTGTTTTATAAAAATGGGAATAGCTCGTCTCGGCGTTGACATCGTCATTTTCGCTATTGAGCATTTTACTTGTTCTTGTCTCTGTGTTATGTTGTGTGTGTGTGTATGGCGGGCAGATACTGTTTCCGGTTAATTGCGGCGGTCGTTGTCGATTTTTTCCCTTCTTCTTTTCACGCACACTAACACATGCCGTTCATTTTCTTTTCCCGTTATTTTATTGCCAAAAAAGCAAAACGAGAAATATTTTTATTCTTCATATATACATACATACTTATTTTAATTCTTTCTTCTGCTTTTTCTCCATCATCATCGTCGTCTTATGTCATAACTCATCCTTTCCTTTTACTCCAATCTTATTTGTTGCATACCTTTTCTCTTTTTTATATAATACAAGAAGAGAAAAAACGTTTTTCTATTTCCCGTCTTCTTCGACGTCTTCTTATTCTTTCTTCGTTTTCTTGTTCTTCTTCTTTTGACACACGCAAACTAACTCAATCTTTCATCGAATGCCAGTACATTTACAAGAAAAGCAACTTTAGTTAGTGATTCGAGAAGAAAACCAACATACATCCAGGCAACAAAATCAAATTAAGACACATACACAACAACTTAGATGAATATATGCATGCATGTATAAAGAAGAAAAGTGTCAATAATGGATGTTGAACGTCGACGACGGCAAGCGGGCACAACCTTGTATGAGTGTTCGTTTCTCTCTCTCTCTCTCTCTTACTCTCACTCGTGGCACACCATCACTGACCGATGAGAAAGAATAATGTGCATATATGCCGTTTTATTTCTAGATGTGATGTTCACACGACGAATGCTCTATGTAGCAACAAAAGACAAAGAAAGATTCATCTTTCATTCCCGGTGGTCGTGTGTATTGTATATGTGTATTTCGTATTCATTCTTTAATCAACAATAACAGCGACCATGAGTAACACAAGCAAAGAGACAATGACTAAAAAGCAACAAGACGAACTGAATTCAAGTTTTAACAGTAAGATGCAATTTTTCTCTGCCAGTTGACGTTATTTTGATTTGAAATGTGTTCTTAGACCTTCCCTGGGGTCTCCCATTAGGTTTCCCATCGTTATCGCCATTTGGTGCATTTCCAGCTTTTGGTTTACCTACACCGAATTTCCCTTCATTGAACAGTTTTGCTTCATCAACACCAACTGCCTTTCCTTCTTCACTTCTGTCAAATGATTCAACAACTAATCCATCAACAGCATCGACTGATGCTTGGACAAATGGATTATCCGCAGCATCAACTAATCCTATGGATTATAATGAATATATTAAACAATTAGGTTTTCTCATGAATGCATTTACTGAACAACAAAAACCGCCAGAAACCGATAAATCAAAAGGTACAAGTGCATATCTTCTAATCTGCTATGTTAGTTCTTATCTTTCAGCCTCTCCTTCAATAAAACATTCAAAATCCAAATCGTCTCATACTCCTTCGACATCATCTTCACCCGATGTTCATTGTAGTAAGAAGCATGATGATTCTCGCCGTTCATCATCATCGAACAAATCATCATCACGTCCGAAAACGTCCTCAAATCATCAATCATCCGTACCTTCAACTCCAACGCATGCATCTTCAACCAAAACATCTACGACTAATGACTCAGCTATGCTCGATCCGTTAACATTTGCAACTGCCATGGCTAGCAGTGGCTTACCATTTCCATATCTATTTCCATCACTACTCTCTCAAACACCCTCAACAGCAACAACTGCGGGAACAAATAATAATCCTTCGACATATCCGTTTTCAGCATTGTCGTCATCTCTAGCTAATCCAGCTGCTGGACTCTATCCATTTCTTTCACCTGACTGGTTTACGTCAGCGCCAGGCTTAGGAAATACTACTCCGGGTAAGACACTTAGTCTTATCCAAAACACTGATTTGATTTGTGTATTTTTTTCAAGATTCTAAACAATCGAAAAAACGTTCGAAGTCAATTCGAGCTTTAACGGAAGAACAGGATAAGAATACTTCGAGTTTACTTCATACGACCATAGTACGTAATGATCAGATGATGTTCACATGAAGAATCAGTACTCTTCACTTTAGGTGGATCCACATAACACAAATGGTTTGCGTTTAAGCCGCCGAAGTAGTACAAACGATACACCTGTTGATGATTCAAAATCGAATGACGACGGTAAAAATTTTCCCTATGAATTTCTCTCTGACTGACTGACTGACCGACTGGTGATTTAGATGATTCCGATCCAAATCCGAAGCGCAAGAAAATTGAAGAAGTGAATGAAACACTCGTACGAATACCGTTGAATCGCGGGTATGTCCAGCAATCAGAAATAGTTTGCATACACGTGTTTGTTATAGATGGAAGCGTGTAACGATCGTTCGTGCGATAACACGAACTGGTGTACGTGGTGATGTTTCATATTATGCGCCATGTGGTAGAAAATTACGTTCGTTTCAAGAAATCGATCGAGTACATTTGCATGATTTATATATTTCACCTTGAAAATTCCGTTTTCTGTTTAGTATTTATCAAAGAAGAACATCACTGACCTAGATCGATCACATTTTACGTTTAGTTCCAAAGTTCATATTGGTTTTTTCCATGAGCCAAAAGAAGGTCCTGATGGAAAAGTAAATAGCTCGAAAATCACCGAAGTCAATCTATGAATCGTTTCGAATGTTTTAGACAATTTTTCAAGAATCTACAGAAGATGAAATCGTTAATCGTATCTTAGAAATCAATCCCAAATTTCATCGTATTGAGACATCTTCAAGTCCGTGTGGCACTCCTAGTAATGGCACGAATGATCATCATGATGAAAATCGAAAACTTCGTCTAGAACAAGAAGGTTTGCTTTTATTACACGTTTAATCTTCTCTCATCCATTCCCTATTGTAGAAATGTCTAAACGAGCAGCAGAAATCAAAAAGAAAAGCGATCCAATGCGTTTTATGCGCAACGTTATGAGTGAAAGTCCCAAAACAACCGAACCGCAGTATCAACACAATGAATTTATTAAAGCCATCATTGAACAACAAAAATTCGCTCAACAACAAGAACTCGAACATAAGCAAAAGTCTCAACAAGAACAACAAGTAAATATGATTGCGAAAAAGACTTCGATTGATGCGTTTCTTTAGGAACAAGAACGTAAACGTCAAGAGCTTATGTACTTAAAGCAACTTGAACTAAAAAAAAGACACGAAGAAAAACTCTTAATACTAGAACAACGTAAAGCAGAAAAGAACGCTGAACGTGAAAAGAAAATCGTACGTCAACTTTGTATTCCAAACGCTTCTGTTATTCTCATTCATTTTTCAGCAAGAGAAATATATGGAGATCGTTCTAGCTAAAGAAGCAAAACGTATCGTTGAAGATATGCAATTACGCGATCTAAAGGTATGTTATATCTTGATCAATAAAATCCGACATAAAACTTACGATTTAGCCACTTCCAACGCTGAAACCAATCGAAAACATGCGTCTATCTGCAGAAGGTTTTGCCAATTGTTTGATGATTATCGAATTTCTCAACAATTACAAACATATTCTTCAGATCCGTACGTGTAATATTCATTTGCAGTTCATTTTGTATTTTGCTTTGTTCTAGCTGATAATTTAATTCCATCGTTGAACAATCTACAACAATCGTTGACTAGTTCTTCATCGTCACGGGATTTAAATTCTCTTTGTCAAATTCTTCTTCGTATTGCATTGGAAGATCCGGGTATTCCTAACCCGAAAAAAGCGCTGACTAATCTTGGACAGAAGCTGTCCGAAATCGACATCACTGAACATACATTTGGAGAAATTCTACGCATCTATATCCGCGAACGTAATGGATTCGATGATAAATTAACTCAAAGTCTGTCAGATACATCTTTTCAAACATTGATTGCCGATGAAAAGGCGGAGATTTTGGCGTTTTTATGTAATGATTTATCGACAAATAAGCAAGTTGTTGAGTACGTATTCATTGTCAATATTAGTTGTTTTCTTATGACAATTTCTTTCTAGTGAAATCGATCGTAATCTCGAGGAACTAACCGGTCTAAAACATGAAAAATTGGAACTTGAGAAACGCTTGCGTCGATTGAAATTCGAAAAATACAACAATAATCCGAATAGTAATCCGAATGTTAAAAAAATGGCGACTTTAATTCGAGAAAAAGATATGAACAGTTCTGACAATGAAAGTCCAGATGAAAGTGATGGTGGTATGCATATCTTCGATGTAGAAGAACTTTTATCGACTTCTTTCTCTTGCGTAGAATCGAATAAGAATGAAGAAGAAACATCGATTACAAACGATCCTGCAACGATCACAGCAGATGATCAAGATATCGAAACGTTGGATGAAACGAAAATTGATGATCTTGACAAACGTCTTGCACTTGTTACACGAAAATACACTCTCATCAAACGTCGCGTTATCGATAAACAATGCCGGATTCGTGCACTTCATCTTGGCCAAGATCGTTATCGTCGTCGTTACTGGTATTTTTCACATTTACCAGGAATTTATATCGAAGGACTTACATCGGGTGATATACCCGCAGACGATATTCAAAATATCGTCGAAAGTGTTACTAAACAAAAACTTGATAATAAACCGGTAACGATGGGTAATGAATGCAATTCATCGTCACGTTCTACTCAACGTAAAAAGCAGCAGCAAACGAAAGTAACGAATGTCACGTCATCTCCACATCCACTACCGACTGTTAATCCTATGGAAGAAGCAACTCCGAATGAATCGAGTCAAATCAAAGCGGAAACGATTGACAATGAAGAGGAAGAGAAACCGCAATCAGAAACACCGAACAACGTCTCAGAAGATCTGGCTACAATGGATCTATCGGCTTTTTGTATGGCAGTTCAACGAGATAACGATGATCAAGCTGCAACTATTGAGAAAGAGAAACCTGCAACGAATGGGTATGATAAAGACGATCATTGTTTGATCGATTGATTTTATAAGCATTTTTTAGAACATCGAATGAGACTGAAATTAAAACTGAACCGAGTGATGAACAGAATGGTGAACGCGAAATAACTGACATTGTTGATGATAATCTTCCACTTGATCTTTCATGTTCAAAATCGAAGCGTTCATGTCAAGATGATTATTGGGCAACTCAGCATAAGCAAGCAGTTTATCCGCTAACAACGAATACGGACCAGTTCCAAGAATTGAATGATCTGGCGACAACTGCAATGCTGTTGAATAATATTAAACAAGAACAACTCAATCTTAGCACGCCGAAAAATCTTCTAGATTTTACCAGTCCGAATTTTCAAAACTTACTTTCGAATCAATTTATGTCTTCATATAATTTTCCGTCTCCAATTAAAGAAGAAATATCCACTGTCAATTTCAAACAAATTGAACAATCTATACGGGAAAAATCTCAATATTCCCAACCTTTGCCTATTCCAGATGGTATGTCATCGTTGGGAAAGCTATTCGAATCCAATGATTTCTATTTTAGATGTTCAATTGGGCTGGTGGTTGATTCAAACATCAGAAGAAGTACGAACTCTAATCAAATGTCTCGCTAAACGTGGTCAACGTGAACGATATCTATGTCGAATGCTGCAGCGTTATTCTGACGTGATTATCAATTCAATGGCAAATAACAAACTTGACAATTCCTCTGTGCCGACAGAAAATGAAACTGAGAATGAGAATGATGAACATCAACAAGCACAAAACTCGAATGATTCTATGGACAATGACAATTCGAATTTCGATGATACACATGAGATGGATGTACTAAATGAAATTTATAACTTATCCGACCGTATCGTTTCAGCGAGCCTTCAATGTCGATCGTTTGATGTAAATTTAACGCGTAAACGTTTGACTTATTCGGATATCCAAGCGAAAGGTACGGATATTCTCGACGAAGCGAAACATTTGTTAACCGAAATCGAACGAAATATCGAACGACGTTATTTGAAACATCCATTCGTTCGCAAATGTGAATTGAATCTTTCATCATTAAACCGTATCAATCAAAACAGCACATACCATCATACACTAGAAAATTCTACCAGTGAAATTGTTTCATCGTCAAAATTCGACGAAGTTCCACAACAACTCGAACGATGGAGACGAACTGTCAATGAATCACGCACACCAGCGCAGCTAGCATTATGTTTAACACAATTAGAACGCTGCATTGCATGGGAACGATCAATTATGAGAGTTTACTGTGAAATCTGTAATTCTGATGTAGACGAAGAAAAGTTGTTGCTATGTGATGGATGTGATCACGGTACACATACCTATTGCTTCATTCCACCGATGTCATTTATACCACCAAATGATTGGTAAGAGGAGATTTTCTTTGACAACGCCGTCTATTTAAGCATTTGATTTAGGTATTGTTACGTTTGTATCGGTAAAGCCAAAGGTGAAAATTTATGCTTTGTATGCGGAAATAAAGGTGATACGCAACTCAATCGCTGTGAGCATTGCGGAAAACTCTTTCACGAAGAATGTTTGAAAAACGCGAAACAACAACGAGGAAAATGGCTGTGTGTGTTATGTACAGCGAATGATAGTACAGCTTTGATCGCTAGTTTAACAGCTGGAACAAATAATACGAAATGGGTATGTAGAAATCAATGTAGAGAATATTCTGAACAGTTCCGTGCACCCTTTTTTGTAGCAAGCAGGCCGTCAAACATCACGCTCAACGAATACATCAGCCAACGCGACGAATAACTCAGCATTGAAATCTCGTCAACCATCTGTTACATCAACGAATTCCGTCACTACTACCAACGGTGATTCGAATAACAACTCTTCCACAACGAATCGTAATCGATCGGCTAACAATAACAATCGTAAATCGAAAGGACGAAATAGTGTACATAATCTGGAAAGTTCGATCTTACAAGAATCGCATTCGAATTCATCCCAAGCAGATGCGATGATGATGAGTCATTTAAACGAATCGTCCTCAATGCAATCACTATCCAACGCGGGTGATATTGACGACAATGATGACGATGATGTTCCATCACCAACTATAGGTAGTACAAACAATAACAATTCATCAAAGAAAAAGCCAGCTCGAAAGTCGAAAACAAATAGTGATAGTAACGATATCAAAGCTTGCAAGTAAGCTTTTTAGCAGATGATTTCCTTCTTTTTAAATAATGATTTCTTTCATCGCTGTTCTAGAATTATTCTCAATGAATTATTTAAGAATGAGTCATCATGGCCATTTCAAACCGCTGTCGATGCCAAACAACATCCTGAATATTATGAATGCATCAAAACTCCAATGGATTTTGCCACAATGAAAAGAAAGATGCGCAATCATCAATATACGAAACGCGAAGATTTTTTTCAAGATGTACAATTAATCTTAAATAATTGTGAATATTATAATGAAGATGATAGTCCTGTGGGCGAAGCTGGCCATGCTTTACGAATATTTTTCGAATCAAAATGGGCAAAGCAATTCGATTAAAATCTTTCCTTTTCTCTCTTGCCGTGCCATTGTAAATACGACTAATGGGTTTTGCTGAATCTCCTCTTCTTTGTCTCTCTTTCTCTCTCTCTTTGACCAGAATGAAAACGCCTGAATCCTAATCAAGAAATTGAATGTTTATTATCCTATTGTATGTATGTTCTCAGATAACAAAACACCTAGATAGATGCGTTCTTTTTTCTTGAGGTCAAGTAAAACTAATTAATAATGATCTTTTCTTTGCTTCTCTCTGTTCTTTTCTCTTATGCACTGTTGTTTTCTTTTTCTTTTGTCATTACACAGTATTTTGTTGTATATCATCATCTATTCTGTCAGATCGTCAATGTTTTGTTTGCATGTGTGTCTAGTTGAACAAACTCTTACAAATAAGAATAACTGTGTGGTGGACAAATGACGAGATGAAATATAGACATATATCAGATTTACATCGAAAGTATTTGTTTCTTTCTTCGCAATTAAGTCAGGTGGTAAAGCATAAAAGGATCAAATCATACGTCGTCCATTTTAATGTGTTATTACACAACTAACGTCTTTCCGTTTTACTTCGATCAATCGAAAATGCTGAGCTTGCTCTCGATCATTCGTACATGAACATAAACGTGATGATGAATTGGTAACGTAGAAGTTTCCTGTTGCTAAACGTGTTTGTAAGATAAATGTTGAATTTGTTCCAATGCATTTTGTTGAGTTATCCGTTTGAATGATTTTTAAGTAACGATTCACTTGCTCCGTACCATATCTCATTCGGAAGTACACTGCATCCGACAAATAAAACTCCGGTTGATAGCCGTCAATTAATATCACGTGTTGTCCGGACCTTAAACAGCGATGACGACGTGGTGTAGCATTGTTCGTTAGAATAAACAGTGAAGCTGTTTCATTCGACGAATTTCCAATGAGAATATTGCGATCCGATAGAACTATCGGCAGATCTTCATCAGCCGTGACAATTTGAACGTAAGTGAGTACGCCCGATGGTCGTTGTGGCCATTGATGTTTACTTAAATTGAAAAATCCAACGATTGGATAATGATCTGAGAGTTCCATCAGTGGAACATTTCGTGGATTGTGAAACATGCGATTTCTACCAAGAAGTTGCCATTGCTCTGATGCCATGCGATCCATAATGAGATTGTACCAAATAATCGAATCGTCGGGTGCATTGTCCTTGTAGATAAATATATAATCTAATAACTGATTCTCCTGATGTGTTGTTGTTGTTGTCATTGCGTTGAATGAACTATCCCAAGTACACAGAACACTCGATGGATATAATTCTTGTTTTTTCACTCGCAGGATATCAATCATATTTTCATATTGCTCAGTGTTATATTTATCAACATTAAAATCACCGAGAAGGAAAACTAATTCGTTCTTAGAGATATTTCTCTCATCAAGAAAACCAATGATTTCGTGCATTTGTTGTTCGCGTACTTCATCTTCACTGGATAAATAACATCCACTATGATCGCTCGGTTGTAAATGTGTACCAATAATATGGATAGGTATATCATGTTTGCCATATATAATCCGTGCATAAATAAAACCACTTCGAACAAACGTGTGTCCACTGCATGTATGCCGATAGAAATATTGTGCCGCGTATATAATTGGCCACTTACTGAGAATGGTTAAACCGCCACTGAGAAATTTCAATGAACTTCGACCTATTTCACGATTCCACGTTTCATCCCAATAACCGTCATGATCTTCATCGCCCAAAATCGGTGTGCTGTACGGATATGTATCTGCTAGTGAATCCAGAAGAATTTGACTGGGTTTCGGTTGAAATACTTCTGATAGACAGAGGATATCACTTTCACGAACGAATTGTGATCGTGCTAATAGACGAGCTCGGGTGACTTGATCACGTTCTAATACCAACAGACTTGGTACGAACATGACATTGTAACTCATGAGAACAATTTGACTGATATCATTCTCATCGGCCTTAGATTGACAAACGATCAATAGAGCTAGTAGTAGCAATTGTTTCATGTTAACAAATGTCGACGAAATTCAAATCGTGTTTCGATTCTTTCTTATCAATTGACATTTACAACTATTATACGTTCTTCTCTGTTGAATAGCGACATCGAGTGTTATTTTAACTTTTCGTTATTTGTATTTTACCTGTTTTATTCTAACAGATAAGGAACAAAACACATTTTCAGCTTCTTCGATCGATACCTGATTCATCGTTTCCATGCGATTATCTCGAACTACATTCTCTTGAATATGAATACAACATCAGATCACGTTCATCACTTCGCCTCATTCACTGAAACACTTTTGCTCGAATACGAAAAACAATTGATCCAAGCGACAACAAACGAAGAAATAGATCAACTCGAAAAACGAATCAACTATATCATATCCGAAGTTGACTAATCACGATTCAACTCGCTCTTATCTACGTTTGCTTTCAGTGTTATTCTTTCAGTTAAATAGTTCATCAATTCAATTACGAGATAAACTCGATATAAAATATCATGATGTCATGAATTTCAACATTCTGCTCTTTTGATAAAACATCTCGGACAATGTCAGATTCATTCATACCGAACAATTAATCGATATTTTATCATCTAACAATTATCATTTTCTCATTTCACAATGCAAGGCAATTGAATTGAATCAAATCTCCCTACTCTCCTTACGTTTAACGTCATTTGATAACGTTCGTATCGATGAATATGTGTTAACTTTTCACGTACCTGATCTCGATTCGTTCGTTCATGCTTTTACAACCTTTTGGAAAAACTTTCCCAAAATTCATACTGTACACTTATTATGGACACAGCAGGCGATAGATTAACTTACCTTGCCAAGCGTTTTCAATTGAGTGAAATGAAAGTTTTTCCAGATTTTTGTCTGAACTCGAATGAAAAGTTGTTATTGATACGTGGAAAACGACGCGATCAAATCGTAGATTGCATCGAAGAAATTTACTACAACATCAAGATGAACAAACGAGAAAATATTCAATTCTACGATCCAGTTCATACGTCAATCAATGATATCGAACGAAGAAATCTTAAATTATAGTGCCTTTCTATCCAATCGAGATCGAAATCATTCGAATGATATTGATAATGTCAAGTACATACCATCAATCATTTAATCTATTTTCTAAATACGAACTTTTTAGAAGTAGTGATAAGAAGGCAGATTGGTGGACCCCACGAGATAATCATTCCGAAATTATTCAAAGGGAAATCAGTGTTACAAATATACAAGCCGGAGTGATTATCGGTAAGTGTAATCTTCAGTAGTTGCAAAGAAAAGATTCGCATTTCTAGGTTTAAATGCATCGCATATCGATCAAGTAAAACAAAACATTAGAGCGGTATGTCTATATCAATGCCAACATGAAAGATCTCAAACGAACTGTATGATTATTTAGACGCGTTCTTTGAATCTAACACTCTTTTTCTTTCAAGGTGTTCATCAAGGGAACACATGAACAAACACAACGTGCCTATGTTTCTATTACAGATCTTCTCGATAGACATAAGTATGGTTAATTACCGCTAATGTCTCGATCGTTCAACGATAAACATAAAGGCAAATGAGACATCAAACTAATCGTATATCTATCTCGTCATTTTGTTTTTATTTAATTTGGAATAATTTTCTGCATGAATATCCATCTAACTACCTTATTAGAAATTAATCTATAAATATCATTGACATTCACAATGATATCAAGGTTCGACCCTTTGATTGTCATTTGTTCGTGTCATCAACGACATTATACATTAGAATGTCTGAGCACACAATCAATCCTTTGAATTAGCAACTAATACGTATATCCTCTCTCGTATCCTTTTATTTTCTTTTCTTTCGTTCATACCTATCGTGAAAGAGTGTTGACCCTCACGCTTCGCGATTCGATGTCGAAGAGCTAGATGAGAAAAATTATATAATGAACATTGATTGTATATATATATACGTATATATTTGCCTTTACTGATATTATTCATTCTTTTCTGTCATTATCTTACTTCTTATCGATTAGATCCCCGGAAGTGATTAGATTACGATTAAATTAAGTTATGCTTACAACTTCTCATTATCCCGCCAAATCGAAATTAAGTCAACAATATTGGATAGATCAGCACAGTATTCAGATTCCCTGGTTAAATTTTCTAACATCTCAGTCCATTCCCGAAGAGACCGATTCATCGGACTACTCCCGATCGCATCGTACCGAGAGTGAGAGTTCATCTTCATCGGAGGAGTCCTATATCATTCTTGAAATAACACAACCTGATAAAAACCAACAATTAAATTATGCTGAAATCATTGAGTGCAAACAATGTGTGCAACCGTTGATTATCGAGGTATAGCAAATCGTAATTTCGATTAATTTAATAATTCTTTTCTTGCTTAGATACCGAAGCAAGAGCGTGCAGTTGAACATCAATGCGAACCAATTAATGAACATGAAAAAGTCATTCAACGGACAAATTTCATTCTTTTTCATGTTCCACAAAAACTCGATAAAGCCATTTCAGTTTCGGACGAAGATTTTCACATTGATATTCGACAATCGACAATAAGTCAGTATTCAATAGGAACCGACACGTTGATCGAACCGACTAAGTCGAAAACTGAAACGAAAATTGTCAAGCATATCTATGAATTCGATGATCCTTCTAAAGAAAAATATCATCGAGTGAAAGAACAAATCAAAACGAATTCGAATACCTCTAAATCATCGACAGTACTTCGTCTAATCAAAGATCGAACACGACATGTAAAAAGCAAATATACATTATCAAATAAAGAAAACCTTTCTAGCGAGCCCGAGTTACTTAATGTGAAATATCTTGATGGGCGACCAAGTCTAAGTCATCCAAATTACTCCAATAAACCTGTCTCTCAATCAAATTTACCAACGAGCTCATCGTATGGTAAACGATTGATAAATCATGTGCAAATGTTGCTCAAGCCGAGTTCACACTCGCAAAGAACTTCTTTTCGATTGTCTTGATTGTTTTGTAATTAGAAATCGATCTATTAAATAAATTTCTCTATCATTTGTCATGTGTGTCTATAGTTTGAATACATTTTTAATGATTGATTATTGATGAATTGGATTTATCCTACAAATCGAGGTTAAATCAACATATTTTATCAGCGAAAAAACATCAGCAGTCAATCTGATGTCCTGTTTATTTTAAGGTTAATGATCATATCTGGCTTATGCGTCAAATTTCGTTACAATAAGAAAAACGTATACGCTTCAGATGGTCTAAGATCATGCGAAGGAGAGGAAAAAAGTCATGACGCTCATCAATCATCATGAAATTTAATAAATAGACTCGACGTTCTCGTGTGTGGAGAAAGGATCGAAATCAATGTTGGAATTTCACTGCATATGTATGTATATAGATCGGAAAAAAATATGTCCATAACAATGACATAAATGTGTTTGTGTGAGAAATGTAAGTACAAACAACGATCAAGGTAAAATATTCACAGTTAGAAATCGAGAACATAATTAATACAAAAGAAAAGAAAATGAAACGAATTTCAATGACTATTTACGAAGTTTTCTGTACGTGCCATTAAGACCAGGCGATGGCATCGAGGAGTTCTGTTCAATGGTGACTCGTTGTCGAGGAGTGGCGGGTAAATGTCGTTCATCATTTAACGATATTCCTCCATTGGATTTTCTCATTCGATGAGTGAATGATTCTTGTAAGTTTATAAATTTCGTTGTATTAATCAGTGGAATGCTAAGTGTTTGATTGGTTTCTAATGGTCTAGAACTAATTGTTAATTCTAAACTTGTTAAACGATCTTGAATAGCTCGTTGTTGTTTGATAAAGTCCATTAATGCTAGATGAGCAAAAAGATATTGATCTTCCGTTTGAACACTACCAGCGCGTTCATGTCTCATTCTAACTACTGTTGATGGAATATCAATAAGTTTCTCTTCTAAGTATCGTTTAATGCCAATATCGATAGCACAGAATGTTCCTGTGCGTCCAATACCAGCTGAACAATGAAGGAGAATGGGAGCAGTTGTTTTAGTTAATTGTTTGTAATGTTCAACTTTTTCAAGAAATAACAATGCATCTTTTGTTCCGCTTGGTATGCCATGATCGGGCCATTTGATATAATGTGCATGATAGATTGTTCGTATTTCCGAATGATTTTTCTTCTTTAGTAACAATGTCGTAATGACAAAACTATCGTATTTTTCAGATTTTTCGTTTTGAATATGATATAAACCGCTTGTGTAGCTTTCACTTGCTTCCATTGGCCAATAAGGATAACATTTCATCATACCGGATTCACGGATATTTGTTGTCATGACTATAATGGAGATGTTCTCTTGCCAAACCATACGCCAAAAGTCTTTCACTGTATTTTGTAGTGGTCCTGAAAAAGCAAATCGAGTAGTTCAAGTTCTATTTTCATTATTAGATTTACCCTGAGTAAATATATATGCTTTTTCTTGATTATTATATCCGCTAACATAATTAGCATTAATAAAATCATGTTTATCGTCGCCATCTGGCTGAAGCTTAACGCGAGTTAATTCACCAGGTAGAACATCTCGATAGCGAGACTTATCAGTATTTTTTTCATCTCTAGAAACGACTCGATGAACTAAAGGGTTACTCTTCAGATGAAATTTCGTCTTACTTTGCAACATGAGTATCCTTAGCAGGAGGATTGGGCATTTTACGATATTCATGTCGAATTTCTGCATGTGTCTTCGACAAAAATTCCGTTTCATTCAATGCTTTATAAACATTTGTTATGGTTGACCGTTTTGTATCTCGCTTGAAATCTCGAGGATCATTTCCATTCATATTAACTTTTATATCGGCTTCTTGTTGGCCAGGATACACACGATAGGTATTGTTAACATTGCGTTCCGTTGGACTAGATGGCAGAGAAGAAATTCAAGTGAGAACAGACCGAAGGATTAGCAGATTTCTAGTTAGAACCTTGAGAGATTATATGCTCGGAACTATTTTTGTCATTTTATGATTACATGAAGAAAAAAAAAGAAGAGAAGGCTCTTGTTTAGACGTGTTACAACACAGACCGGATAGGTATGCATTCGTTGTTAAAAAGAAGGAATAGGAAATCGGAGTAGCGCGTTGAATAGAGCGGAAAAATGAAATGAAAGTCTAAAAATATCGAGTGAGTTAGTTAGAATGATGTGGAAGAGAAAAGAAAACATGCAGACAACACTCCATTCCTTTCTATCTAACCTCCTTCCAGTGAAAAGATAAGGCTGAAGTTTCTGCTGATGACACTTATCAGATCTGGGCTTACCGGATGAAAAGAAAAAGAATAAAAAGCGGTTTTTGATTCAGAAACATATCAACTATCGTGTCGAGTATTAATAAATCGACAATAAGTCAACTGACATACACATCTGGGCGTGCTTTCCTTTTATTTTCTTTTATGCTTACAGGTAAAGTATGTACTGGAAGAGACGAATGATAAAATAGTGGCTTACTCATCGAAGTTTTCCTTTCGAATGTAAGTTGACGAATTTACCATAGGCGATTCGTCTTCCGACAGATTATCATTTGACCGTGGACGTTTATCATTATCGCTCGATGACGATGATTCACGTTTTCGTATGCGAATTTTGGTAGAGGCATCGTTAAGATGTCGTAATGAGACAAGTGTTAGAAGTGATGCTGGCGAAGTTGTTGCTTTTTCTGGACTACAATAATCGGAATTAACAATGAGAATATTATTCGATGATTTTGTCGTCAATGGTTGATAATCTTTAAAATAATATGGATGACATATCGAGTGCGGATCTGTAACTTTGGCCGCACATAGCTGATACCGAGCATCGCCAGTATCAGTCGAATCAAATTGTCCACCTAATGCAATAGGAATCTTATCTAATGTGTAGCTACATTGTATCATCAGATGATCACGCATTTGATCGATGGAATATAACGTAACCTTGAATTAGAAAAAAAATGAACATATTTAATAAAGTTTTGATGGATTCACGTCTGTGCAGGAATATATTGTGAATATATACGAGCATACATATGTGCACTAGTGTACAACTAACAAATTCTACGATACTACATGTTCAACTAGGATGAACTATGTGGATATTCTCACCCTATCACGAAGTTTTTGACTTAAAAAAATTGCGAGTACCTTATACACTACTCTGAACCATTTCGGTGCCGAAACAATAAATAAATTTTTCAACATTGCTGGATATCCGCCCTAAAGAGAAAGAATGCCAAGTTATTCGGGTGCAAACGAAAAACAAAACGAAGAATTACTTGAAGAAGTTTCAAGATCTTTTTACTTAAATTCATATCAAACTGCGTTGCGGAACAGTTCTGCATATTGTAAATGAAATTTAAACCATTTTGTTGAACTTCAATGCTGAACAATCAGACAGATAGTTTTTTGACGAATAGCCAGTCCTTCCTTACCTCTCGGTTGCCACATCCAATTGACAAATCAATGCTTGCAAAATAATCAATTCTCGTTCTTGTAACGAAAGTGTCATAGTTGATAAGAGACTCTCAAGATTTGTTGCAGAAAAGATCACAGTCAGCGGTTGAGTTAGAATTTGTGGCTAAAATCGGAAAGAAAAGTAAAATTTTAGTCATTATCGAGAACGAGAATAGAAAGTGTACCAATGAAAAGAATTTGCCGGATTGAATTTCACGAATGAGATGAGGATTATTAATCCAAATATGATCGAGATTTTCAGTTTTTCGAAGATTCTACAACAACGAAATATAAAGCATCGTTTTCTTTTTTCGAAAGTATCTCGACGAACTTCGTGTGTTGTATACAATTCAATAGCACGACTAACATCAAACTTTGATGGAATGAGAAATTTCATCGCTGTATTCCATTTGACACGTGCTTCGTCGGTGGTTGAATTAGTTGGCCAGCCCATTCGTTTGAGGAAATCTTCAACAGTCTAAATAAAGAAAAGAGCAGTTTCTTCTTCGTCTATTCTTTCAATCAAACATATAATTGTTTTGATTACATCAGAAATATTTTAAACTAAAAGCTTAAGGAAATCCGGTATTAATAAGAGAGTTCTCTTCCAGTTTCATAAGATTGTATAACATACTTCCTTTTCATTGACTTGACATTTTATTAATTTTGCGAACAGCTGATAGAGAGACATTCTATCATGCGCATTCATATTCGAAAAGTCAGTATGTCAGTCAAATTGGTACTCAAGGATACATGATATATGAAAGTAAAAGAGAAAGTCTTCAATATTGCATGCTCTTTTTCTGTTTAATAATACTATTTCTGTTGACATTGAATGTGCAATCAAGAAAACTGAAAGATTTCTTTTTGTATTAAAAAGGAGGTTAGTTGTTTCACTACGCACGCATGTTTGTCTGTCTGTACATACATGAGTCGATTGTGTATAAGAATCGTGATCGGTCAAAACGTCGCTCAACGGACGATATCTAAGGAGATTGACAGGAGCTTTACTATGTGTATGACTACCACTGATAACATTGCTTGTTTGTCCTCCTGCGACAGCATTCGTCATTGACGACGTTTTAAATGGTTTCATTGCAAACGAACGTATTAAAGAGAAGATATCCGTTGACGCTGAATGTCGATTGTGAATCGAGTTTGTTGATGACAATGATGATGATGTGTTAATTTGTGTTGGATATTTCACACGCCGATAACGTGTTGGTGTTGACATTGACGACGTTCCTAATACTGTTGATGTTGCTGAAGAAAGACGTATGGTATCTTTAGGTAATTTCGCGCGTGTTGATTCGTAGAGCGAACATTGATTTTGAAAATAATGTTCGTCGAATACATCAGCGGACATAGTAAATTAGTTGGTTTATTGCTACTTGCCTTTCTATGTTTTTGGTTATTTTTCTCTAAAGCTTTCGTTTACAATATTGGATAATTAGAGGAAACGATCATGACAAATGACAAGGTGAGTAAAATAACGCAAGCGGAACGTGATGAAATGGTAAGTGTGAGTAAATTAGCTCACGTTGGCTGCCTTTTTCCGTTCGGGAAAAAACGAAAAAAGTTCAAGCAAAGGAAACGGTTTGAGACGTAAGACGACTACGACGACGAAAAATATTATGTTTATTTAGACTTCGACTCGTCTGTTCTCTTCTTCTTCTTCTTCTTTTACGTCGTTTTTTTCTCGTCATACAGGTGAAAGAAAAAAGACCTGAGCCGATAAGTGTCCTCTCTCTCTCCTGTTCCCCTTTCTTCCCTCCTTTCTCGTTGTTCTTTTCCATTGTACATCATTCGCGTGGGTTTCGCATGCTCCGATGTCTTTTTTTTTGTATTTCAGTCTATTGTGTCCGATTGCATGCTTGCTTGAATGCAGACAATACGGTGTCTACTAGTTCATTTTTTCTTTTGGGAAGGTTGTCATCATAAAAAAGAAAATCGGAGACGATGGGAAGGAAAAAAGAGACATGCAGGTTCATCATACAACTAATCATCGAAACCATATGATTGTGTATAGTCCACTCACGGGATACTATAGTAAAGAAAGAAAATTGATTCAACATTTGTATGCTTTTGTTACGCGTTACGTCGTTATGTTTAACAAAACATTACGAATAGAAATAACACAAAAAAAGACAGAAATGGATACTCTGTCTTGTTTGATCCTATTCTTTGTGTTGTCTTGTATACCTGCTGTCTGCAAGACGAGACGATGAATGAACTCTCTGATCGCATTTTTCTTCTTCTTTTTTTTGCTCTCAGTATGTTTACAAACTGTTGCACAAGATAATTTCGTATTCGTAATGAGTAATGATACTAACCTCGTCAAAATAATGATAATTTAATGATGTTGACGATGATGATGATGATGACGACGACATTTGACAATGACAAGTACATGAGTTAAGAAAACCGCCGAAATATTTGCTCATTCGATGTTGTATACGTCGTGCTGCTAGTAACATTTGTTTGTCATGTTGTTTCCTCCTATGGAAAAAAAAGAAAAGTGATGCTCATGTTCAGTTTGCGTGAATATGTGCGTCTTCATTTTGACCGGGTGAGCGATGCTATCGGCAAAAAAAAAGGAAGGAGGACGAAAGAGAGTGAGCGAGTGAGTAAAGAAGAAAGTATTAGAGTTTCTTTTTCTTTGCGCTTGTGAAATTAGAGTGTTGCTCCATATAACAACATAACTATCTCTTTACAAAAAATTTCCCTCTTGGCGTTCGTCTTTCGTTGACTGAATATTTATCACGACGTTTATGCAACAATCAGAAGCCAGAGGAGAGGGAGAGAGTGTGTGTGCGTGGGAAACAACATAAAAATCAAAACAAATACATACTCAAACTCCCTTCAATATTGTTTCTTCTCTCTCATCTTCATTCTCGAGAAAAAGAAATGAGAAGCAAGTCGATTCCTTCTGACGTAATTTGTCCTTCAGATTTCTAATTTCATTTTCTAGAAAATTACATTCATATCCAAATCCTTATCTATGTCATTATCGAGTATTGAACATGACTTCACATATCTAATGCGAGATTCATTTCTTTTTTCATCTACTTCGACATGCCCAAAATTCTCGTTCGGATCGATGTTCCATTCCAGTAAATAAGCTTTGAATATTCTCGAATTGAACACTTTTATTCATGAACAGATACACACAAATTGACGATAAAGAGACAAAAAATAGAGAAAAAACAACAACAACAACAATGATAAGTGATAAGTGATAAACAAAGTGTAGACAGAGAGAGAGAGAGGGAAAACAACGAGAAGTAAACAACACTATTTTTGATTATTGAATATAAATAGAGACGAAATTCGAGTGGCACTGTTCGGATGGGTCGATAACGTCGTAACAAAAAGAGAGAGAGAGAGAAAGTCAGAAGAGATTCATCTGAATGGTGCAGTAAAGCTCGAAATTTTTCCATCAAAATAAGCAAAAACGATTCCTGAGATCCAATTAGTGGTGATTTGGTACAGATGTGTCAACAGAAAAAGATTATTTTGAGCGTAAAACAGGTGTTTGTAAGAGAAGTTCACTATCTGCTGAAACAATCGGAATATTTCCTGATTTATGATACGAGATCAGATGTTGGATGGAATCAAATTCATAATCTTTCGTACGAATCTAAGGAATCAATCAGATAATCAGATGAAATTGGCATTTTTCTTCCTAAAGTACTTACGATGCCTTCCGGATCAACGAGAAGTAAATGTTTAAACTGATCTTTATAACGACCCGAGAGAATAAATTGGCCCGGAATTTTTGCGCTTTCACGTACGAGAAAATCTCCACTGTTGTGTAATAATAATTCAGCCTAGAGAGAAAAAGAAAGAACCGATTTAGCCAGAAACGTTCAACACAATTGCATTGGATTAGAATTTACTTCATCACGGCCAATCTTGCCATGAAACCATTTCTCTTTGTACACATCCGGACTTGTCTGCCCATTCCATTTTCCTAGATGACACAAAGATGTAACCAATTAAAGTTCAGCAGATGTTTGATTTGTAAGTTTTTCTTCAATTCCTAATCGCTCACACATTGTCATCACTCAACTTTTCTTTGTTTATATAAACATAATTAAAGAAGAAGAAGAAAAAAAAAGAGTCGGGAAAGTTGATAGATATAGTCGTCCTAAGACGGCCATGAACTATTGCACGTAGGAGGAAGGAAAAGAATACATCACTGAACATCAATATAGCCAGGAATATACAAGACATACCCTGTGTTGGTTGATTGTTGTTTGGAATAGAGCGACTAACATCATCATCGCGTTTCTAAAGAAATTTGAGTCATTTTTTAGGAATAAACAGAGTTAAATCCTACCTTTGAAAGAAACTCATCATGTTCGAATGATTTTATCGATCTATTCACAGAAAATAATCTAAAGCTTCAACGACAAAAAGCCTTCCTCCTACCCTTGTTGCTGTTGTGTTTGCATGTACTCGTTATATCGTAGTTCAAAAGCTTGGCCAATTGTTGTAATCACATCTAACGATTCATTTTCTTTACAAGAAAGAACATGACATGAACGTTTATTCATATTATCTTTTGCCACATAAGCTATATAATCTTTTGTATCCTAAAAAAGAAACTTCAATCAAATTAAACCTACTCGACAATCTTCTTACGTGTTCACCAGCACTTGCAAAGGAGATTCCTTCCATTTTATGTGAGTAGAATATCTGCGAGTCACTTGAACGTTTCAATACAAGTGAATCAGTATTGATTGTTAACTGAACAGGTGTATGACTATGTGTCAGATTAGGTTCGGCTGAAATCATCGATTGTGTTACTGATGGTGATTGTTCAGGCTAGAGGAATGAAATTTGAAAATAATCAAAATCCTTAATATGTATCATATCATACTCGACGTCGATCTTTGAACGAAATACCAACTGTTGCACAGACCAAACGAATTGAATCTCGAGCCACTCGTGTACGACTATCAAAATCCAATGTTTTCATCGAACAAAGAACTTCTACTGATCCGAGATACTAAAAGAGTAAGAAAATAAATTGACTATGACAATCATTCGATCTGTATAGGTCCTACCGTAACACTATAGCTGACACCATGACCTGACAAGAGATCTGTATCTGAATGTAACCAACGTGTATCATCGTCCATACTTGTCATTTTCAATGAAGATAAAACCATTCAAAACACAACAGAAAAGCAAAGATCAAGTTGTAGTCAACAAATGAACTTAAGAGAATGATTGACACTCTAATTTACATAGTCTTCCTCCTCGTCGTTTGTGTCGAGAGGGTAACAGAAAGAATGGATGGTCAACATTTTTTCGAGTTAGATATTTGCCGACAATAGATGTCAGACAATTCCTGATGTTTATTCTGTTCAACGAGAGGAAAAGACAAAAAACGATCGAGAGAAATAATGAACTACATCCGACGTCAAATGAAGACAAAACATCACGCTAATTTTCACGATGACAACTGCTTTGAATTGATCCCGTATCTGATGATTGTCTTCCCACTTAGATGCAACAAAACCCATTGATTTCAATTAACTGAATATAGATTGATCCTCAACAGTAATCCTCTCTTGCAAATCCTATCAGTTAGGTTCTTAATGATGGACCACGCATCGTTAGCAGAACGACAATCAAATCCCTATGTTGATGTTTTTAATGGCATTGTTTCTTACAGATCTTTTTCGCTGTCGTACTTCTATGGGAGGAGGAGGCGCAGGATGGTGATAATGATTTAGTTTCGAAGGAAGCAAATAAATTACACATTTTCACTTTACATTAATAGAAAAAGGAATTTGAGCGTGAACAATTGACGTCGTTAATAACGAACATGACAGCCGATTGTTCCCGCAACAGATTCCACTTGCTTTTGGTTATTTATTACTGCTTGAAATTATCTACTCTTGAATAAATTTCCATGCAAAACTTCTGTCTGGGATCTGCTAGATACAAATATATTATTTTGTTAAGTTTTCATCTTTTCGTACATACAAATACACGCACAAAAACAAAGAAATTGTTTCTCTATGCATAAGAATGAGATAGTGAAAGAGACACTAAAATTTCGGAGTCTATTTCCATGGTAATTTGAATGGTAATTTTTCCGTGATTGTATTTAATGCATTAGTTGCCATTTTGACTGGATCGAAGTCTATTAGAAGCATGCGAATAAGAGTGAAATTAAATTCGACTGATATACTTACTATCATCGTCATCTGGCAATGGAATAGGTCCTTTTTTATCGGCTGTTAATCGTCCTTCGCAAGGCGGTGGAAGTGCACATGCTTCCTCTTTTTTCTTGATATTATACTGAAATAAAAACGAAGAATATCGTGCGAATCAAATCGGCATAGTTTTATCTGTCAAAAATATAAACTTAAGCCTACTAAAGTATTCTGTTTTCATCATGAAATATCTGCAAGGTAGAATAGGAAAACGAGTTTTCTGATTAATCTATTTTGATAGATTGAAACTATCGTGAAATCTTTCTGACATTGTCAATTGTTCGGTCTGAAAATATGCCGTCAGATTCAAATTCAAAACCGACGTAACGTTTTGCAGACATTTCAGAGGAAGCAGCTTTGATCCGGCAGTTCGATTCTTCTTTTTTTCGAAATAAAATGTTACCTTTTCTCGAATGCCTTGACGAACTTCTTCTCTTTGTCGTTCCATTTTCGCATATTTCGCATCGCGCTTTTCTTCGGCTTCGCGTCGAGCTTCGGCAACCTAAACATTCAACGAATTTCAGATTGGCCAAATTGTAAATTCACGAACAACATTTCACTGATTAATACAAGCGGTGAGTGGCAAATCGAACGTTAGTCAATCTGTTCGTTCTCCTTGACTTACCGTGGACTCGATCATACTTTTTCGACGTAAAACATTCGGTGTTGACGAAGGTGATGATGGCGTTGACTTCGCAAATGGTGGTACAAGCGAAAATCGTCGGGTTAAATTGGGCGCAGGTGTTGAAAGGAACAACGAACTAACATTCAATTTGTCCATGTTCCTCGTTGTGAGGACAGAATCTTTAGGTTTTCAAAAGAAAATATTAGTCGAACTAATGAAGATGATAGAGTACGAGACGATAAGAAATATATGCTTATGGTAGAAAAGAAGAGAATGTCATTCCATTCATTGAGCGTTCACTTAAAAAAGAGGAGAAGAAAGAGAGACTGTGAAGAAAACATCAAAGAAAAGAGAGAATTAGACAGGAGGAAAAGAAGGCGGAAAGTCAAAACAAAAATACTTAAGACTCATATAATTTGATATCAGAGCTGATCATTGCAAGTACACGATCCGTCCAGGACGAATAATGCGTGCGCTCTCAAGAATCCAACTAACGAATGGATAATTAGTAAACGGAATCGTTGGCCATTCAATCGAGTAACAAACAATGTTGAAAGGTTTTCCATAATGACTTGTATGTGAATACAGATGGGAAATATGAGAAGAAAAAGAAAAGACGCACATAGAAAAAGACCTTTCTTCTTGTTTTCTCTATCTTTTCAAGACGAAAATGTGAATTATTAAAGATATCTTTTGACAATCATGATAATAGAATTGATGATGACAAATAACGCACAACTAGTTATATACAACGAGAGATAGGTTTGGTTTACCTCAGGATCTTCTTCTTCATTGGCACCTTCTTTTTTCTCGCCATCGCCACCAGTCAACTCTAGAAGCAACAAAGCAAAACATACAGTTTTATTTTTAATCATCGTACGCTCCGAAGAAAGAAATTTTCTGCCTTTGTTCATTTATTTAGACGAACGAACATTATCGAACTCTTAGCTGCAAGCAAATTGACATTGTAGTAGAATGGCGACGAGAACCGCTAATCCAATTAAACCAACGATTCTATCGACCATCCTAACAATGACTTCGAACAGCAAAATAACATCATATCGAAGTTGTATGTCGTGTTTTTTTATTTCCTGTTCTATAGTATATTGGAATTTCAATATGTCAGATACAGATCGATAGGCACACCAGTCAACCAATTCTAATTGAATTGCACTCGCGAGAACGATTGCTTTTCTTTTCTTTTATTTTTCTGTTTACAATCATCTTACCTTTGACTTTATCCAGTTGGGAACCCATCATTTGTTTCATGATAAATGATGCCATGATGAATTGAAAATTATGTACAGATCTATAAACAAAATATATATTAATAAAGAACTAGAAAAAGAAAATCTACAAGATAAAAGTATCAACTAAAGCTGCTCCGACAGATGTAAGCAGTGACAAAAATTCTGTTCACTCAGAATATTAACCTTTTTTTTTTCTTTCGTCATATTTTCCTTCTGTTTCTTTCCTTTTTTTTTTCTTGCTTCCCTCTCCTGTTCTTCGCTCCTCGCTATAAATTTCCCATCGCCGTCGAGTCGGCAACGTATGCCTTTTGCACTTGTTTTTTTCATTTCAATGTCTTTTGGGTAAAGAACTATCTTATTCTACTTTACTTCTCATCGCACTCGACTATCAACAATACATTACTATTAATATGAGAAAAGCATTCTTTTTTGTGATCATCGTAATGAAAAAAGGAAATAGTAACCATAGAAAGAAATCTATAGTAGAGACGACGATGAAGCAAAGAAGAAGAAGAAGAAGAAAACGTTTAGAACTAGTGGCACTAGTAATTTTTTTTCCGTACTTGTGAATGTGTATGTAAGCCTTCCTTGTCGTCTTATTTGTTATAGGGGAAACTAGGATGTTTTTCTTTCTAATCTTCTTGTGTGTTGTATATAATCAATTAAAAATATGATCAGAAGAAGAAAAAAAAAGGAAGCTAGTCTTTCGGATCGATTTAATAGGAGCTGTCAGCAGTAGGCGAACGAAGAATGAGATGTTCTTTCATTGACTGAGATAGCTGTAACTCGTAGAAATGAAACAATCTAGGAGCCCATGTTCAAAAAGGAAATGTTATAGAGAACGAATCATGTGCTGAACGACGAGAGTCGATCAAGCGATGAGATAGTTAGGAAGAGAAAAACGCTGAGAAAAAGGAGAAAAAGAAGAGAAGAAGCAGGAACTGAAAAACCATTGATTGGCGTACGTCAGGTTACGAATGTCTCTCATCTAAACATAGAGGTCCTTGCTTCTCATCCAAATCCATCAATTAATTAAGAAAAATCTTTGACAGACCGATATCAACAACTGAAAATTAGAGAAAGAAGTTTGTTATATATATTTATCTTCACTAGATTCTGTCCGTAGAGAAATAGCTAAATGAACTTGATCTCGAAAGTTTCTTCCTTCTCCTTCTTTTTTTTTCTTCTTTCTAAGCGATTGTCTGATCGATAGAAATCAGTTGCACAGGAGAAGAAGAAAATGGTGTGAAAGAAATGCTCTGTCGTCCTTTGCAACTCCATTTTTTCTTCTTCAATTCTCTCGTTTTTCGCTACATCAACCGAATGCAATGTCATTGTTGTCGTTGACAATACTGCAACTATTTGAAAAATCAAAAAGATTTTCTCGTCTTGTTGCATGCGTTCAGATTCAATACTTCCATATCAATCACGACGTGCTCAAGAAAATGGTCAAGTAGAAAAAGATTCTGTTTATGTATATATATATTTCGTGATGATCAGTCATAGTAGAAAATAAATAAATAAAGCTTTCATTTTGCAAATATTAACATCGACCGCGAATGAGGAATCGATGAATTAATCAAAACCTTCAATAGGCCATTTAAATTTTTTATGCAATGATTCTTGTCCGCGAGTGTATTTGCCGAACTTTTCCAACGTGCATTTCTTGTCCGATGTTCGCCAGCCGATCTCGTTACTTGTCGTCGTTGGTATGGGCCGAGGCGATGGATGAACAGTGACATGTTGTTGAGGTAATTCGTTCGGATTTTCTTTCGGTTTGACCAACGACGGATCAGTGCGAGCTAATAGCGCTCTGGGCGATCGTTTAGGATCGTATGCTGCAACCTGTGAAATATTAACGAACAATAATGATTATAGAGAAAGAAAAAACAAGGAAATATGCCTGAGGTTGAAGACTATTGAGAAAACCCCATTTGTCATCGTGAGTTTTTTGTGCATAATCAATTTTCGATATATGATCTTTCCTTGAAAATACATGCAAGTAATCAAAGGAACAAATCAGACANAAAAAACAAGGAAATATGCCTGAGGTTGAAGACTATTGAGAAAACCCCATTTGTCATCGTGAGTTTTTTGTGCATAATCAATTTTCGATATATGATCTTTCCTTGAAAATACATGCAAGTAATCAAAGGAACAAATCAGACATAGTTAACTTATTTTACCAGATCATATCTTTGACCACGTAGGACTTTTTATCGTTGTACTGATCAGTTTTTGTGGATGTTGCCATTCTTTTGCGTAGTAAGAATAACAGTGAAATCGATGTGAAATGCAACAAGAACAAAAAGAAAAGTGAAAGAAAGCAAAGGAGAAGAAAAGAAATCTGATCGAAGAGAAATGGAGTATGTCAACAGAACAATAACAATGCTTGGAATACTATAAGCTCCATTTTAAACGGTGAAAGTGAATGAAATGATTACAAGAGCAAAAAGAAATTAAAAGAAACAACAGAAGATTTCAGGCCATCTGATTAACTTCTGGTTGTGTCAATCATGCCAGCACATGTATGAACGATGACGCAGATTTCCAATCATTCAGATTCTGATCACTAACGTCAATCATTTCCATACTGTTGTCTATAGACATAACTGACATCGAGAAAAAAAGAAGCGAGCATAAATTTTAATGTTTTAACAGTGCCATTAAGATTCCCGTCAGCATAGCTTGACAGTTTTCGATTTGTCTTCTAGTCGTTACGGCTTCCGTCTTCATTGATCTTAACAAATCATTGAAGGAAAAAAAATGAGAAGAAAAGAAAATGCATAACAAGAAAGAATTCCTAAGATAAATCGGATTGTTATTTCAGTCATAGTCGACAACAGCTATTAGTTGAACAGAAAAAGCGTCTTCGAATGGCACTGGAACAATCCGATGATGATATTTTCCTTGATTCACCCACGAGTAAACAGCATCGATTCTTTCCTTCTTCACCCAAAGCATTACCTATGAAACGAAATCAGGACTCATCATGTTTGAGACGATTTTTCGGCTTCATAAGAAAGATTGTTTTTCTTTTGTGTTGTACTAGGCGATACAGTTTCTCCATTGACACGACAAATGAAATCATCTTCATTTTCAACGCAAGAATATGGCGATCATGAGCGACATACGTCACTGCGTCGGCGACCAAGCGTACTCGATGAAAAAGCTTTACGTGAGGCAGATACCAAGTTAGTACGTGACCAACGCATACAAGCAATAACTCGAAGCTATCAAGTAGTTCTTGAAAGTATCGGAGAAGATCCAACTCGACAAGGTCAGATATTTATTTGTCTTGGATCTCTTCCTAGTGGAATGACTTCACTTCTAGGTCTTCTGAAAACACCAAAACGTGCCGCTGAAGTCTGTAGACAATGCTAATCTATCGAAAGAAAGTAGCCAATTTATTTTAGGCATTAGTCTTTTTTACGAAGGGTTATGAACAAACAATTCGAGATGTGGTTAGCGATGCCATATTCGATGAAGATTGCGAAAACATGGTTGTTGTCAAAGAAATCGATATCTATTCACTCTGCGAACATCATATGTAGGGAATCGAATATTTCTCTTTCACCAATATCGAACAATTTTGTTCTCCTTTAGGGTACCTTTTTTTGGTAAAGTCTCCGTTGGTTATTTACCCAATAAACGAGTCCTGGGTCTGAGTAAAATTGCTAGGTAAGTATGCATTGGTTTCTATATATGAGCTACGTAGGAAAGTGGTGTAATTTTAGAATTGTTGAAGTCTTTAGTCGACGATTACAAGGTATGTTAAACACAAAAGAAAGACAAGCTCTTCGACCGTTCATATTCTAGTGCAAGAACGATTGACACGACAAATCGCAGAAGCCATTGCCGAAGCAATTGAGCCAAGAGGTGTCGCTGTTATTGTTGAATGTCTGTAAGTTCAAAGCCGAATCACACATCTTCAGAAAATGCACCGCGAAAGTTTGTTTCTGCTTAGACACATGTGTATGATCATGCGAGGTGCACAAAAGGTTAACTCCCGAACAACAACATCGGCTATGCTTGGCGTTTTCCGTGAAGATCCCAAGACACGAGAAGAATTTTTAACTCTCGGCCGAATCAATCCATTTTAATTGAAAAGTTTTTCTTTTGTAATCTACTAGCTATATCATTCGAAATACATGTCATAAGTAAACTAGAGATGTCGAGTTGTTCTTCATCGATAATTTGACAATCAAGGTCATATTCACTTCTGTGCCCAATGACGCAGAGAATTGTTTTTCACAAATGCATGTACCTATCTAATAATCATCTATAATTAGCCTATCAATATTTGCATCAACTATCGATATACCACAATAATATGATAAAATTGAAAAACAGAAGATGATTAGCATTGAAAAGATCTCTTTGGAGAGATTTGTTAATGTTTCAGCGTATAGAGTATACTTTGTATTTGAGATATTTCGAACTACAGATACTAGAACATGCAGAAAAACAAAAGCAAACGAAAAGAATTTGTATGTCATCGAGAATCCATTCTTTCTTTTTTCAATCTCTCATTCTCGGTTCGGTTTTGATATCAGTTGATAAAAATCTCTCTTGATTCATGTGATGATACATTTGATGATGATGATGGTGATGATGATTTTCTTGTGTATCTGATTCAGTACTTCGTGATTGATGATCTTCATTAATACTATTGTTGTTGTTATTATTGTTATGGGTTTTAATCTAAACACAGAAGGATTTTCCAAAAAAACAAACAATTCCCCGTGAAAGAAATACATACGTGTTTACTGAGATGATCACTTCTCATAAAGCGTTTGCCACATATTTGACAGGCGAATCTTTTTTCACCTAAACAAGGAAACACATGTTTTTCGTTTCGATCAAAGACGAAAAGATAGTGAGTGGGCGTGTGCCATGATAAACATCTCTCTATGCGTACATTCGAAGTTAATTATCGTGCATTCTTCCGATTAGTCTTCTCTAGGGGTGGACAAGATAAATCGTCAAGCACTTCATTCATTTTTTATAATGTAGTGAAGATGAGCAAATGATCATGTGTCAAAATTTGATACCTGTATGTGTTCGAGCATGTCGTTGTAGTTCATCACTACGAGTGAATCGTTTGCCGCAAAATAACCATGTACACACAAATGGCCGTTCACCTTGATTAACATACAAAAATGAGAAAAGATTTCCTTGATGGATGACAATTACCTGTGTGCCAACGTAAATGTGCTTTGAGATGCGATGTCTTGTTGTATTCTTTGCCACAGCCGGGAATATGACAGCTGTGGATGTTTCTTTTACGTACATTGGACCCGGTAATATAACCTAAACGATCAGCTTCTCGGCAATTGGGACAATCACATTGAGCACGACTTGTTTTTGGTTTCTTTATTGAACTGTTCGAATTTGTATTGTTTGCATTGCTATTGTTATTGTTGTTGTTGTTGTTTGTCGACGATTGAGTGGTGGTGGTGGTGGTAGATGGAGAAGATGATGTGTGCGATGAGACAATCGATGGATAAAATAACCGAAATTCAGATCGGTAAGAATCATTATAGGGATGATTGGCGGAGAGAAAATCATTGTAATGTGTTGCTTGGACATGTGAAGGATATTGAACATTAGCTGGAGTGGAAAATAATGATGGAGACGGAGGTGCCTGTTGGTCATTATGATTGAGAATAGGCGGAGTTTGACCGGCTGTAAACCATGAATGATGATGATGAATATCCATCCAAGTCGGTGGTGACGAGACCGATGTTGACGAATTTTCTTTCAAATGTCCATTGGCAGTTAAGAATGAATGATCGTATGGATTGATACGTGTGAACGACGATGCGATATCAGGATCGGGATAGATGGATGGACTTGGAATGGACTTCTTCCAAGCGTAAAAGCCTGTTTTTGTCGGCGATAAAGGTGGACTAGAATTGCTTGATTGAATTTTATTACATTGTGCAGCTAGCATAGCCAATGGATTGATATTGGTCATTGTTAAATCCTTTCCAAAATAGAACAGAAACAATGACACAATCTTTTCCTCGACACACACACAAAACTCGCTAATACATTCAGACTAGTTTGTAACGTACCGACATGTTATTTGTTGTTGCCATGAAATTTGAGCTGCACTATATGTCATAGACAATTATGAAACAGTTTCTAGAGAACAAAAAGACAAGAAATTAGACGTTTTTATGTCATGTAATCAATGAGTAGGATATGTGAATCTTTGAAGATAAAATAGAGAGCTCCACCCCGAAACTACTGACTTCGAAGTAGGTTGATCGTGATAATTAGATGGGACAAACGAGATGAATGACATACGAACATATAATTTTGTTTTCTTTTCAAACCGGAAGAGAGAAAATTTTCTTTTTTCATTGGTTCTCTTAAAAAAGAAGAAAATTCTTTGTTTGACCTCGCCAAGGAAAGAGAGAGAGGGAGAGCATGCACACGAAAGAGAAGGAGAAACACACAAAATATTTTATTGGATACTAAACGAAACGAAAGACGATTGGTTTAAATGACGATACACCTGTTTTCTTCCAGCAGAAAATATCCAATTGCCTCCTGTAGTGAAATAATCAAAGAGACTCACAACATATGGAAGATTCAAACTTTCAAGAGTTTAATTTACCACTTGATCAATACTTAACGAGAAAAGAAAAGAAACCGATTGCGAACCTTTGGCTTGCCATTAAGTTAACATATATCTTCTCATCTTCGATGTCGTTATTAATCGATCGATGTCCCTGTTTACTTTATTGAGGACATTGGCAAAATTGAACTAAGACGACGACTATCTTATCATTTGATTTCGCTCGTTTCTTTGCTCATCAACATACCAATTCACCCACCTATGGTGAGGTGTGAAGCAGATTTAACCGGAAAACATCGGTAGTCAGCAGTCGTCCGAGTTTGTTTTAATTTAGGAAAAGAAAAAAAAGGATAAGCGCGACGTTTTCTTTTTGATGATTATGTTGCGATAACAAACACATCTTCGAGCCTCCTGGCACATTCATTTCGTTTATCGAATCAACTTAGAGATCAATCTTGTCAGAAATATGAGATGAACTGTCGCGAAAAAAGATCGAATCTAATTCATCTACTCAATATGCCGATGAAGTAGAGAAGAAAGAAAAGGTAGTTTAATTCGATTAATAGAAGTCGCCATGGTGTGCAACTGACTTTGTATAGACCGACTAATTACATGCACGAGGGAGAGCGAATTATCGATGTTGGAATTCGTCATTTTGTTTCTCCCGGATATTTGACTGTAATATGAAAGCAACAACGAATCTGATTCCATTCATCTATGTAAAGATCAATGCATTGACACTTTCAGTTGCATGGAAAAACGATCTTCATTCACACTTGACCAGTGAGAAAACAACTCAGTGCACCTGTAAATGAAACAAATTCGTGTCATTTTGACGCCATCTAACTAATCAGTGAGTTTGGATGATCGTCGTTTTCCGGTATTTATCGATGAGAATAGCTGACATGATGAGTTTCCTTTTCACATTCGAATGAAATAGTTAATAATAGTCGTCGTATGTCGAAGATTTCTCCATGCTTTTAGTCTGCAATTGTAACTGTCAAACAATTTTGGAAAATGGTGACTTCCGTTAGTTGCTTTTTGCTGAACGCTTCCTACTAATCATCAAGACTTTTTCTTGTCTCTATCGAAAGTATAGAATAACATTCGAGAAATGAGTCTGACCTGGATGAAATGATTATGTCATTATGGTTTTCTTTTTCTGTTGTCTACCTTATAATTATATTACCTCTATCATTATGTTCTTATCAATAAATACGATCGCTTTTTTGTTGTCATATTGATTGAAATTTGCTAGCAGAGGGAAAACGAGCGAGTGAGAGAGAGAGAGAATGTCACGTTTGTCTTTCTTATCGAATAAACGAAACATTTTCCGATAGCAAATGAGAAAATAATGTTCGGTGAGGAGAAAAGTTAAGAGATCAAATTATAGGTAACGATGTGTAAGTAATTTAAAAGCAGCACAGTTATCATTCAATGCAGAAGCTTTGTCATTTAACGAAAAAATGATTTATTTCAATAATCTTCTTTGAAAAGCAAAACTATTTCACATAGAGTAAGACAATGAACATTTGAGATTGGTTATGTTCGTAGAGATCAGCTTGTTCAATCGATGTACAAATGGAATTCGAATAGTTAAGATAAAATAATCCTTACTATTGATGCCACGTTGAACTAAATATTAATATTCGATAGAGAAAAACGAGAATACACTATGAGAAAACTTTACCAGTCATGTAGTCAAATAAAATAGAGAAGAATTCTTCTTCGAGATGTTCGATAGGTGTTGATTTGTAATCTCCTAAAGCGAAAATATAGATGATATGCTACGATAGAAACTAGTCGACTAACCGATGGAAGTGATGAGTAAGATTAATACCAACGCTATTTCCTTGTCGTTTAGATTGAGTCTTTGTAAATCGCTTTCGAACGCACGTGTCAAAGAGAATAATTCGAAGAAAAATGGAAACTGCTGTTGAATATATTGGTAAAATGGAGAATTAGAAGATAAATTCAAATAATTCCATGTACTATTTGACGTTTCTGATCGCACTGATTGGATGCAGAAACACATAAGCATAACTGAATGAATAGATTGATAAACTAAAGATGTTTTATCTTCGACATTGAGAGAATTGAAATCTTCGAGAAAAATAGATTTGATCGTTCATTAATTGACCAACAAAATCAAATTACTTGGTATTCCCTCAATAAAATTCCTCACACAAATTGAATAGTGATCAAATTGAGAGATGCACGCAGCCCATAAATCATTCGTATCAAACGACCAACTTGGCAGATCCTAAAAAACTAGTGAATTGATTTCTATGTAAAAGAATGGATTTCACTATACTTTGAGATAATTACGATAACTCATTTCCATTTCATAGATCTGTCGAAGTAGTTCAGACGAAAGCAAATTTTCCCCGCGTAATGACGGTGATTGTTGAATACAAGCAGAAGAAGCTAAAAACAAATAGAGTACAAACCTAAGAAGAGTTTTTCAGACGACTAGAAACGCATCAATAGACAAGCAAGACTTGATGGACTATCACCAATTTGATGTGTTCATTTACTTTCGCGACTGTGTGTAGTTTTCTTTTTCGGATTGTTTAAATTTGATGTTAATACATGAAATAATCGTGACTGAATCAATCCATGACGTTGCATTTCAACCATCTTATGTTTAAACAGATTCGATTGTCTTCCAATGCGCGAACCTTCAATGGACATTCCAACTGAAAGACACTTCTGAAACCGACATGCACGACACAGATTTCGTGTTGAAGTATTCACTTCACAATTATTTCGTTCCAGACATTTGTAATGTTGGGGTATTCGTTCTTTAATCATTCGTCGGAAAAAACCTTTGCAGCTCTAAATAGGTTACAAAACTATATAAATGACTCTGACAGTAAGTTCGTACTTCACATGTTGTGACACCAAAGTGTAGTCCGGACGAGGCATCTGTGCAAACGGCACATGGGATACCGCGGAAAATATCTTCAATCTTTGGGTTCGAACGTTCTTCTGAAAAGAAAGATCTCGTTTGATTGAAATATATAAGAATTCGATCGAGTGATTTACCAGTAAGCGTCATACCAATAGTAATACATTTAGAATATCGACAGAATTGACATTGGGTTCGTGTTGTACGTGTAATAGGACATTTCTTGTCACGTATGCATCGATATTTGAGATATTCACCATTAACAGATCGAAGGAAAAATTTCTTACAGGCCTCACTACAAAGAACAACATCATCTGCTCTGTGAAAACGAAACTAATTCCATTTTACCATGTAATCGAGCCGCAATGCCATCCACTAGCATTTTCTCCACAGACTTGACACGGTTCAGAACGAAAATCTTGAAGGTAAGCCGCAGCAGTCGGCGTCGTTGTTGTTGTTTGCTCGCTATAAGCCATATATGCAAGTAATCACGTATGAAACGATCGATGAACTAGCAGATCAGATGTTTCTTTCTCGGGAGAATTTAGTGACCTTATTCTCTTCCCACTCTTCGCATCAATATACAGCAACACAATGAGTAATGTACTTTGCGTTCACATCGTCGTTTTGGATATGCATGTATGAGAGAAAGTGATCATAAAAATGAAGTCTATAGATCATACGATCTGAACAATAAATGAGTGAATGTATAGATTTCAAAAGAGAAGAGAACGAAAGGGAAAGAAATTGAAAATTTGCATGACTCGATCAGACCATTTATCGTGATGATAGTCGAATACAAACAACATTCAGATGGATATCCATTGTAGACAAGGAAAACGCATCGCTTAACGACTGAACTCATCGTTGCAAACTGAAGTGCAATATATATATATATATATATGACTTTCTTCCCATGAGACGAATTGACCGATCGTCCAACTCCATTATGTATTCATTCTGTTCTTCAGATAAATAAAAAATATAAAACACCTGACAAATACTTAATAGATCATTTCATTTGTCCCGTGTTGTCCGTAAAGCACACGAAACTTCGATCATTTACACGTTTTCTATGAATGTGACGAAGTACCTTTTTGATAGAATCAAGTTTGCCTTTGCAGTTTCTTGAGGGTTGGTGTTTATAAGTTATACATTTGACATAATTCATATTATTTATTTTTCTCCTTCTCTAATTCGAGTTTAGACATGAATGCAGCCATTACAGAAAAGAGAGACAAACAAACAAACAAACAAAACGAAACCTATATAACCAAAAAAATGAAAGCACGTTTTTTTTTTCTACTTTTCTATTTTTTCATTTTTTTCATTGGGTTTGTTTACGAAATGTTTTGTCAAAAAAAAATAAAATAAAACATATCTTATATCACGATGTGGTGAGTACATAGTGAGGAAAGGTTGCCTATATTGCAATATATATAGCCGGCAAAATCTTCGATATTTTCATCTCACTCGGGACAGGCATGTGTACACAAAGGATACAGGAAATGTTTTTCAGATAGCTGATTTTCGTTGAAAATTGTTCACTAGGCCACTTTTCAGACTGGCAGTCACTGCTTCTAGTGTGTTAATTTTCATCTGAAGTTCAGCGTTGGTTCGTTCGTATTCTTGGCTAGAATTTAGAAGGAAATATAGAATTGAATGATACAAAGTATGGTTATTTTTCCGTACCAGCGGTGATCCATATCACCAAATTTTTGTTTACGAACAGCTCGAGAAATTTTCGATGCTTCGTTGTTTTTCCGGCGTCTTTCCAGATAATAGGTTAAATCATCTGAATTTTTGATATCTTTCGCCCGGTTGACATTCCGAGATTGCGATTTTTTAGATCGGGTTTCTTCAGGCGCCATCGGACCGCGTGCACGTGATCGAAGTCGAGAGGATTTTCGACACGATTCTTGTGCTTGTACTTGGGTTCGTTTAGAAAGGAAGGCATGATCATGTTCGAATGCATTCAGAGCACTTTGGCTCAACATATTGGTCGGCTGTTGTGGCGGTGGTGTACGAAAAGAACTCATTGGTGTGTTTAGTACTGGATTACTAGATTCAGTTCCGTATTGTGACTGGAATATGTTGTTTGGTAAGAGTTCTGGTGAAAGTGGTTGTAGTTCCGAAAATGACGATGATGAACAAGGCATTGCAGGTGGATTCGATAAGAGATCAGGGTTGTTGTTGTTGATTGATGTCATCAATTGATCGAATGATTCAGATCGGAGCTAAAGTCGGAAAGTAAGTTTCTGAGTCATGCAATGTAATTGCGCAATAGCTTGTTTTTTTTTACTTACAAATTCACTCAAAGTTCGTGCATCGAGCAATCTATTGGAATCGATCTTTGCTAATTCATTCATATCAATATGTACATCATTGACACCAGCTTCACTGAGTAGTCTTTGTAAAGTGAATCCATTTCCACTTGCAAATAGCTCGTTCCATTTGTCAGTTGATTCCGAATCTATTAGGAAAGAGCACATTCACAATAGTTTACTACACTTCGAACGTTTTCTAATTATCTAACCTTTGTTAAATAGGCCACTTGTCTTCAGGAAGGAACGTAGTTGAGTACTGATGTTCGGCCAAAACGAAGGAAGTTGAGTTGCTGGTCGGTTGCGACGACGTGTTGGAGTTTCCTCTTCCTCCAAAATCACAGTCGAAGTCGAATCCGAACGGGTCAGCGTCCCATGTGTCGAATTGTCCGAGCTCGAATGTGTATGCTGTGTTTCGTTTATCTGTTGTTGTTGTTGTGGATTCATATGACTGCCGTGATTCATGGTAGGGGTCGACATTGCGATTGCGTTTGTCGTCACTATGAAACATGCCCGTGTTGTCGAATCGACTAAATAGCAGCGCGCACGATGCTTTTTTTTCTTTCCTTCTGTCTTTCTCTAGACGTGTTTTTCTTTCTGTTCTGTCTTTACTCGTCAAATACTCTCTATCAGCGTCGAGAACGTAGTTGTATAATTATTAATAGAAGGTAATATTCTGAATAGTATTTATAAGTGCTTGCATACAATATCAGCCAACTTCAACCAGCCTCCTTGGAAAACTTTGTCGCTTACAACAACTAGAAGAGACTTACTTTAACTTATATCTAAAATAGGAATAGATATTGTTGTTGTTATGATAAACCAAAGATATTTTAAAGTCTTTTATATTCTCGATCGTTGTTAAAGCGCTTTTTAATATGTTTCTACCTGCATGAAAAAAGTCCATTTTGGGTTCTATATGTGAATGATAAACCCAAGTCGATCGATAAAGTAGAAATGCGACGTTGCGCGGTCTTTTATGGGAACGTCTCTCATTGCCTCCCCCTTCTCTCTATTCTATTCTCTTCTCTTTTTTCTTACTATGACATCAAAATTGGTAGAGAAAAATCGCAAGAGAAAGTGACGCGGGGAGGGGCGAGAGCGAAGATGATATTGTTGCCTATAGAAATGAATTTCGTAAGAGTCAACAAGGATACTGAAATATTTGTACTTTCTTTGGTCCTGTACCGTGTATTTATACATAATAGAAATCAGATCTCATGGAAGAAATCCCGTTTTGGATAGATACACAGTGGGGAAAATCTAACAGGTTGTATTCATTATCCATTCAGTCATCAAAGGATATGGATTTTTCTCTGACTTATGGCATCATTGATTGATATATCTGAGAGTATTTCAAAAAGGTTATCTAGCGATGAGAGATTTTTACCCTCATAAATTCGACGCGTCAGGAACTCATTTGAGTCAATATTTACAAAACGTGAAGGGCAGAAAAAATACGTCATTCGATAAACAAATAGTAGAATCACTAAGAGATTAAAATCTATTTGTTGAACAAAATGCGCTACACACAAAAACTATTACATGACGTCAGCTTTACGTAATTATTCTATAAAATGAGTCAGGAACACAAGATATTGCGAAAGATCGTGTGGGAATGCGAAACGCTTGATCTAATCGTCCATGTCCTTATCAAAACAGAATAAAAAACGAGCGGTGTGGGCAAATATCGTAGCTGTAATCGACTTGTTTACTTGAATATCTTACTAAGCGCTCAAAACGAAGGATTGTTCTCATCCAAAGGGAAAAAACCTAACGATTTTCACACAATCTTTACTTCCTATCGAGTATGAGTCAGAAACGCAGAATAAGTGCGATAGTAATCGTATTAAAACAAAAAAAACTTATGTGATTCTTCGAACTGTTTCGAACCGTTTCACATCTCTGCAAGTAAATCATGGCAAACGAATGCTCACAAAGCAACCATGTATTTGAATACGAATCGAAACCGATTGTAACTATACATACGATCGATCGATGGTCTATTCGAGAGAGTCTCGAACCATTCGAACAAAACGAGAAGAAATCAAAACGAAAACAACGAACTGTACATGAAAAGCCCGATATTCACCAATGGAATGTAAGTGGTGTTTACTTTAGTTTCGTTATAATAGATGACATTTTCTCTTTAGGTTGATGATGTATGCTTGTTTTTCATATCTGTTCTCGGAACAACCTGTTATACATTGCTAATTAAGGAACATTTGATCGATGGAACAGCACTTCTTCTACTCGAAGATAAACATTTGATGAACGTTTTTCACATGTCACATGACGAGCGAGTGAAGTTACTTCGTAAAATTAAAAAACTAAAAATAGATCATCCTCTTACTTGAGAGTTCAAATCGAATAACAAATAGTTTTATTTTTTCTGAAATTTTCCTTGTAAAAAAACACGCGGCACACAAATATCTTCTTTTACATTCACTGTATCTTTGAATACATATGACAACTCATCAATTTGAAATTGACATTCATTTAGTAAATTGGTTAGATATTCAATTGAAAAAAAGTACGCACGAGTACCGTCTTGTCGGACGTAAAAATTTTCGGATAGTTTATGTTGTCTCTGCCGAGCGAAACGAAACATTGCATGATCGTATAAGCCATAGTCACGAAAGAGAAGATACCCGCCAGGTTTGAGAATCTAGGTTTACTTTTCATGTATCGAATTTTTTCGAAAACTACACAATTCTTACTCTGTGAATTTTTTGAAGAACGCATAGCATTTTCTCGGGATGTATGGCAGATAGAACAAAGATCATTGAACAAAAATCGATTGAGTTTTCTTCGATTGGGATATCTGAATCAGCAGTTAAATCACAAACAAAAGATTGGATGCGTTCGGGATCATAGTTGGCATTTTGACGAACAAGATCAATGGCAGTCGGGGAAAAATCGCAAGCATAGATGAATAGATTCGGTAGTTCAGTTAATAGTGGAAAAAGGAAATTGCCAACTCCACAACCAACTTCGAATAGTTTAACGGATTCGTTTGGATCAATATTAAATTCACGCAGTGTCCAATGGCGATCTTTGAAGAAATTATTTGTATTTCGTTTGTAGAACTGATCCCAATATTTCTGAGCATTCTTATCGAATAGATTCTGTTTGAACACCGGCACTTGTTGACGTTCCTGTTGTTCCGGAGAATATAAACAGGCGTGCTCGTCGGCAGTGATCACACGTTCGGTATTTGAACGTGAACTCTGAATTGCATCCGAGATATTACTATCAGTCATATGATCTAAAATTTAAAAAAGAATCTATAGTGAGTAACATCAGTTTCATCGTTGAAGAACTAAACAAGTACGAGAGAAAAGTAAAAAGAGTTTATTTCTTGTCTTCATTTGATTGCAATGCTTCTTCAAGATCTGGCATTGGTTCATCATCGCTATCGACGTCAATATCATCGAGATCTTTCAAATCAGCTGTAGACGCGCCACTTAAATCACCGCCCATTTGTTTCAACATTCCATCTGTATAAGAAAAACTTAATCGGAGAAATTTTTTCGAAAAGATTCTTTTACCTAAATTACTCCAATCCTTTCCGCCCAAATCACTTTCATCGTCATCATCATCTGCAGATCAATTTTTATGGATGTTGAGTAGTTAGGAAGATTGGAATTACCTTCGGCATTGAAATGATTCCAATCGATGTTGATCCATTGACACTAGAAAACTGACGTGGAGATTGTCATAATAAACACAAATGATTGTTACTTTATCAGTTGATTTGATCAAACGCTTCCAAAATGGTTTCTTAGAGTCCTTTTTTTTCAGCATGAATTCCCAATGATTTTGACTTGTTTTATGATACTTGGATGCCTAAAACATCCTTTGATTTTCACTACTTGCACTCCGTTAATCAACATACATTCGGATCGATTTCATCGAAAAATTCCAATGTTGTATCGTACTTTACTTTTTCCGATTGTTGTCCTCTGGAATAGAAAGAGAAATTTCGTTCTTCAGATTGTATCATGTTCATATGAACCTTTACTTGAAATGAAGTTTCGTCGGTTCGATATTAATTTCGGGTTTTTCGATGTCTTGCACAGCAATCGTTAAGAGAATACGATCTTTCTTCTGACCCCATTTTATCGATGGATGTTGATTGATCCTACAAATGTCAACTTATCAAACTAATTTCTTCGCAAATTTCAAATCTTTCACATACATTTCTTATTTAATTTGAGTGTAAAGGCAAGAAAAGAAATAAACAACAGTTGCTATTGGTCTAATCGAACACACCAATAGCTGCAAATCTATTGTATACATACTGCAATACACTACGCACTGTACTAGAATAATCTTTAAGCCCTGTACGATGAGTCTTGCTTCGTTAGCAAATGATCCTGAATTACAAAAATTCGTTGCTGAAAAAGAACTTGAAAATCAATTGACTGCTCAAGTAGATTGCCAATGAATTAGAGACATATCTTCTGCATCATCGTCTATTTCTAGGTTCATCATTTAACGAACGTATGTTTTGATAAATGTCTCGAATCAAATGGTAACTTGAGTGAACTTTCAAGTCGACATACAACATGTTTGCAAAACTGTGTCGATCGATTTCTTGATTGTACGACGTTAATCACGAATCGAACAATTCAACGTATTCAACAAGGACGCTAGAAGATGAAAATAAATGATTCTTTCTTTTTTTGTTTTTCATAGAAGAAAAAAAGGCCATGTTCTCGTCAAGCAGTGAAATTTTAGGATCATTTCGTACTTTCATTGCAGATATTTATCGTTATCAATGGCATTTCGTGGTTTAACACGTGGTCTATTTCAACTTGTGACACATCGACGATTGTACTCATCGATTTCAACACAAGTTTTTGCTCGAAAACCAATCGTAACTAATCAAAGATTTCTTCCATATCGATCCTTTTCGTCCGTGCAAACCAATGAGGATGCTTATCAAGATTTGAATCGTTTCTTGGATAAAGAAATCCAATTGGAGAAAAGTGCACAAAAACATCCCAGCACATTGCCAACAATTCAAGGTTTTCAAGTGAGATCCCATTGGTGTCTGTTAAACATACAATATCAATGAATTTAGGTACAAAGCAATGGTCCGGAAGTAACGTTAACTCGGCAGTCAGGAAATGATAAAGTGACGGTGAAATTCAATGTGACAAACACTGTCAATGCCATGGATTCCGATCAAGATGCTGGTTTAGATGCTGCCGGTCAACAAAAATTCGGTGATGAAACAGCTACACAACCATCATCACAGTTGAAATCTCGACCAACATTTAATGTTGATATCAGTCGTGGTGGACAAACATTATCATTCTTGTGTTCCTATTTGCCACAAGATTATCCTCATGCGCCAGAACTCGGCCAAGTCGGAGAGAACGAACATCAACGTGGAGGACGTAGCGATCAGGAAGATCAATTAGAAGATTTTCAAATTGATGAATTTGCTATTCATGAAGGAGAATGGACAGAAAAAGTTTACAGCGCTGATTGTGCTGTTATTGATGGCGAACTTTATGATAAATTACTCAATATCTTAGAAGAACACGGTATTGGTGAAGGTTAGTATCATTTCAATCGATTTTTCTTTTCTAACAAGAAAAAAACATTACATATCTCATTCACTACTGATTTTCATTCCTTCAGTCGAAATAGACAATGAACCAACTTGACGAGTGTTTTCTTTTTACTTTCGGGCTATAGGCTAACTCGTATATATAACCATGAATGTTACTGGTACATCAAGTCATTTCGTTATTTTTATTTTCTAGAATTCGCCAATCAATTGATCGACTATTCAACTGCCTACGAACATCGGCAATACATTGGTTTATTAGAAAAACTTCAAAAATTCACCAAAAAATAGAATATAAACAGAAGTTAGCAATCCAATAGAGTTTATGTTCTTGAAATAAATAAAAAAAAACGAATGTCCTTACATGATCTATCACCTTCATGTGAAGAAGAAAAGATTCCTATATGTATCTTGTTGTTTTTCATTTTGCTAGATCTTCTTATCATCATGTCAATCACCTTCTTCTCTCTCTGTGCTATACTTTGCATATCAGCAATTTCAGCAGGTATTCCACCGATGGTTATTTATTCAGCGGTTATCGAAAATCAACAGGATCATCCCGTTCAATGCAGCATTACGTGGTCAAAATATCCAGGCGATCGTTTAGAACGTACTTTGTTCACCGTCGAACGTCAACAAGAATATTTTGCTAACGAACAAAGAGCGAAGGTAGACACGATGGTGGTACGCGCAACAATCGAAGAAATTCGTTGTGGAGATTTAGTGCTCAAAGCTCCATTAGGCGTAACAAAACCATTCGTTACATGGAGATTTGCTATTCGACAAAATGCAATCGTTCCTGTTGGACCAGTTGAATAAATTTTTCATTGTCTTCTCTTCTCTCAAATACTTTCAATAATTTTCATTGCGAATAAATGTTAGATATTCAATAAGTTGACTAACTCATGTCTCATTCATTTTCTCACGCCTGAATTTTAGATTCGATCATATGTTGCGATACAGTTTACTGTCTGTGCGTCGTCCATGTTTTATCAATGGACTCGTTCGACGAACTCTATTTGGTCGAAGAAGTACGACTCAGAAGATCAAAGATGATTTTGACGAAGCGATCATCGAACAGCCTGAATCAGTTCCACAAGCTGCTATTCCCACAGTATCAGAATTAGCATCTTACAAGACGAAGCAATACATCACGCGGCTAGTTACTTGTCGACCGTACACACCACCGTCCAATCTCGAACAAATCATCTATCGTATTGCTAATGAAACCATCGATAATTTCAAACAGGAAACTCGAGGCGATGATCATTGGAAATCGGTCTATCTAACAAATCCATTGAATAAATACAATCTTCTAACTCGATGTATGAAGGAATGTTCACATACAATGTCGAATATGTCTTTGAACGACATCAAAACTCTGGAAGATGTTTATCAATACTTTGCAACACCAGTGAGCGATGCCAATGCCTTAGAAAATCTACAACAATCGCCTGATCTGCCGGCAAATGTTCATATTCAATTAGATGCTGTTCGTTTTACATCGGAAACCAGTGGATTTTTCAATGGACTCGATGCATTTCCACAACGTTCAACAAAAGTCGTGGATCTATGGTATAAGAAGAAGTATCCATCCTATCCGAAGAATGAAGAAGATCCATTCAAAGACAATATTTACTAATGGTTTTTGCTGTAGTCAACACTTGTGCGTGTTTTATGTCATTAATAAAAATCAAATCAGCACATGTGTGAAGTTTTGTTACAGAATGTTTCTTGTTCAGCAGATTTATTCATTGACTCTCGCATAAATTGCGCAAATCTTCTTCGCAAATTGATGGTTATCCATCACATAGATCATATTTTCGACAACTTTCCTACCACCTTGAGCAGCAGGTTCGATGGCATTGGCATAATCCATTGGATCATTGAAAATCGTTTTAAAATCGATTACAGGTAGTCCAAGCTAGAATGACAATGCAGTCATAAAACATACATTCGGTCAATTCACTTTGGTAGCTTCGGTGATGATAACGTCGTTCAATGCAGATAATGCTGGTCCAGACATCTGCTTTTGATTAGGATTATCAAAATTTGGGCGATACATTGTGCATACAACAGTGGGAATCTGTCGTTCGCTGACATGTTTTAACATTGCGACATATTCCTGAATAAGATTCCTTACGAATCATAGAAGATATTTAATTGATCATACCTCCTCGAATTCCTTTTTTATCTCATCCATTACTATTAAACCTTCGCCAAGATTTTTCACGGGTGTGCTCAAACGTTGCATATAGGCAAGCGCATCATTTCCACCTGTGTGCAATATGAAACATTGATTCTTTTTCAACTGATCAAAATCAAGACATACCGATAGATATGAATAAATGTGTGGCATCTTCAGGAATTTTGGTTAGTTGAGTAGCTATATGTGAAATGGAGTGACCGTCGACAGCAACAGACGTCGCTTTCCAGCCCCGTGCTTGTGCTTTAGCTTTTAGTTGATCGATTATCGCGAGCTCTCCTTTGGCTACATAGAATTTGTTATCTAGAGTGCTATCACCAAGTAAGACTAGATGAGGGATGGCTGCACCCATGCTTTTAACTTAATTATGCGTAGTTTTAAATGTTTTTATATATACAGGTGTGCTGTGACTCATCGCTATGCCACGCAGTCGCTGCTTCGCTGACTCATTGCATGTGCAAAATGAATTGTTTGTTCACTTTTATTTATGAAAGATTAAAAAACATATTTTATAGCAAGGCTTTGTTTTCGTTTGCGCAATATGGAAGTTTGTCACAAAAAATATCACCATTCGCTTGTTTCTCAGTAGAATAAATACAAAAAATTGATATGTTATGTTTCGATTGTTTGTATCAAATCACCTAAAGGCACTGCATGTTGCCGAATAATGATCTCCTTGTAGAGAGAACTGTCTTCATTTGCTTCGATACGTCCTTCATCTGCAAAAGAAAGTAGGTCAAATGAAGAACGAAACATCAAGAAAGATTTCGTCATTTTACCATAGCGTTGCATTGTCGAAGCATTCTTTGATAGATCAGCCGATGTATGTCGAGATTGAAGTTTTGTTGTACTTTTATTACTTAGTGAAACTGCTGAACGTGAGCCTGAGTCAAATGATTTCGTATACCAATCTTGAGGACTCAGATCAGCTTGTAATGGTTCGCGAAAACATCGTTCGGCCAACGTTCGTTTAGCACGAAACCGCTGCGGATGAGCTGCTCGAATAGTTTGCCGATCGGCTTGGGCTTGTTCGATAATAGCTTCACACTGAATGCACCCGAAAACGTAGTCATTCTTGCTTCTGAAAGACGATTGATTAACTTACTTTTTTCGCATGGTACGCATACGATGGATCAGTGATAAGTTCCGTAATTTTCGTATTATTCTTGATTGCCTTACACGTATTTGCTTGTTCGAAATATTGTAAATTTTGTTGATAGGGATGATCCGAATATTCTGCATCACGTCCGTAAGGCGGGTCAATAAACGCTCTGGAAAAAAAAGAATAAAATTCTCGCCAACGATTGCGACATGCTTTATTACTGCTTATTTGTTAATAATTGATATGTTTGTTCAAGCAATTCTTCAGCCGCGCCATCCTTGCCATGAAGAGTTGCATCGATGAGATGAATTGAAATAGGTAACTTTTTCTTCGCTAAAAACTGTTTGATCAGCGCCCAGTTTAATAATCGAGCATTGACCGCTCGACCATTGATGAACGATAGCATATTGATCTCTTTACAGAAGTAAGCATGAAGAATCTCTCCATAAGCAAAGCCATTGGCCAGATCCCTTAACATAAACAGAATACGAATGAACATTCATGATTTGTGTGTACGTCTTCTATAGGGTATCGTTCTTCATAGGTTTCCACTAACGATTGACACATTTGAAGAGAAACTCTCTTTTCTCTCTGGAATGTCTTTAAAAACGGCCAATATTTGACTGTGCTTACCATCTCGGTATGACAACAGGATAAGTTAGATAGAGACTTTCGAGCCATCGGAGTATTTCACGAGGTGTTCGGGCAACCATATCGAAACGAATCTTGTTTGTCTTCTTAGCAATGTAAACGAACAGTTATTCATTCCTATCGTACGTTGCTAGGTTGCGACCTCTGTGCATTATTCATTTCTCGCATTATCGACGAGAATTTGTTGTTGTTTTTCAATTAATAATACACATGAGAGGAAATTTCATCGTAAATAACTTTTTTTTCAAAGAAAAGTTATCTTAAATGATTAGTCAAAATCTGATTGGTTAGACGTTCATCTTTTTGTTATTATATCTTTCATACAGAAAATCATTTTTTCCTCAACCAATCTCAAACAATATAAGAATGACAGATTCGAACCCCGTGCCAGAGGAGAAAACCTCAATAAATCAATCTGAAACCTCTGAAAAGCAACCTGTTCAAACTGGTATGAACGAAACAATGCTTTTCTGAAATGCTCTTCAACATTTCTTGTTTTCTTCTGTTCAGATGAAGCTGCACTTAATGCAACTGCTACTGCTGTTCCAGCAGAAAATACAAGTGAACAAACAAAATCTGAACGAATAGAACAAAAAATAGGTAAGCAGACAACAGCAACAAAATTGATCTTTAGCAAGTTGCCTTCTCTAGAAACATCCTCGGATGTAGAGACAAAAGAAACGGATCATGAATCAAGAGAACCTTCGAGTGAACCACAATTCAAAGATGCAGAAAAGCCAGCTGATGATGACAATAACGAAGAAGCTTGCGATGATGATAATGATTCCGAATACGAAGATGTTGATGATGAAGAAGATGAACGAGAAGGAGAAGTCGAACAGAAGAAAGAAACTTCGCCACCGAAGAAATCGCCAGTTAAAGTAAAAACGTTTTGTTTTGAAATATCGTTTTGATTAGATTGCCCTTTTGACGTAGGATGACGATGAAGAACGTATCAATATAAAACCTCGCCGATTACCGAAAAAACACGCAGAAGATGAGCATTCAGAAGAATGTGAAGATGAAGACAAACAAAAAGCGTCTTCGAATACAAAAGGAAAATCCAATCGAAAAGTACGATAGCAAAACCGATTGATAGGTACAATTCGTATTGTTTTCTCATTCTTAGAAATCAGAGAAATCAGCCGAAGAACTCGATGGAGATAACGACACACGGAATCCAGCGTATATTCCACGAAAAGGAAGATTCTATGAACATGATAATCGGACAGCAAATGAATCTGATCAACCAAAACAGTTTGTGTTTGAAAGGTTACTTTGATACTTTAAAATAAATCGTTCTTTTTCATTCTAGAGAGAACAATAGAAATCGAAATCGTGCTTATAAAGACTTCGATGATAGATGGCAACATGATTTATACCGTGGTGATGACGATGACAAGCCCAGTTCTGGCTATTCGAACTACCAAGGTCAAACATCACAACGGGGAGGTCGTGGTCGTTTCGGGTAAGTGTCAATATTAAAAAAAATGAAATACTAATGTTGTCTGAATCAATGAAAGGCGTGGCCGTGGTCGTGGAGGTACTGATGGTGGTGGAGATCGAGATCAATTACATATAAATGACTACATACCACCAACGTACCAAGGACGAGGCGGTCGTGGCGGCGGTTTTCGGCAAAAGCATCAATACTATGATGAGGGAAAAGATTATCGTCAACGATCCGCACAAAACGACAAACCACGTAATGATCGTTCAAATAATTTTAATTTCGACGATTATAATCGTCAAACATCATCATCGTATCGAGGCAGAGGTGGCGGTGGTGGTCGAAATAATTTCAACGAATCTCAAGCACCACCTCGTCGGCAACGAAAAGAATTCGAACACTATCAAACTGACGAACAATCAGCACCACCTCGTCGACAACGAAAAGAATTCGAACATTATCAAATTGATGAACAAACAGCGCCACCTCGTTACAATCAACAGCAATCATCTGATCAGTCGTTCCATCGTGAAAGAAATTTTACTAATAGCCAGTATCAGAATCGTGGCGGACCAAGGGAAAATATTAGTAATAATCGAGACGATCAAAAACGAACAGACGAGCTGCACATTTCCACATATCAAGATGAGACTCAAGGCAAAAATCGAACACAACGACGAGATAACAACGAACCGCCTCGTCGACAAGGAGATAATAGTAATAATTATAATAATCGAAATCAAACAGCAAACCAACAGCAGTATCAACAGTCAAGACACAATGATAATAATAGTTCTACGGGCGATCAATTCGGTCTCTCAGCTGATGCACAAAATTTTGAACGTCCTAAACGATATTCAAATATGCGTAACAATGCTCCTAATTCTGGACCACCATCACAACAACAACATCAGCAGCAGCAGCAGCAGCTACAGCCTCAACTGCACCAGCAACAGCCCCAACATCGTCAGCAACAGCAGCAGCAGCAGCAACCACCACCACAAATACCAGTGCAAGCGTACCAAGACCAACGCACTAATTTTTATGATCAAAGTTTGTTCTTTATGTAGATTTAAATTCAATGTCAAATCAAATAATTTAGATCGTTGGCAACCACCAACACAAACGCAGCCCCCGCCAGCATATATGCAGCAGCAACAACAGCAGCAGCAGCAGCCGATGATACCATCACAGATGTATCATCCCCAGCAGCCTATGCCACCTCAACAATATTACGTTCCTACTCAATATTCTCAACCTACACAATTCGTTCCTATGAACTATCCGCCAGGCCACATGCCACAACAAGTAAACATGATACCGTAGCTATGTAAAGAAATACTTTTGAATATCGTTGTTTTACAGATGCAAGAAAACAAGTGATCAACGGTCATCTGTTCGAAAAAATGAAGTATTAGTGAAGAAAATATAATTGAACACAGTGAACAGAGAGGAACTAGCTCTCCGTTACAAAATGTTTGATGTATAATTGTAAGTCAATATTTGAAAAGTTTCCTCTAAACATGTCACTGATCGATTTCCTCTTCGTCTATTTTTAGTTCACTACACTTCATCGCCATTATACACAGACTCTATTTTTCTTTTTCTTTCTCATTCATTTTGATTCCTGTTACATGTAATTCATCTCGCTTTTCTTTGTTCATTTGATTTAATTTCAATGATCAGCATTATTAACTAAGAAACGAAACCTTCGGAAGTATAAAACGAACAAAAGAAGAAAACTATTCGATCGGGACGATTTAGTCGTTAATGAATACATCCGATTCAGTGCTTGCGTGTATTTGTATTATTTGTTTATTTAAAGTCTGTATCTGTATGAACTCATTCTCCACTGGATTATTATTTTGTGTGTTTTACTTGCGCCAAGTCACATTGGCTGCTGTGTCATTCATTCATTCTCCTTTTTTTTTCTGTGTTCTGTTCGTTTGTTTTTCTTTATATATTCGTGCTTTATATATATATATATCTTTATTATGATGATCACCGACTATATAACTAAATAGTCCTTGTGACTTTCTTTTTCGCTTGACCTTGTCTTTCTATTAGTCATATCAAATGGCATTTGCAGTTGGTAACACCATCAATGGTCGATTATCCTTTTCGAATAGCGGACTATAGCAGTTGTTTCTCCCTCTCTCTCGCTCTTTGATCAACAAGAAGGCATTTGTGTTCTCTATTTTCACACGCAGAATAACGACATCATTTACTTTGGTCTAAATGTTTTTCGATTAGTGCATTGCCATTAATTCGAATTCATTTCGTTGACAAAAGAAGAGGTCTGCAACCGGCACTACTACAAACTTCATCGAAAAAGAGGAAGTACTTGAAATCGCATCTTATTATTCTCTTCTTCTTCTTCTCCTGATGTCAAGAAACAGGACAGCTGTTACATACAGTTTCAGCTTTTTTTCCTTGTCTACTCAGATAACTCTTTCGACAAGTCAATCGTCGACAGATAAACGACGAAGAGATCGATCTTATTTCTAAAAAAGCAAAACCCTATGGATGTTGCGTTCTAATCAAATGATCTGTATTATCATTCTGTTCTATTCCTTAAAATTTACAAGTAAGTCGAATATTCAAAGGAATGAAAGAGACGATTTCTCCCGTCGATCAAATTTAGTCGCAGGTGAGCATCAACGTAGGTTGTTAAAATATTTATTAGAAGAAAATCAACATAATCCATTGGAACGACCGGTTTATAATGATTCTCATACGTTGACGGTGACAATGAATTTAGCTCTGCAACAAATCATTGATTTCGTGAGTGAAAAATGTCTCGTCGATTGAAATCGTTATTCTTTGAAAACTCTTAGGATGAAAAGAATGAGATTCTGGTTTGTAGTGGTTGGTTAGTTCTTGTATGTATTTCTCTTGTTTCCATTCGAGGAACAACTTCTACATATGATCTTTCATTAAGACATGGTATGATTATAGTTTACAATGGAAACCGGAAGATTTTGGCAATATTCAAACTATTCGTTTGCCTAGTACACGAGTTTGGACACCGGATATTATTCTTTACAACAGGTAATAACGAAAAAATGTTGAGAAGAACGTTTTTGAAATGACCATTCTTTCAAAGTGCGGATGATAATTTCGAAGGAACAATAAAGACTAATTTAGTTGTTCAATCTAATGGTAGCATCCTTTTTGTTCCACCGGGCATCTTCAAATCGATTTGTACATTTAATATTGCTTCATTTCCGTTTGTAAGTGTAAACAGATGTCAAGTATAACCAGGTGGGTTAGTAATATACGCATACATTTGTCTTTTTTCGGATATCCAAAATTGTACATTAAAATTCGGTTCGTGGTCATTCGATGAATCTTGTAAGTAGGAAGAGAATCTGTTCTGACTGTGCTAATTCAATAATTCTCATTCACCATTGAAGATGTCAATTTAACTACTGAACATAGCGAAGGCCAATTGGATGCTTATGTCAAGAATGGAGAATGGGATTTGCAAAGTATAAGATAATTTGACATCGAATCCTTTCATCGGAGATGTACTTGATAGAATTTTTTGTCATACGAGAAGCAGTTGTGTACGAGTGTTGTCCAACTGTCTATCCGTTCGTTTTATTTACAATACAGATTCGTCGACGTACTCTCTATTATGTTATCAATATTGTTGGTAAGAGAATTCTTTCTTTTACAACTGAATATCTCTTTGTGATTTAGTTCCATGTGTATTGATTAGCTTCATGACTGTGCTTGGATTTCTCCTGCCACCGGACAGCGGTGAAAAACTGACACTTCGTATGAAACTAAACTAAACTAATGAGATGGATATTTCGTTTTCTGCTTCTAGAAATAACGATTCTTCTCTCGATTGTGATGTTTAGTCTGGTAATCTCAGGAATTATCCCAGCTAGTTCAACAGCGCTTCCAACTATTGTGACATATTTCACGACACTTATGTGTATGTGCACGATGTCTGTCGTAGCAACTGTTGTCGTGCTTGCACTTCATCATAGAAACGCCAAAAATCATACGATGCCGATATGGGTAAGGTAACTGCCTATGACAATCAGATATGTTTTGAGAAAACAAGAACAGTTGTATGACACATGGACAAATGTTGTTATCGCAAGAAACAATTATAAATTGATATAGATTTTAATCTGTCATTTCAAGGCAATTTCAAAGAGATCTTGTGCCTATACTTATAAATAGATCGATTCTTTTTCATTTCTGAGCTCTTCTGTTTTCTTATGTGTGTTTGTGTAGCAATCTGATCTCAATGTAAGACGCACCGTTTTGGCAAGAAGGAACTCTCCAAAGACTAGTTTTCAAAAGCAATCTATCAGCTGCTGTCATAATCTATAATGTATTAAATGACATACCGATATAAATCTGTTTTTAAGTAGTTCTATTCTTTATTAAGAAATATTTCACCTTCTTTAGATTCGTGTGTATATTAATCAATATTTAGCATGGTTTTTGCATATGAAACGTCCAGGTCATGATTTAAGTTGGCGCGCCATTCGTCATCGAAGGTTTCGTCAGAATGAAAAATTGAATACTAATCATAGTATGACTTTGAATAACAACTATAGACTCCCATCGACACCATTACTAGAAAATTCATCAAAATCTTTACTAGCTAATATAACGAACACCGATGATCAATTGTATGTGCCAATGTTCAATCATATTCGTCCTTGTACATCGGATTCTGATACGAAAGAACCGTTACAGCCATGTGATATGAACTATATACGTTCGAATATTCATTCGATTCTGTCCGAGCTGAAATTCATGGCTGATTCTATCCGACGCGAAGAGGAAGAAGATGACATATCACAGGATTGGAAATTTTCAGCAATGGTCATCGATCGTTTATGTTTGATTTCGTTTACTATTATGACAACAATCTTCACCTATCTAACACTTTTCTCTGCGCCGAATTTTTTTCAACTTCGATAAAGATTATATATATATATATATACGTCTATTATCGTGGTTCTTATCTTTTTCTTTTTGGTTTGTTTTATGTATAGTGTATATTTATAAACGTGTTTGTTTTTTTATATAAAAAAGAAAACTAGAGATTGATTCATATATGAATTGTTATTCTTGTCAGAGAATACTTTGGTATTTAAAATGATGTGTAGGTAAGAAGAAGACAAAAAGATCGTATTACCTATTTTTTTCAGGTTTCATCAATGAATAGTTGATTGCTGATTCATCGTTTGCATGAATAAGAGTTCAATTTCCGTTTCAGCGGAGTATGTTAGCACTATTCTACCAAACAGTTGAGTAGTTCAATTCCCTCGAGAATGCGAAATGACTCAATATGGACGAATGACTAATCGATGAGAAAGAAGTCAATGTCGTCTTTGGAGAAGAGCAACAGTGAGGATAGCGAGTTGTGCCTTTTTTTTAACAAGTTAATTCACTCTAGATTGCTGACTCGGTCTTGAATTGAAAATGAATAGAACGAGTGATCTTGTCACGTCGTTAGACTATTCAAACGCATCATGCCGTTTTCCATTATCTTGATGTTGGTGAAAGGAAAATACAAAGAAAGACTTCGTTAGTCAACTAACTTCTCGTTTTTCCTTCTCCCTTCTTATTCATCATGCACCAATCATTAACGAGAGAAATACTCTAAAGATGAAGAAGTCACTTTGACGGCACCGACAGTGAAATTAACTGAAAGAAGAGAATAATAACTCATTCATTGTTTTCCCTACGGCTGTTGTGACTCTTGTCGATTCACTATCTATGTAGTCTTTCATATTCATATTTATTGAGCTAAATAGAGGATCCCTTTGATTTAGAAAATTTGCAAATAGCAACATCACGTTCTCGTTTTAATGAGTAAACTATCGACTTCATAATTCGTCATAATGAGAGTTATGCGCCGTTAAGAAGAAGAAAAAAGAAACTCTTGTTAACACAACCGTGCTTTTTTTGCTTCATCACCACTGAAATATAAAAGTTTTTGTTATTCTATGGTATCTACATCTCGATTAGAATTCCGAGTTTCACATAAATTACAAATCAAATCACTTTGAGGTAGAAAAAGAAACGAGACCTCCCGGTTGATTTGAATGCACATTTTCTCCTGTCCGATTGAACTAATGTACGTTGTGTAACAATTGATCTGCTGCAACTTCTAGGTGATTTATGGCACGTCTTATCGACAATTTAATCCATTTTAACAATCGAACTGACGATGTAAGTAAAGAATAACATATTTGTTGTTTTCCTACATCAATAATCGACTTTCATTTCTATACACAGACTTCTACAATGAATCATAGGGTAAAAGACTTACAATACACATCTTCTCTCTTCTTTTAACGCTAACTAACTTTTCTCTCTCCTGATTCGATTTTACTAATGAACAGACGTCACATTTAATTAGTAATGTCTTCATTCGCATATGATTCTACCGAGATAAAACTGATGTTTGCTATCATCTTATCGATTTGCATAAATTGTGCATCGAAGAAATCGATAGTTCAGAATGTCACTGATGCTAATCGTCTGATTGAATTAGTTTAGCTTAGCGATGAATATGCATCAAATCAGTTGTCTTCGAGGAATTTCTATGCCATTTGAATATTTAGACAATGTCATCATCGACCAAGATGGGTTTGGTTAATTTACGTGATTTGGTCGAATCTACTGCACATAAATGGTACAAAGAGAACGAAAAAGATTCGATGAAAGCCAAATGGGGTAGAACTTATAATTGGAAAGAACTTGTTAAAGAAATCGATTGGAGATCGTTAAAGTTTGCTATAGAGAAAAACAATCTTTCCTTCAAGTTACTTTTCTCTTTTAGAGTTAGACACGATCCAGTTATATACAACGATCTTGCAATTCCTGGTGCACCGAAAAATCACATCTTATTTCGTTCCACATTCCTCAATGATACCAATCGTGAACAAGAATATAACTTAAAGGCCGAACGACGTACCGTCTCGACATGCTCGTTTTCAATCTTCGAGGGATATACCACAGAACAATGTGTTTCATTAGAACTCGAAGTTCCTTTGCCCAAGTGTGTCTTGGAGGCGAGTACTGGTTTCCGTAGAGAATACACAATCGAGCAGTCTAAAGATAAGCAAATTGAAGAAGAATTGACATGGTCAGTGGAATCAAACATTAAAGTAAGTTACATCTAATAAACAAGATTTTAAGATTGTACTTAGAGTGTGCGAAATCGGGAGTGAGGATAGATTAACCGAGCGAGAGAATGAATATCCATTGTTGATTAGCATGATTATTTCAAAGAAAACCGCGATCGATTTGTGCCATTGTGCCAGTGATGGTATGGTTGATGTACCATCGACATTTAGAGAAACGATTTTCCCGCGGAAATAAGTTTCATGTTCAATTACACATTCTCTAGGAATGCTAATGAAATCTTCCATTCCAAGATAAGTCGTATATGAAGAAATAGTTTGATTATCTGATGCATATTTTCGATTTCATCGGGCACTGTCAATTCATGAACATTAATTGGCAATTTTCTGTTGATTAGATTCCTTGTATGTCTCAAACAACAGCTGAATTACTTGTTCAAGAAGATGAATATCATGGCACATTCGAAATTAAATCGTACTTCTTCGGAGAAATTCACGTTAAAGTTTACAAAGATTCTCAAGAACTTCTCAACTTAGAATTTGGCGATCTGGAGGATTTGTTTCCACGTGAGAAAGGCTTTCGAAAGGACGCTCGAGGAATCTATCGTATCACTCGTGGCGAATGTAAAGCACGTTTTGGTGTCTCACAAAAAGTTGAACTCCACGCCAAACCATTGCCCGGTGCCGATCTAGCTCTTCGTCAATCACAGCGAAACTCTCTCGATCAGCAAAACGACTCGCGAAAGAACAGCGTAAGAGACAGTTCTGCATCAACAGCACCTAGCACCGCTCGCCGTGAACTAATCAATGGCACAGATATTTAAAGAGAAAACAACTTCCTTTTTTTTTCATTAATATTTCCTTCTTATCTGTGTATTTTAAATCTAATCAATTTCGATTACAAACAATGAACAAAAATATGACAATATACTGTGAGAGATTTCTCTTTCACCAAGGTATGGACTTATGTACAAACCAAATGACGTGCTCATCTTGATACTAAAGCAAAAGAAAAAACAAGTAGTGAGCCCTGGAAGAGTAAGAATGAAACAAACGGATTTTACCTTTAGAAAACTTTTTTTGTATTCAATGGGACCACGTAGTGGTTCTCGAGATGAGTATTCGAATTTCGTTTCATTTGACTTGTTCGGATGAAGAATGAATTCGAAATAAACCCGACTGAAACGACAAAATTACATTCACATTAGAAGGAAAAAAAACGATCTAACGTACGTTCCATGATATGTTGCTTTTGTTATCACCCCATTCTTCGCTTCACGCGTCATCCGTCGCCAACTAAGACCGGTTTTCATTTCAGGAATTTTAATGATCAATCGAACATAGTGTTTCGAATAATCTTGATTAACACCTGAAAAATAAATAATGATCTTAGTTGACGTTCGAGTTTTTTCACGTTTATCATTTACTGGTATTCGCTTGTTTGATCGATTCATAGGTTAATTCATCTTCCTCGGGTTCAGCTTGACTTAATTCCATCGATTGAATGTCAGACATTTGTGCCAAATCAGTCATATTATTTGCTTCATCAAAGAGTAATCTCGTCCAATTAAAATCGTGTTGCACGAGTGCAGACAGAAGGCAAAGTGAACACACAGATCTTGATACAAAATGTCGCTAGAAACTTGTTTTATCTACGATTATAGGGAAGAAGAACAAAAAAAGAGGAATGCGAACAATTCTGTTCAAAAAAACAGAAAAGAAAAAGCACGGATAGTTGGGCTATGAAGCAGAAATAATTGATGCTGATGCCATTCGAATCGAACAGAATTCTTCGGAATAGATCAAAATGTACCTATGCAAGAAAAAATTATCCGGATTTTCGATAATTGAATAGAATTGATCACAGAATTACTCCGACGAAGAGAGTCAACCGTGTAGACTGATTATAAATGGCTTTGGTAAACTCAACTGTGACTTGATTTAATATAGCGAACGACTGGATATTTGATCGGTGCATGTCGGTGGCAGTTATCAGTCGTTGTGTCAACGATAGGGCACGTCGTGATGTTGTTTTTTCATGAGATGACATGTTGACAAATGAAAGTATTGTATATTTGAATTCAGTGAAGTATAATATTATCTACACGAGTAAAAGGAATTTCATGAAGATTCTATTAAAGTAGCGTGAAATCATATTTTGCATTCTGGTTTCTTAATGGAGAAAATTAGAAGTTGTCTAGATTGATTAGGTCATCCAGGGTCAATGAATAAGTTTTGATTGATAAGTCGAGTCGCCTGATATTCAGAGAAGTCAGAAAAGAGCACGGATATAGTTAAACTATTCATAGAAATCATCTTAAAACGAGCAAAAATGAATTGAAAATTCATTGAGTGAAGTTAGATGGCACTATGCGTCAATATTGATTATAGGTGGCGCTTCGGAGAAAAACTGTTCAGTTCGAAACATTGAAAACTGTTTTCTAGCTCGGAAAAACCTTACTCTCTGTGCGAAAAATTTCTTTTAAATCTTCCTATTGATAGGATAATAGAGTCACACTTTTACCGTTTCCTTATCCAGCTGTTTGTTTTTTTGGTTGGTTACTTTTCGATATTTTGCAAAAGAAAACATTTCTCATAGAACATGGTTCTTTTGAGTGCTGTTCTAATTTTTATCGTTTTTAATATTGTTTTGTCCAAACCAGTCGTTCCAAGAGATCCCATTTATGGTCAGCCAGAACAAATACATCTGTCGTATGGACGTAAGACTCAATTTGTCCACAAGAATCTGTCATTTTGCATGTAATCATTTTAGTGGATCCATCGTTAATGATTGTAACATGGGTTACATTAGCGGAAGTCAATGATTCAATTGTGGAATACGGTCAACTTGATTCGTTTGATAAACGTGCAATAGGATCCGTAAGCATTTTTCAAGATAATGGTACTGAAAAACGAATTGAATATATTCATCGTGTGGTTCTACGAGAGTTGATACCTGGTCAAAAATACTGTACGTACGAAAATCTTGTTCGTTGAAAGGATTCATCATTAACTGTTTAGTCTACCATTGTGGAAGTGATGTTTATGGCTGGTCTCCACTGTTCTGGTTTACAGCAATGCGTAACGATTCGAATTTTGTTGTTCGCATGGCTGTTTATGGTGATATGGGAAAAGACAATGCTCAATCAATGGCTCGCCTTCAAGAAGAAACACAGACTGGAAATCTTGATCTTATCTTACATGTCGGTGAGTCTGTCTCAATTTTTCGAATTATTCGTGCTGACTCATCTCCTTTTTGGCGATTGTCTAGGTGATATGGCCTATGATATGAATACTGACAACGCACGTTTTGGTGATCAATATATGAATTCGATCGAATCCATTGCTGGTTACATTCCTTATATGACTTGTCCAGGAAATCATGAGAATGCTTAGTAAATAAATCCATTTTTCTCCTATGAACTTATTAATGATTGCATTTCGTTGACCTTTAGTAATTTTTCGCAATATGTCGCAAAGTTCAGCATGCCATGGCCGAATAATACATATGGTGGGGATGCGAATCATTATTATAGGTATGATTAGACGACATGTCGATCGTAGTAAGATGTATTTGTTTTGTGTACTAGTTTTAATGTTGGTCCAGTTCATGTGATCGGATTTTCGACCGAGTTTTACTATTACTTGGAGTATGGTTTTGAACAAATTATCAATCAATACAAATGGATTGAAGAAGATTTGAAAGTAAGTAGAAATAAAAATTGCTTGAATAGTGAAGAATTTTATTTGAATTATTTAGGAGGCGAATAAACCTGAAAATCGAGCAAAACATCCGTGGATTGTTACAATGGCACATAAGCCAATGTATTGTAGTAACAACAATGATGATGAATGTTTATATGCTAACGGTTACATATTCGTACGTATGACTGAATGGCAAAAAAATGAAAGATTCAAATTTCTCTTGTCTTTCTTTACAATAGATCCGTGTTGGTCTTCCATTCATTCAAGCATTTGGTTTTGAAGACTTATTTGCTAAATACGGTGTGGACTTAGAGTTCTGGGCACATGAACATAGTTACGAACGTTTATGGCCAGTCTATAATTTGATGGTACGGCATGGAATATTTTTGCTTCGTTGATATTTATGATGAATTATTTAGGTTCGTAACGGTACAAAAGGTGCTTATATCGATCCAGATGCTCCCGTTCATATTGTGACTGGTTCTGCTGTATGCTTTAACTATCACCACATATTCTAATTCAAAGGAATTGTGTTCGTAGGGATGTAATGAACGTCACGATCCATTTGGTGTACCACGACCATGGACAGCATTTCAGAGCGATGATTACGGTTATACGCGTATGAATGTGTATAATTCTTCGCATTTATATTTAGAACAAGTATCAGATGATCAGGTAAAGTCCTCAAAAATTGCTATTCGTGTCATAAAAAATCTCCAATATCTCTTCTAGGGTGGCAAAGTTATTGATAGTATGTGGCTGATTAAATCTCAGCACGGTCCATATTCATATTTCAAAGACAAATTTTAATAATATTTATATTTATCTATATTTCGTGATAATTATTTTTGTATTCGATCACAATTCAATAATGTCTTTCAATTGATTTCTTTCAGATTTAATTAGTCTACCATCCGAAAATGACAAAGAAACGTCGTAATAATGGTCGAAGCAAACACGGACGTGGTCGTGTTACCAACGTTAACTGTACCAATTGTCGTCGTTTAGTACCAAAGGACAAGGCCATTAAGAAGCTGATCATCCGAAATATTGTTGAACAAGCTGCCGTGAAAGATCTTACTGAAGCCAGTATTTATACAAAATACATTCTACCAAAGCTTTACACGAAATTACACTATTGTATTTCATGTGCTATTCACAGTAAAGTTGTTCGTAATCGATCACGAGAAGCACGACGTATTCGTCAACCACTCTTGTAAGTAGTTTTCGTCCATGTGGAGAAACAAGTTTGCATTCTATGTTTGATCTTATTCTCTTCTAGACGACCACATCAAAATCGCCAACCAGGTACAGCTGGTGGTCAAGGCAACACTGGTGCAGGTGGTGGCAATCGTAGTGGAAACAAAGAACCTTTGCAACCCGCCAATATGCCTGTTGCTAAAAGTACGTCTTAGGAGATGAGTTTCTCTTCAAAAGAAACTTATTTGTGTTCTTTTAGCATAAACATGTGGCACATGCTCAACGGCTCGCCATCGTTAACAATGAATATTAGTCATCTTTGATTAGATCCATTTAGTATTCATTGCCGTTGTTGTTTTTGTTAATACGAAAGAGAAAAAAATTAAATAGTATAAACGATTTGAGATTTATTAGAACAATCCAATCGTATGAAATTATCTAATTCTTTATTTCTTTGCCTTGAACGAAAGTAGCCATCGCATAATAAAACACATTAGTCATTTGTTCTGAAGTGTTTATACAATGGATACCTTCATTGCGTGCAATGCTTAGGTTTCTGACTCTCATCCGTTTAACATAAGTATTCATTGGATATACTTCAACTATAGAAAAAAAAGTACATTTCTCTTTCTATTCATATTGGACCAAAGTAAGTCATTTTCGTCACATTTAATTCCGCAGTATGATATGTCAGCGTCAACATAACGAATCAATTCACAAATCCAGTCTCTCGACTCTCTTTTAGTCTCACAATAGTAGACATGGGCCTCGTTTACTCAAACGACCTACGATCAGCACAGACATGATTGAATTGCGCTTGTCATAGTGGACTTCTATATGGCATAAAGTGTCATAAAACGTATTTGGAACAATCAAAGTAGACACTGACTTGTATCAATATTCAAACTTGATGTGTACGTGTGATATCTAACGGTGCTTCATTGCGCAAACTATTTTTATGAGTTTACTATTCTATTGCAGCGAGTGGTCGTTGTAAAACTCATAATAAAAAAGCACCTGAAACATGGATTGTATGCCGTTCTTTGGAAGACAACAGAAACAAAAGGGTATTGATCCAACTACCCACAAGAAGTAAAGAAGATGAAGTCTTATACATTTATAGACGACTACGTGAACAAACATAAAAGAAAAAAAACTACTACAGAATGAAGTTTTTCTTTTTTGTTTCTGACAATTTGAGAGATGAAATGTGACATAGCGTAGACAGAGATTTTTTGTTTTAAATCGATTAGATGAACGAGAGGTATGCTGCGTCTCATGTGTCATTCATTCCTCTTCCCTCCTTTCTTCGTGCATGTCCTTTTTCAGTCGCACTTTTTTCAAAATGTTTAATCATCTGAAAGAGAGTCAGTAAAGAAAAAGTTTGTCACGCCTGCTTCCATTGGTTAACGTAGCTGAAGTATTCTCACTCGATTGCTTCTGCAAGCAAGCAAGCAAGCAAGCAAGCAAGCAGTTCTTTTTCATTTCAAGTAGATACATCCTTAGAAGAAACTATAGTAGTATCCATATATTGAATTGAAAACAAAGGAAGAAATTCAATTTAGTACTTTCTTCTTATAGGATTTCTCGTTTTCTGTGTTTGGTATTAATGAATGTGGTTTTTGCGCAAAAGTCGTCCGTCCACTACTTCTACGCTTTTATTTCTTGTCTTGGTTGTTGTTAGTCTATATCTTACATTCTATAAGAATGATTTTCCGACCAGTTTTATCAATACAATTCATCAGAACATTTCGACCGATTATCTCAATGTACGATTGAATCTCACTTCGAACACAGCGATCTGTCATTCCGATGATATTCTCATTGTCTACGTTCTCTCGACAGCTCATAATTTCGATCGACGACATATGATTCGTTCGACATGGGGCACACCGCTGGTCGGCACTTGTTTTGTATTCATTCTTGGTAAATCCGACGGTGTCATTCAGCCACGTATCGACAAGGAAAAACGACGATACAAAGATATTGTTCAAATAGAGCACCCGGAATCGTATGCAAATGTTATCTATAAAGAAGTTGCCGCATTGCACTGGGCTGCGCATTTCCATCGTTCGATACCATTGCTATTCAAAACTGACGATGATCTAATTCTTGACTCGTTGCTGGTATCATCCATAGCACAAACATTAACAAACTACAGGGCAAATGCAAGTTCTTATCTGTTGAAGCATCGGCCGAAATTAGTTCGCGAACTGGCATCGATGGATCGATCGAAGTTATTTCGTGGCGGATGGTCTATGGCGTACCAACCGGCGTTACGCTCCGGAAAATTTGGAGTTAGCGAATATGTATGGCCTCATGCAACATTGCCTCTGTATTGTTCTGGTTTTGGTTGGTTTATGTCGAAAGATGTTCGTGATCGGCTCGTTAGTGCATCTTATACATATCCGGTGAATAAAACAGCGTGGATAGGTGATGTTTTCGTGTCAGGATTCTTAGCAAAAGCAGCAAAAGTTTCGTGTCTGGGTATTGAACTAGATTATGATCAGACATTTTCCGGAAAATGTGCATGCTCTATGACGCAACGTCCGATGCTAACCGTTTGTTCGTCCACATTACATGCAGGAGGCGGAGGAAATGAAACAGCTAAATTTCACGAGTATGAAATGGCTTGGAAAGTCATTCAAGAACGTCATAATCATATTGATAATGCAAATTTTACAGGTATGAATGTTTGTTAAGCTATAGAAAAAAGATTATTTCTTGTTATTGCTGTTTTTGTTAAATCTACATTGATTTATATTGTTGATTTCTTGAAATAAAATGGTGTATGGTTAGACTTATAAATCTGACTTGAAGACATAATTATCCGACGAGGGCGCACTACACGTGTATTTACTTTCTAATTAGTTCCGTATGCGACAAACACACATGCGCGCAGGATTGTGCTCTAGGCAACCAAAGCCGGCAAAGAAAGAAATTACTTTGAAAATTATGAATTTGTTTTAAAAAAAAAGGACATTTTTGCTTGTTCTTTGCCTGTCTTAGTTACATTAAGCCATGAAAGCGCGTATCAAGACGACTACACTGTTTTCCTTTCAGTTTTTTTCTTCATTCACTTACGTTTGTTTGATTGATTAAAAGAAAAAATTCATCTGAAGAATCTGTTAACATATTAAAGTGTATCACGTGATAAAATACCGAATTGCACATAAATGATAGTAATTGAAACTCTAATTAGGTAGAGTGGTTATTCATAACCATTCGACTTTGGAGCATGCAACATTGAATAATAGCTGTATTCTTCATCGTAGCACAATATCGTATGTTTATAAAAATACCGGCTGAGATGTGTTTTGATAAAATTTGTTGTTGAATCTTTAGAAATGAATGCCACAGTATTGCCTTCGTCGTTGCATTATGTTCGATTCGTTTTGTTCTTTTCATCGTTTTATTTCGACTCTCTGAAGGAAAGAAACTGTTTGTAAACTACACTGTTCTGACGAATTTCTGTCTTGTTAATTATGTAGCTCATCATGTCGCGATAAACATTGTTTGACACAAATTGAAACGAATGACTATCGGCTATTTCCTGTTTCAAATTAAAATCTACACAATACTCGTTGAGGCGAGTTAGTTGATCTTTTAGTAAAAGATTGGAAAGAAATCTGTCTTTCTTCTTTTATTACATTTTATCAATCATTTGAGCACTGCAACAAAACTAAACGCTGAAATTGAAATTACTAAAAGTACTCAAGATCGTAATGAAACAGATCAAAAACACGAGTTGTGACATGCTCTGCTCTCTACGTTATTAGAAGAAAGTCGTACAAACTTCTCATGCACAACATTGCTAAAAAGCATTAGAATCTGTCATAAATGACAAAAGCGTTCGTGTTACTATCGGATTTTGACAGTAACCAGAGTTCTTATTGATCCAGTTTTCAAGCAAGTTTTCTTTCCACCGTGGAAAGTTGTATGATGTTCCTCTTAGCCATCAGTATGTACTGTAAACAAACTCGCGGTGTGGTTTTTCTACATAAGTTACTACCGTTTCATATTCCCAGTTCCTTGAGATTTTCTTTCGAAAAGATGGTTAACTGATTAAAACTTATAAGAATCAACGATACATGAAATAATCCGTTGTTAAAAACTTTCATGGCCATTAAGCTTCTGAAATCCAAAACTTAGTTCATAATAATAGTAATGTTTCGTAATTCGCATCCATGTTGTTTGTTCATTCACATTACAATGTTTGAATAATGAAGAAGACAAAGAATGGGTACGATATTTTACGATTGAACATGAAAACGTAAGAAGAAGAATTATTTCTTTATTGTTTGGCTTTCAGAACGAACAGCTCAATGTGTGATTTCATTGATTTATGTTCACGTTGTAACGACAAACTGGTTGGGTAGCTGACCGCTTCTCACGGTATCGATGTTTATTGACTACTCTACATGACCAGAATCTACCTCTTTTACAATAAGACACGTGCTTATATAAAGAAGATGAAAGAGAGATATGACCCAGAGATAGTATGATACAGAGGTGAGAGAATAAAGAACAGAAAGAGATGAACGATATCATTATCGTTACACTCTCCTACTCAGCTTAGACGCGCTCCTGAGCGTCTTTACAATATTAAGTCGAAGGCGAAAAAAAATGAAGATGAGTAGATAATGATCACGAGAAAGGTCATACGAATAAGAACAATATAAACTCATCGAATACACTAGAGATATCTCAACACAAAATGCGATTTATAAGCGTTTACACATAACGAAGTAGTTTTTAAAAAAATTGGGATCCAACAACTACGACGTTTCATACAAAAGATTAACATAATGACAAACACACACGCATTAATACGAGATATTCCATACGACTTTTTCTCATCCTCTTGCTTAAACCGATTAGCTTGATGTATAAAATACAGCAAAAAATATAATGAGTCAATTAGTGCACTCCTCTGTATGCAGCTTTACTTGAACGAATCTTGTGCCAATAAAATGAATCGCCACGCAGTAGAAGTGGAACACTTCCATGTCATTCTTCTCCCGGATAACTCGGCTGTTCAGTCGTTGGGTCGTTCTCGCAGCTGCAGACAAATAAAATTCTTCGATTTCTTTATTTCAAATAATTCTTTCTGGATTAATATTCCTGCCAGTGCTTGCCTACCCGATTCTGGTGCCGCCCATGCCGTTAAGGAGGTTCCTCGTCACATTAATTCAAAATTCATCCTTGTTATTTTACATACATTGCAGTCACCAATTGCCCATTGAATTTCGATTTATCCATTGATTGATCTTCAGTGTTGTTTGTGTTTATTAGAGAATCTACTTCGAGTGGATGTGCGAAGATTCACTAGCCAGAGTCGCCATGTAACGACAAACTGATTGAGTAGCTGACCGCTTCTCACAGTATCGATGTTTATTGACTACTCTACATGACCAGAATGTCTCTTTCACAATAAGACACGTGCTTATATAGAGAAGATGAGAGAGAGATATGACCCAGAGATAGTATATGATACAGAGGTGAGAGAATAAAGAACAGAAAGAGATGAACGATATCATTATCGTTACAGTATAGTGTTGCACTAACATTTCAAAATACAGTTCTGCACAGGTGCGGTAAAAAATTCGCAGTTACGCGCTAATGTGCCATAATTTTCCGCAATTACGGGCCATGGTGCGATAGTAGTTACGCCACAATTCGGTCACAGTAGAGCACATAGAAACTTGGATTGTTATTCAAAATCGTCACAACTGTAATACTCTGCTACGATTTATATATCGTTTGGATAAAATGAAACCTTTAAATTATTCTTGTCGAAAAGAGTTATAATCGTCGAAATAGAGACTATTTATTTTTTCAGTCACTATTTTCTTTTTTCTCTTCTTTGTTTTGTACAAACACAAATGTCGCATTTTTCTTTCTGCAATTGTATTTTTCACTTTCTCTCTCAGTTGATCATCAATTGTAACACATTCATTCTCTCCGATCAACATAATTTCATGCAAGAAACTATGGCGCTGATAATCCGACAAAGTCGTTTTATTCGAAACTATTCATTGAATTTTGTATCAGCTATCGTGTTAGTTTTGCTGTCGAAATTTATCTTCCGTCAATATCCTATTTCAGGATTGACTTTGACGATTTTCAACTGTCTTCTATCATCGCTCGTTTCATTCATTGTTTTACGAATTTTTCACAAATCGTCGACGAGCAGCCAGACGTCGGCTATTCGAATTCAATCATTCACTCGTACACTGATAATTTCAATATTGTTTGCAGGATCTGTCCTATTTAGCAATTTATCCTTACAACATAACACTCTCGCGACGTATCAATTAATAAAACTTCAAGTTCCTTTAATGTTAATGGTAATTGAATATATTCAACTACGATCGAACATAAATTCCCCATCGTTAACTGAAGAAAGATTTCATCGTGATTATTCGTTACCAGTTTTCGTTGCTTTTATTATCATCGCTTTCGGAACAATAGTGAATATTTCGTCCGATATACTTTTTCATCCATTTGGCGTCCTATTCGCGTGTCTTAGCGTTTTATTCAATGCATTCTATCAAGTATTAGTTCAAGAAGAGCAAGCATCAACAACATACGAACGACTGCGTTTTCTACAAATTCAAACGTTAATTTCTGCATTCGTTCTGTTTCCTTTTTGGCCATTTCTCGACGAGACATTTCCATTTACCCTTATTGTTTTAGCACACTGGGATGCACCAACTCTATTCTTCCTATGTGGTTTTCTTGCCTTTTTCGTTAATGTTAGTGCAGTTAGCTGTATCAAAGATGACACCGCTATTGGATATAATATGGTTGGACAATTAAAAACTTTAATCATAGTATTTCTTGGTTCCGCCATATATCGCGAAGTAATAAATTCTCAACAAATCGTTTCTGTACTGTTGACAGCAATCGGCTCTGTGATTTACGTATACATAACATATCAAAAGAAACAACAACTAGGATAGAACAATGTCTAATGAACTATCAGATATTCAATAAGATCAATAAACCATACCTACTATTTTAATTTTGATGTCATACAGACAACGACTATTTGAGCTACTCTGCTGCTATATATAAAAAATGACTTGGCGCGTGACTCATCGTTTCTGAATGCCTTCTAAATTTTCATTGGTTGAAAAAATCTCGTTTTTTTTTTGTTCTTCATTTTACCTTTTTTTTATATTTTAGATCAATCAAAATAGAAAAACAAACGAGAAGACCGTTTGTAATTGTCGGATGAATGAAGAATAAGATATAAAGTAGACTTTGCTTGCGCGTAAAATCAAATAGTTTCACATTAGCTGTTACTTAAACAGTCATGTTTACGTTTCGACTAATTTCACCAAGGTCAAATTGACTATTTTCAGATCGCTATTCCATGTCTTACCAAAAAGTACAGAATTTCAAATGTCGTTGTCCGCTTATCCGTCCAGGTAAGCTTATTCATTTGCTTCACATCCCGTTTATCTTTCCTCTTTATCAAGATGTTTATGGTTTGACTCAATCTCATCAGATTCCGAATACTCCATGTGATCGTTCATCAAACGATGTATTCCTCAATCAACATCTTCAGTGGTACCATAATTTTGATAGTGTATCCGCACGCAAACTAGTTCGTGCAATTTGTAATAATACCAGTCCAAACGAACATTTATTTTCATCACATGAAACTGTTCTTAAACAGAATGTTTCAGTGGAGAATTACAAATGTAAATGTCCATTAACACAAGACGGTGTATTTGGTTTATCGGATGACCATGATGTAACGAATGTACCATGTGGTGAGTGTTGTTTTGACTAAAATGAAGAATCGAGTTGTTTGACACAATGATTGTAGGACGAGCTGACAAAGAAGTGCTCTGTTTTCAACACTTACAGTTTCATCACAATTTATCATCACGTGCAGCAAAGAAAATCGTTCTAGCTCTAGTTTCATACACGCCAAAAGTCACGCAACTTTTTCATAACACTGATCTTATCACACAATCAAAATGTGCAGTGAGAAAACTGAAGAGTAAATGTCCACTTCTCTCCCGACACATATATGGTAAAGCTATTCGTTTCCTTCGACGTTGATAATTTCCATCGACTTTTCCCAGGTTTACATGAACATCATCATGTACCAAATATTCCGTGTGATCGAGCCGATCAAGATATATTTTTATTTCATCATTTAACCTATTTTCATAAAATGAACGCCAAAGCTGCAACCAAATTAATTCGAGCATTGCTAATGAATAAAGACCCGTTGGAACCAGTATTTCATTCCAGTGAAATTATCATTGCCTCGGATCAACCCCGCGGTCATCAATCACAAGAACATCATCGAACCCAAGTCAAACAGAAATCCAATAATAAAAACTACTACGAGAATCTTATGGATTTCTCTACACATGTAAGAAACACGGCACTCGTTCAATAGACAAAACGTATTTTCTATTGTCTAGTACCAAACACTTCTTAATGCAATTCATACATCCAGTTTTGTACCATCAACAGCTAAAAACTCAAGTGATAGTAAGTATTCATTCCATTACACTTTCCATCTAAAGATCTCTCTTTCCGATAGAATTCGATAAGAGTATGATGCCATTAGATTGCAGCAAATGGAAGCAACACTCATGTCAAGTGAGTCCAATTCCGCATCCAATCAAACAATACCCGCCTCTTTTCCCTTAGATAACTTATCCGTACACAACAGCAGAAATGGCACTTGCGCATGATATTGAAATCAACTCCTTTCTTACATAATTCCGTCGTTGACTGTACATACAAATTTGTAATTCTTTTCTCACGTTGTTCTTCTAGTTTAGTATCAATTCTCTTCTATATTGTCAAAAAAACAACAAATGCATAATAAACAATTCTGTTACAATGTCTTACAATGATGATCATCACGAGAAAAATAAAAAAATTCCATACATTTCTATTTCTTGTCATTAGCGATATACTAGTCACACAAACAAAACAAAAAACAAAATAGAGATATACACACGCACAGATACAAAAATCTTTGTCTCGTTCAAAAAGTTGGATCAGTATTTGATAGATCCAGATTATCCCATAGTTTGAAATCACCAAGTGCTTGAAGTTGATTGAAAAATGCTTCTTGTGTTTGAGGATCAGCTGAAGCTAACGCATCCAACAACATTGGATCAAATGCTTGCTGGGATAATGGATCATCGATTGCGAATAAACTTTCATTTAGCAACGAATCATTTTCTTCATGCATTACTTCAAGTTTTGGAGTGCAAGTGTCCGAAGATGAGGCATCCGATGTGTCGATATGAACAGATGAATTACTTGGTAGAACACCTTTCTTTAGACGTTTACGTGGTTTGTATTTGTAATCTGGATATTCGCGAAGATGTAACATTTTCAGCCGTTCAGCTTCGTCGACGAATGGTCGGCGTTCAATTTCCGTTAGCCGTTTCCATCGCGCACCTAAGTATTTCGAGATCTCGGCGTTATGCATATCAGGTGCTAATTGTACGATTTTTCTCCGTTCAAGTTGAGAGAAGACCATGAATGCGTTCATCGGTCGTTTGATTCGATTAACACGTTTCTTTGATCGTGTTCGCGTTGCATCCGAATAAGGTGTTTGGGTTGATGGTTCGATTAAAGTCGAGCCAAAACTGGATGGTGGTTGAATGTTGGACGAAGTCAACAGATCGACCAGGACTTTCGTCTTATTAAACACTTGTTCGTTTTGATTTTCTTTATTTGCTAAAACGAAAGAATAAGAAAGCTACTGGATGAGAATTGTCTACTAGATAGATCTTACTGTTTTGTGGAAGCGACTGCTGAGCCACATTGACAGGCGTTTCGAGAAGCTTTGAGATGCTGTTCTGTTGTGACGTAGGGTTGTTTTGTTGTAACAAAGCGATTTGGTTCAAGTTGTTCACTAATGTTGAAAGAGTTATTGTGTTTTGTCCATTGATCACCATCGAATTATTACTGGACAAGAGTAAACGATTGACAGTTACCGTTTGCTGTGTTGCTGATTCATTTTTTATGGGAAGATGATTATTTACAATGACGACAGTTGGTTTTGGATTAGGCGAGGTTTTGACAAGTGGTGTCGTCGTAATTGTACGTAACTTTTGAAGGGAAGCATCACCGATGTGCAATGGGTTTATAAGATTTTTACTCAGAGAAGAAGTCATTCTGTTAGCCGGTATGATGAGCGTACCGGATGATGTCGATGTTGATAAATTCATATTGACAAACTTATGAACAATAAATGGTCAATATAAATAAATTCGCATTGTCATTGTATATGGCCGGCAGCGGTCATTGTCTAATACGTTGACGGACGAATGGAAATTGATGTTTTTCTTTTTTCGTTGAATTTTTTGACCGATGTCTATTCCCGGAAATGACGTTGACTGTGTGTATGCGCGAGTGTCTGTCTTTTTCTTCCTGTTCTTCTATTCGTGTGAATGACAGGCACAGCGGACAGACGTTCTTCTTGTTTTCCAAAATGAACGAAGGAGAAAAGGAGAAGAAAGTTTAGAATGCAGGTGTCGGTCAAATAGAAGACGAGGCCACGAGAGAGGGAAAAGTGTGAGAATAGCTATTCATACATTGATGATTTGAACATCTGGCTTTGTGTTTGTGGATTGATCGTGATCAATATCATGTTGATAAAAGCGAGAATCAAAACATGAAAGATAATAAAAAGAAGATCAAGATGTCCAGAAATTCATCAGAGCGAAATTAGTGACATATTAAAAGCAATGAAACAAGTTGACCGATTGGTTTCTGACAAATACGAAAACCGTTCAATTTGAGATCTTGCCCGAAATGGGAAGATTCTGAGGTACACGATTGAACGAAGTTTACATGTTTTATGACAGTTATAATTATAAGATGAGAAAATCTTGTGTGCGACATCTAACACCTATTCTCACTCTCACTTTTATGTTACACTTGTTCATTCATTTGCATCTTGTTGTTTAATGTCAGAACAAATGAATTTGTTTCGTATCATTAGATTCGTTCTATCAATGATGATTTAATCGGGAAGCGAGAGGCATTGAAACGAAACAATGTCGTTTGGATCATATTTTTTTATGAAAATCTATTCGTTAACAAGAGAAAAACAAGATTTTACTTTTAAGCAGCTACTTTTTGTGCACTAGGTTCTTTGAGAACATGATCGAGATATTTTTTCAATTCCGGCCATATTTTATCACTTTCACGTCCATGAAATTCTTGTAGAACACCCAATTTTCTATTACAGATAACGAGAAGAAATCTTATTTTACATGTCCATCATCCTCAGAATAACTTACTTGTAAAATTCCATGATTGGATTCGTGTTCTTATCATATGTATTTAAGCGATGGCGAATGATAGCAGGTTTATCGTCTTCACGCTGAGACAATGGTTCGCCGGTTTCATCGTCTTTGCCGGGCACTTTCGGCGGACTCCATAGAAGATTGTAAACACGTCCACTGGGTAGATGAACCCATCGATCTTTCAATCGATTGATGATTTCGTCAGCAGGAACGTTCAAAGCAATGACATGATCAATTTTCATTTGACGATGTAACATCTCCGCTTGATTTAACGTTCGGGGGTAACCTGTTTCAACGATTAATATTCGAATCGGTGTTCTAACTAGATAGTTGAGTCTTACCATCGAGTAGAAATCCTTGTTCACGAAATTTTTCCAATTCGTCAACAATTGACTTCAGAACAAGATCATCAGGTAAGAGTACACCTTTGTCAATATGTTCTTTTATCGTTCTACTGTCCTCTAAAGAAAGAGGAAAAGAATTTAGGTCTCATTCATCAGTCAGTTAAAGACTAAGTACCAGATCGTTCCTGAATATGTCGACGAAATAGATCACCAACCACAATGTAAGGCATGCCATAGGTTTTTACTATTCGATTAGCAATTGTACCTTTACCTGATCCAGGAGCTCCCAAAATGATCAATCGACGAGCAATTTGAGAAGCCATTCTCTCAGCTAGTATCTAGTGATTACTATTGTACTGCTTACTTACAAACCACACACGAATAATGATTCGTTTTCTGAAGTGACTGTCTGCGCTAGCGACATCGTAGAGGTCGACAGGGCACAGTCTTTATTTATTACGTGTAGTAGAACTGATGCTAGCCTGAAAGATTAGTTACTATTAGATTCGTCTCGAGTTTTGCGATTTCTTGATGAGTTAAAATCCATTCGGCTAGTCGTACACTCGTTAAATAGTCAGTTGAACATGCAGAAACATCCCAGCATAAGTCATCGTGTGAAAACCTATCGAGTTCGGTCGGTTCATTTGGAGCACGTGCCAACGAGTCTGTTTCTATGGAGAAGTCTTTCAATAGATTATCGAATAAACTATCATCTTTATCTTCCTGTGGATTTATTGGCAGGTTCTTCTCGAGAAATCCGTTTGTTTTCGATGTTTGACACGAATAGTTCGTATTTCGATTTTGTTCAAGATAACGAAGTACAGCTGGATTGACAACAACTCGATGATTTCCATTGATATCACTAGGTGAACTTGTCGGAATCCAGTTATTGTCTTCTTCCAAAGAAACCTCAGTGTTCTTTGGTCGACTGCCCTTGTTGTTCATCATTGTTTTCATCCAGCTGAAGTCATCGTTCAGATTACATATAGCAGATGATTGTACGGGAGGAATAGAAGGTAACGATGCTAATTGGATTCTACTCGCATGATTCTTACTACCTTTTGGCCGTGGCATTTGATTTAATGAAGTATTATTCGAAATAGAACGAATTTGATAAACACGGCGCCTTATAATGACAATCAATTTGAGATTTTCTTGGAAAATAGGTCAATCTATGTAAATTTTAATCGTAATTGAGCAGAATTTCTAGTGAATAACCAACTAGCTTTCTATCGCATCCAACATGGTCTTTCTTTTTAACAATTCTTCATTAAACACACCTGTAATCTCATTACTCGACACTTCAAATAACAATATGCCATCATTAAGCGTATCTATAATAAATTAAAGAGAATGAAATAGACATAAACAACATTTTCATTTCCGATATTATTCGCAGATGCGAAGACATACAACTTTGAAGTTCAAACTAATATAGTTTGACATTTGCCTAACTACTGCTTGCACAGTCCGATTTGGATATGCGGTTAATTTTGGTATTTATCATACTTTCACACGTTATTTCCTTGATCGACAAGAATAACTTTATGAGATCATTTCGAATGACCTTTCCTTTTTCTATTTCAAGCACCAATCGATGTACTTTAGAAACATTAAAATATTGACCTAAAGGTAATAAATTAGCATCGTTATATACATTTATATGCTTACATTCATGGTAAGTTAAACTATCTTTCCATCTACTTCATCACATATATAGATTTCCTCTGGTGTTTCTTAATAGAAAAAAAGGCATGCGAATGTTTGACATTGACTCTGATTACAACAAATGAGTTTTGTTCTTCTCGTGAGTTTTAAGAGTATCAGATTTAATTGAATAGACTTGATCCGATTCGAAGAAATTAAATTCAGTGAGCTTCATTTGCTTTTCGACGATGATATTCGCGACTTAATAGTCAAATGCGATGAACGATACGAGAGTTTTCCTTTCTATCAATCCATCGCGCTTGTTTCTTGTCGTCGATAATTATATATATCATCATAACTAAGGATGTTTTTGTATGGTTATTACTCAATTTCTAACAAATATTAATGTCTTCAGTTACTGACCGAGACATTCTCTTCCCTTCAAACATAACTTCGAGTGACATGTTATCGCATTTGTTTTTCTCATTCACTGTCTAGATGTTAGTAGTCGTGCGGTTGAGTCGTGCATACTCTACTGATTTCCGATCGTAATAAGTGTCGTTATTGTTTGAGCACATATGAAGTAAGGACGTCGTTTTTCAGATTCTATGATCCATTTATAGACAACTGCGAATGTTATCTCGGTTGTATGAAGATCGATGAGTTTGATTAGACTTTGAATGTTTCTGCTGACAGCTAAGATAGAGAAATTTGCCTGTCGCCTGCATACGGTTAACAAGCATTGTCTGCCGTAATCACCGATCGTTTCTTTTCTTTTCTCGAATGATATAAATTTCATTACAAGAAGAAAAAAAAAAGTCATCTCAATCAAAACGTAGATATAGACAGATAAGCAGCGATTAGTCATCAGAAGAAATCTATTTTACTAACGTCGACTAGACGACGGAAGAGAAAAATGTGAATATTGGTATATATGTCTTTCGATTGCATGTGAAACTACTCCTTTTCTAACGTGATTGTTTAGTATCCTTTTTTTAACTTTCCTACTTCGTCTTCGGCTGATAAGCAATGAGGCGAAGCCAATCATGTATGTATATGCTCACATACATGTATATATAATGTCATAGTCGAGTTATATTTAGCCATTGAAAGTTATTAACGAGAAATATTCTTCAGCGTGTTGCTTTACACTTCAGGTAAAATCTTCATTTCGAAAAGATCTGCGCTTGCTAGCTAAACAAGACATACTATTCATATTTTACGAACATTTCTTTTTGAAGAAAATTTTCTTTTGTTATTTGATATGAATAAGAATGTACTGATAATATGAATCGAAACCATAATAGACTATTGAAATATAGGGTTACGTCAATATGTGGGCATATGCAAGAGGAAAAAAGAGACGAGGTTCTAGTTTTTGTATCTCTTTTTTCTTGCGTTCTCATCGACTACTGATGAAAAGGGAAAAAGTGCTGTGCTATTGATACAAACAGGTAATAGAATTAGTTCGTTTAGATCATTTTACCATGTTGATTCTCTGACCAACTCTCGCATTCATTTGCTTTCTTCTGTATGTTAATTAAGTTCGATGAGACAAAACAATGAACTGATATTTGAAAGGTTTTCTAATTAGATCGAATCATTAGAGAGAAGAAAAAGTCGTCAACGTACGATTTGTTTTATCAATAGCAGCCATTTGCACGCGACGATTTGTTTCTCATTCTCATAGAAAGAGAAAAAGAAACCAAAAATTATACTCATTCGGTAAGTCTGATCGATATCGATGAATTAGCCCGCCAAGATGCGTGATCGTAATTAGATTGTCAGAAGCGAAAAATCTTGAAGATAAAAGTCTAAAACAAAGATAAAAACGGAAGGAAGTCCATTTAAATTTCTGACACATTAGTTTAAAGTCGAGCGATTTTGTATTCATTTGCTTCTATATTATCTATTCAAGCATAAAATTACCCTTCGCATAATCACATGACGGTGACTCGAAGAAAGATGAATATTTTACAGATGTTTATAGTAAAATATACCAGTTGTCATCACTGTAAGAACGACTCAAGTCTAATTTTGTTATTTTCTTCTGAGTAAAGATGATCTCTGTATTGATTATATCGATTTATCTATGCATCGAAGTAATCTATTCAAGTAACAAATTAGTCCGATAAGAGCGAAAAAAAAAACAGGTTTTGTAGTTGTTTTTTTCTTCACATCGACGAATATGTTGACACGCGAGATAGAATGCGTACGACGAAACTCATCTTTCTTTTAGTATTTCCTGCCATTGACAATGTTATGATAATCTCTTCTTGAGTATGAACATTGAAACAATGTGATCATGTCGAATGGAATCATATTTAACGTACCTGAAGTCATTCGAACTTATAATGTCTCACGAACAATTAGCACGACAACGAATTACTACACAGAATCGATTGTTACCGGAACGATCTCTTCAGATCCGATCAATCCTGATATTTCACCTTTGCAATGCATCGGTTTTGCGGTATTAATATTAACTACGGTTGTTGGTAATACACTTGTCCTTGGAGCGCTCTTTCTTGATAAACGTTTGCACACACCATCGTTTTTTCTCATTGCAAATATGGCGATTGCTGATTTATTACTCGGTATGAATATTTGTTTTCTTCTTTGTTAGAAAACGGATAAATCAATCAAAATAAATCTTCATTTAGGGTTATCGGTTCTTCCGTTTTCTTCCGTACTCGAACTTCTCAATGATCGATGGATATTTGGTCAAAGTCTCTGCACTGCATGGCTCGCACTTGACGTACTCTGTTGTACAGCATCGATTATCGCTCTAATGGCTGTCTCGATTGATCGATACATTGGTGTGACACGACCGCTTACCTACAGTTTGATAATGACAACACGTCGGACGATTTATTTGATTCTTATCGTATGGGCAGTGTCGATTCTAACGTCGGTTGTACCCTTGTTCGGTTTAACTGATCGCGGAGAAATCTGGAAAAATTCGAAATCTTCACGCGAGCGCGCAGAAACATGTAAAGTGAATAAAAACACGTTCTATACAATATTCTCATCAGCCATATCATTCTATATTCCGGTTATTATTCTTCTCATACTCTACTCTCGTGTTTATCAAGAAGCGAAAACGCAGAGCAAGAAATTGGAACAAGAAAAGCGCCGTATCTATGAAATCGATTATCAATTAGCAGCTGAACAAGCTCGACAACGACAGAGCCATACGAATGGATATGTCACAAAAACTCGAACACCGTCGTATCAATCGAATGATAATAAACATGGTGCGTCAAGCAAACTTTCCAATCAAGATGCTCCTCCCGATGAGAACGTCAGTCCGGATCACACTTTGACGGGCAACGATGGTGTAAATTTGAAAAAAGATTATGAAAAGTTTAAAGTAATTGATTGATATGGTGACGCAACAATACCCTATAGTTTCTTTTTAGTCGCAGAAAGTTTTCGATGATGATATATCCCATTCAGGATCATCCATAACAGGTCATCGCAAATCGAAACATCGACACGGCGGAAAACGCTTCTTCTCTATGCTGAAACGTAATTCTCTTCTTCACACGCCTCAAGCACCACATTACAATCGAGAAATGCCACCGAATAATGAATTATTACTAATTAAACGTAAATTGCATAATCTCAAACGTGAACAAAAAGCTTTCCGTACAGTTGGTTTAATCCTGGGTGCTCTACTTATTTGTTGGTTACCTTTCTTTGTTATATTACCTGTCATGTCAATCCATGAACAACACAATGCAAGTAAAATTAGTAGCGCGGAAAATACCTGGTTTAAAATTGCATTTTGGCTTGGCTATTGTAACTCAGCGGTAAGTTAGATAAACGATCGTTGCGAATAACTGATCCTCTTTTCATCGTCGTCTGTTCAAATATAGCTCAATCCATTTGTATATGCCTTCTCCAATCGAGCTATTCGTCGAGCATTTCGTCAGGTCATATTTCGTCGATGTTGTTGTTGTTTCTGTCGAACTTCATCAGATCAATTCGATGATCAGTTTACTCGCCGACGAGCGCGTGCTTACAGTGGATCATTAACAACAGACGTATCTCAGTCAGTTTTCAAAGGAGTTCAATCGACTTCGTTCGATGTCGATCGGACAGCTTCCAAAATTGAGAAAGATCTAGATTCGTCATCTTTTCGAGCAGTAGAAGCTCCTGTTGTTTCATTTAAAGAGTTTCTCGCCGAGAAAACCGACGACGATGAGGATCGTTCACCTCAAGCTGATAAACAACCAAATCAAGAATGCGAGACTACGTTATTGAAAGAGCAACAAACGTCACCGTTGATTTCCTGAGAACTAATTCGCCTTGCGTAGCTCTATATACATATACCGGTGATCTGATGTTTTCTTTTCTGTATAGATTAATTGATTGTTTTCTCGCTTCTGCTATGACTGCTTTTGTCCATTCCAGTTACAATTTTCTTTGTTCTTTTCATTGGTCGTTTACACAAAGAGTGATTTATTTTGTTGTACAAAATAAATTGCTTGACACCATATTGTCAATGCGCACTAGAAATCCAAATACATGTCACTAGTCAACACGAATCCAATTGACCCAATACATCATTTCGGTCGATTGCTTTCACAGCTGAATTCTAATCAGGCATTTGTTGTTGTGGTAACAACCAGATGTCTCAGATTTTGATCATGCTCGACTTTGCACAAGACGCGTGATTTATATTGGATTTGTTCGTGACGTGTTCAGAAGAAAGAGGATTCTTTTAATTCAGTCAATTGTTATTTTAAAATTTTCATCTAGTCAAGTTTAGATCAGAGTATTTTAATGCGAAAATAAATGGAGGAAAAGAAGAAGAAGAAAAAAACTAGAACAAAAGTGAACTGCAAAGAAAGGAATTTTGTCCAGGACACCCACCAAAGAGTCAGGACTTGCACGTCTGTTGTTGCAAAATGACGATGAAAGAAAGTAAAACCGTTTTAAATAATCAAAAAGACTGACAATTACAAAGTGAGAGAGAGAAGAGGAAAATACACACACACTGCACAGATTGGACACCTGATAGCGTTGCGCTGATGAACGCCTATCTGATTCTCGTATATGGATCGAACATGAATGGCATATTGCAGTGCGCAGATGAACTTTCATGAATAGGAAAAAGAATTCGGTGAAACAATTACATTTAAAAGAAGAAAAGAGAAAATGGAGGAGGAAAAAAAGAAGGAATACTCTTCTATTCAACGCACAAGGTGTTTCTCAAGTAATAACGCCACATATGTTTTTCATTAGGTTAGCTAAAATATAAGTGCAAAATAGACTATTTGAAAAAAAGAAAAAAAAACAAACAAAAATGAAAAGAACGAACAACACAGAGATAGTACTCTCGACACAGACATTTTTTTTGCTAATGACTATAAAGCAATGAAAGCACGTGCATTTGAATACACTTATTTGGAAATATGCACGGACTATTCAATACACACAAATAGGAAACATACAGTACACAAACAGACCAAACAATGAATTTGAGAATTAGTCTAAGATTAAAAAGAAACAAAGATTTTGACGCACACACACATTCATGCGCGCTTGGACGCATGAGTTAATAGTATGTTTCTTGTTCAACCCAACCACCTGGATTTCGGCGTATAAGGTATTTTCGTACTTCATCATAGATGAAGATTGCTAAGGAAAACGGCATAGCAGGTATCCACCATCGAAGTCTGAATAAATATTATGTTCAATTAATCCTGTGGTCAGTTTCGAAGAGACAAAACTTACTTAAGTGGGTACATATTGAGACCTTTGTCAAGATATGGTGTATAACATAAAGCAGCAGCGAGAACTGTTTCGAAAACCAGACCGAAGTTAAGCATCCAATTTCTAGAAGATAGCAAATGTTGATGGACGCTACGAAGAAAAACCGAAACGTTCACTTACTTCATTCCTTGGTGGGCTAATGAATTTCGTCGTGTTTTACAGATGATCAAATCAGCCCATTGTACAACGACAATGGAAACGAAAAAAGCTGTATGACATGTATATTCAAGTGTTTTTCGTTGGTTATATGTCTGAACAGAAATCAATATCACGAATAAATGTATCCAATATGGCACAATTTTCTTCTTACCCATTCTTGACCGTATGAATCTTCAAGATCGTTAAGACCTTTGGATTCCCACGATTTACGTAAGCCGAGTAAACGACTGGGCCAGAACCCATTGTCAGCCATGATGACAAGATAGGTAAAGAAGCCAGCCGACGCTTGAATCATACCAATTTGACCATAAGCCATTGAAATTAAACTAGAAACAAGCGAAGGTTTGATAGAGAAAAAGAAAATTTTCATTGGCGATGTGTTCTTACCGTTCGTTGACAAGTCGATCATGTTGAGGATCTCGTGGTCGTCGTTTCATGATATCTGATTCTGCTTTTTCGTAAGCCAATGAAATAGCCGGTACCATGTCAGTACCCAAATCAATACATAAAATAGTGATTGTACCAAGTGGTAATGGAATATCCGTAATTAAATACATTAAAAATGGCGTGATTTCAGGAATATTCGATGTTAATGTATAAGCAATGGATTTTTTCAAGTTATCAAAAATCAAACGACCTTCTTCAACACCCGTGACAATCGAAGCGAAGTTGTCATCAAGTAAGATCATATCTGCTGCTTGTTTACTGACATCAGAACCCGCAATACCCATGGCAACACCAATGTCGGCTTTCTTCAAAGCTGGTGAATCGTTGACACCGTCACCTGTGACAGCGACAATTGCACCTTGACGTTGACAACCTTCAACAATAATTAGTTTCTGTTGTGGTGATGTACGAGCAAAGACGATTTCCGAATGATCACGTAATAGTGCATCGATTTCACTTGGTGACATATTCTTCAAATCATTACCATGGACAACGCAAGCTTTAGCATCGGCGCCATTGACTTGTTCTATTGGAATATTTAAACGTTGCGAAATATCTTCAACAGTTTCCTGTCCCTCAGAAATAATACCAACAGCCTTAGCAATGGCTTTGGCTGTGATTGGATGATCACCAGTAACCATAATGACTTTAATACCAGCAGAGCGGCATTTAGCAACGCTAAAACGAGAGACTTATTTTCGAGAATAGTCGTTATTCTGGTGAAATACATACGCTTCAGGTACAGCAGCACGAGGGGGATCAATCATAGACATAAGACCAAGAAAACGTAAGTTTCCTGTTGGAAAGTTTCCTGCATCTGCATCGAATTCATAACCACGTGGAAACTCGCTGGTTGGTAAACGTAAATCGCAGAAACCTAAGACACGTTCACCGAGACCACCTAATTCGAGATAAGCGCGATTGAATGCTGCTCGCCAATCTGCAAAGCAAAACGTCAGAATAGTTCTTGTTAGTCTTGATTTTTCTTACAATCATTCAATTCGATGTCCGTGCCATCAATGTAAATCGTCGACGATCGTTCAAGAATACGTTCCGGTGCACCTTTCATCACTAATAGATATCGATCATCACCATCTTGGGTTTCGTGAATTGAAACTTGATATTTGTTTGTTGAATTGAATGGTAATTCACAGATTTTTCGATTTTGTTCACGAAATTTAATTACATTACCAATCTACGGTAGAAAATAGTCGAATATATCATTCAACCAGTCTATTCTAATCGAGCTTACGGATAATTCGACGCATTTCAGTAAAGCTGATTCTGAAGCGTCACCATTACATTCTCGTTGAAGTACAGGTTTCTTTAAATTTTCTTGATCCTGTTTAAAATCAGCTCGGTTACACAACATAGCACATCGACTGAGAGCGAGCTAGAGAAAAGTCAACAATTGAAATATTTATTACGGTCGTCGTCTTGTCTTACCCATCCCGGTGCACTTTTATCGTAGGTAGCATCTGAAATCCGGCAAAGAAATTATAATTTACGAAAGTCTTGCCGAGAATAACGAATTTACTTTGTTGATTTTCAGTTGTATCGGCTTCAACAATGCGATTGTCAAACCACATGTGTGCGACAGTCATACGGTTTTGTGTCAGTGTTCCAGTTTTATCTGAGCAAATTGTTGATGTTGAACCGAGTGTTTCGACAGCTTCCAGATTTTTAACCAAGCAATTTTTCTTTGCCATACGTTTAGCTGTTAGGGTTAAACAGACCTGAAATGGTATTAAAATTTGAGATGAGCTTTTCTCGTTGATGAATCGCATCCAATACGAAACTTACAGTGACTGTTGCAAGAAGACCTTCAGGTACATTAGCTACAATAATACCAATTAAGAAGATGACTGCTTCAAGCCATGGGTATCCAAGAATGAAAGCAATAACAAAGAATGAAACACCAAGGAATACGGCGACACCAGTGATTATATGAATAAAATGTTCAATTTCACGTGCAATTGGTGTTTGACCCGTTTCCAAACCTAAATAAAAGATGAGCCATTCGCGATTGATCACGAAGAGATGGTTCTTACTCGATGCTAAATTGGCAATACGACCCATAACAGTTCGATCACCAGTACGAACAACCAAGCCAGAACATGTACCTGAATAAACCCAATGTTCATCGAGGTCATGTCGCTGATTTTCTTTTACTCACCTTCGACAGCAAATGTACTGAAAAATGCTAAGTTTTTGGTTTCAAGTGGGTTATCGTTGGTACATTCCGGTGCACGTGATTGCGGTTCGGATTCTCCAGTTAACGATGAGTTGTCTACTTTAAAGCCATGTGCACGCAAGATACGGATGTCTGCTGGAACACGATCTCCAAATTTAACCTCGACAAGATCGCCGACAACTAATTCTTCGGCTTTCAAGTTTCGTTTTTCACCATTACGAATAGCCAGTGCTTGCTAAAAATAGACAACAGGATTCGATCTATGCGACCGTTTTTTTATTGGATACATACAGGCGGCACCCTGAAAATAACAGGAAAAGAGAAAGTCAATATTTTAATGGCCTTTAAAAACAACAACGTACATGTTTTTAAATGATTCCATAATTCTCGAACTTTTTGCTTCTTGAAAATACGAAAAGCAACCAGTAACAAACACGACAACTGTTAAAGCGACACCAAGCCAAAGCTACAAATGAAAATCATATCAATTCAAGTCATTTACATATTCCATTCACTTACATTGTCATTAGGTGCTTCTTCATATGTCGCAACACTGATACCATGGGCAATAAAACATAGAACGGCACCAAGCCATAAGAGCATAGCGAAACCACCGAACATTTGACGGCAAAATTTGACCCATTCAGGTGTTGTTTTCGGTGGTGTCAATGCATTCGGACCATCACGTGCGAAAATTTCAGCAGCTTTGGCATCCGTTAGACCCTGAAACAGATCTTTCGAAATCGAGATTTGAAAACGATGAAACTAAAGCTTACTCTCTCTGGATGAGTTCCATATCGTTTGAAAAGTTCTTCGACTGGTACTTTGTGATCATCCTATCGATAGAAAATGCCAATTTATGATCAAACAAATGATAAAGAAAGATGAACATACGATTTCGAGTTCACGTTTGAGATCGTCCAGATCTTGGTCACCTTTTTTTCCTGCTTTAGCTTTCTTCTCGTTAGTCTAAAGGAAAATCAATAGGAAACGTCGTATGTCGAGTAAACAACTTCTATTTTTACCATAATTCATTGAGATAAAATATAATATTTCCAAAAAAGAAGGCTTTACTATCGATGCAGATCTAAAAAATACTTGATGTGACCAAATATCTAGAAGAGAAAAGCAAAAAAAAAAAGTAATTATATATTCTTTTCTTCCATAGCTGATTTTAGATGATGACGGTGGTATTGCTGTTGATGCGATCAGTCGTATGCAAACGACGAAAGAGAAAAGGAAAATCGAGAACAACAAGAGAGAAAAAAGAGCACTGTCGAGGAATAATCTATAGCTTTTTTTTTTGTTGCTACGAGCGAAAGAAAATCGATAAATGACGTCACCATGTACAGAAGTGAAGCTGACATGAAAAATCTCTAGTGAATTGTAATCAAGTAAAAATTTTTGTTTTTTTAACTGACAAATATTTATTAAACAAATATATAGCTGTGAGCAGAGAATAGATCTTACTCGTTTTCTTCTTTAGTTTCTCTCGTTACTCAGCTGGATCGATCATTATCAGGAGAAACGCGCGCGCACACAATCCATCGAACGATCTATTTTTTTTCTGTAACTACGAGGATTATTAAGGAAACATAAAAAAGCCGGAGAAGGAAGAATTCAAATTGACTAACCTATTCGTATGCTTTCAGACGAACGTTCTCCTTTTTATTGGACTAATTCTCGTTTGATTCTTATTAATGATTACATGGCAAATACAAAGTTCGATGAAGAGAAAAAAAAACAATACTGATTAACCAGTAACGTAGAAAAAACAATGTCAACGGGAAATATTTTTCGTTAACATTTTCCCGTGGGTAGCCGATACATCGATGAAATAAGAAGAGTACAACGATAAAATTTGAATGCTGATTATATATACGATCACAAAACAAAAAAAAACCTGGCAAGGCATTTTTTTTATTTCGTCTTCACTAAAAAAAAATGTAATCTTGCTCGTAAAATATATCACGCTCGTGTTATTTTATGATCTTTATAACCATCGTTTTTTTTTAACGATCGATACTTCTGATTTGGATAGAAGTTTTCGATCTTTACAAATACATATATGTGCATGTTTGTTGCATATAGTCAATTTTACCTTCTTCAAGATAGATAAACGCGTCGCTATAATAATAAATGTCGGCAAAAAAAACCGAGAGAAATGAGGAGACTACGAGGCCAATGCACGCATCAACATGCATATGTCATTTCTTCGACTCGTAAACGTGCAAGTACTCCGCATAGAGAATAGAGGAAATAGAGTTTTTGTTCTCAATCGAAAGTCATCATATTCGATAACGAATGAGGCAAGAGGAGAAAAAAAACGATACAGAAAGCAAGAACAAGACTTTTTTTTTCTATGAAATGACTTTTGATCCTCTCTTTTTTTGTTCCTTGATAATAACATAATTCTAAGATGGATTGATAAAAGGAAACTTATCCACTCAGCGATTGACAGATCACAATCAACAGTCAACTCTCGCCTTGTACTCGGAGAACTCACTGATAATAATGCTTTTTTTATTACAAATAAACTAGTTGAATATTACCTTGACTTAAAGAGAAACAACGAACTTATTCTACCTGTTGTATCAACATATAAGTACAATTATTTCTTTCTTAAAGTGCAAACATTCTCATTCCCAATGAGATAAACAGAAGACAAAACCGCAAATAAACTTACTACGTTCAAAACTACGCAATCTATTTTCTAAATATCTGTTAAACACGATGACTGTCAATATATTTACCATGTAAATTGCAGTTTGGGGATAATTAAAAAGATGTTGTATATCCTCTTTTTGATGACAGTTTATTTTTCCTTGTCTATCTGTCTATCTGTCACTGTCTATTGCCAATAGGACTGGTAAGAAGAAAAAAAAAACTATCTGAGAGAGAGAGGGAGAAGAAAAAAAAAACGTAGAAGACGACGATGAAACAGGAACACACGATCATGTCACACTAGATGAATTCATTACTGCTGTTATTCGTCTAACTAACCAACAGAAATATGAAGACGATAATGTAGAACTAAACATATGTGAAAGACAGTCAAAATGATGCGCAAGTGCACTCGTCTCCCACACATATACATGGCGGTTTACATCATTGCCAACATACTAGATGCAACTTCTCTCATTTCTTGTGTTCTGTGTTCTGCCACCGACAATAGTGTGCATTCGACGACGGCGACAACGACGACCAATCTTTGCGCACGCACACATTTAGTTTTTTTTTGCTTGTGCCGCTCGGCACTACTCCGCAATAGCAAAGCGAAAAAAAAAGCCACCATCACATACCAAAGTGTTTTTATCAATAGGAAAGCGAAGAACTGTGATGATGGTGTGATAGTGGCATTAGAGTAGAGAAAAAAAGCAGAAGAAAAAGAGAGAAGAAAACCGGAGAGAAGGAATCGGAAGCAAAAAAAAAAAGAAACCCAAAGAAAGGAGAAAAATAAGAAATCCACCCTACAAATTTTATAATATCAAACGCACAAAAAAAGACAAGTGTTGATAGTAAAGAAAAGAAACGAGCGCGAGAGAGTGAATAAGATAAAAAAAAAAAACTGATTGCAAAAAAAGGACCTTGAAAAGAATCAAGTAATTCAGTAATCTGATATTTCAAAGCGAAGTATATGTTTGACGAGGCATTAATATACAGCACAATAAAAAAAGAAAGAAAGAAAGAAAGAAAGATAAGCATCGATTTAAATAAGATCAAAGTATATTTCAATTAGAAAGTAAATCGATAAAACATTTAATACAGAAAAAAACACGAACGATTCTGATTACACCAGACAAAAAAAGCTCATCTGTTACTGTTAATCGAAACAGGAATCGATTATTCCGAGTAAACAGTACAATCTGTACGATGTCAACCGGGAACTATTAGAGTTAGTTGAGCTCCTGCAGATGACCATCTATCTCTCGAACTAAGTACAAACTTCTGTTTCGTGTAATCGATTAATTTCATAACGATAAATATGATATTTATTCATATTTAAATAGAATGGTATATGTAATACCTTAACGCAAATATATACTCAATTAGCATAGAAAAAGCAAAACTGTGAATATGTTGTTTTTATGGTCTAATCATTCACACATCTATTCATAGTTGTAGACCTTAATAAGAGAAAAACTGGCGTAATTGTGTCATGATATAAAAAGCTGAATGTTTTTCTTTTCTTTGACTAATTATCGTCTCAATCGTAATCATCAGGTGAAGAATGGTAGAATAATAGCACGATACTCACAATGTCAAAGAACATTTGAACTAAATTAATTCGTTCACGAAGCAATAGGATCGGTCTGATCTGTGCTGAGTTTTTCCAAACAACACATCAGTTGCAAGTAAGGATGCGATACATCATCTATGCGCATATGTTAATCGCGTCACTAATAGCAAAGTCCGCCACTTAGTACTTTTTAAAAATTAACGCAAATCGAGATTCTTTTTTTTTGCATATGACAGATAATCTCGTATTACAATGACATTTTTACAATTCTCTAAATGCAAGATAATAACTATGCGAACATGACCTTATCGTTCGTGCTGATCGGCGTTTCGGTATTTTCGTTGGTGAAATTTATTATATACGTTACAAAAAAAGTTTTATACTTTTTTCACAATATTGACGTCAGTAGCGATTTTGTTGTTCTGAGCAAGAAACCTTGCAGATGAATTACACGTCGGAGCTTTTTTCCTTCTCACCATACGTCGATGCTATTATTGCTTGCGAGAGTATACCGAGTACTCTGCTATGAAAGTGATGAGAAAAAACGTCCATCTGCTATAGAATCGATTTCGATGCATCCAATAAACTAAATTAATTCCAACTGACTTCATAGAAAAGGATCGTTGAGGTAATTTCAAGCGAAAGAACTTCTTCACTTATGTGCGAAGTCCTTTGACTGGAAAATCAGCATCTTCTGTCAAGAGCTGCAAGAACAATGGCTTGATTAGAAATTCTTCTTTTTTTTTTGTCAATGACTTGTTTATTTATCAAAAAGAAAAACACACAAACGTCTAAGAATTATTCAGAATACCATTCGGATTTACGTAGGTCACTTCGACACATTGGACATTTGGAATTTTTCTAAAATTTAGCGAAACGTTCGTGTTGAAACTTGAAAGCTAAAAATTCCGTCTTACCTTAAGCCATTTATCGATACATTTGTGATGGAATTGATGTAAACATGGAATCGTTCGTAGTTTATCATCTGCTTTGTATTCATTCAAGCAAATATCGCATAGTTTACCGACTGCAGAGGCTTTGTCTGCAGTTGTTGTTGGATAACAATCGATTAGTTGTTTAGCCAAACCGATATCAGCAAAACTTTCGTCATCGTCGTTATCATCGTCGAATTGTTCAACGTGTGCATCCTCAGAATAGAAATCACCTTCGTCGTCCGTTTCCCAACTGAAAATTTCTAGAAAAATAAGATTTCGATATTGGATTGACTCTCTTACCTATCACTTTCACCAGCATGGGCTTCATCGACTTCCTCAATGTGTTCGGAGGATGATGAAGCAGCAGCAGCAGCTTGTTGATCAGTTGAAAATGGAATTACTTGATCATCTTGATTACTCGAAGCCATTGTAGCACTTATTCGCACTGAGTTAGTATTGCCGAAATATTCGAATATCATGACTCACAAGCGTTGATAATGAATGGATATCTCCTCTAGTATTTGCCTGTATAACAGATATTTTCAATAGATGTCGATGATTTGCAATGCTCGATCACGATTTTCATTTCTTTTTTTGATTAGCGAGTTTTCCCAAATTGTTTCCTGTATGATAAACTGTCGACGGTATTCGAATTCATTGTTGTGTGATTAGAAAAACTCTCATCGGCGTGCTGTGATCGAAAATAGATAATTACTTATTCTCTAAGGACACGAAATAAACGAAGTGGAACAATAAAAAATAGCTCGTTTTCAACCAGTAGCAAGATTTATGACGTGATGTAGATCTTACATAGAAGAAGACACAAAAACATAACAATTTTTATTCGTGTGTAAAACATCATTGGGCGACAGTGAATTGATTAACAAATAGGTTGTTTTTCTTCATGCAAAACATTATTGTGGAAGGAAAAAAGTCATATATATTATACAATAGGAGGTATACGACAGATTGGACATTGATTTTTGTCCTAAACAAAGATCAATTTGATTCGATATACTGAAATCGGATCTTATCTTACTTGTAACCATTTATCTATGCACTCTTTATGATATAGATGAAAACAACGTAGTCGACGTAATGTTTGATTCTGTTCGAAGTCATCCCAACACACACTACACTTATTTTCTTCGTCATTTTTATTCTTCGCACCTTGAAATACTTCAGTTGGTAGAACATTAATCTGTTCCGAAGTTAATTTTTTGGTTGGAACATTTCTATCGAGGTCAAGTAATCTCTGCGTAAAAATATACATAATAAAGATAAAGGAGCTTCTTCGAAAAACTTGCTTCATAATCATCAGGACCAAAGTCATCTGCAGTACCCTGAATATCATGATTTCGTCGTCCTGGAAAACGCTGTCGATTAGCCGCTGCGACGGAACTGAAAAGGTTGGTGATATTGCCAGTAAGATCATTACTTCTTGCCGGACGACGAACTGTCGGTCTTTCTATTGGTCTTGGCATTGATATTATCTCAGGTTCAGTAGGTTCAAGCCTTGCACTTTGTTGTCGTCGTGCGTAATGGTTAGGTCGTTGTTGATGTCTTTGTCCTCGTTGGTTTTCTTCAGCTTGTAAATGTTCAGCTAATTGCGCATCACTGAGGATCGATGCAACATGCGAAGGTGTTCTTTTAGTAGTTGATGAACCTCTGTATGATCGAGAGGGATCGAGACTTCGTCGAGAATATTCTTCTCGTTGAAGTTCGCGAGCATAAGCTTCGTCAGCATCAGTATCAAATCGTTGACGAAGATTAAACGGAAGACGAATGTATTCGACTGGTTCTGAAATGTCCATGGGTTCAGTTTCGTAAAGATTTGCTTGTTGTTGTCGAGCAATTTCTTCGTCACTCATCGTCTCTAGTGCAGGTGCGGGATTCAATAGTGGCTAAATAAACGGAAATGTTAGTTGCTTTCAATTAGGAAAATAACTTACAAGAATCGGATCGAACAGATCGAATCCGACTATCTCTTGTCGTTCACTCACACCACGTGTTTGTGGCGAAAAAAACCTTCGGTTATCTGTCATTGTATCTCAAAACAAGTGAAAACCTTCTTACTTGTCGTAAACAAGTGACTCACAGCGTTTTCTTTCTTTTAATAACGTAAAAAACAACATCAACATGGACAATTAAGTAACGAAGAAAAGGAAAAAACCCAGCATGGAAGTCGACACTGAAGCAAAAAAAAAAAGAAGAACACCTACCATTTCGCAACGATTAGGATTCGATGCATTGATAGACGCAGTGTTTGCTCGGAAAGAGCGCATACCGTATTTGACGATTATAATCAAGTGATGTTTATCTGAAAGAATTATCCGGTTCGCTACTCTACTCACAAATTTGAATTTGAAATAAATTTAACAAAACATTGATGCATATGTACTCAGTAGGAAGAAGATGATATCTTTGCCTTATGGTTTGAAAAGATCTACTTAACAGAAAAAAGAAACCATGGCTTCTTATGAGTCCGAGAAAAAGAAGAATGCAAACGACAGTAAATATTACAAAGGCCATAAAGAAGAATTTTTCAAATGACGCGATTGGTAGTAGATTTAAAGAATAACATGTCAGCAGTACGAAGATTCGACAAAATCAGATGGCGTTCTTACGCAATAAAAATTTAGTTTTCCATCACAAAAACTACATTTAATTTACACACAAACTGCACGTCTCTCATTGATGTTCACGCAAAGAAGCAGTGTCCATGCTATTCAACAACGTTAGCAAGTCCTGTGATAATTGATCTCCACCGACCAAAGAAGAATTCAATAACGATACAAATTCATCATCCATGATAAGAGGAATCAATGATGTATGCTGCATATTATACAGTTCTCTCCGTGATTTCGCCGTCTCTCGGTCAGTAGATTCTTGCTGATATCTTGTAATTTCATCCACTATATCCGTATCGATTTTGATTCGTTTACTAGCAGATGAATCTTCTATCAATTGAAGTTTACGTTGTATTTCTTGTTGGTATTGACGAATTACAGCTGCTTTTTGTAATCTGTGAATGCGATCTCCTAAGGGCGTTCTTGATGATTCATGTTCCGAGCTAGTATTCGTACTATCACCTAAGACCTACAATGAATTCATAAAATAGAACAATCAGCGGAGAAGACATGCTCATACATGTTTCAATGTCGCATGAAGTGTTTGGCATTGATCGGTTTGTCCTGCTCCTGACGGAATATAATCAAACGGCATATCAATGATTGTAACGATAACAACAACGCAAAATAAGATTGTGACGACAATTGACCGATTTTATACATAGGTGAGTGCAAATACAATAAACAGAACACTCATTGTAGACAGATTCTACAATAGGGGATAATGTCAAGATAACATCATCTGTAATACAGTCAATTTTTAGTAGGTAGCTGACTGTGAAATATGAAAACGCTGACGTATTTTCTTCTGACGAATGACATGACACTCAAATCATGCCCAATGTGTCGATTAAACTGCGTTGGAGACAAAATCAAAGCGAGCGAAAAACAATACATTATGATCAACAAGAATCATCACAGTTTATTATTGTTATGAAAGAGATTGCTGAAAGCAACGTAGCGTAAAGGAACAGGTCAAACAAGTAGAAATCGCCTTGAAAAGTACAAGAACCCAAAGTAAATGCAAATGAATTGATATTCTTATTATTTTTATTTGTTTTTACAATAGATCCATGAATTATATATATTATTTGTCAAGTTAACAAAGAAAGTAAAGTTTTTATTTAAGTGTCCCATGTTAATTTAGTGGCGTGGTACGAACGTTGTAATGACGTTTTTGTAAAGCCAAGGTAGTCGAGTTCGGCAAGGCCGTGAACAAATCGTGCTCTGAAATGAGTTCAAATGGACTTTGTTTTTAAAAGTTTCGATACATTATCGTTCTTACAAGATCGATTTATCAGCATCATTGTCCAGAACTTCTCGCTCTTCGACCATAGTTGCGAACGACTGAAAAACAAGATGATTTGAAGAATACGGTCATTCGATTGCCGAACGAATCTTACTTCAAACCAATCGCTCAATGGTATCTTCGTACCCGATTCTGTGTAGATGCGAAAGAGCAAAGCTAAATCTGGTGTTTGTGCTTGTTTGCAATTATTCGTTTCTGTTAATTCTCGAATGAATGTGGCTCTTGTCATTGGAGTCAGTCGTTCTTGCAAGAGATAGTCAGTGATTTTCGTTGTTGAATGAGCATTGGAAGAAATAAATTCTTCGCAGATTTGTTTCAACCAGATGAACACTTGTTCTCGATATCGATTTAGTTTTCGATCTCCAACCGATCTTAATGTGTTACTCAACGCTTGAGAATCATCGGCAATTTGTTGTTGTTGTTCAATCAAAATCTTCTTTGCCAACTGACTATATTTTTTACATAAAGAATTTTCATTACAGCTATGCTCAATGAATGAATTCAAGCACGTTTCAAGCTGATAAGTAGTCGAGGAATTGACTGATAATGTTAATTCATTAAAAACTGGACTGTTGGAAAGATAAGATCCGTAGAATGATGAACGATAACGACCGAGTGGATAGTTAGGTAGTTGATTGCACGAAACATACACAGCATTGAAGAGACAAATGTTCAGTGAATGTGTTGGTGGAGTATTTGTTTCAGAAAAGGCGATGAACTAAAATTAGGAAGTCAAATTATGTTTATCGATCTTCTTCACTAACCTTGAGTGCATGTTCGAGCCATGCCAATGAAAATGTTTCGAAATAGCCGTTATCAACGAACTGAAGTTGTTCAGCTGTGATTGGAAATTGTTTCTTTGGATCATTGTCCGATAGAAATAACTAGATCGAATCGAAAATATGCATCGAAGTTTTGCTTCGAACGAACAACCTACTGATTTAATAATATATTCATAGTATTTTCTTGCGCTCGAGTCGTAGATGGTATCGATGGATAGTTTTGATGCGATACGACTTGAGACTAGCCGTTGTAATGAATGTTCACCACCAGACAAACCCAAGATGAATGATATCGAGATGAATTTAATTTGTAGACTAAAAAAAAATAAGTCAAATTTACTTTTCGTGATTGTTTTTGTCATACCTGAGTAAAGTGATCAAATTTTCAAATATGGATATGTTAATTGATTCGAATTCTGGAATTATGAAAATTAACGAACGCTTTTCACTTTCTTTTAACTAAATAAATGTGAAACTATCAATGAACGTTCTGTCGGTAAGGCATGTTATTCAAACCTCATTGTAGTTACTGACGAATTTGCTCAATTGGAAGAAAACGTTCTTATTCTCGTTGTCTTTGTCTGGATAAAACTAAATGAAATATAATCAGAGGAACGAATCGACTCTTTACAATTTACGATACTTTATTTAGTTCTGTCTTTGCCATTTTTAATATATTATGAATAGATGAATATTGTTCTGGATTCCGTAGTTTAACGATGATTGAATGGAATTTTCCAGCTACTTGCTCCTGAAGTTCATCGAACAGATGACTGTGCTCCGAGATATTCGAATCTGAAGGTATACGGAGATGTTCGAAACTATTGAAGTTATTATCGAGAGTACAAACCCATGCATAAGGCCATGACAGGAATATGCTCAAAGCATCGTTGGGTAATCCGACGAAATTTTTCATTCTTTTTCATAATATCCAGCACACTGGTAACAAGACGAGCGTGCAATTGAGATTTAACATTCGTAATCACATTCGTAATGTGATCAATACGAGTCAGATCAAGTTTTTCATGTGGTTTCTTGCTTGTTGATCGTTGCGTAGAACGAGTGATAGAATGAACTTCAACAGTAGTATCCATATTCAGATGTAATATTGATTTTCCGCACGTTTCGCTGTTTCCTTTGTTCAGTTCGATCGAGAATCGAGATATGCCATTATTGTCAAGTGCACTTTCTCGTTCGAATGGAGGATAAGTAAGAAGATGGTGCTCGATAACATATAGTCAGCTTATTAGAGAACGCGTTCTTTTGTATCAAGTAGCTGCCGGATACAATTTTCCGATTCCGTTTTATTAAGATGAGAAAAAAAAATATGTAGAAAAATATGATTCAATTGAAACCTATTGCTTCCGAATGAAACGAAAGGTTTAAAGAATTAAGAAATAAGTAACAAAAAAAAGCCCGAATGACAATTTAGACAAACTTTCTATAGCGGTTACGAACTGCTATCAGTCATTTCATCTTGATTACTGAATACCAAAACTGCTTGTTTAAATCATATATTGTAACAAATTTGTGTGAGTATGTTCCAAATGATGTTCTGAGGATAGTTTTTCTTGTGCTAAGTACGCTTGAAAGAGATTATGAGCCAATGCTGCAATTGTCACGGGTCCAACAGCACCAACAGGTGGTGTGATGAGAATACATTTGTCGCGAACAGAGTCCATGTGCACATCACCACGTATGTGTGGTGGATCGTGACTAACTCCAGCATCGACAATGACCAATGGTCGGTTTTCGGGAAGGAGATCACCATGAATGAGATGTGCCGAACCTGTTGCTGTGATGATGATATCAGCGTGACTGAAAGCTTCGCGAAGATCTTGTGTATGTATTGAACAAATCGTCACTGTAGCACCACGAGCCTTACAGAGAAGACTAACTGGTTCTCCTGTTTCAAGAAAGGAATGTCAATGTTCGTTTATCTTGCTTTAAAATAATATACGTACCAACTAGTTTTGAAGAGCCAACAACAACGACATTCTTACCATTCAACTTAACATCATACCAATCGAGTAGCCAAATGATGGCTTGAGCAGCACATGGAACAAACGATGAGTTCGGGTAGAGCAGACCATCAATATCTTTTTGTGGATGAATCAGTTTGAGTACACCACTTTGATATTGTTTCAAATGTTCAGGGAAAGGTAATTGAACAAGAATGCCATGAATATTTGGATCTGCATTCCATTCACGAATAACACGTTCTAATTTCAGTCCAAACAAATTATCATTTTCACCTGGTTGCAGTTGAACGATATGTGTTTTAAAATTAACTTTTTCTCGAAGATTTTTTTCCTTCATTCTCACGTACAATTCACTTTCAGGTTTCGAGCCAGCTAATAAACATCCCAGAGCTGGTACATTTCTATCGTCTAAATAGATGAACATTGAGATTCCACTTTCCATCGATACAAAGCTACCTACTCGGTTCGTATTTACTCTTGATTTCATTGTAGATATGTGCTGCGCATGCTTGGCCTTTCATCATAGTTGCTTGTTTGCTGCCAATTGAAAGTAAATGAAAAGGCGTTGTATTCGTAGGTACCTTTCGAACAAATTGGTAACGAGCACGAATGTATTCAAAAGAAGCGAAGTTATCATTCATGATCTTGATTTCACGATGGCGACAAGCTTCCGGATGGCCAAATTTCGTGATGTTTTCTTGACGTTTATGCGCCTTCCATTTTAAATGTTCACTGAGATTAGGAAGAATATCATTCGTGATCTTCTCCTCCACTTCATTCCATGCTGAATACGTAAAATCAGCAAAACCTGAAGTTACTGCTTGTTGAGCATTCATTGGTTGCAGATGATTGACAAGTGAGTTCGCCTGTGCAACTGATCCAAGACGAGATGGTAAATTGAACGTCCAATATTCTGAACCAAATAATCCCATCGTTCTGTAATGTGCATTGATAATTGAGTTTTCATGAATAAAGATAAAGTCACTTGCGAGAGACATCATTGCACCACCTGCTCCTGCATGTCCTCGTAAGACCGACACAACAATTTTATCCGAAAGATCTATCATAAGATATCGAATTAGATCATTAATAGCATGAATATATTTTTGCGATTGTTCAACAGGATTGTCCGATGCTTCAATTGTATTCAAATCAATTCCATTGGAAAAATATCGAAGGCTACCCAGGAGAACAACTACTTTCACACTAGCATTGATATTCTGCCTAATCGCTTGTTTTAACCGATAACAGTGATCATCACGCATAGCTCCATTGTAGAAATCCCATTGAACATAACATACATCATCTTCTACATCCACATGAATATCTTCAAATGAGAGATAGTTTTGTAAGAGAGCAGACGTCGACGGTAAGACTTGAGCTGCTGGTAGTTTGAATGGATTCTTCTTATCCAATGCGTTTTTCAAATGTGTTATCCATAGAGCACTGGTACTATCTGCACAGCTGATAAGGAAAGCATTTTTGTCTTTCGCCAGAATGGTTTTTGGAGGTGTGTGGATAGGTTTGTTCAATGGCTGAACATGGGCACCGAAGAGATACAACGGAATATTACAGATAGAATCGAGGAGACCTGGTTGAGAGTCACGAGACTGAATTTTACGTGCGATTGTACTCGCTGAATCCGAAGACCAATCAATGGCGCAGTCACGTTGTTTCAGTGTATTTAATGGTAAACTTTTTAATGAAGCTAAAGAGAAACAGACAAGTGAGTTAAGTTTGTCTCTGTAAATGAATGGATGAACTGGTCATTACCTGGTTGTTCAACACCTGGATAATGTCCAAGGAAGATTTTATGATAAATTTCTCGTAATCCTTTCATTGCGAGTGTTGTCAAAATATTGTAAGCATCGCTCTTTGTTGCTGTTTGTGGTAAATGTTGTTCTGTATCAAGTTTTTCTTCCGCCCATACAGGTCCAGCGTCCATTTCCTCAACCGCTTCGAGTATTGTTACTCCCCATTCTTTCGGTCTTTCCAACACCCACCGATCGACTGAATGGCGACCGCGATCGCCTACTGGGCCAGGGTGGACGATCAATGTGATGTAATCGCGGTAGATTTGATTCGGAATTGTCCGAGTTAAAAATGGACAAATGATCAAATCAGGTTTATGCATTTGAACACGCTCGACCAGTTTCTCGTTGGAATGCAACTCAACCATTACTCGACATTGAAGTGTGGAAGACAGAAGACATAAAGCCTTCTGTGACATCGTATTATGACTTGTAACAATGAACAAGATGTCGAGCGATTGTCGACCATTCTTTATCTCACGTTCAAGTGTTGACCATGCTGAATGAACAAAGCGTTTCGAATAACAATTGCGAAATAGTCGCCAATTCAATAAACGAATAGCGTTACTCGCGTGCATTTTGAATTGTGTCGTCTGCAATGGAAAAGCATTTCTTTACATCCTTTCATAATTAATAATATTAGGACGAGTGACGAAAATTGCTCTGCGGGATATGAAATTTTTCTCTTATGTTGATTTATCATAACCAAAAGTGATTTAGACATAGTACATTACACAACGATCGATTTTTGTACTTTACTAGCCTCGATGGAAATAGATAGTGCTAGGTCGACACCTCAAACTGTCGCATTCTGAAAGATATGAAGGTTGAAGGTAGGTAAAAGAGTAAATGGGGAAAGTTTAAACAAATCAAAGCATCTTTCATTCAATATATGGGCCTTTTATATTACATAATGTAAACTCGCAATTGAAAATAAACTAGGTCAGCAGTAACTATCCAAATATTGACCTACATTCATAAGAAAAGAAGAAAAGCTAGTACATTAAAAGATCATCTGTAAAAATCATGCATATGAACTGTATCATACAACGAAAGAAAAGAAGAATAGCCTATTTGTACTATATTATAGATACTTTTCTTTGTTCTTACACAGTGCTCGTTCAAGAACTCATAGAAGATCGCAAGAAACAACTGTACTACATATCGATGGTTGCGTTTCACTGAAAGTAATCACGCGACCTTTTGTTTGACTTCATATTCGGTAGAATGTTTTTGTCACATTCAAATACTTCGCACTCGAAAGCTGCGCAATTATACTAGAGCCTGCGCTGATTCAGGCAAATTCAATTGACAGCACTATGAATAGGATCACAAAAACACTTTTGATGAATTGAAAGAAGTACTTTGTATAAATTGCACATTCATTTAATAGAATTACATTTCACCTTTTGAAGAAATAATCGCACAGTTGGATACTTGTACGAAACTGTACTTCGAAGAGAAGGATCCTTGAAAAGTACGAAAATGACAAAACTCAAAAGCATGAGTGCAAACGCTGACAAAAACAGAGCTTTTGGTTTACACTCAAAAGTACACGTTTGAGCGAATATTTTCTCTGCTCCTAAAGTTCTTTTCTATCTTGTTCAATCGTGCAAGGAGCGGCCTCTTTCTCACTCTCATTTTCATTGGTTTAGATGATGTCACGAATGAATCAATCGATTGACAGCTTGTAAAGTAAAAAGACGAAAGTGGCATCTAAGTTCATTTGCTAATTTCTCGAGAGAATCTCGTCAAAATGACAAATATCAATGTTATCGAAGCGGTTCGCTCGTATATCAATCGAATGATTGAAGATTGCGGCTCAACGATAAAAGGGCTTGTCATGGACAAAGAAACGGTTTCGAATTCTTCTCTCGTCATAGTGCTTTCTGGAGACCTTTTCTTTTCTAGGCTTCGATTGTTAGCATGGTATATGCTCAATCGGAAATTCTTCAAAAAGAAGTGTTCCTTTTCGAACGTATTGACATTGCTGGACAGAAATCATTGAAAAATCTGAGCGCAATTTGTTTTCTCCGACCAACGGATGAGAACATTCAAGCACTAGTACGCGAGTTACGTGAGCCAAAGTATGGAAGTTATTTTATCTGTAAGTCTATTTATTGATCGCAATTACCTTTCGAAGCAAAACGTTGTTCGATTTAGATTTTACAAACTTTGTTGAAATGAGTGACATCAAAACGTTAGCTGAAGCTGATGAATTCGAATGTGTTCGAGTTGTACAAGAATTTTACGCAGATTACTTAGCCATCAATCCGCATTTATATTCTCTCAACATTCCGAGTACTTATCAAGTGAGTAGAGCAACTTTAGAGAAGATTTTTATCAAAGTTTTTATACTAGAGAAATTATGAATGGAATGAAAATCTTCTCCGTCGTACCGTACAAGGTTTAATGTCATTATTACTTTCACTACGAAAGAAAAGTGCAACAATTCGGTATCAGAAGTCATCAACAATGGCTAGATCGTTAGCTGATAAACTTTTCGTAAGTTTTCTCTGCAAAAAAAATTCCCTTTTCCAAACTTCGCAAATCTTCCCAGAGCACATTGAAACGTCAAGTGGACTTTACCACACCGAATCCAAATGATATCAATCAAACAATCGTATTGATCGTTGATCGACGTGAGGACGCAATTACTCCACTGTTGAATCAGGTTTGCTTTGCGGATAAATGTAACAAAAAGAACGAATTTTTCTAGTGGACATACCAAGCCATGGTTCATGAATTGATTGGAATCAAAAATAATCGGGTTAATCTTAGTCAAGTGCCGGGTATTACGAAAGAATTGGAAGAAGTTGTGATGAATGCTGAATATGATGAGTTCTACGGCAATGTAAGACAAACAGAAAACATTGGATCATACTCACCATGTATCTGTATAGAATCTCTATAGTAATTTTGGTGAAATTGCTACAAATATCAAAGGACTGATGGAACATTTTCAAGAGAAACATAAGAGTCAATCAAAAATCGAATCGATTGGTGATATGAAGGTGAGCATTCAAATGTTCACTCTAATCTAATCATATTTCTTCTTATCTCAAAATAGGTCTTCATCGAAAACTATCCGCAATTCAAGAAACTCTCTGGCACTGTGTCTAAACATGTGACCATTGTCAGCGAATTGTCACGTTTAGTTGGTCAATATCATTTGCTTGAAGTCAGTGAAACTGAGCAACATTTAGTTTGTCAAGGTGATCATAATGAAGTTGTTCAAGTATGCAAAAGTTGTCTTTAGTTTTTCAACTTTCATTTTTCTTTTTCTAATTTCTAGAAAATTAAACGTTTGATTAAAGACGAGAAAATTCGCGACGTCGATGTCCTTCGTCTGTTATCTCTCTATGCATTACGTTATGAACGGCATGCAAGCAATGAATTCAATACATTGAAATATGAAGCACAAAAACATCGACGATTGTCCGACAAGCATCTTCATGTATGGAAATCGAATTTGTCTCACCTAGAAAATGTTCATAGTTGACTTGTAGTTTCTCCAAGCTATACTCGAATACGGTGGCTCGAAATTTCGACAAGCCGATCTGTTCAATACTCAAACACCGATGGCTATAACCAGACAATTCATTCGCGGATTACGAGTGCGTGAAAATCAGGAGACTATATCTATTTATAGAATATTTACTGATATACATAGGGAGTAGATAATGTCTATGCGCAGCATGTCCCATTAATAAAAGATTTAATTGATCAATTACTACGCGGCAAATTGAAGGACACATCCTATCCAAATGTAAGTTCGAAAGAACAAGCTACACAACAAAATTTATTACAACAAGGTCAAACTGTCAAGTACGAAAACCGATTATTTTCGTCTATAATCGTCTTCTATTTGTCTGTAGGCCAAGTGAAATTATTGTCTATGTCATCGGTGGTGTGACTTATGAAGAATCGTATCATATTCAGATGATGAACAAACAGAGTGCACGCATTTTACTAGGTGGTTCTTATATCCACAATTTCACGTCATTTATCGATGAAGTACTCGATGGAGCACCGTCGTCATTATCGGCTGCGTCCAATGAACTTCTCTCATCAAAACGTCGTTAATTTTCATTTATTTTGCTTTTCTTTCAATGTTGTAACAAATAAAATACAGAATAATTATATCCGTGTAGAACAAACATCTTCCAACCAAAGCTATTTATTGTTTTAAGCTTCCGTCGATGAATTATCTTATGCGAATCGCTGTGGAGATTCATACATCATTTCTATCGACATTTGTTTTGTATTTTCACACCAGGCCATATTCTCCTCTCGATTCTCTCCGATTTCCCACAGATAACAGTTGTTTTTAGACTTATCCGATTGGAAATATAGAATAGCAATCAATCGACAGGCGAGTTTTCTGTTTGAATTCAATACATAATTGATAACAGAACTAGCGTTGACTTGTACGATAAATTTGAGTAAGTCTTTCAGTTAGTCTATCCAGAAAAATTGCAAATCTGTCGAGATCATATACCAAAGTTATAAATCGTCACATTCGTTCTTCCAGAACAAATTATTTCGAGAAGCAGGACGATTTTATTGCTTTCTCCATTATTGTCGATATCAATCTTTGTATGTTACAGAACATACATTTGACATCTCATATGGGCTTGAATGATACACACAATTACTTCCTGTACAAAGAAAAATTTTCAACAAGTAATGAACAATCATTATTCTTACTCGTACAAAAAATTTCATCTTTTGACAGAAGTGAAATAAAGGCGTATTGCACAATATCGAGTAGTTGTAATTAGATGTACTTCTTGCGTTCGTTGATCAATCTAGACAATTAGCGTTTGACAGAATTAAAACAGATCGTGTACTGTACTATTGTTTTTCTGCTAGGTATTAATGTATTCATCAAACACATCTTCTCGGACAAGTCAACTATTCATTCGAGTAATGTATTTGGTTGAACTATTTCGTAAATCATGAATGCTCTTGTTCTATTCAGATCATTTCGAATGAAACATTTTCGCATTTGATAAATCGCAGACATCTTCTAGGAAGGTTTCACCTCTGCATTTATTTTCCATTAGTTTATCAACATCCTTGGCTGATAGTTAAAGGTAAACGAATAATTCTTATCTAAATATCAACTTAGGGTGAAAATGTATAATATCATCAATTGCGGGGAGAAAGTATCTTTTTCGATATCTCAAATGTCGTACTTGTTTTTGAGTTCCATGATAAAGAAACAGATAGATAAGTAATAATTGTGACATTCTGTCCTGTGTTTTTCTTTCTCGATTCGTAGAATTCATTTACCACGCCTATTTAACGTTACTCCGGTTGACGTTATCATAATTTATCTTGACATAGGCAAAGAAACTCTTCGCTTGCCACACATCTTCATTAACCGAAAAAGGAAACAAACCTACGAATTTCTATCAAGTAGAAGCGTCTTTGTTTTCGAGAGGAAAAGTACCTGCTACGGTTGTTCATTTAGGAGTAGAAGCGAGATCTTCTTTACAGACTTCATTGAGGACACATTCTATCGATTAGTTAGGGGATCTCGATAGTTTGCAATCATTGGGCGTTTCTTTCTTTCTATTATTTCTTTTTCTATCTGCAGGAAAAAAAAGAGAAGCAAAGAGAGGAAATCACTTGTTAGAGCTTTCTTAGATGAGAAAAAAAAGAGAAAACTATCAGGATATATAACGACATTCAATACAAGTCCGCGCAAGTGTTTAGTTAACATATCTCTCGACTCTCGATTTATACCCACAAATGTCTTTTGATTAATTGTTGAAATGACTAATACAGCAAAACAAAATCGCAATCATGCAACCATCTTGTTTTTGATCATTTCTTTTGGCGAAATCATCGTTGAATACGGTAAGCTATTTCAATTTTCAATCAATAACGACTATTCAACTGAAGTTGAAATAAGGAGAAAAAACCAATAGCCAAGTACACTTGACTCAGTCGTCTTCTTGGATATAGATGTGATAAGGTTCTTTCGATTCTCGCTTCCATATGTGAGACCTTATCTCAAGGTTAGATTGTTTATATCTTTCTAATGGGAATTAACTTCTTCGCTGTCTATGTACTAAATTACAACCATCTTTGAGAAATCTCCTCTTATGCAATTGGATGTCTACCTTGAGACCTCCAACACACATTAGTCCCTCGATGTCGATTCATCGGCTAGTTCGGAATTTTCAGGAAATCAACAATAATTGAAAGCGACACATTCATCGAGCAAGATATTTTTCTTCTTGTATAACTTCAACATACATCCTACTTTTCGTTTGCACATTTTTCTGTTCAATATATACATTGAATATCTTATCCTTCATTACATGATTTAAGCCTTTGACCTTGTTCACTGACCAATCGTTCATATAATTATCAATTGATTTTTTTTGCTCGTTCTCCCTTCTTTTCCTCTCATCTTTACAGACGAGGATACGTTTTGACGTAGCTATTTATGTATGGTGAAAAGAAATGAGTGCATACGCCATCACCGCGTTTGGTCGATACACAAACATATACATGCATATGTGCATCCTCGTCGATACGTTTATTTCATGATATAACTAGTGTCTATAGTTGCAGAAAGCAAAATTGGCGGACGGTTATTCTTCACCTCGTGTATGCTGAGCTTCTGTGTTTTTACCTTTTTCTGCTTATTAGCCGTTTTTCTCGGCAATATTTTCTTAAGAAATACATTTTCGTATATTGTTTTGCTAATGGATATTTTCAATGATTCACTAAATGGTAAGTTAATCTCTCTACAGCAGAAAAAAAATCAATAATGACAAACCTTGTAGAAACGATTGATTAGTTTAATTTCTTCCAGTGTGCCTTGTTTTATTCTATTCCGCATATCACTCCTGCGTAAGCGTACTAGGTTTCATAGGATATTCCATTTGTTTATATCTCTTGTTTAACTATTGCCGATCGAATAAAGGTCGTGAATATCTGTTTATGTTCAAACAGAAAAACTGTTCACTGTCTCTTCGTAATAGAAGAAAGAAAAGAGTATCCTTTTCAAGATGGTTGATACGATGAAGCTTACCAAAATAGCCCGAACACTATCATGAAGAAAGAAAGCTGATGTCCTGCAGTATTTAGATATCTTCTGACCGACATAAAAGCATGAGTGAGTGAATGAACTACTTGAAATTCTTCGAACGAAGTACGATGATTATGCATGTTGCGTTGTTATTAGTTATTTAATCTGTTTGGAATTGCTCGTTTCTCGTCAGATTTTCTCGACGTATGGGGTCAAGAGGTAATACAAGTCACAGAGAGGGACACATGATATCGTTTGAATTGATAATAGCATATTTGTTTTTCTTTGAAAGTAATCAAATGATTTCGTCTTTTCTAGTCCGTCGTAATGAAACGGTTTGTTGTCTGATTGGTTTTGGTATTGGTGTTGGTTGCTGTATTCTATATCGATTGATATCAAATTTTTTGACGCCTTCGATCAATAGTATCCCAAGTCAGAATGTAAATAATCTTTATGTGTATCGAATGCTAGAGTTCTCGGTTGTTGTTATTATATTTAGGTCAAAACGTCGATGTCATCGGTTGCCGAGCGCAAACGCGAACGTTCGCTAAGTATTAAATATGAAGAAGAGAATCGTGAACGAAGTAACACGAATGCAGACGAAATGACTTGGTCAGAAATGTCATCATCATTGAGTACTGTCAATCTACTTCATGATTCGTATCATTCCAATTCATTGACGGGAGATTCGGGCGTAGATTGTCCGGAAATTCCAATACGAAATCACCATGTACACCACGATGATGAAACACGAAAATATGATTCCGATTCCGGAATTCATCATGATACACGTAAGAAGAAATGCTTTGCACAGATGTATTCGACGCATCTGTTTCTTTCAGAGAAAGTTACTGAAACTCAAATGATGTCCTACATATCGACAGAAAAAGGCTTAGAACGTGCATTGGAACAAACGAGTCGATTCTACACTGATCTAGAACATATTGCACTCGATCTTGGCACATTAACAAAACGATATTCACATTCAGAATCATCGTTAGCTCATCCATCGATCGATGCATTAGACTGGGATTGGCTTGATGATATGCATTCACCAACAGTTCAGTCACCTAAAACTATCTCTCGTAAGCATCATTGTCTTCGTTCAAGTAATAAATCGAAACTCCGGCGAAGGATCAACATGAATATGAATCAAACAGAGTACAACGAATCCGATCAAGAAAATCGTTCGTTCGATCTTTCAACTTCACCGCTAAGACGAAGTACGAACAAATTGTTACGCTTATTTCTTGTACTGATTATTTTTCGTTCTATTTCTCTCTCTCGAAGGACACAGCTCAGTCTACTTTGGTTCAACAGATAATTCAAGTGATGAAGATAACGGCGGAAATGAAACCTTACAAATCAAATCCTAGATAAGTTCAGTCTTATCTTTCATTTCCGGTGTGCTGAACATCGATCGAAGAGTTAAACAAACAAAAAACTGCTCTCGAGTTGTAGCGAGTTGATTATATCTTTCGATGTGTCAGATTTCGATATGTCTATAACTGATGACACGTTGATGTACATGTAAATTTTCTTTTCTCTCTCTCTCTCTATGTTCTTTGCTTCTTTCTTTTCGGTTCAAATTGCATTTGATTATTCTGATAAACAAAAAACAAAGCATCACTTGATAGATATTTGGCTTCATTGCCAGTCTATAGATTTCTATCTTTAATATTGTTTTACATCAACTAAAACTACTCTAAGCTTCTACGATATATTTTGAAATAAAATGTCAAACAAGTGAAGATACTTTTAAAGATAATTTATTTCAAGAGGAAAAAAAGAGAATAATTTATTTGTAATTGATATTAAGATCGTTCGTCTTTGGCACCAAGGATTGACACCTATTTTGCAGCTTCAGTCGCCGGTGAGGAATTATCTGTATTGAAAAGAAGTCGGTTACTATCTTCGTTAAAGAATGGTACTGATGGACCCTGGACGTCTTTGAATAATAATTTCTTTCCATCTTCAATTGGAATTCCAGTTGTTTTTTCCGTTTGGTCAAAAGATTTCTCTGTTGTTTCATGAAATTTCTCTTTGTCATCGTCGACAGGAGCAGATGAAATGGTCAAGGCCATAGCCAAAAGTAATGTCGCCAAGACGAAAATACAACGATTTGAAACCATGTTGATAATTGAAGATAATTATAAGACGTATGAAACTTTACCGAAGAAGATCGATGCTTTTATAGTCAATCGAAACTTCATCGTTCGTTCTTTGTGTGCGTTCTTTGTTTGCCGTTGACGACTTTACTTCTATAGTCCATATCTTTGTGAACATAGACCTATTATTAAGACATATACGTCGACCGAAGTGGTGTCACCATGATCGTGCGCGCGACTGGATAGAACGAAAAGAAAAGATCTGCCTTGACACAAGTAAATTGGAAGATTCACAAGATTAATCTTTGAGAACATGTAGGTTGAACTACGAACGTCAAGATTAGGCATTTATATTCTCTGTCTTGTCGACTGACTGATTGAAAAAGAACCATTCACAGAGGAATTATCCATAATATTCCGACAGTGAGATTGTTCATGAATACAATTGGAATGTTACGATTACCGAATTCCATGATGGATAACTATGTAGATTCTATCTGATTGTTTCTTCGCTCGCGAATGTGTTTCTCACAGATGTGATATACAAACACAATGTCTACGATTACGTTTGCATGTGAATTTTATATGCACAAGAACAAAAAAAACAACAAGTGTTTTCTCGTTTGATGAACTGTGTAAGCAAAGAAGAGCAAAACAAACATTCTATATTTATCAAATTTAAATCATACATAATTATCACAAATAAATTTTAAAAAAAACAGATCTCGTGAAAAGTTTCATGTATTAATTGTTTTTTGTCAACGAAGTAAACAACAGCAACAACAACAAGAAGAAGAAGAAGACTATTCATATACGATAAGATGAGAGATGAACAAAAACGAACTGTATTATTAGTATTATTTGCATAAAATACACTAATCATCATCGTGATCATTTGAATTAGGAATAAATTTGAGAAGAAGCGCTGCGTCAACATTGGTCGAACAATGCGGACATGTCAGACTCTTTTCTAACCATCCATCTATACACGATGGATGAAATACGTGTGCACCATCGCATGGTAATTGTCGGACCTGTTCATTAGGTAGAAAATCAATTAAACAAATAGCGCAACTAAAAACAAACGGATAGAGAAAAAGCTTTCTAGATGAGATCTTCATCTTACTCAGTTTGTTTGATTAATTTTTCATTGTAGTATACTAAGGGTAAATGTTCGAAGAGATTTCGACACTGTGCAGCTTTGATGGCATTCATATCTGTTAGAATTGTTGACTGATTTAACGGACGATTTAATGTGACTAACTAAAACCAGAAGAAATTCAAATAGGTTCGATCAATAGAGGAGATTTTACCTTTGGCATAGATGTTTCCGATACGTTTGAAGTTGGATGCGAATTTGATGACGATGTTGACGTACGATGAGTGGATGGGAGGGGAAGAAGACTCGCATGATCTTCAGGTACACGCCAGCAATTTCCCATTTTTACAGGAAAAAATCAAGCCTGGAAATCAAGGACGAAACATGTATGTTTACATGTATCAATAACGAATAAGGCGAGCGTAAGAATATGTAAAAGATCAGCTGGTTTGTCTTACCACTCAGATTCTCTTCCATGTGATTGATTGATTGAAAATTGATTATATATGACATCCAATCTCAAAACAATTTCGTTTTGTAGAAAATGATTTTTTTAAAATAAAGATTTGGAAAAATAAACGCAAGAAAATATTCGTTAGCATAGATTCGTCAAAAAGCAGATGTCGCTAATTGTCTTCAGTAGAGAAACTCACTTCGTTAAAGATGCACACAAACACTTGTCTAATATGGCTGTTCTGTCGTCGTCGTATGATTTATTTTCTATTTCCATTAATCATTCTGATTAATTACTTTTCTAGATTTATTATTTTATCCCAACTCCCCGACGATTAATATCCCGTTACGCTAACAAAACACCGAATACGATGAGTAATACGAATCGTCAAGCAGCAAACGGTCAAACAGCACGAACATGTCAGTTCAAAATGGTTCTACTAGGTGAATCAGCTGTTGGAAAGTCATCCCTGGTTCTTCGATTTGTTAAAGGACAGTTTCATGAGTATCAAGAGTCAACTATTGGTGCAGCCTTTCTTACACAAACCGTATCTGTCGATGATACAACCGTTAAACTCGAATTATGGGATACAGCTGGGCAAGAACGGTAGAACCGAATGATCTTTTCTGAAAACTTTCACTCTATTTTTAACGCTTTCCTAGATATCATTCACTAGCTCCGATGTATTATCGTGGTGCTCAAGCAGCTATTGTTGTCTATGATATTACTAATGCGGACACATTCAGTCGTGCAAAAGTTTGGGTCAAAGAATTACAACGGCAAGCTGCGCCGAACATTGTTATTGCCCTAGCTGGCAACAAAGCTGATCTAGCTCCTAAACGACAAGTGGAAGTCAATGAAGCACAAGCCTACGCNAAATAGGAAACATACAGTACACAAACAGACCAAACAATGAATTTGAGAATTAGTCTAAGATTAAAAAAGAAACAAAGATTTTGACGCACACACACAATCATGCGCGCTTGGACGCATGAGTTAATAGTATGTTTCTTGTTCAACCCAACCGCCTGGATTTCGGCGTATAAGGTATTTTCGTACTTCATCATAGATGAAGATTGCTAAGGAAAACGGCATAGCAGGTATCCACCATCGAAGTCTGAATAAATATTATGTTTAATCAATTCTGTGGTCAGATTCGAAGCGAAAAAAACTTACTTAAGTGGGTACATATTGAGACCTTTGTCAAGATATGGTGTATAACATAAAGCAGCAGCGAGAACTGTTTCGAAAACCAGACCGAAGTTAAGCATCCAATTTCTAGAAAATAACAAATGTTGATGGACGCTATGAAGAAAAACCGAAACGTTCACTTACTTCATTCCTTGGTGGGCTAATGAATTTCGTCGTGTTTTACAGATGATCAAATCAGCCCATTGTACAACGACAATGGAAACGAAAAAGGCTGTATGACATGTATATTCAAGTGTTTTTCGTTGATTGTATGTCTGAACAGAAATCAATATCACGAATAAAACTACCCAATATGGCACAATTTTCTTCTTACCCATTCTTGACCGTACGAATCTTCAAGATCGTTAAGACCCTTGGATTCCCATGATTTACGTAAACCGAGTAAACGACTGGGCCAGAATCCATTGTCAGCCATGATGACAAGATAGGTAAAGAAGCCAGCCGATGCTTGAATCATACCAATTTGACCATAAGCCATTGAAATTAAACTACAAAGAAGCAAAGGTTTGATAGAGAAAAAGAACGTTTTCATTGGCCATGAGAGTTCTTACCGTTCGTTGACAAGTCGATCATGTTGAGGATCTCGTGGTCGTCGTTTCATGATATCTGATTCTGCCTTTTCGTAAGCCAATGAAATAGCCGGTACCATGTCAGTACCCAAATCAATGCATAAAATGGTGATTGTACCAAGTGGTAATGGAATATCCGTAATTAAATACATTAAAAATGGTGTGATTTCAGGAATATTCGATGTTAATGTATAAGCAATGGATTTTTTCAAGTTATCGAAAATCAAACGACCTTCTTCAACACCCGTGACAATCGAAGCGAAGTTGTCATCAAGTAAGATCATATCTGCTGCTTGTTTACTGACATCAGAACCCGCAATACCCATGGCAACACCAATATCGGCTTTCTTCAAAGCTGGTGAATCGTTGACACCGTCACCTGTGACAGCGACAATTGCACCTTGACGTTGACAACCTTCGACAATAATCAGTTTCTGTTGTGGTGACGTACGAGCAAAGACGATTTCCGAATGGTCACGTAATAATGCATCGATTTCACTTGGTGACATGTTCTTCAAATCATTACCATGGACAACGCAAGCTTTAGCATCGGCACTATTGACTTGTTCGATTGGAATATTTAAGCGTTGCGAAATATCTTCTACTGTTTCTTGTCCTTCAGAAATAATACCAACAGCCTTGGCAATGGCTTTGGCTGTGATTGGATGATCACCAGTAACCATAATGACTTTAATACCAGCAGAGCGGCATTTGGCAACGCTAAAAATAGAGACTTAGTTTCGAGAATAGTCGTCATTCTGGTGAAATACATACGCTTCAGGTACAGCAGCACGAGGTGGATCAATCATAGACATAAGACCAAGAAAACGTAAGTTCCCTGTTGGAAAGTTTCCTGCATCTGCATCGAATTCATAACCGCGGGGGAACTCGCTGGTTGGTAAACGTAAATCGCAGAAACCTAAGACACGTTCACCGAGACCACCTAATTCGAGATAAGCGCGATTGAATGCTGCTCGCCAATCTGCAAAGCAAAACGACAGAATAGTTCTTGTCAGTCTTGATTTTTCTTACAATCATTCAATTCGATATCCGTGCCATCAATGTAAATCGTTGACGATCGTTCAAGGATACGTTCCGGTGCACCTTTCATCACTAATAGATATCGATCATCACCATCTTGGGTTTCGTGAATGGAAACTTGATATTTGTTCGTTGAATTGAAAGGTAATTCACAGATTTTTCGATTTTGCTCACGAAATTTAACCACATTACCAATCTACGATAGAAAACAGTCGAATATATCATTTAACCAGTCTATTCTAATCGAGCTTACTGATAATTCGACGCATTTCAATAAAGCTGATTCCGAAGCGTCACCGTTACATTCTCGTTGAAGTACAGGCTTCTTTAAATTTTCTTGATCTTGTTTGAAATCAGCTCGGTTGCATAACATAGCGCATCGACTGAGAGCGAGCTAGAACAGAGTCAACAATTTAAATATTTATTTCGGACTTCGTCTTGTCTTACCCATCCTGGTGCACTTTTATCGTAGGTAGCATCTGAAATTCGGCGAAGAAATCATAATTGAAGAATGTCATGCCGAGAACAACGAATTTACTTTGTTGATTTTCAGTTGTATCAGCTTCGACAATGCGATTGTCAAACCACATATGTGCGACAGTCATACGATTTTGTGTCAGTGTTCCAGTTTTATCGGAGCAAATTGTTGATGTTGAACCGAGTGTTTCTACAGCTTCCAGATTTTTAACCAAGCAATTTTTCTTTGCCATACGTTTAGCAGTTAATGTCAAACAGACCTGAAATAGTATTAACATTTGAGATAAGCTTTTCTCGTCGATGAATCAGATCCAATAGGAAACTTACAGTGACTGTTGCAAGAAGACCTTCAGGTACATTAGCTACAATAATACCAATTAAGAAGATGACTGCTTCAAGCCATGGGTATCCAAGAACGAAAGCAATAACAAAGAATGAAACACCGAGGAATACGGCGACACCAGTGATAATATGAATAAAATGTTCAATTTCACGTGCAATTGGTGTTTGGCCCGTTTCCAAACCTAAACGAAAAAAATGAGCCGTTCGCCATTGACTATGAAGAGATGGTTCTTACTCGAAGCTAAATTGGCAATACGACCCATAACAGTTCGATCACCAGTACGAACAACCAAACCAGAACATGTACCTGAATAAAGCCAATGTTCATCGAGGTCATGTGACTAATTTTCTTCTACTCACCTTCAACAGCAAATGTACTGAAAAATGCCAAGTTTTTGGTTTCAAGTGGGTTATCGTTGGTACATTCCGGTGCACGTGATTGCGGTTCAGATTCTCCAGTTAACGATGAGTTATCTACTTTAAAGCCATGTGCTCGCAAGACACGGATGTCTGCCGGAACACGATCTCCAAATTTAACCTCGACAAGATCGCCGACAACTAATTCTTCGGCTTTCAAGTTTCGTTTTTCACCATTACGAATAGCCAGTGCTTGCTAAAAATAGACAACAGAAATCAACGTACGCAATCGCTTGTTATTGAATACATACAGGCGGCACCCTGAAAATAACAAAAAAAAAAGAGAAAGTCAACAGTTTAATTGCCTTAAGAAAAACAACGTACATGTTTTTAAATGATTCCATAATTCTCGAACTTTTTGCTTCTTGAAAATACGAAAAGCAACCAGTAACAAACACGACAACTGTTAAAGCGACACCAAGCCAAAGCTACAAATGAAAATCATACCAGTTCAAGTTATTTACATATTCCATTCACTTACATTGTCATTAGGAGCTTCTTCATATGTCGCAACACTGATACCATGGGCAATAAAACATAGAACGGCACCAAGCCATAAGAGCATAGCGAAACCGCCGAACATTTGACGGCAAAATTTGACCCATTCAGGTGTTGTTTTCGGTGGTGTCAATGCATTCGGACCATCACGTGCGAAAACTTCAGCAGCTTTGGCATCCGTTAAACCCTGAAACCGATGTTTAGAAATCGAGACTTGAAAAAGACGAAACTGAAGCTTACTCTCTCTGGATGAGTTCCATATCGTTTGAAAAGTTCTTCGACTGGTACTTTGTGATCATCCTATCGATAGAAAATGTAAATTATAATCAAACAAATGAAAAAGAAAGATGAACATACGATTTCGAGTTCACGTTTGAGATCGTCTAGATCATGGTCACCTTTTTTTCCTGCTTTAGCTTTCTTCTCGTCAGTCTAAAGGAAAGTCAATAGGAAACGTCGTATGTCGAGTAAACAACTTCTATTTTTACCATAATTCATTGAGATAAAATATAATATTTCCAAAAAGAAGGCTTTACTATCGATACAGATCTAAAAAATACTTGATGTGACCAAATATCTAGAAGAGAAAAGCAAAAAAAAAGTAATTATATATTCTTTTCTTCCATAGCTGATTTTAGATGATGACGGTGGTATTGCTGTTGATGCGATCAGTCGTATGCAAACGACGAAAGAGAAAAGGAAAATAGAGAACAACAAGAGAGAAAAAAGAGCACTGTCGAGAAATAATCTATAGCTTTTTTTTTGTTGCTACGAGCGAAAGAAAATCGATAAATGACGTCACCATGTACAGAAGTGAAGCTGACATGAAAAATCTCTGGTGAATTGTAATCAAGTAAAAATTTTTGTTTTTTTAACTGACAAATATTTATTAAACAAATATATATAGCTGTGAGCAGAGAATAGATCTTACTCGTTTTCTTCTTTAGTTTCTCTCGTTACTCAGCTGGATTGATCATTATCAGGAGGAGCGCGCGCGCGCACACACACACACACACACAATCCATCGAACGATCTATTTATTTCTGTAACTACGAGGATTATTAAGGAAACATAAAAAACCGGAGAAGGAAGAATTCAAATTGACTAACCTATTCGTACGCGTTCAGACGAACGTTCTCCTTTTATTGGACTAATTCTCGTTTGATTCTTATTAATGGTTACATGGTAAATAGAAAGTTCGATGGAGAGAAAAAACAATACTGATTAACCAGTAACGTAGAAAAAACAATGTCAACGGGAAATATTTTTCGTTAACATTTTCCCGTTGATCGCCGATACATCGATGCAATAAGAAGAGTACAACGATAGATTTGAATGCAGAATTATATATACGGCCACAAAAAAAAAACTGGCAAGGCATTTTTTTATTTCGTCTTCACTAAAAAAAAATGTAATCTTGCTCGTAAAATATATCACGCTCGTGTTATTTTATGATCTTTATAACCATCGTTTTTTTTAACGATCGATACTTCTGATTTGGATAGAAGTTTTCGATCTTTACAAATACATAGATGTGCATGTTTGTTGCATACATATATGTACTCAATTTTACCTTCTTCAAGATAGATAAACGCGTTGCTATAATAATAAATGTCGGCAAAAAAAACCGAGAGAAATGAGGAGACTACGAGGCCAATGCACGCATCAACATGCATATGTCATTTCTTCGACTCGTAAACGTGCAAGCACTCCGCATAGAGAATAGAGGAAATAGAGTTTTTGTTCTCAATCGAAAGTCATCATATTCGATAACGAATGAGGCAAGAGAAAAAAAAACGATACAGAAAGCAAGAACAAGACTTTTTTTTTCCTATGAAATGACTTTTGATCCTCTCTTTTTTTGTTCCTTGATAATAACATAATTCTAAGATGGATTGATAAAAGGAAACTTATCCACTCAGCGATTGACAGATCAGAATCAGCAGTCGACTTTCTCTTTGTACTCGGAGAACTTACAGAAAATAATGCTTTTTTTTTATTTTAAATAAACTAGTTTCATATTACCTTGACTTGAAGAGAAACAACAAACTTATTCTACCTGTTGTATCAACACATGAGTGCAAGTATCCCTTTCGTAAAGTGCAAACATTCTCATTCGCAATGAGATAAACAGAAGACAAAACCGCAAATAAACTTACTACGTTCAAAATCACAAAAGCTATTTTCTAAATATCTGTTAAACACGATGACTGTCAATATATTTGCCATGTAAATTGCAGTTTGGGGATAATTAAAAAGATGTTGTATATCCTCTTTTTGATGACAGTTTATTTTTCCTTGTCTATCTGTCACTGTCTATTGCCAATAGGACTGACAAGAAAAAAAAACTATCTGCGAGAGGGAGAGAGAAAAAAACCGTAGAAGACGACGATGAAACAGGAACACACGATCATGTCACACTAGATGAATTCATTACTGCTGTTATTCGTCTAACTAACCAACAGAAATATGAAGATGATAATGTGGAACTAAACATATGTGAAAGACAGTCAAAATAATGCGCAAGTGCACTCTTCTCCCACACATATACATGGCGGTTTACATCATTGCCAACATACTAGATGCAACTTCTCTCGTTCCTTGTGTTCTGTGTTCTGCCACCGACAATAGTGTGCATTCGACGACGGCAGCAACGACGACCAATCTTTGCACACGCACACATTTAGTTTTTTTTGCTTGTGCCGCTCGACACTACTCCGCAATAGCAGAGCGAAAAAAAAAGCCACCATCACATACCAAAGTGTTTTTATCAATAGGAAAGCGAAGAATTGTGATGATGGTGTGATAGTGGCATTAGAGTAGAGAAAAAAGCATAAGAAAAAGAGAGAAAAAAAACTGGAGAGAAGGAATCGGAAGCAAGAAAAAAGAAACCCAAGGAAAGGAAAGAAAATAAGAAACCCAGCCTACAAATTTTATAATATCAAACGCACAAAAAAAAGACAAGTGTTGATGGTAAAGCAAAAGAAACGAGCGCGGGAGAGTGAATAAGATAAAAAAAATAACTGATTGCAAAAAAAAGACCTTGAAAAGAATCAAGTAATTCAGTAATCTGATATTTCAAAACGAAGTATATGTTTGACGAGACATTAATATACAGCACAATAAAAAAGAAAGAAAGAAAGAAAGAAAGATAAGCATCGATTTAAATAAGATCAAAGTATATTTCAATTAGAAAGTAAATCGATAAAACATTTAATACAGAAAAAACACGAACGATTCAGATTACACCAGGCAGAAAAAAAAGCTCATCTGTTACTGTTAATCGAAACAGGATTCGATTATTCCGAATAAACAGTACAATCTGTTCGAAACTCTCTTCTGTATGATGTCAACAGGGAACTATTAGGGTTAGTTGACTTGCTGCAGACGATCATCTATCTCCCGAACTAAGTACAAACTTCTGTTTCGTGTGGTCGATGGCTTCTTCTATTAATTTCCTAACGATAAATATGACATTTATTCATATTCAAATAGAATGGTATATGTAATACCTTAACGCAAATATATACTCAATTAGCATAGAAAAAGCAAAACTGTGAATATGTTGTTTTTATGGTCTAATCATTCACACATCTATTGATACTTTTAGACTTTAATAAGAGAAAAACTGGCGTAATTGTGTAATGATATAAAAAGATGAATGTTTTTCTTTTCTTTGAATAATTATCGCTTTAATCGTAATCATCAGGTGAAGAATGGTAGAATAATGACACGATACTCGCGACGTCAAACAGCATTTCAACTAAATCAATTCGTTCACCAGGCAATAGGATCGGCGAGATCTGCGCAGAGTTTTTCAAAACAACACATTAGCTGCAAGTAAGGACGTGATTCATCATCTATGCGCATATGTTAATTACGTCACTAATAGCAAAGTCCACCACTTAGTACTTTTGAAAAATTAACGCAAATCGAGATTTTTTTGCATATGACAGATAATCTCGTATTTCAATGACATTTTTACAATTCTCTAAATGCAAGATAATAGCTATGGGAACATGACCTTATCGTTCGTGCTGATCGGCGTTTCGGTATTTTCGTTGTTGAAATTTATTATACTCGTTAGAAAGAAGTTTTATACTTTTTTTCATGATGTTGACGTCAGTAGCGATCTTGTTGTTCTTGGCAAGAAACCTTGCAGATGAATTACACGTCGGAGCTTTTTTCCTTCTCACCATACATCGATGTTATTATTGCTTGCGAGAGTATACCGAGTACTCCGCTATGAAAGTGATGAGAAAAAACGTCCATCTGCTATAGAATCGATTTCGATGCATCCAATAAACTAAATTAATTCCAACTGACTTCATAGAAAAGGATCGTTGAGGTAGTTTCAAGCGAAAGAACTTTTTCACTTATGTATGAAGTCCTTTGACTGGAAAATCAGCTTCTTCTGTCAAGAGCTGGAAGAACAATGGCTTAATTAGAGATTCTCTTTTTTTTGCCAATGACTTGTTTATTTATCAAAAAGAAAAACACACAAACGTCTAAGAATTATTCGGAATACCATTCGGATTTACGTAGGTCACTTCGACACATTGGACATTTGGAATTTTTCTAAAATTCAGCGAAACGTTCGCGTTGAAACTGGGAGGCAAAGAAATTCCTTCTTACCTTAAGCCATTTATCGATACATTTGTAATGAAATTGATGTAAACATGGAATCGTTCGTAGTTTATCATCTGCTTTGTATTCATTCAAGCAAATGTCGCATAGTTTACCGACTGCAGAGACTTTGTCGGCAGTTGTTGTTGGATAACAATCGATTAGTTGTTTAGCCAAACCGATATCAGCAAAACTTTCATCATCTTCGTTATCATCGTCGAATTGTTCAACGTGTGCACTCTCAGAATAGAAATCACCTTCGTCGTCCGTTTCCCAACTGAAAATTTCCGGACAAATAAGTTTTCGATATTACATCGACTGTCTTACCTATCACTTTCACCGGCATGGGCTTCATCGACTTCCTCAATGTGTTCGGAGGATGATGAAGCAGCAGCAGCAGCAGCTTGTTGATCAGTTGAAACTGGAATTACTTGATCATCTTGATTACTCGAAGCCATTGTAGCACTTATTCGCACTGAGTTCGTTATTGCCGAAATATTCGAATATCATGACTCACTAGCGTTGATGATGAATGGATATTTCCTCTAGTATCTGCCTGTAGAACAGATATTTTCAATAGATGTCGATGATTTGCAATGCTTGATCTCGATTTTCATTTCTCTTCGGATTAGCGAGTTTACCCAAATTGTTTCCTGTATGATAAACTGTCGACGGCATTCGGAATTCATTGTTGTCTGATTGGAAAAACTCTCATCGGCGTGCTGTGATCGAAAATAGATAATTACTTATTCTCTAAGGACACGAAATAAACGAAGTGGAACAATAAAAAATAGCTCATTTTTAACCAGTAGCAAGATTTATGTCATGATATTGATCTTACATAGAAGAAGCAAAAATATAACAATTTTTATTCGTGTGTAAAACATCATTGTGCGACAGTGAATTGATTAACAAAATAGATTGTTTTTCTTCATGCAAAACATTGTTGGGAAAGAAAAGAAGTCACATATTATACAATAGGAGGTATACGACAGATTGGACATTGATTTTTGTCCTAAACAAAGATCAAATTGATTCGATATACTGAAATCGGATCTTATCTTACTTTTAACCATTTATCTATGCATTCTTTATGATATAGATGAAAACAGCGTAGTCGACGTAATGTTTGACTTTGTTCGAAGTCATCCCAACACACACTGCACTTATTTTCTTCGTCGTTTTTATTCTTCGCGCCTTGAAATACTTCGGTTGGTAGAATATTAATCTGTTCCGAAGTTAATTTTTTCGTTGGAACGTTTTTATCAAGGTCAAGTAATCTCTGCATAAAAATATAAACAATAAAGATAAAGGAGCTTCCCTCCGAAAACTTGCTTCATAATCATCAGGACCAAAGTCATCTGCAGTACCCTGAGTATCATGATTTCGTCGCCCTGGAAGGCGCTGCCCACTAGCAGCTGCTATGGAACTGAAAAGGTTTGCGATATTGCTAGCAGGATCGTTACTTCTTGCCGGACGACGAACTGTCGGTCTTTCTATTAGTCTTGGTATTGATATTATGTCAGGTTCATTAGGTTCAAGCCTTGCACTTTGTTGTCGTCGTGCGTAATGGTTAGGTCGTTGTTGGTGTCTTCGTCCTCGTTGGTTTTCTTCAGCTTGTAAATGTTCAGCTAATTGTGCGTCACTGCGGATCGATGCAGCATGTGAAGGTGTTCTTTTAGTGGTTGATGAACCTCTGTATGATCGAGAGGGATCGAGAGTTTGTCGAGAATATTCTTCTTGTTGAAGTTCACGAGCGTAAGCTGCGTCAGCATCAATATCGACTCGTTGACGAAGATTAAACGGAATGCGAATGTATTCGACTTGTTCTGAAACGTCCATGGGCTCAGTTTCGTAAAAATTTGCTTGTTGTTGTCGAGCAATTTCTTCGTCACTCATTGTCTCTAGTGCAAGCGCCGAGTTCAATCGTGGCTAAATGAACGGAAATGTCAGTTGCTTTGAATTAGGAAAATAACTTACAAGGATCCGATCGAACAGATCGAATCCGAGTATCTCTTGTCGTTCACTTACACCACGTGTTTGTGGCGAAAAAGACCTTCGACTATCTGTCATTGTATCTCCAAACAAGTGAAAACCTTCTTACTTGTCGTAAACAAGTGACTCACAGCGTTTTCTTTCTTTTAATAACGTGAAAAACAACATCAACATGGACAAATAAGTAACGAAGAAAAGGAAAAAAACCCAGCATGGAAGCCGACACAGAAGCAAAAAAGGAACACCTACCATTTCGTAACGATTAGGATTCGATGCATTGATAGACGCAGTGTTTGCTCGGGAAGAACGCATACCTTGTTTGAAGATTATAATCAAGTGATGTTGATCTGAAAGAACTATCCAGTTCGCTACTCTACTCACAAATTCAAATTTGGAATAAATTTAACAAAACTTTGATACATATGTTCTCATTAAGAAGACGATGATATCTTTGCCTCTTGCTTTGAAAAGATCTACTTAATAGAAAAATGAAGCAATGGCTTCCTATGAGTCCGAGAAAACGAAGAATGCAAACAACAATAAATATCACAAAGGCCATAAAGAAGACTTTTTCAAATGATGCGATTGGTAGTAGATTTAAAGAATAAAATGTCAGTATGAAATTTCGACAAAATCAGATGGCGTGCTTTCGCAACAAAAAATTTAGTTTTCCATCACAAAAACTACATTTAATTTACACACGAGTTGCACGTTTTTCATTGATGTTCATGCAGAAAAGCAGCGTCCATGCTATTCAATAATGTTAGTAAGTCCTGTGATAGTTGGTCTCCATCAACCGAAGAAGAATTCAATAAAGATACAAATTCATCACGCATAATAAAAGGAATCAATGATGTATGTTGCATATTATACAATTCTCTTCGTGATTTCGCCGTCTGTCGGTCAGTAGATCCTTGCTGATATCTTGTAATTTCATCCACTATATCCGTATCGATTTTTATTCGTTTACTATCAGATGAATCTTCTATCAATTGAAGTTCACATAGTGTTTCTTGCTGGTATTGACGAATTACAGCTGCTTTTTGTAATCTGCGAATGCGATCTTCTAAAGACGCTCTTGATGATCCATGTTCCGAGCTAGTATTCGTACTATCGCCTAAGACCTACAATGAATTCATAAAATAGAACAATCAGTAGAAAAGATATGCTTATACATGTTTCAAGTTCGCACGAAGTGTTCGGCGTTGATCAGTTTGTTGTGCTTCTGACGAAATATAATCCAACGGCATAACAATGATTGTAACGATAACAACAACGCAAAATAAGATTGTGATGACAAGTGACCGATTTTATATATAGGTGAATGCAAATACAATGAAAAATAACATTCATTGTAGACAGATTCTACAATAAGAAATAATGTCAAGATAACATCATCTCTAATACAGTCAATTTTTAGTAGGTAGCTGACGTCTTTTCTTTTCACGAATGACATGACACTCAAATCATGTCCAATGTGTCGATTAAACTGCGTTGGAGACAAAATCAAAGCAAGTGAAAACAATACATTATGATCAACAAGAGTCATCACAGATTATTATTGTTATTAGAGAGATTGATGAAAGCAACGCAGCGTAAAGGAGCAAGTCAAACTAGCAGAAATCGCCTTGAAAAGTGCGAGAACCCAAAGTAAATGCAAGTTACGTGATATTCTTATTACTTTTATTTGTTTTTACAATAGATCCATGAATTATGTATATTATTTGCCAAGTTAACAAAGAAAGAAAAGTTTCTATTTAAGTGTCCCAGGTTAATTTGGTGGCGTGATAAGAACGCTGTAATGACGTTTTTGTAAAGCCAAGGTAGTCGAGTTCGGCAAGACCGTGAACAAATCGTGCTCTGAAATGAGTTCAAATGAAATTTGTTTTTAAAAGTTTCGATTCATTATCAATCTTACAAGATCGATTTATCAGCATCATTGTCCAGAACTTCTCGTTCTTCGACCAGAGTTGCGAATGACTGAAAAACAAGATGATTTGAAGAATACGGTCATTTGATTGTCGAACGAATCTTACTTCAAACCAATCGCTTAATGGAATTTTCGTACCCGATTCTGTGTAGATGCGAAAGAGCAAAGCTAAATCTGGTGTTTGTGCTTGTTTGCAATTATTCGTTTCTGTTAATTCTCGAATGAATGTGGCTCTTGTCATTGGAATCAGTCGTTCTTGCAAGAGATAGTCAGTGATTTTCGTTGTTGAATGAGCATTGGAAGAAATAAATTCTTCACAGATTTGTTTCAACCAGATGAACACTTGTTCTCGGTATCGATTTAGTTTTCGATCTCCAACCGATCTTAATGTGTTGCTCAATGCTTGAGACTCATCGGCAATTTGTTGTTGTTGTTCAATCAAAATCTTCTTTGCCAACTGACTATACTTTTTACATAAAGAATTCTCATTACAGCTATGCTCAATGAATGAATTCAAGCACGTTTCAAGTTGATAAGTAGTCGAGGAATTGACTGATAATGTTAATTCATTAAAAATTGGACTGTTGGAGAGATAAGATCCGTAGAACGATGAACGATAACGACCGAGTGGATAATTAGGTAGTTGATTGCACGAAACATACACAGCATTGAAGAGACAAATGTTCAGTGAGTGTGTTGGTGCAGTATTGGTTTCAGAAAAGGCAATGAACTAAAATTAGGAAGTCAAATCTCGATTATTGATCTTCTTCGCTGACCTTGAGTGCATGTTCGAGCCATGCCAATGAAAATGTTTCGAAATAGCCGTTATCAACGAACTGAAGTTGTTCAGCAGTGATTGAAAATTGTTTCTTTGGATCATTTTCCGTTAGAAATAACTAGATTCAATCGAAAATGAGCGTCGAAGTTTTGCTTCGAACGAACAACCTACTGATTTAATAATATATTCGTAGTATTTTCTTGCGCTCGAGTCGTAGATGGTATCGATGGATAGTTTCGATGCGATACGACTTGAAACTAGCCGTTGTAATGAATGTTCACCACCAGACAAACCCAAGACGAATGAGATCGAGATGAATTTAATTTGTAGACTGGAAACAAAAAAACAAGTCAAATCTGCTTTTCGCGATTGTTTTTGCCATACCTGAGTAAAGTGATCAAATTCTCAAATACAGATATATTAATTGATTCGAATTCTGGAATTATGAAAATTATCGAACGCTTTTCACTTTCTTTTAACTAAATACATGTGAAACTATCAATGAACTTTCTGTCGGTAAGACATGCTATTCAAACCTCATTGTAGCTGCTGACGAATTTGCTCAATTGGAAGAAAACGTTCTTACTCTCGTTGTCTTTGTCTGGATAAAACTAAATGAACTATTATCAGAGGAACGAATAAACTTTGTACAATTTACGATACTTTATTTAGTTCTGTCTTTGTCATCTTTAATATATTATGAATAGATGAGTATTGTTCGGGATTCAGTAGTTTAATGATGATTGAATGGAATTTTCCAGCTAATTGCTCCTGAAGTTCATCAAACAGATGACTGTGCTCCGAGATATTCGAATCTGAAGGTATACGGAGATCTTCGAAACTACTGAACTTATCGTCGGAAGTACAAACCCATGCATAAGGCCATGACAGGAATATGCTCAAAACATCGTTGGGTAATCCGACGAAATTTTTCATTCTTTTTCATAATGTCCAGCACACTGGTAACAAGACGAGCGTGCAATTGAGATTTAACATTCGTAATCACATTCGTAATGTGATCAACACGAGCCAAATCAAGTTTTTCATGTGGTTTCTTGCTTGTCGATCGTTGCGTAGAACGAGTGATAGAATGAACTTCGACAGTAGTATCCATATTCAGATGTAATATTGATTTTCCACACGCTTCACTGGTTCCTTTGTTCAGTTCGATCGAGAATCGAGATATGCCATTATTGTCAAGTGCACTTTTTCGTTCGAATGGAGGATAAGTTAGAAGATGGTGCTCGATAACACATAGTCAGCTTATTAGAGAACGTGTTCTTTTGTATCAAGTAGCTGCTGGATACAATTTTTCTGATTTTCTTTTATTAAGATGAGGAAAAAAAACTTGTAGAAAAATATGATTCAATTGAAACCTCTTGCTTCCGAAAGAAACGAAAGGTTTAAAGAATTCAGTAACAAAAAAAGGCCCGAATGACTATGTAGACAAACCGCTATCATAGTCATTTTATCTTGATTACTGAATACGAAAACCGCTTGTTTAAATCATATATTGTAACGTATTTGTGTGAGTATGTTCCAAATGATTTCCTGAGGATAATTTTTCTTGTGCTAAGTACGCTTGAAAGAGATTATGAGCCAATGCTGCAATTGTCACAGGTCCAACAGCGCCAACAGGTGGTGTGATGAGAATACATTTGTCACGAACCGAGTCCATGTGCACATCACCACGAATGTGTGGTGGATCGTGACTAACTCCAGCATCGACGATGACCAATGATCGATTCTCGGGAAGGAGATCACCGTGAATAAGATGTGGCGAACCTGTAGCTGTGATAATGATATCAGCGTGACTAAAAGCTTCGCGAAGGTCTTGTGTGTGTATTGAACAAATCGTCACTGTAGCACCACGAGCCTTACAGAGAAGGCTAACTGGTTCTCCTGTTTCAATAAAGGAATGTCAATGTTCGTCTATCTTGCTCTAAAGTGATATACGTACCGACTAGTTTTGAAGAGCCAACAACGACGACATTCTTACCATTCAACTTAACATCATACCAATCGAGTAGCCAAATGATGGCTTGAGCAGCACATGGAACAAACGATGAGTTCGGGTAGAGCAGACCATCAATATCTTTTTCTGGATGAATAAGTTTGAGTACACCACTTTGATATTGTTTCAAATGTTCAGGAAAAGGTAATTGAACAAGAATGCCATGAATATTTGGATCTGCATTCCATTCACGAATGACACGTTCTAATTTCAGTCCAAATAAATTATCATTTTCACCTGGTTGCAGTTGAACGATATGTGTTTTAAAATTAACTTTTTCCCGAAGACTTTTTTCTTTCATTCTCACGTATAATTCGCTTTCAGGTTTCGAGCCAGCTAATAAACATCCCAGAGCTGGTACATTTCTATCGTCTAAACATATGTACATTGAGATTCTGTTTTCCATCGATACAAAGCTACCTACTCGGTTCATATTTACTCTTGATTTCATTATAGATATGTGCTGCACATGTTTGGCCTTTCATCATAGTTGCCTGTTTGCTGCCAACTGAAAGTAGATGGAAAGGCGTTGTATTCGCAGGTATTTTTCGAACAAACTGGTAACGAGCACGATTGTATTCAAAAGAAGCGAAGTTATCATTCATGATCTTGATTTCACGATGACGACAAGCTTCCGGATGGCCAAACTTCGTGATGTTTTCTTGACGTTTATGTGCCTTCCATTTCAAATGTTCACTGAGATTAGGAAGGATATCATTCGTAATCTTCTCCTGCACTTCATTCCATGCTGAATACGTAAAATCAGCAAAACCTGAAGTCACTGCTTGTTGAGCATTCATTGGTTGCAGATGATTGACAAGTGAGTTCGCCTGTGCAACTGATCCGAGACGAGATGGTAAATTGAACGTCCAATATTCTGAACCAAATAAACCCATCGTTCTGTAATGTGCATTGATAATTGAGTTTTCATGAATGAAGATAAAGTCACCTACGAGAGGCATCATTGCACCACCTGCTCCTGCATGTCCTCGTAAGACCGATACAATAATTTTATCCGAAAGATCCATCATAAGATATCGAATTAGATCATTAATAGCATGAATATATTTTTGCGATTGTTCAACAGGATTGTCCGATGCTTCAATTGTATTTAAATCAATTCCGTTGGAAAAATATCGAAGGCCACCCAGGAGAACAACGACTTTCACACTAGCATTGATATTCTGCCTGATCGCTTGTTTTAACCGATAACAGTGATCATCACGCATAGCTCCATTGTAGAAATCCCATTGAACATAACATACATCATCTTCGACATCCACATGAATATCTTCAAATGAGAGATAGTTTTGTAAGAGAGTAGGTGTCGACGGTAAGACTTGAGCTGCTGGTAGTTTAAAAGGATTCTTCTTATCCAATGCGTTTTTCAAATGTGTTATCCATAGAGCACTGGTACTGTCTGCACAGCTGAGAAGGAAAGCATTTTTGTCTTTCGCCAGAATGGTTTTTGGAGGTGTGTGGATAGATTTGTTCAATGGCTGAACATGAGCACCGAAGAGATACAGCGGAATATTACAAAGAGAATCGAGGAGACCTGGTTGAGAGTCGCGAGACTGAATTTTACGTGCGATTGTACTCGCTGAATCCGAAGACCAATCAATGGCGCAGTCACGTTGTTTCAGTGTATTTAGTGGTAAACTTTTTACTGAAGCTAAAGAGAAACAGATACGTAAGTTAAGTTTGTCTCTGTAAATGAATGGATGAACTGGTCATTACCCGGTTGTTCAACACCTGGATAATGTCCAAGGAAGATTTTATGATAAATTTCTCGTAATCCTTTCATTGCGAGTGTTGTCAAAATATTGTAAGCATCGCCCTTTGTTGCTGTCTGTGGTAAATGTTGTTCTGTATCAAGTTTTTCTTCCGCCCATACAGGACCAGCGTCCATTTCTTCAACCGCTTCGAGTATTGTTACTCCCCATTCTTTTGGTCTTTCCAACACCCATCGATCGACTGAATGGCGACCGCGATCACCCACTGGACCAGGGTGGACGATCAATGTGATGTAATCGCGGTAGATTTGATTTGGAATTGATCGAGTTAAAAATGGACAAATGATCAAATCAGGTTTATGCATTTGAACACGCTCGACGAGTTTCTCATTGGAATGCAACTCAACCATTACTCGACACTGAAGTGTGGAAGACAGAAGACATAGAGCTTTCTGTGACATCGTATTATGACTTGTAACAATGAACAAGATGTCGAGTGATTGCCGACCATTCTTTATCTCACGTTCAAGTGTTGGCCATGCTGGATGAACAAAGCGTTTCGAATAACAATTGCGAAATAGTCGCCGATTCAATAAACGAATAGCATTACTCGAGTGCATTTTGAATTGTACTGTCTGTAATGAAAAAGCATTTCTTTACATCCCTTCATAATTAATCATGTTAGGAAGAGTGACGAAAATTGCTCTGCGGGATATGAAACTTTTCTCTCATGTTGATTTACCATAACCAAACGTGATTCACATTCAGTACATTACACTACGACCTGTTTTTGTACTTTACTAGCTCCGATAGAAATAAATAGTAGTAGGTCGACAGTTCGTACTGTCGCATTCTGAAAGATATGAACGTTGAAGGTAGGCAAAAGAGTAAATGGGGAAAGTAGAAACAGATCAAAGCATATTTCGTTCAATATATGAACCTTTTATATTACGTAAAGTAAACATGCGATTGAAAATAATCTAGATCAGCAGTAACTATCCCTATATAGACCCACATTCATAAGAAAAGAAGAAGAGCAAGTACATTAAAAGATCATCTGTAAAAACATACATATGAACTATATTATAGGTACTTTTCTTTTTTCTTACACAGTGCTCGCTCATTAACTTATAGAAGATCGGAAGAAACAATCGTACTACATATCGATAATTATGTTTCACTGAGAGTGATCACGCGAGCGTTCGTTTAACTTCATACTCGGCAGAATGTTTTTGTCACATTCAAATACTTCGCACATGAAAGCTGCGCAATTATACTCGGCCTGTGCTGATTCAGGTAAATTCAATTGGCAGCGCTATGAATAGGATCACAAAAACACTTTTGATGAATCGAAAGAAATATTTTGTATAAATTGCACATTCATTTAATAGAATTACGTCCCACCTTTTGAAAATAATTGCACAGTTGGATACTTGTACGAAACTGTATTCCAAAGAGAAGGATCCTTGAAAAGTACGAAAATGGCAAAACTCAAAAGCATGAGTGCAAACGTGGACGAAAACAAAACTTTTGGTTTACACCCAAAAGTACGTGTTTTTGCGAATATTTTCTCTGCTCCTCAAGTTCTTTTCTCTCTTGTTCAATTGGGCAAAGAGCGGCCTCTTTCTTACTCTCATATCCATTGGTTCAGATGATGTCACGAATGAATCAATCGATTGACAGCTTGTGTAAAGTAAAAGGACGAAAGTAGCATCTAAGTTCATCTGCTATTTTCTCAAGAGAATCTCATCAAAATGACGAATATCAATGTTATCGAAGCGGTTCGTTCGTATATCAATCGAATGATTGAAGATTGCGGCTCAACGATAAAAGGGCTTGTCATGGACAAAGAAACGGTTTCGAATTCTTTCCTAGTCATACTGCTTTCTGGAGACCTTTTCTTTTCTAGGCTTCGATTGTTAGCATGGTATATGCTCAATCGGAAATTCTTCAAAAAGAAGTATTCCTTTTCGAACGTATTGACATTGCTGGCCAGAAATCATTGAAAAATCTGAGCGCGATCTGTTTTCTCCGACCAACGGATGAGAACATTCAAGCGCTAGTACGCGAGTTACGTGATCCAAAGTATGGAAGTTATTTTATCTGTAAGCTTATTTATTGATCACAGTTGTCTTTCGAACAAAAAAAAACGCTGTTCAATTTAGATTTTACAAACTTTGTTGAAATGAGTGACATCAAAACGTTAGCTGAAGCCGATGAATTCGAATGTGTTCGAGTTGTACAAGAATTTTATGCAGATTACTTAGCCATCAATCCACATTTATATTCCCTCAACATTCCGAGTACTTATCAAGTGAGCAGAAAGATTTTAGAGAAGACGTTTTTTCAAAGTTATTTATACTAGAGAAATTATGAATGGAATGAAAATCTTCTCCGTCGTACCGTACAAGGCTTAATGTCATTATTACTTTCTCTACGAAAGAAAAGTGCAACAATTCGGTATCAAAAGTCATCACCAATGGCTAGATCGTTAGCTGATAAGCTTTTCGTAAGTTTTCTCTGCGAAAAATCACCTTTTCTAAACTTTGTAAATCTTCCCAGAGCACATTGAAACGTCAAGTGGACTTCAGCACACCGAATCCGAACGATATCAATCAAACAATAGTATTGATCGTTGATCGACGTGAGGACGCAATTACTCCACTATTGAATCAGGTTTGCTTTGCGGATAAATCTAACGAAACGAACGAATTTTTCTAGTGGACATACCAAGCCATGGTTCATGAATTGATCGGAATCAAAAATAATCGGGTTAGTCTTAGTCAAGTGCCGGGTATTACGAAAGAATTGGAAGAAGTTGTGATGAATGCTGAATATGATGAGTTCTACGGCAATGTAAGGCACACAGAGAATATTGGATCATACTCACCATGTATCTGTATAGAATCTCTATAGTAATTTTGGTGAAATTGCCACAAATATTAAAGGGCTGATGGAACATTTTCAAGAGAAACACAAGAGTCAATCAAAAATCGAATCGATTGGCGATATGAAGGTTGACATTCAAATGTTCACTGTAATGTAATCACATGTCTTCCTATCTCCAAATAGGTCTTTATCGAAAACTATCCGCAATTCAAGAAACTTTCGGGCACTGTGTCTAAACATGTGACCATTGTCAGCGAATTGTCACGTTTAGTTGGTCAATATCATTTGCTCGAAGTCAGTGAAACTGAGCAACATTTAGTTTGTCAAGGTGATCATAATGAAGTTGTTCAAGTATGCAAAATTTGTCTTTAGTTTTTCAACTTTCATTTTTCCTTTTATAATTTCTAGAAAATTAAACGTTTGATCAAAGACGAGAAAATTCGCGATGTCGATGTCCTTCGTCTGCTATCTCTCTACGCATTACGTTATGAACGGCATGCAAGTAATGAATTCAATACATTGAAATATGAAGCACAAAAACATCGACGATTGTCCGACAAGCATCTTCATGTATGGAAACCGAATTTTTCTCACCTAGGAAATGCTCATAGTTGACTTGTAGTTTCTCCAAGCTATACTCGAATACGGCGGTTCAAAATTTCGACAAGCCGATCTGTTCAATACTCAAACACCGATGGCTATAACCAGACAATTCATCCGCGGATTGCGAGTGCGTGAAAATCAGAAGACTATATCTATTTATAGACTATTTGCTCATATACATAGGGAGTAGATAATGTCTATGCGCAGCATGTCCCATTAATAAAAGATTTAATTGATCAATTACTACGCGGCAAATTGAAGGACACATCCTATCCAAATGTAAGTTCGAAAGAACAAGCTACACAACAAAATTTATTACAACAAGGTCAAACTGTCAAGTACGAAAACTGATTATTTTCGTCCATAATCGTCTTCTGTTTGTCTGTAGGCCAAGTGAAATTATTGTCTATGTCATCGGTGGTGTGACTTATGAAGAATCGTACCATATTCAGATGATGAACAAGCAGAGTGCACGCATTTTACTCGGTGGTTCCTATATCCACAATTTTACGTCATTTATCGATGAAGTTCTCGATGGAGCACCATCGTCATTATCGGCTGCGTCCAATGAACTTCTCTCATCAAAACGTCGTTAATTTACATTTATTTTGCTTTTCTTTCAATGTTGTAACAAATAAAATACAGAATAATCATATCCGTGTAGAACAAACATCTTCCAACCAAAGCTATTTATTGTTCTAAGCTTCCGTCGATAAATTATCTTATGCGAATCGTTGTTGAGATTCATACATCATTTCTATCGACATTTGTTTTGTATTTTCACACCAGGCCATATTCTCCTCTCGATTCTCTCCTATTTCCCACAGATAACAGTTGTTTTTAGACTTATCCGATCGGAAATACAGAATAGCAATCAATCGACGGGCGACTTTTCTGTTTGAATTCAATACATAATCGATAACAGAACTAGCGTTGACATGTATGATAAATTTGAGTAAGTCTTTCAGTTAGTCTTTTCAGAAAATTGCACGTCTGTTGAGATCACATACCAAAGTTATAAATCGTCACATTCGTTCTTCCACAACAAATCATTTCGAGAAGCAGGATGATTTTATTGCTTTCTCCATTATTGTCGATATCAATCTTTGTATGTTACAGAACATACATTTGACATCTCATATGGACCCTCATGATACACACAATTACTTCCTGCACAAAGAAAATTTTCAACAAGTAATGAACAATCATTATTTTTACTCGTACAAATTTCATCTTTTGACAGAAGAAAAAAAAGGCGTATTGCACAATATCGAGTAGTTGTAATTAGATGTACTTCTTGCATTCGTTGATCAATCTAGACAATTAGCGTTTGACAGAACTAAAACAGATCGTGTACTCTACTGTTGTTTTTCTGCTAGTTATTAATGTATTCAGCAACGAAATCAAACACACCTCCTCGGACAAGTCAACTATTCATTCGAGTAAGGTATTTTCTTGGACTGTTTCGCTAATCATGAATGCTCTTTTTTATTCAGATCATTTCTAATGAAGCATTTTCGCATTTGATAAATCGCAGATATCTTCTAGGAAGATTTCACCTCTGCATTTATTTTCCATTGGTTTATCAAGATCCTTGGCTGATAGTTAAAGGTAAACGAATAATTCTTATCTAAATATCAACTTAGGGTGAAAATGCATAATATCATCAATTGCGGGGGGGAAAGTATCTTTTTCGATATCTCAAATGTCGTACTTGTTTTTTAGTTCCATGATAAAGAAACAGATAGATAAGTCATAATTGTAACATTCTGTCGTGTGTTTTTCTTTCCCGATTCGTAGAATTCATTTACCACGCCTATTTAACGTTACTCCGATCGACGTTATCATAATTTATCTTGACATAGGCAAAGAAACTCTTCGCTTGCCACACATCTTCATTAACCGAAAAAGGAACCAAAACTACGAATTTCTATCAAGTAGAAGCGTATTTGTTTTCCAGAGGAAAATTACCTGCTACGGTTGTTCATTTAGGGGCACAAGCGAGATCTTCTTTACATACTTCATTGAGGACACATTCTATCGATTAGTTAGGAGACCTCGATAGTTTGCAATCATTGGGCGTTTCTTTCTTTCTATTATTTCTTTTTCTATCTGCAGGAAAAAAAAAGAGAAACGAAGAGAGGAAATCACTTGTTAGAGCTTCCTTATATGTGGTAGATGAGAAGAAAAAGAGAAAACTATCAGGATATATAACGACATTCAATACAAGTCTGCGCAAGTGTTTAGTTAACACATCTCTTGACTCTTGATTTATGCCTACAAATGTCTTTTGATTAATTGTTGAAATGACTAATGCAGCAAAACAAAATCGCAATCATGCAACCGTCTTGTTTTTGATTATTTCTATTGGTGAAATCATCGTTGAATACGGTAAGCTATTTCAGTTTTCTATCAATAACGACTATTCAACTGAAGTTGAAATAAGGAAAAAAATCAATATACCCAAGTGCACTTGACTCAGTCGGCATCTTAGATATAGACGTGATAAGAAAGCTCTTCGATTCCAGCTTCCATATGAGACCTTATCTCAAGGTCAGATTGTTTATATCGTTCTAATGGGTACTAAATTACAACCACCTTTCAGAAATCTCCTCTTATGCAATTTGATGTCTACCTTGAGACCTCTAACACGCATTAGTCCCTCGATGCCGAAACATTGGCTAGTTCGAAATTTTCAGAAAATCAACAATAATTGAAAGCGACACATTCACTGAGAAAGATATTTTTTCTTGTATAACTTCAACATACATCCTACTTTTCTTTTGCACATTTTTCTGTTCAATATATACATTGAATATCTTATCCTTCATTACATGATTTAAGCCTTTGACCTTGTTTACTGACCAATCGTTCATATAATTATCAATTGATTTTTTTGCTCGTTCTCCCTTCTTTTCCTCTCATCTTTACAGACGAGGATACGTTTTGACGTAGCTATTTATGTATGGTGAAAAGAAATGAGTGCACACGCCATCACCGCGTTTGGTCGATACACAAACATATACATGCATATGTGCATCCTCGTCGATACGTTTATTTCATGATATAACTAGTGTCTATAGTTGCAGAAAGCAAAATTGGCGGACGGTTATTCTTCACCTCGTGTATGCTGAGCTTCTGTGTTTTTACCTTTTTCTGCGTATTAGCCGTTTTTCTCGGCAATATTTTCTTAAGAAATACATTTTCGTATATTGTTTTGCTAATGGATATTTTCAATGATTCACTAAATGGTAAGTTTATCTCTCTACAGCAGAAAAAAATCAATAATGGAAACCTTGTCGAAACGATTGATTAGTTTAATTTCTTTCAGTGTGCCTTGTTGTTTTATTCTATTTCGCATATCACTCTTGCGTAAGCGTACTGAGTTTCATAGGATATTCCATTTGTTTATATCTCTTGTTTAACTATTGCCGATCGAATAAAGGTCGTGAATATCTGTTTATGTTCAGGCAGAAAAACTGTTCAATGTTTCTTCGCAATAGAAAGAAAAGAGTATCTTTTTCAGGACGTTGATACGATGAAGCTTACTAAAATAGCCCGAACACTATCATGAAGAAAGAAAGCTGATGTCCTGCAGTATTTAGATATCTTCTGACCGACATAAAAGCATGAGTGAGTGAATGAACTGCTTGAAATTCTTCGAACAAAGTACGATGATTGCGCTGTTATTAGTTATTTAATCTGTTTGGAATTGTTCGTTTCTCGTCAGATTTCCTCGACGTATGGGGTCAAGAGGTAATACAAGTCAAAGAGAGGGACACATGATATCGTTTGAATTGATAATAGCATATTTGTTTTTCTCTGAAAGTAATCAAATGATTTCGTCTTTTCTAGTCCGTCGTAATGAAACGGTTTGCTGTCTGATTGGTTTTGGTATTGGTGTCGGTTGCTGTATTCTATATCGATTGATATCAAATTTTTTGACGCCTTCGATCAATATTATCCCAAGCCAGAATGTAAATAATCCTTATGTGTATCGAATGCTAGAGTTCTCGGTTGTTGTTGTTGTTGTTATATTTAGGTCAAAACGTCGATGCCATCGATTGCAGAGCGCAAACGCGAACGTTCGCTAAGTATTAAATATGAAGAAGAGAATCGTGAACGAAGTAACACGAATGCAGACGAAATGACTTGGTCAGAAATGTCATCATCATTGAGTACTGTCAATCTACTTCATGATTCGTACCATTCCAATTCATTGACGGGAGATTCGGGCGTGGATTGTCCGGAAATTCCAATACGAAATCACCATGTACACCACGATGATGAAACACGAAAATATGATTCCGATTCCGGAATTCATCATGATACACGTAAGAAGAAATTCTTTGCACAGATGTATTCGACGCATCTATTCACTTTCAGAGAAAGTGACTGAAACTCAAATGATGTCCTACATATCGACAGAAAAGGGCTTAGAACGTGCATTGGAACAAACGAGTCGATTCTACACTGATCTAGAACACATTGCACTCGATCTTGGCACATTAACAAAACGGTATTCACACTCAGAATCATCGTTAGTTCGTCCATCGATCGATGCATTGGACTGGGATTGGCTTGATGATATGCATTCACCAACAGTTCAATCACCTAAAACAATCTCTCGTAAGCATCACTGTCTTCGTTCGAGTAATAAATCGAAACTCCGGCGAAGGATCAACATGAATATGAATCAAACAGAGTACAACGAATCCGATCAAGAAAATCGTTCATTCGATCTTTCAACTTCACCGCTAAGACGAAGTACGAACAAATTGTTTAGTCTATTTCTTGTACTAATTATTTTTCTTCTATCTTTCTCTCTCTCGAAGGACACAGTTCAGTCTACTTTGGTTCAACTGATAATTCAAGTGATGAAGATAACGGCGGAAATGAAACTTTACAAATCAAATCCTAGATAAGTTCAGTCTTATCTTTCATTTCCGGTGTGCTGAACATCGATCGAAGAGTTTAACAAACAAAAAACTGCTCTCGAGATGTAGCGAGTTGATTATATTTTTCGATGTGTCAGATTTCGATATGTGTATAACTGATGACACGTTGATGTACATGTAAATTTTCTTCTCTCTCTCTCTCACTCTATGTTCTTTGCTTCTTTCTTTTCGGTTCAAATTGCATTTGATTATTCTGATAAACAAAAAACAAAGCATCACTTGATAGATATTTGGTTTCATTGCCAGTCTATAGATTTCTATCCTTAATATTGTTTTACATCAGCCAATACTACTCTAAGCTTCTACGGTATATTTTGAAGTAAAATGTCAAACAAGTGAAGATACTTTTTAAAGATAATTTATTTCAAAAGGAAAAAAAGAGAATAATTTAATTGTAATTGAAATTAAGATCATTCGTCTTTGGTGTCAAGGACTGACACCCGTTTTGCAGTTTCAGCCGTCGGTGAGGAATTATCTGTGTCGAAAAGAAGTCGGCTACTATCTTCGTTAAATAATGGTACTGATGGACCCTGGACGTCTTTGAATAACAATTTTTTTTTATCTTCAGTTGGAATTCCAGTCGTTTTTTCCGTTTGGTCAAAAGATTTCTCTGTTGTTCCAGGAAACTCCTCTTTGTCATCGTCGACAGGAGCAGATGAAATGGTGATGGCCATAGCCAAAAGTAATGTTGCCAAGACGAAAATATAACGATTTGAAACCATGTTGATAATTGAAGACAATTACAAGACGTATGAAACTTTACCGAAGACGATCGATGCTTTTATAGTCAATCGAAACTCCATCTTTCGTTCTTTATGTGCGTTCTTTGTTTGCCGTCGACGACTTTACTTCTATAGTCCATATCTTTGTGAACGTAGACCTATTATTAAGACGTCTACGTCGACCAAAGTGGTGTCACTATGATCGTGCGCGCGCCTGGATAGAAAGAAAAGAAAAGATCTGCCTTGACACAAGTAAATCGGAAGATTCACAAGATTAGTCTCAGCGAACATGTAGGTTGAACTACGAACGTCAGGATCAGGCATTTCTATTCCCTGTCTTCTCGGCTTACTGATTGTAAAAGAAACATTCATAATTGAATGATCCATAATATTCCGACAATGAGATCGTTCATGAATACAACTGGAATGTTGCGATTACCGAATTCCATAATGGATAACTATGTAGATTCTATCTGACTGTTTCATCGCTCGCGAATGTGTTTCTCACAGATGTGACATACAAACGCAATGGCTATGGTTACATATTCATATGAATTTAATATGCACAACAACAACAAAAAAAAACAAGTGTTTTCTCGTTTGATGAACTGTGTAAGCAAAGAAGAGCAAAACAAACATTCTATATTTATCAAATTTAAAACATACATAATTATCACAAATAAATTTTAAAAAAAAACAGATCTCGTGAAAAGTTTCATGTATTAATTGGTTTTTGTCAACGAAGTAAACAACAGCAATAAGAAAAAGAAGAAGACTACTCATATACAATAAGATGAGAGATGAACAAAAACGAACTGTATTATTAGTATTATTTGCATAAAATACACTAATCATCATCGTGATCATTTGAATTAGGAATAAATTTGAGAAGAAGCGCTGCGTCAACATTGGTCGAGCAATGCGGACATGTCAGGCTCTTTTCTAACCATCCATCTATACACGATGGATGAAACACGTGTGCACCGTCGCATGGTAATTGTCGGATCTGTTCATTAGGTAGAAAATCAATTAAACAAATAGCGCAACTAAAACAAATGGATAGAGAAAAAGCTTTCTACATGAGATCTTCATCTTACTCAGTTTGTTTGATTAATTTTTCATTGTAGTATACTAAGGGTAAATGTTCGAAGAGATTTCGACATTGTGCAGCTTTGATGGCATTCATATCTGTTACAACTGTTGACTGATTTACCGAACGATTTAATGTGACTAACTAAAACCAGTAGGAAGTCAAATAGATTCCATCGATAGATGAGATTTTACCTTTGGCATAGATGTTTCCGATACATTTGAAGTTGAATGAGAATTTGATGACGATGTTGACGTTCGATGAGTGGGTGGGAGGGGAAGAAGACTCGCATGATCTTCAGGTACACGCCAGCAATTTCCCATTTTTACAAGAAAAAATCAAGCCTGGAAATCAAGGACGAAACATGTATGTTTACATGTATCAGTAACGAATAAGGCGAGCGTAAGAATATGTAAAAGATCAGCTGGTTTGTCTTGCCACTCAGATTCTCTTCCATATGATTGATTGAAAATTGATTATCTATGACATCCAATCTCAAAACAATTTCGTTTTGTACAAAATGAATTTTTTAAAATCAAGATTTGGAAAAATAAACGCAAGAAAATATTCGTTAGCATAGATTCGTCGAAAAGCAGATGTCGCTAATTGTCTTCAACAGAGAAACTCACTTCGTTAAAGATGCACACAAACACTTGCCTAATATGGCTGTTCTGTCGTCGTCGTATGATTTATTTTCTATTTCCATTAATCATTCTGATTAATTACTTTTCTAGATTTATTATTTTATCCCAACTCCCTAACGATTAATATCCCGTTACGCTAACAAAACATAGAATACAATGAGTAATACGAATCGTCAAGCAGCAAACGGTCAAACAGCACGAACATGTCAGTTCAAAATGGTTCTACTAGGTGAATCAGCTGTTGGAAAGTCATCGCTGGTTCTTCGATTTGTTAAAGGACAGTTTCATGAATATCAAGAGTCAACTATTGGTGCAGCCTTTCTTACACAAACCGTATCTGTCGATGATACGACTGTTAAACTCGAATTATGGGATACAGCTGGGCAAGAACGGTAGAACCAAATGATCTTTTCTGAAAACTTTCACACTGTTTTCCACGTTTTCCTAGATATCATTCACTAGCTCCGATGTATTATCGTGGTGCTCAAGCAGCTATTGTTGTCTATGATATTACTAATGCGGACACATTCAGTCGTGCAAAAGTTTGGGTCAAAGAATTACAACGGCAAGCTGCGCCGAACATTGTTATTGCCCTAGCTGGCAACAAAGCTGATCTAGCTCCTAAACGACAAGTGGAAGTCAATGAAGCACAAGCCTACGCAGATGAAAACGGTCTGATTTTCATGGAAACTTCAGCTAAGACAGCAATAAACGTTAATGATATATTTATGGCGATAGCAAAGAAACTGCCGAAAACTCAAGACGTATCGAATCCGTCGGGTGGCCGAGGGCGTGGAAACGACGGCTCATCGATAACCGTCGGTGGATCGGGCAATTCCAGAGCAGGCGGAAATGAAAGCGGAGGTTGCTGTGGTGGTTCTAAGTAAAATAAACTCGTTCTTTTCATTTTTGTTCTTTTTTTTTTAAAATTATTTCAAGAATAAGAGAAAAAAAATCATTCTTCACGATCAAATTGAGTCCTTTAAAACCAACAACGTCATCTTTAGAAACAATTCAATTTCTTATCTCTTGTCTTTTGTTCCACTGTAAATCTGTTCGTTGTCTTCTGTCCCTTTTTCTTCAAAACACATTCAACTTAAATTCTCTCTTTATATATATACATAATTACATATATACATATATTCAGTGTATTCGATCTTTTCTTTTTCTTATAACTTGTCGCGTGTGATGATTCTGGCCGCTGATTTCTTGTTTCCAAAAAAAAAGCGAAAGAAAATGAAGAAAAAACAAAAGGTCATCTTTTTTTTTCTCGACTGCAGATTGAAAAACACAGAGAATCGCCTATGTTTGTATGCAATATAAAAAAATCCAATAAAAAAAACCAAGCGAATGCATTTTTTGCATATCTACTTTTCTTTTGTTTAAGCTTGAGTAGAACATATGAAAGGTATGCCCTGTAGGGAAATGTTATCTTGGCAGATAATCCTACGCATATTTTTGTTTGTAGATATACACATGGACTTATCATTGTTTAAGCTTCTGCGTTCATTCATTCTCGTTTTATTCATTGCTGTTGTTGAATATCGCCGTGGCTCATTTACACTTTCGGGTGCTATCACCGGTTCTGTTCTATGTTTCTTCATCGCCTATTCCAATATCGTCTTTTTATTCGTGATGATCACGTTCGTTTTGAGTGGCTCATTCGCTACACGTTATGGATTCGATTTCAAACAAACGAAAATCAATGAAAATGATCATAATGTTCGCGGGCGAAAATCGAAGAGAGCGGCACGCGATTACTCACAAGTGTTATGTAATGGTGCTCTCGCTTGCTGCTATGCTTTATGTTACTGTTCACAAACAAATTACTCAGGTCTTTCATTACCGATCGATAACAAACATCCGTCCACGATATATTCCATTGGATTTCTCTTTACAATTGTTTGTTGTTGTGGAGATACACTAGGTAAAGCATTCGAATTGTTGTTCTTATGTTAACAACGTCGTCTGTTTAGCATCGGAATTAGGTTCTGTTTTTGCTCGAGGCAATCCTCGTTTACTAACGAATCCGTTTCGAATCGTGCCGATTGGAACCAACGGTGGAATTTCACTCGCTGGTTGTTTGTTTAGTCTATTCGGCGGGTTGATTATCGGTATTAGTTATATCATAGGTAATATGATATTCTGTCGATCGGATCAGTTGATCAATACATCTATGATAACTATTCAATTACTTTTGTATTGTACATTATTTGGACTTGTTGGTTCATTGATTGACTCACTCCTGGGTGCAATATTACAATTTAGTGGCTACGATCGCGAACGTAATGTCACCGTTCAAAAACCTGGACCATCTGTCGAACATATATCTGGTCGAAATATTTTGTCAAATAATCAAGTGAATCTTTTTTCATCATTTTTAACTTCCATTCTGGCTATTTGGATTATACCAAATATCCTTCTGTGATATTTGCAATCGTATATAAAGCAATGTGATTTTTTTAAAAGTTTCTATGTGAAATAAATGAAAGAAAAACAATGGATGATGTTCGAACGATCAAGGCGTATGATTCATCTGACTTAGTCAGACAAGATTGAAAAAAAAACCACCAATCCAGTATGATGAACATAACCGATGACTAACTGCATAAGCTAAATCTATATATGATTAGAATTAGAAATGGAATCAATCACAACAAGCAAAGTGAACCTAAATGACACTCTCATATCTATTCAATTGAACGAAAATGAATCTAAGAGTTGCTGAAATATAATGTCTTATCAATGCGTCTTGTGCGAATTCAAAACGATATTCCACTAACATCACTGGTAAAGAACTCATTTTCTCGATGAAATATTGTTTGTTCTGTTTAATTTTAGACGAAAAATGATTTAACGATTAGTACAATACATTTAGCTGAAACAGTTCATGAACGATTAAAAGAAGCAGGAAATATCAATTGATCATTGCCGATTCTTCGACAATGTTTTGAAATTTTACGAGAAAATCAATCACAAGACAATGTCGATTTTCAAAGAATCATTTTTCGCTTTTGTTGTATTTTGAACATAGATGTTTTCATATTGTGAACTGAAATTAATATTGTTTTTCAAAAGTTATTTTGATGATGAACGCCGAATGCGAATGATTCTTTGTGTTAATCCAACTCTGTTGATGGATATCAAGAAATCCAAGTAAATTTATTGTATTTGATACATTTGAATCATTTTACTTTTAACATCTATTGAAATTTGGCGAATGAACAGAAGATGTCAGTGGTGTGACGTTCTTGACCATCACTATCTGTTCTACCTACAAGTAAGTCTATGAATTTCTAACAAATGAAATTTATTCTCGTACTCAAGCACTGATTGTTTTATTTCCATCACTTGAATATTCTTTATTAGATGAAGTGAATGATGGTGATGAATCGATTTTAATTCTTCAAGAATATTTACTGTTGAATTCATGTCCAGTTATGAATCATCTATATCTAATCAAGAAGATTTATTCAAAGAAAATGATCAACAAATGAAAACCATTCGTCGTTTAGATATACATATTAAATTACTTTGGAAATCACAAAAGAATCTATTGAAAACAACAAATCAAACCGAACGAGATAATAAAGTATATCATCGTATTGAAACGATTATATCAGAAAATTGCAATACATCCTCATTGTCGTATACCGAATACTGAACCAATGCGCATTGCTAATATTAATACACATGTAACTGTTGCTCGCTCTCAATCGACAATCACGATTATTAAGTGAAGTTTGACTTGAATATCGATCACATGAAACAATCCAAATGTTAATCCACAAGGCGAAATTGCAACTGGTTTTAACAAAGTAAATTCGGAAGATTTTGAATTATGTTGAACGATCAACATGTACATCATCATCAAATCCATTAATATTTGATAAACGATGTCGAAGTGAAGAGCAAGTTTCTCAACAAATACACTCATCCTCACCCTCAGGTTATTTCTCAATCGGATAGCACATTAACGAATAATGACAGTCCATATAAAGCATGCCATTATAACACAAAGAAGACATCACACATGGCAGATACCATTAGTTAGCACAAAATCATTCGATGTTTTCAAACAAACTATTTTTCCCTGATACATACATACAAATCATACGCATAGAGGTCTAGATCTCTTTCAAATTGATAATCTGAGTACTCCTCACGATGGCTCACATAGAATATTCTTTTGATTCTTCGACGAGACAATGATGTGTATTATTTCATAAATAACTTTATCGAATATATTAAAAACAAATGTTTACAATTGACCATTGAATCTCTCCATACCAAATGCATATGGATTCGAGAAGAAAAGTGTCTAATAATGATATTTTTATTTATATTAATGATGATGGACTGTCGGATGGCAGTGTCTGGTAATTATAAACAATCTCATTTCATAGTTTTACCTTATTTGCTGTAAGTACGAGTGGAACTAAATCATCAACATCACTTACAGTTGAGATTTGTAATCGTCTGTAAGATTCTTTGTTAAATTTATAAGATGAATCTATTTCTAACATATTCGCATTATTAGATGATTTTGTATTAACAAATCAGCATCAACGGATAAAACTGTAGATAGATTAACTCATTGTAGTCTTGAAGTTCAATGTACATATTAACTTATGACAAAATATTTACTTTTTTCCTCTAATTTCTACATAAAAATTGCTAATTGACATTCGAAGATGTCAGGAACGAATCATGGTTTTAGTTCGTAAAGATTTCGTACTCATATTTCGTTACGTTATCTATTTGTTAACCACCTTTTCGCATTATTGAAAGTATTGTTTATTTTTCATTCATGCATACTTTAACACAAAGATTTCAATAATAACAATAGTAAGTCTCGTTGTGGTAAAATCACACATCTTGTGATTGAATTATACTGAATATTGATGAATTGCTTGTTGTTACTGATAAATTTTGTAAAATAACATTGAAACAAGAAGAAAACTATTCAAGAATTTCTTGGATACGGTAATTTGGTTTTCATTTATTTATCTTTTACAATTATTTTCTCGTTAATTAGAAATAATCTGTCATGATGCATTTAGGAAAAGTAAATCTTATTCTTTAGAATGATTAATGATAGATGATGTCTCTTCTAGAGGTGACAAAGATATGATTCTCGCGTGCAATTGAAACTTCATGTACTTGTCACTAACGGCACCATATATACTTCTCTATCGAAATGAAATAAGTTCAAAGCTTTTTCGATAGAATTGGTCACTCAATCATTTGAAATATTTTTCTACTTGTAATTTACTCATAGTAAAGAAAGGTGTGACTACCTTTAATTTCTCATAAAACAAGAACAGGATTTACTCACTTTTTTGGTCCAGACTTTATTCGATTCAGCGTGTGAAACCAATCGTATGCATGTCGCTATTCGTTAAAAGCAAACAAACGCTTAAGAAGAAAAAAAAAGGGAGAGAAATTCTTCTGTTTCATATTATTTCGACGATAAACAAGAAGAAGATATCTTTCGTTTGTCTTTTATAGAAAATAACAAGAATGCAACCAGGCGGTCAGAGTATTGTCGATCGTATTTTAGCTGCGAAAAATACAATTGCTGGTCAACCAGTGGCTAAAGTTGTATGTAAGGCAACTACAGAGGAACTCATGGGACCCAAGCGAAAACATCTGGATTGTAAGTGAACCTAAATTCGAGATGAATTTTCGACGAAAAACCCACGGTTGAAATCGTGATTTTAAGGTCTTTTACAAGCAACGCACGAAATGAATGTATCTATTCCGGATATTGCTGACCTTTTGATTGAACGCTCTCAGAATTCATCTTGGATCGTGTCATTTAAATCTTTGATAACCATTCATCATTTGATGGCTTATGGAAACGAGGTAGAATAAAAACGCCCTCGTCCTCAATTCTCATTCCTTTGTTTTTGTGTTTTCAAAGCGTTTTGAAGCTTATATGGCTTCGCACAACCATCATCTTCAAACTAGTATCTATACAGATCGTCTGGGTATGGGTGGAAGTGATATGACAACGCATCTTCGTCGATATGCAGCTTATTTACATGAAAAACGCGATGCTTACAAGTTGATGGGTTATGATTTTTGTAAAATAAAACGAGGGTGCGTTATCTCTGTACCCATGGAAGATAAGTCCGATGTAATTTGGTCTATTTTAGAAAAGATGATGCCGTGCTTCGAACATTACCAACAGATAAAGTAGGATTTCTTTTTCGATGTTGCGAAAATATCATTGAAATGTTGATTTAGTTATTGAAAACGGTGCCCATTGTTCAAAAACAGCTCGATGCTCTACTGGAATTTCAAGTATGAAACAGAAAATCCTGTTTTACATAGCATTTCTTTCTTTCGCCTAGATTGCATCCCATGAGTTGATCAATGGTGTGATTAATAGCTGTTTTTTCCTACTAATCAAAGATCTTGTTCAACTCTATGCGGCTTATAATGACTTAATGATTAATTTGCTTGGTATGAAGTGCTTTAGTTTGTCAGAAGAGAAAAAATATTAGTATTTTTCAGAAAAATATTTCACTATGAACAAGAAACAATGTCGTGAAGCACTCGATATGTACAAAAAATTTATCGATCGAACGGATAAAGTTTCACAATACTTTAAAGTGGCCGAAGTAGGTGAAACCTATGAACATCTACCTAATCAACCTTTTCCCATGATATTATAGTCAACAGGCATGGAACACAACGAAATTCCAGATTTAGCTCAAGTAAGTTTGAAAAACAGCGATGACGATCTGTGAATGTTTATATATATCTAGTTAATCGAAAAGAATACAGTAGGTAGATGTGATTCGATTGCTATACAATGCCTTTTTCTTTGATTTTGAGCCATTTCTACATCATTGTCTCTTCTCTTAGGCACCTAACAGTTTATTAGAAGCATTAGAGAACCACCTGGCACATATCGAAGGCAAAAAATTGTCATCCCAACCATCGATGACATCTGTTAATTTAAATTTAAATCCACAGAAAGCGATTGAAGAGGAAGCGAACGCCTTATCACAATTTAATAAAGTTGGTTCGCATTTTTCGACGTACAAAAAAACTAATTAATCTTTCTAGAAAAAGGAACTGTCTATATCGCCACCTCCTCTTTCGCCACAATCATCAAGAGCGGTAAATGGAAGTAATGGTTTTGATGATGCCAATCTATTTGCTCAACGTGCCACAACAACAACAACCAACGGTCATCATCAACAACAGCAGCAGCAGCAGCAACAACTATTCTCTAATGATATATTTTCACTCGCACCAACTACATCGTCATCAACAGTAACGAATACGTTCAATCCATTTGATAATACATTCAGTGCGCCAGCACCGAGCCGTAAATCGAATTTGTTAATCTTCTTCTTACTGACCATTCTATATTTAGAAAATATGTTCGATGATCTTCTTCAACCAGTACCAACACCAACACCAACAACGAAACCTATGATGACAATGCCATTATTTCCTACTAATCAAAATATTCCACCTGTAGTTAAGCCACTCCAATCAGGTGATCTGAATTCATCACTTAATCAGTTGATTGATAATCTTGATATCAAAGATCATTCAAAAATTGGGTAAAGACTCTCTTTCTATTGACATCTAACCATCAGTTTTCTCTAACAGAAAGGATCACCAATGGACACCTAATGACGGCAAAGGTCAGCAGATACTCAACACAATCCATGGTACTACAACTACTTCCGGTCCAACATGGGCCAATTCCACTGGATTCAACGCACCATTTGGTAATTTTGTAAGTCATCTCTCTCACTATAGAAGTTCTCCTCATATTGTTGATCTTGTAGGCCAATAACGTTCAATCACATCCGGTATGGCCACAAGCCCAACCACCAATGATGCCAGCCACTTCAACTAATCCGTTCACTGCGTCAAACGGTTCATCCGTATGTTTGAAATAAATTTTTGTAACATTTATCAAATGCTTTCATTTTAGCAAAACAACTTTGCTCATATGACTCAACAAGCCTCAAGTTTTTCAACGAATCCATTTGCTGCTCAGCCATCCTATGGTACATCTTTTTTCAACCAACCTCAACTGAATGATCCATTCAGCAGTCTCTAATTGAAATGAATTATTGATGTGCAATCTATATTTACTATCGATTACGTTCTAAATCTACACGAATACACTCCCGGTCAGTCTTCTTGTAATTAATCTTCCCTTCTGTTCATTATACAAACATGTATGACTGTGTGTTTTTTTTATCGGTAATTTAATCTACTTTTTCTTGAATGAATTATTTGATAATATTTTATAAGGAAAATCATATGTTCTGATTTGACTACGAATAAATTCTTTATATTCAACAGAATGCTTCTATGATTAATTAAGTAAACAAAAGTAACGGGAAAATGTTGTTTCAACTGTCATTACTTTTTCGTTCTGATGCATTTCGACACATTTGAAAAATGTCAATGTTTTTATGTATAAATTAACCATTGTTAACACAGTTCTCTTCAAAAGACGGATGCTGAGCGCAATCAAACATCCAACGAACATCAAAATTCGTCAGTTTTTCGTCTATTACCGTATTTGAAAGAAAAAAGAAGCCTATGCAGATCGTCAAAGAACGTATTGTTAGTCCTAGTCAAATCGATGATGAGTACCTTTGCCCAATATGTTATCACCTTCTCTGGAAACCGGTGGAATGTCAAAACTGTCAACGATTATTTTGCAAATCGTGTATTGACGAATGCTTACAGGAGAAGCCTGATGCTTGTCCACTCTGTCGGCACTATGTTGAGAAACGTTGTTCGCCAATGTTCTACGCATTACTATCGAAATTCAAAATCGAATGTGAAAACAAAATCAATGGTTGTGAACAAGTTTCAACGTACGAAACACTTGAAAGACATCAAAATGCCGAATGTCAATATAAAATGAAAACATGCCGTGGTTGTGAAAAGAATGTTTTAGAAAAAGAATTTTTACAACACGAACGTTCCTGTGGCCAGGTCAAAATCGAATGTACACGTTGCAAGCGAGTTTATAAACAAAAACAAAAGCATGAACAAATGGAATGCTTGATCAACATGTTGGACACAAGTAACAAAAGAGGCGAACGTTTAGAAAGCAAAATCGAACATTTAGAACAGTACGTTCAAGAATTAGAAACAACATTGCACTTGTATATCGTCGGTGGATTTGGTGGTGGTGTTGTGCATGATGTTTCGATAGCATCCTTGCCCACATCATGGGATATCATCTATGATTTTAACTACGGTCATGTGACAACAGTTGATGAACTACGAGCATTGCGATCGCGATGTAAAAAACAAATTATTGTTGGAGCTATACAAGGAAATTCATCGAATGTATTGAGAATAGCAGCGATGGGACCATCGGACATCTTGCTATTGGATAGTCCATTGAATGAGCCGACAAAATTCGGAAATGTTAATTGGTATTTAACACCGAATTATTCATTTGGATTTGCACCAGCGTGTTCGACGATAAATTGTAATTGTGCAGATTATAACGAGAGAGAAAATTCCGATAATCGATTAAGTTGGCACTTAAGTGGCGATGGTGGTTATCGAGCGGGTGTATTCAAAGATCTTGTTCATAATACAGATTGGAGAAAGATTATCATGGCAGAAAAATAAGCGACTATTAAGTATAAAAACTGTAATGATAAATACTAATTAAACTTCGAATAAAAAACATATAAGTATATAAATAAAGAGGAGTTCGATGGGACCATATTTGAGTTAAGTGAATAAAATAAATAAATCCTAATGCTTGACAAAGAATGACAAGAGAAAGAAGAAACGAACAGGTTTGATACTTTGTTGCATTAGGATAGGATAAATATTGAACGATCCATAGGAGAAATTGATGAATATAGAGCAGAAACGAAGATGTGTAGAGGTAATAATGAATACGATCGAGTAGATTGAAATTTGAGAACGAGTTTGACTGTATTGTGTCAAGACGTTCGTTGATACGCTTCGTTATCTCTATCAATCCATCCTTTTGAACAAATTCTAAAGTTTTCAATTTATTCCGAGTATTCTCTTGTAATATTTCGTCGGTGGTATTGTTCTCGGTGATATCTTTAATTAAATCAACAAGTTCGGTTTGAGTTCGTAAAAGGATTTCTAAGGTTTGATGAATCGGTTGTAAGAATTGTTTTTCTTCATCGCCATGTTTCCTAGGATCAATCTTCTTGTGAATTGACGAATAAAAGCTGAGTCCATACAACGAAGCATCGATGAATCCTGTTATAAACACGATATAACCTGAGATTGATAGGTCAGTCGAATATGGGTAAGAAACATTTCGAATAGGACCAGTAATGAAAATTGTCAAACTGATTAATATCCATGAGAGTGTATTCGCCATTGCCGTGTGATTTTGTTAAAGTTATCAGTCCAAAGGATGAAGCAAGAGAAAAATGCAAAACATCTGGTAAATTTTCATCACGTACACAACTCGCATATGTATTTCTCAACTCTGCTATCACTGAGTAATGTTTTTGTAATCATTGACACGAGATTACATGATACGGCGAAAGAAAGAGAAAGGCATTGATGCATGTCAATGTACTTCTCTTTTCTGTTCGTCGAAACCTTCTATGAAAAAGAGCGACCAAGCATACTGATTTTTCTTATCAGGATGTGGAAATTACACAGCTGGTGCACAAAAAATTTGAATGATATATTAAAAATTTCTTGATCATAACAGAAAAAAAGGGCTATTCTTCATCATGATGTTCATTTGTGTATAAATGTTCCTCTGATGAACGCCGTTCGGTGAAATGTGTTTGCGATAGTTTTGTATCAATGGTCGATAATGTCGTGCGTTTTGCGTGGTTATCTCGGTCGAATGGTCTCGGTTTTTCATAATTGACATTGCTCGTTGAGGTTTGTTTCGTAACAGAATCTTTCCATTGAACATTTGCGCGATATTTCTTAGGCGGATTTAGCAATTGTGGAAATGGTACTTCTTTACTGATTGGTTCGATACGATGACGTAGTAGTTCGAGAAGTGCACGTTTGTAATTGCCCTTTGTATCGGTCTGAAATAGAGTAGGATAAATATGTTAATTAGAATTCAAACAAACCTGAATATGATCGAAAAGCGTACGATGAGCTATCTTTTCGAATTCGGATTTGATTTGTACCATATCGATTTCACATCGAGAGACGATAATGCGTGTTAAATTATTTTCATTCGTGCCCAATCCCTTATATAGATAAAAGAGAAAATAACCTTGAAGTTACGATGTTTATCCTACTTTCAGACTTTTCTTTAGTTCATAGGCGAAAAATCGCGCTTGATTTCTTGTAAATCGAACTAGCAAGGAAAAATATTGAACTATGTCATCAAAAGACAAGTTCGTATTTACCAATAGCCATTAATGTTCGACTAAGATCAGAATTTACATCCATTCTGATCGTATCTTCAATATCAACCCTTGTATACTGTTGATAAGCCGCAAACGTTTGTTTCAAATGCTCATTACTAAATAGAAAAATACTGAAATTCGTACAGTTTACCAAGAAATGAATTCAGTACCTTCGATTGCATAGTAATCGAATGAATGATGATCCATTAGCACGCCATTTCGCCTGTGATTCTGCCAGATATCGAGCATCATCAAGTACTTCATCCTGATCGATGCGATCATCTTCGGGACGGTTTGCTTGAAGTAATGCCTGAAAGATTCTTATTGATGGTGTATCGGGAAACGCAAGAAGATCTTGTTCCACTGTACTCTCAAAAACTATTGAAGCAAGCAAAGTTATTTGAATCAATGAATCGAATTCATTTACATTTGTTATAACAGCTCAGAATAGCTCGGATTTGTTGATTGGTGTTTACTAAGAATATTTCGATCAGAATATTTTCATCCAGATGTGTATTTTTTAGTATTCGTCGTAATTCATAACAATCACGTTCAACAGATGGCAAAAGAAGAATTTTCAGAACCTTTTTCGAATTATCAGTAATGCTCGATTCGATAACATGGATCAGATTCTGAAAAGCAAACATATAGTAATGTACTTCTCAGATTGGAATCACTGTCTTTGGTTATTTAGAACAAATGGGACTTACTTGATGATAAAGATTCTTGTAGACATCACGAATTTGAACACGTTGAACAAGACTTCGATTACAAAGAATTCTTATCACCGCTGCTTCGTCAACATGCGATTGATTGAGGATTTTGTTCAACTGTCGACAATCTAAATCGAAGACAAACAATCGCATTGGTACAGTTTACTCGTTCACCAACCTTGTTCAACATCGAAGCCATTGGATCGAACTAGAGTTCCTTCGGCAACAGCGACATGTCTAATGTCTTCCATCGATGGTGATTTTACTTGAATATAACTGGAAGAATGATAATTCTCTCTTTTGATCTCGTGTGCTGACGACGAGCGAAGAATGGACTTTCGTGTTACAGTTGTATCTTGCGATGATCTGGACGAATATCGATTTAATTCGTCTCGATATTTCTCTATGCGTTGTTTAAGTTCAGAACGAATGTGCAGAGCATTTTTAAGTTGTTCTTCTCTGTCATGTATTATTTGTTCAAGCATTGTCAAATGTCTTTGATCACTTGATCTTGAGCGTAGTTCAATATCATCTTCAGTTATTTTTTTTCGTAATATTTCGATTTGATGTTGAATTTCTTGAATCGAACCTCGCACAGAACTTACCTGTTGTTCTACTGTTTTTCTTTCACGTTTTACTTGATCTAGTTTTTGTTCGTGCTCTCGTGTCACGTTCGGAGTTGGACGAGATCTACACATATGATAACGATGTAATTCTAGTTCATACTGTCGATGTAATTCGTCGCGATACGTTTGAATCTTTTTTTCATATTCAACACGACTACGTCGAACATGATGAATCAATTGTTCACGATAGTGTGCCGATGGTTTTAATGCTACAATCTGTATATGATGATCGACTGAAGTTCGAACTTCATCAACTGTTGCTGCGTGTGTGTCTTCGGTGGAAATTTTCTCACTTTCTAATATTTCTACTTCGCTTTGCAGGACTTGTTTAGCAAAGATTTCTTCATCTAGTTCATAACGTAATTTCGCTTGCCGAATTTGTAGATTTTCGTTTTTCACTGTATAAAATTGAATTTCGTCATTGAACTGTTGAATACGACAACGTAGAAATTCTGCTTCAGCTCTTGTTTGTGCTAACTGACGATGATAGTCGAATATTTCACGATTTGACGAATTTCGCTTGGATAATAATTGTTGATAACATTCGTCATTCGCTAAAGTTACCTGATGAACATCTTGAAGTTTCTTTTTCATGTCAGGTTTATACCGTGATGCATCTTCTACTAATTCACGAGCTGTTTGGGTTTCCTGACGAAACATTTTCTCAATTGTCGACGAATTCTTATTCGCGTTATTTTCTAACCATTCAATTTGCATCTCTAATGCACGATTGTGAACTTCTAAATAACAACATTGTAGAATAGTGTCGGTTAATGTTTCTGTTATATTAAACAATTCACGCTGCTCATGAATGGAACGTTCTCCATCGATAATTTCAGTCGACGATGCATGCGAATAGGAAGTTTCAACTAATGCAGCTAAACCATGATCCGTCGAGACGGGTGTTGACTTGACCGTTGATCCAATGGTCGAAAGAGCAAAATTTCGCAAGGAACCAGTGTAAGTATTGGCTACATTGACACCAATAGTCCGAGGACCAATGTATTTCCTAACTGTGGATGAGTTGTACGGTGGAGCGGTAGTGGGTCGACCCAGTTCATCGATACCGTAATGATTATCATTGGTTTTCGTGTTTCTTTTCAATGCCATCACAATGAAATAACAAACCACACTTAGACATTTAGCTTCTCGTAAGTTTTTTTTCTCTGTTATCACTTATCTGATAAAAAGTTACCTTGAGCTGGAAATCTCCTTCGTTGATCTTTCTCATACTAGCGTACGCATTTTCATACGGTATATTTATCTTTACATGGTAAAAATCATACAACATCTTTTTTGTTATTTTTGATAACAAATTGAAGTACTGTTATTCTCTCTCTCGTTTATTTCTTCACTGAAGAACGAACATTCATTTTTACAATTCTTGTATGCGATTAGAAACATTGGTTGATTGTTGGTGTAAACGAATTTGTTTTAAGTTTCTCTCAATTCGATTCTTGTCATGCTGATATTGGGTTAGTTCATAGCGAAGTTCGTGTTCAATTTGTTCTAATTCGTGTTCGAGTATGACTAAGCGATTCGAATGTGTAATCGTCCAACTTAGAAAATAATCGATTTTATGTGAAAGTGACTGAACTAGTTTTCGACTGAAGATTTTTGGTTTTTTGGTCTTTTTCAGTGGAGATGTTTTCGAAATAGTTGGTTTTGATTCAATACGCAATTTACTATTGGCCTAAAAGAGAGATTTGCGTCGATGTCTGTGTCGAAATATTGACTTACTGATCGGTTGACGGGCTGTTTTGCTTTGACTGGTCGATTGGTATGAAATACGTTTGTTATGGTTGAACTCGGCTTGCTCGACTCTTCAGACTCTGGTGGCTTATAATCTTGAATTTGAATCAGAAATCGTTTGAGATCGGAGAGTGCCGCGAGTACATAAGTGTTTGACGGTGTCTGACGCGAATATGGACCATGAATGATGCTGATGACATCAGCGAATAAATTAACAAAGAATTCTTCCGAGATAGAACACGAGATTGTTTCATTGTGTAGACATTCTCGAAGTAGGGAAGTACGTGTGCGAAGGATTGAGACAGGATCTTCTTGTTCGTCGAATGGATCTGGTTTTTGGGTGAAATGTCTTGATGCGACATGAACGAATTCAGTGCCAGCTTCGGCTATGTAAGGTTGAAAATCTCCTCGATAACGAATACTGATAAGAACATAGGCAAAGAGAACTTCAAATACATCAAATCGCACGTGAACATGAGGGAGGATCGATGTTAATGATGGAAGCGGTACAATATTCGATGCGATTGCTGGAATCGTATCAGGTAGACCAGATGCTGTCGAAGTGTCTAAATCCGACACGAGCGGTGGTGCAGAAGTTTTAAATAACCACCATGGTTTCCATGGTTTATAGTCGTTGAGTAAATGGGAAATCCGTCCATCTTGTAACATTTTTTTAAACTCTTGTTTCTCTTCTGTGGTTAAATAACTCCATAGTTGATTGACATTCTCATCTGATTCATCGACATCATTCGGTAAATCTGGAGGTGGTTCTTCGTCACTGGCAATACGCTCTTCACCTTCATCATCGTCACCTTCATCATTCTCACCCATTTCCTAAAAGGATTCAGTTGTTTTCCTATGAACCGATCGAATCGTTCTACATACTTCTCGATATGCTTGCGAGTCTTTTGTCGGTAATAAATGTTCGAAAAGTTCATCAATTTGTCCATCGTCTTCGTCATTATGAAAGTCTTTTTCATCTAATTTCCGTTTCAGTATATCTTCGATTCTTTCTCGCACGAAATTGTTCGTCGTCGTTCGATTTTCATCAGGAATCTCATCGATGGTCATCGAATCGATCAATTCTTTTTCGTCGAATTTCCTCGAACATTTCTCATGCAATTGATCACGGTAGCACGTTAAACTACAATACTTCAGTTGACATTTCGGACACCTATACGGTGCTGATTTTTCTTGACAAATTTGACATAAAGTATCGTAGTTCATTGTTTGATCTAAAATGGATTTCATCCGAATGAGTTCGCAGCGATGAATGAAGATTTATAGAAATTCACATGTTTATTTTTCCTTTGAAAAACAAACTAAAACGTTTAAGTTAGGTTTCTCAAAAGTATCAAACAAGTTGCGCCGACACGCTCATCTAGAAAAAAAAACATATATGTTGATGCGCCATGTAAAAAAGAACTCAAAACAATAATAACAACAACAGCAACAGCAAATGTCTCATGAAATAACAGTGTCATAGTGATGTGGAGAAAAGAAGAAGTCAGATTCGAGTGTTTCCAAAGTAAGAAGATGAGCACGAGAAGAGAGAAGAACAATTCGCATGTCTTAGCTTGTTTCGTTTGTGTAACAGTTTACTCATTTAAAAGAAAAACAAAAGAACACGAACACTGGGAAATCAATCGTGAGATAGAAAAAGAAGAACAAGTATCACGTTGTGTATTATGTAAAAGAAAAGAAAAGCAGATCACTCAGGACGGAATGTAAATAGAATTAATCGATTGTTTGTTCAAAATTGAAGTTTGCCTTTTGAGATTAAATTAAAGATTTCAGGTATTAACCTTTCGTACGTTTGTTTCTTGTGATTTAAATAGTAGATTGGCTCGGTAACACGTTCAAGATCAAAGCCTTCTTCTTGAAATACGGTTTTTTTCACTTTAAATGTACCTGAAACGAAAGCACGGAATTACAAATGTACACGGGTGATATGAATCAGTCAACAAACCGGTCATTTCGATATGCTTGGTCACACGAATGAAACACGGTCGAGCGTAGGAGGGTAAACCATGTTTCTTCATATCGTTCGCTAGTTTACTCATATTGATCGGTGAAGATGTACTTTCAAGGACGACAGCCATTCCTGCTTTTCCATCAGTGTCTAAAACAGAAACACAATATCCAAAACTCTCGGTGTGAGAAGAATGAATCTTATACCTGGAATAGACACACCGAAAACCAACACATCATTTTGTTTGAGAATATCCATGAGAATGTTTTCGATTTCCACAGTAGAGACATTTTCGCCTTTCCAACGAAACGTATCGCCAGTTCGATCGCAAAAGTACAAATAACCATATTTATCTGCTACCATTACATCACCTATTCGAAAAGTACACAAACTACTTTCACAACTGATAATTATCGTGCTTTTTCTTTACCTGTATTGAAGGCACGATCGCCTTGTTTGTAAATATTTTCGACTATTTTTTTGCTCGTTCCAGACGGATTATTCACATAGCCATCGAAAGCATGTAGTAAACTTTTCCCGATCATTCCTAACAGTAGTCCGCGTTCGCCTGCTTTGCACTGTATACAATTCTTCGTCTTTTCGTTTCGTATCGGTTCCATTGTTGTCGGATCAAACCGTACAAGTACACTTCCAAGCGCACGTGGAACAATTAACGAATAAAAACCGCACGCACCCGGATGTGAATCGACATTGACTAGAGACGAAAAGTGGATGTAACAATCGTCAACATTGTTATGTCTACTTACAAAAATATGCATTGCTTTCCGTTGCAGCGTAGAATTCATAGACGTTTCGGATATTGAATCGGTCGACGAATGAGCTCCATAGATTTTGTCGAAGACCATTACCCGTACAAAGTCGAATGGAATGTTTACGATCATATTCACCAGGTGGTTGAGCAAGTAAAAATCGGCATAGTTCGCCGACATAAGTAAAACCCTACATCAATTTTGTTCAGCAAAATGGATCATCTTGAACGATCACTTACTGTACACTTGTATCTGACACAATCTTTCCAGAAATTGGAAGCGGAGAATTTTCTACGTAATACTGTTGTACAACCACCCAAAAGACTAAAACAATCAGTAGAATTTTACAATATCATGTGTTATGCAATGCTTACCTGTAGCTAATACAGATCCAACCGCCTAAAAAGTAACAAGAGTAGACAGAAGATGGCGTTTTTGCAAAAGAGAACATACCCAATGAATGATAGAGTGGAAGAGTATCATACATAATATCTTTATCATTAATCCCGGTTGCTGAGAGAAAACCAAGTGCACCAAGTAGAAATCTATCGAAGAAAACAAACATATTCGTCACATTCCATCTCTTCCATAGACGAGTCAATTATCACTAAGCATGCGATCTGTCAAACAGCTTCCACTAGCACATGAATCATTTCACTGTATATAAAACTGACTCAAATGTCGCTTTTGGTGGATTATCTCAATGCTATGTGTATATAAGTAAATATTGAGAGTATACAGATAAAATTCCAATTCGCGTATGCTAGAAACTATCGAACAGAAAAAAAACCTCACTCATTAAACTGAAGTTCCATCGACATTATTGTCCTAAGTGGATACAAAATTAATTATACTCGGACTCATTATCTTCTATCATCAGAATGTCTATAGAAGAAAAACTAATAATCGCAATTCTTTTGTTGCGCTTTGAAAATAGTCCTTCTTTGTATTCAACTAACCTCGAATGTTTAATAACAGCAGCTTTTGGTAATCCTGTAGTTCCTGAAGTGAATATATAGAAAACAGGTTCTATAAAAAGACAAGGACGAATATATCATTTGAATTCTCCTTTAATTAACTTTACGTTTCAAGTCGAATGGAATAGGCTTCGTGGGTTTCGTTGAGCATTGTTTCAAACTGTCATATAAATGAACAGTTTCAATGTCACTTATCGACGCATGGCCATTCGTTGTCGAACTTGACTTGGGATCGAAGAGATAAACTTTATTAATATTTAATTCCTTCAATTCATTTTCGATCTCTACACAAAATCAGAAAATATGTATGTTTTGCTCTAGAATCTATGAGTTTTCATTCTTACCTGGAAGAATCTGCTTGGATGTGATAATACTTTTTGCATTTACTGTTCGTATTGAATGAAGTAATGGTGTAGCACGTAGATTTGAATTGATCAATGCAGTAATACAACCAAATTTACTCAAACCAATCCATACGCATGGATATTCAATTGAATTATCTAAGATCAATGCAATAACATCGCCATGAGAATAACCCTCGGCAAGAAAGAAATTCGCTAATTGATTGGTCAGATCTTCGACCTAGAAAAACAGTTTGCTATTTAACAGGTAAGTTCAATGCATGAAAAACAAACCTCTTGAAAGGAGAGTGTCGTATCTTCTAGTATAAAACATGGTTTTGATTTATAACGTTTCACATTTTTTCGAAATATGGCGAGAAAGTCTTGCTGTCGGTACATATAATACTGAATCAAGAACGAATGTCCAAGGAGTTTATAGAGACCACGTAGATCACGCGGTAGAGTTCGAAGAATACATAATACATAATCGAATAAACATACAAAATACGTCCATATTTGATCGAACATCTAGAAAAGAAATACAAATGACGAATGTAATGATCTGTTGTTGTTTCGCTTGGATTCACACTTTATTTATGGTTCGCGATAGACTATTGTCATGGTTAATGTTATTTTTGTTTCAATGTGCGAGCATCAATAAGTATAAACCTAAACACATATGCATCACCATGAGAGTATGAGTAAGAAGAAAATGACGATCGTCCGTTTATTTTCTTCTTTTTTTTTCTTCCTTTCTTTCCTTTTTTAATATTAACGTCGAAGAGAAGAAACAGAATGAAGTGCAAAGAAAAATGAGAAAAATCAAACATTTTCTCGTTCTTTTTCTTCTTTCTTTTTTTCTCCTACGTGATTAAGAGTCATGCACATTGAATTAATGTGATACAAACGACGTCCTAACATTCCTCGAGATACCGTCGATACATTCTTTTTTTCGGCGAGTTTGCATCTCGACACAGCATGAAAAGGAGACACAGAGAGAAAGGAAAACACAAGCGTTTTATTAGTCCAAAAACAGTTTATAGATTTTGAATATTATTGAAACACATAAAATATTTAAATACAATTCTGTCTCGAGGAAAATAAGAATACTCGAAGCTTGTATCGCTCTAGCAAATCTCATCTGGAAAATCTCCTCGATAGTCAATATCGATTCGACATATGGGACATCGCTTGCTTTGCATTAACCATCGATCTACACATTCGATGTGAAAGAGGTGCATACAAGGTAAACGACGCACACATTCATTCAGATCGTATTCAGATAAACATATAGTACATTTTTCTTCGGATGTATGTGCACTTTTCGTGTATTTGTAGGATAATGTTCGACAATTGATTTGTTCGATAGTGGCACCTGAGTTTGTCGGACCATTCAAACCATTTAACTGTTCTTCCATACGTAATAGTTCCTCGAGAACATGCTCATTGTTATGTAAAAAGAGTGGATTGCGAAATGAACGAAGTATCAGAGGTGTTGGCGGCCATGAGTTATTATTTTCGATTCTTGCATTCATTTGAGAATTTAGATTGTACGCTGCTGTCGGTTGAATATTGATATGTGTATGAATATAGTGATTAGATGTTGTGGGATTATTCAACAGCGCATGAAGATGTTGATCAGCAGTGAGCATAGCTGATGATGATGGTGCATGGCTTTGAAATGCACTCAGACGTTGACGATGCAATTCAGATGCCAGTTGTTGTCGGTATTGATGACGAAGTTGAGCCGGATTATGAAGACGTGGCATGGGTGGAAGGGTAGCTGGATGAGAGTTCACTTGAGACACTGCAGATGCATGATGTAAACATGAGCATGAGGAATTTGAGGGATTAAATGGTGCAAAAAGTTCATCATCACTTGAGTCAACTACTTGTGTCGGAATGCGATTAATTTGACTGTAGAGTGGAGGAGTTGAGTGTATTAATGAATTCGACATATTGATAAGATCAGAATTTATAGTTGTAGGTGCAGAATTATCATCATCGGACGAAGATGATGAATATTCTTGGATCTGCAGTTGATGAGATGATGATGAAGACGCAGAACCTTTCGAGGAAAAGAAGAGCAAACAGAGATCAAGGATCTGTGAAAATAAGTTTGTACAATCTACCTGAAGATGATTGTATGGGACGAAATCGTTTTGATGGCTTGTATTCATTAGATATCGATCGTTTCCTTCGATTAGTAGATGATGAATAATAACTCGGATCGGACCCTGTGCTAGCTGACATCGTTGAATGTTGTCCACCTGTCTTATTTGATGAACATTTCTTCAGAAGAGATTTGTAACGCGGTAGATTTGTCGGTGTCGTTGTTGTTGAGGGTGGTGCGTCAGCAGTAGCGGCAACAACAACAACAAGAGAATCTAATTATTGAATTATGTGTGAAAATAATCGCGAACGAAAAAGAAACATTTGTTTACCACTGTTTGTACGTGTCGAAACTGCGTATGATGTGGGTGGATGAGTGTCTCTCAATATGTCATGACCATCAGTCGTCGTTTCAGTTCGTACAGTTGTAGAATCGATGACATGAGGAATGGGTGTGGTCTCATCAGCGAGAAATTCAGCAAACGCCGCGCTCATTGCCGATGTCACGTCGTCCGGATTAACAGTTGCTGCGGATTGTTGTGGTAGAATATTCATTAAATAATCTAAAAAACACAACGAGTTGAGTTTGCAATCGATGAAGTCGATAAAGAAATCATCTTGTACGATTTTCACGACCCACACAAATATCTCCTGGCGATGTTCATGTATACCTCAGTTGTTATTGCTACTAGTAATGCTTTTTCTTCTTCTTCTTCTTCTTCTCCTTTTTTTCTCATCACTCGTCAATGTTATACTCGTCGACCGCCATTTGAGAATAGGGAGCACACGCGAGCTTGTTCGCATTCGCTTTCGCGATAATAAATGTTTTTCTTCTATCTTATACGTCTATAGGTTCAGTATAAACTTTTCTTTCTACTCCATTCTATGCACTTACGGTATGAGAACGAGAAAAATATTATGTCACTCACGTCTGCTTTAAGTGCAAAGTAGCTCAAACCTCATTATTGAAATCATTCCTGAATGAAAAGCGAAGTCTTTCTTGTCTAATTGTTCTCAAAAACGTGAAACGAGGCATTGAATAATCGAAGTTAAGAAGAGCATCTCTATCCGAATGCTGAGTACATACAAACATGACAGTCGAATGGAGTACAAGTAAGAGACGCCGCCGAGAACGGGTGTATATATATATGCTTTGCATTGCCAAAAAAGAGAAGAAGAAGAGGAAAAAAGCACGAGAAAAAAGAACGCAGTCAGAAGACTTTAGGGACGTTATACACCTAAAAAGAACCATCAAGCAATAGTATTTCTCTTTTTCTGCTGTCTCTGCATCATGCAGTGCTAATAAACAAAAAACATCATAATAACGTGTTTATTCGTCAAAATAGAATATTGACAAAATTTACAAAAAAAGAATCAATTTTTAGCTTCGTCTGTCTTGTTGATATCCTTGTAAGTCATCGAATACTCGACATTCGTGCACTCACACCATCCTCTCGTGAAATATGAATCATGTGTTGACCTTGACGAACTTTCCTAGAACAGAATAAGATTTGTATTTGAAACTGGTGAGTTAAACAAATGTACAACGGGTGAAATCAGGATATGTGATTTACAAACACACGCCTGTTGGAATCGTTCTTCTTGAAAAGATCACTTTTGCACTTTATATTCACTATCAAGATGAAGTTCAGAACTTTCAGATAATAGTACTGAAAGGTCGACCTCTAAAGTGCATGTCACATTCAAAGCTGAAATGTATGTCAGAATTGTCACCTCCAGGTTTCAACTTACTTTGTATAATAAATGATAAAACCATTCTTCGTCCTTATGCGATAGAACTAGAATAAGAAATGTTAAAACCTTGCTATTGTAGTTGTGCATATTAATTAATGAAGATTTTACCTATGAGACCAAATTAGAATTCCAATGAAGCATTATCATCGTTTATTTTATTAAAACGACTACATTTTCGTCGAGAGAATCGAATTATGATCAAATCCAACTTTAACGAGATGTTGTTTTGTTTTATTTGATATCGTATTCAAAAATGAAAACGACTCTCCCCTCAGCCTCCTCTACAATAGTATAATCAACCGATCGATGTTGTGATGCACTACAACTGTAAAAGATGTCGTTATATACTAAGCGAACAACTTTTTTATTCAAGAAAAGTAGATCATCAACTTTTACAAAAGTTCATTTTGTAGCTCTTCAAGTGTTGATTGTACCGTACTACGACATTCTTGTAAACTTTTGTTCACTGCTGGATCGTCTGGATTAGTCAAGTCAGTCAGATACCACGACGCCAGATTTGTTACGAATCGGTCGAATTTTTTCAATAGAGAAAAGTGTTGAATCGTTCGTGGTGTCAACACGTTTCGTTTGTCTAATTCGTCAAAGAAGAACTCTTGAATATCTTTGTCATTGTCATCGTTAATAGTATTGTACGAAGTAAAATATTCTTCCGAACATGGAAATGAACCGGCCCATTCCCAATCAACAATACCGGTGATACGTGGAGAATCAGGATCATCCATACATACTAGAATATTGTGAAAATCTAAATCGCCATGTGAAAAGACAAACGGTAAATGATCAAATGATGGAAACGGTAATCGCTCGAATCGCTCGATTGCATCGAGCATTGCGTCTTTAATTGGTGCGAAGACAGGATTTGTATTCAATACAGATCGCTCTGACTGAGCTCGAGTACGAATGAACTGCTCGTAGGTTGACCAAGGTCCGAGTTTATTCAGATCTGTACCGATACGTCCATCGAGTGTGAAAGCACCAATTTGATTGTAACGTGGAACTTTGAAGTGCATTTGCGCGACATAGTCAGCTAGGTCTCGAATAAGGATCTTCTTTGTGTTCGTAGTTAACGTTTGCCTACTACAAACATCTCCTAAATTTTGTCCAGGTAATCGTGTCATCAAGATCCATTCGACACCGAATTCATTATTTCGATCCGATGAATACGCCAGCACTTTTGGCACTGGAATAGTTGTATATTCATGTAGTAATTGTAAAGCTCGAACTTCTGCTTCTGTTTTTATTCGAATCCAATATCGACCGCCAATTTTCAGTGCGTATTCTTGTCGATTTTCAGTTGTCTTGATGAAGAAAAGCAGATTATTGTAGCCAATATCGACACATTCAAATGAAGTTATTGTTTCGTGTAAATGTGTTCGAATTAAACTCTCCGCTTGTTCACGTGTAAAGGAAATTCCATCTCGAGGCCCCTTCCGTTCTAAAAGTTGCGAAGACATCTTTTATGTTAATTAAGTAAACTTTCTCCATGATGATTATACAGAATAAAAAGAAGTGTTATTTCGAAACTCGAACGTCATTTGTGAGTCACGAGATAAGAAAATTTATTCGTCATCGTATTTGACTAGCCAGATGGTACCGAGCACGAGCGCCAAATGCTTGTTTCTATCGATTGGTTATTCTGTCTTCCAGTGCAACGAAGTAGTCGAGAGTATGTATACACCAAGTTTCTTTTTTTCTTCTTGTTGTTCTGAGATTCTTTTCTACTGCTGCTTAGGCAATGTAAATACTGAAAAAATCTGTAATGAAAAAAGATACACCATTTATCATTGATTTCAACAGTAAATCTCACACAGGATCAGATTTTTCAGTATACCGAGTATGTTCTGAAGTTTACCAATAGACCCCGTATGGCTTCCGACCGTAGATGAATTGAAGCATTGCACGGCTTTACCTTTATTAGAGTTTGTCAGGAGAAAAAAACATGTTTTAAATCGTTTCCTTTGAATAATTTAGTTCTGCTGTCGTTCACCTCGACAACAACGTACATGGATTGTATCATTAAGCTTTCTTTCTATTCTATCCCTACTTGTTTATATTGGTTATTCTAAACATTCTTCAAAATTTACCCAACACATTTCATTTGAATATCATCCAAGCGAAAACAACAAAGAACCATGGCAACAAAAGCAACGCAGACATGTGAGTCGAATATTTTCATTTTTCTTTACTAAGATAACAAAAGAAGCAATGCTTTCGCTTCATTCTACATGTCTTCTCAATTGAGTTTCACGAGAGTCTATCTTCTCTTCTTCATTTCCTATTGCACTTGTGAGGATCTTGATTTAATTTCGTTTTCTAATGTCTGTTTCTCTCGATGCAATGAATACGAAGCGAAAGTCAATGTAGGTTCGATACGTATTATAACTTTATTAAATATTTCCATTGATGTATTTAGGAGAACCAGCGTATCGAAGGAAAAGTGTTCGCACGTAAATATGAAAACCTGTTTCCTTTGCCTCTCTACGAAGTGAAACGCATCTCGTTTAGTTCCAACGAACGAACGCCAGATAGCTGTACGTGATGCAATGCGACATGCTTGGAAAGCATATCGAACATATGCCTGGGGTTTTGATGAATTAGAACCAATCTCGAAAAGACCATCGGTATGGTTCGGTTTAGGTTTAACTATTGTTGATGCGATTGATACTTTATACATAATGAATATGACCCAAGGTGAGATCGTTTTTCTGTGAATATGAAGGCATTTTTCGAAATTTTACTTAAGAGTATAATCAAGCTCGAGAATGGATTGAAAACTATTTCAATATGGATGTGAATCTTGTGGATAAATTCAATTCCCACTTCGAAATCACCATACGGATACTTGGTGGTTTGTTGAGTATATATCATTTAACAATGGATGATGTATTCATGAAACGAGCAGTAAACAAGCGAAGAACATCGATGGTATAAGGAATTCAGTAATGTTCTAGGTTGAATTGGGCGACCGACTATTGTTAAGTTTTAACACGAGTTCAGGATTACCGCTTGCCGAAATCAATCTGAAACGGAAGATCGCACATACTTATGGGTATGTAAAGAAGTGTCGTTCATTTCAAGCAGTTGAACACCTTAAATTACTACTAGGTGGACATCCGATTTGACTACAGCAGAAGTGGGGACAGTTCAACTGGAAATGCGTGATCTATCACGAATAACCGGTGATAATAAATATGAAGTTAGTTTTGTTCGAAATCCGTCTCAAATGAACAGCGCATTGATGATTATTTAGAATGCAGCTGATCGATCAGCAGCCGTGCTTCACGACCAGGCCAAAAATGATGGTCTAGTACCGATCTTTGTCAGTTCGATAACTGGCCAATTTTCTGGTGAAATTATATCGCTTGGTGCACGTGGTGATTCCTACTATGAATATTTACTCAAACAATGGTTGCAAACAGGACGAAAGCGGCCGAAGTAGGTGAAACATGTTCTATTGATAGTAATAATCGAATCGACACTTTTCTTTTCATCGCAGTTTTTGGAACGACTGGATAGAGAGTATTGGTAAGTTAAGACGACTGTGATCAGATCATGTTAATATTTCGCTCTTTTTCAGATGGCGTCCGAAAACATCTCTGGCGTGTAGCATATTCTGAAAATTTCTATTTCGTCGGCGAATTATTGGGTATCTCAGTGTTCTCACCGAAAATGGTAATTCGAAGTTTTTTCGCAAAAGTATTGATTCAGAAACAAATTCAATTAGGATCATTTGGTTTGTTTTCTTGCTGGTAATATGGCACTCGGCTGGCACTTTCGTCGTGATCTAACCTATCTACTTGACATGGCGAAAAATTTGACGGCAACTTGCTACGAAATGTATGCTCAACAACCCACGGGTCTCAGTCCTGAGATCGTCTATTTCAACCTCGATGCCGAGTCGAACAAAAGTGCAATTCTCGTCGAAGTAAATTGACTTCGTCATTAAAAAAACATATTCCGCATGTCTTATTCAGGATAATGATGTTCATAATCTCCTCCGACCGGAACTAGTCGAGTCATTATATTACATGTATCATTTAACAGGCGATAAAATTTACCAAGATTGGGGTTGGCAGATATTTCAATCATTTGAAAAATATACGCGCCAAAACGACGGTTACTCATCGATCAATGACGTTCGACATGTTGACGATGTTCAACCACGTGATAAGATGGAAAGCTATTTTCTAGCTGAAACATTAAAATACTTTTATTTGTTATTTCATCCAACGAATCTATTTCCATTTCATCAATGGATATTCAACACCGAAGCACATCCATTACCCATCTACACGAATTGATTCACTAATTACTAATCTTGTATGAATAAGTGGGGAATCCTCAATTGAAAAATACCTATTCATTCTTTTGTTCGAAAAAACTATTTTTCGCTGATATGTATCTTGTTAATAAAAAAAATACTTTATCATGATGACAAGGTGATTTTTTTCTCTTTCAGAACGATAAATATCGCAGTGTTTTTCTTTTCTTCCTACCACAATTATTACACATTCTAACGGTTTGTATCATGTCTTCGGATGCACAGGTAAGATCAAACTTTCATTCAGTGCTATGCGTTGAAAATCTTTTGTTTTAGAATGAAAATAAAGATAAACTCGAACCTGTACTCAATCCAATATTTCCCAAAGCTACCGAAATACTTTTCTACACTGGTAACACGTTGACATTATTCAAAATAATGAAGAAAACTAATACAAGTGTCACTGAAGAGGTAAATTACAATCGATTCGAATATGCAAGATTCGTTGATTTCGTTAAATTTAGATTACGGAATATATGTCAACAATGTTACAAACAATGAGAACAGAAGGAAATGAAAAACATTTTCAAGTAGAGAAGAAAGAAATCTTTTCATGTCGAAAGCGAAGGAGGAATTTGTTTTAGAATCAAACGTATGTGAAGTTTCTTCCAACATCGGATGAAGCAACAGTCGCCAGTAATCAGAATGGCTCGAGTCCTGACAATGAACAGTTGACACGCGAAGACTTAAAGTTTTCCGGTAGAAATCTTCTTTTTCAATGATTCGAAAATAATTTGATCATTTTAGTGAAGATTTTTCTTCGTTCATTGGAACCTGAGGTCTTATCACATACGATCGATACAGGTCTTTACATTTGTTCATTGAAATGACTTGCAACGTTCGTTTCTGTTTAGTTTTACAAGAATTAAAAGAGAATTATTTAGAAAGCGTGATGATTTCTCTTCCGAATTACGGTGCACAGATTACATTGAATGAATTTCTTCCTCTGTGGCGTATTGTCGAGGATTATATTGACAAACAGAAGATTCTCTCAGCTGGTGTTTGTGATTTCATGCTTCCATTATTTTCAGATTTATGTGATGCTTGTAAAGTAAGACACGTTTTCACCTAAGATCAAACCATGTTCCTCAACGTTCGTCTTCTTAGCATAAACCATATGCCAATCAAATCAACCTAGGAGTATGTTGTTCGATTCCAGAGGAACTAAATAAATATGTTAAAGAGCACAACATTCAACTTTTAACACACAGTGATCCAATTGGTGAGTCGAAAGTCAAGTTTATGAATATAATTTTGTTTTGCTGTAATAGATGTTATTTCGGACTCTGATTTTCAACAAGTTCTTCGAGAATATTGCCATGAGTATGATGCAATGAATTGGAAGCCATTGTCAATCGTTCGCTATAACTCCGTCATTGCCAATCGAGGAATTATCAAAACCAAAGGATTTTTTGTCTATGCTAAACGCGAACTACGCATGAATTGAAAAACAAGGCACAGACTTGATCTTTTTCTTCTTTTATACAATAAACTGATCATTAAAAAACTGTTTCATCTACTTTGACATCACTTCCTCTTGCCATCAAGAAAGTATCGAGCTTCACAGACCAGTTGCAAGTCGTAGATTGTGACTGATGCTAGTGTCTATATAATTACCGGTGATTCACTGTTCGGGAAAATCACGTCCACCTTGAAGATTAACGAGGCAGGGAACGAGAAGTTTAATGAAAGAGAACATCAAAACGAACAACTCAATCAGAAAATGAACGTCGGCAAATGTCAAATTCATTATCAGATTCGACATATTCCTGAACTTTATTCACCTAACCAAATGATATTTTCTCTCGTGCATCTCAGACGACGATTTCAGATCATTTCCATGTAAAGGAAAAGAAATGACGATGAATTATTCTTTGAAAGCATGTCAAGAGAAGGAGATAAGAGTTATGATTAAGTTACTTAGATATCGTAATCATCTCGAAGAAAGGATAATCATATATTTTTATCTATAATTAACACAACAGTTCTTCCCTGTTCATTTTCGAGCGAGAAAGCTTTTTTTTCTTGCGAATAGTACGCAATCAAAACGACATTAGTGATACTTGTTAGTGAAGAGTGCAAAGAAAGTAAGTAAAATTATCCGTTACTTCAAGTATGAGAGAACCTACGTTCACTTGTGTGACACAAAGCGCTTGAAAATCATCATATTTTTTGTCTAATAAAGTACAAGGCTCTTGAATATATTCAAAGGATTATTGTCCGAGAGAAAGAAAACATTTCTCAATAAATGATCACGAAGAAAATTCATTAAATTCACGACATGCATTCACTTGCAAATGAATATTCGAGAAAAAGGCTAAGCTATTGTTTTTTTTTCTATAACACATTATTACCACTAATGTAAGATCTTTTTCTTTATTCCTTCCAATCGATAATAATGTTCCAAACAAGGTCGTTGAACTCTCTTCTCATTCTTACTATAAAAAAAAACGAGTAGAAGTTTATTGACATCAGAGATGTTTGTCAATGGAAAAAAAAGGAAAAGTCTGACATGTATCATCATGTCATTTCTTTATCTCTCATACTTGTCACATTTCACACTGCTCGACTTGGTAGGACAACATTCGAGAACGATAATGTACTTCTTTTACATCTTGAATCTTCCCGATGTCGGAATATCAAAAGGAAACAGCGTGTTTAAATCCTTGAAGTGATAATTTTTTGCATGAATTGCTTCAATCCGTCTTTTTCTTTTTCAGGATGATTGTTCTCTGAGCTTTTTCAATCTTCTTCTCTCCAACTAGCTGAACATCACATTTGCAATATATTTATTCATCCTGTGACGTCACGCGTCTAGAAACAAATAAACATAGATATGTGGAAATGTCTCTCAGTATTTTAAGTAGTCAATATAGCAGAATCGAAAACAGTCGTTTTGCCAATCCGAAGAAATGTGCTGATTAGTTTAGAAATACGTCTACTTGTCAGAATAATTGAATCGAAGAAAAGGTGCGTATGTCGTCTTAGTAACAGTCGGTGTGTTATTATTTTCAATAGAGAGAAGTGAGGTATAGTTTAAGTATTAATGAATATCCTCCATCAGAGTTCCTATCTGTGACATCTGCGAGTTGTGCACCGCTTGAAATATTTCGACTTTCGTTGGCTAGCAATTCGGTCAATATTGAAGAGAAACTAGTTGTCAATGCTTAATTATCATGACTCTACGTGGCAAAACTCGAGTAGAAGAAATTGCAGGAAAAACCAACGGCATCATCAAAAATTGGTTCCGAACGGAAGAGAGAGGCGAGAGAAATTTTAACAGAAACAACTAGAATAAAATGGCATGACAATTTTGCACATCTTTCCTCATCGACAGATAGAGAGAAAAGAAGAAGCAGCAGCAGCAAAAGAGAAAGTATTTGTGTCTTCTACGGACAAGCACACAGGTAAAATGAACATTTTCCTCAAAAAAACGACAGAAAATCGTGCTTGCATTCATCGAAATCGATTTTTTCATTTTCTAGATTTTGACGACAGAGCTTCTCGAAGGGTTCATTCATGACACAGATTGAAGTTCCTCATGATTTACCAATAATTCTACGTAATTTCACGTTAAGCGTATTACGTACGAAGCCGCGTGATATTGTCGATCATGCTGTGCATTATTTCACTCAACTTCAACAACAATCACAGTTAATTACAGACGACAATAACATTGCGACAACTTCTCATTCCTCTTCGCCATCCATTAGTCAGAGCAAGACTTTGAAAAATAACATTGAATGTGCAGGTAAGTAGTGCATTTAAATGTTGACAGAAATACAAGACGATTAATTATGATTTCATTCTTAACTGGCAAGATTATTTTTACTGTTGAACGAGGAAATGCATCACATTTGATTTATTGATTCGTGAGACTTTTCTTTCTCCCCCCTCTCCCGTCATAAATCACGTTCTATTCTTTACCATCGACTGAGCAGAAGGAGTACTTGGAAAATTGACATCCGTCATATTCAAAAAACATCTTTTTCTCGAGCTCAAACTTTCAGATGTTTACTAGGAATGAGATTAGATTCAAAGATAAATGAAAGGAACAAAAAAGAAAAGTAGCACACAGAGGCACAGGCAGAGTGGATGTTTGCGTGACAGATATAAAAAGAGTCCATTTTTATACGTCTCATATGAAATCTGCTGATTATTTTTGATACATTATGCAAAAATTGATACTTTCTATAAGGTAAATAATGAAACTAATTTAACAAAAGATGCCACTCATATCTATATTTATTGAAAAACAACACGAATTTCTACGATGTGACTACTTAGATGATGCTGTAACTATGGAAAACAAAGGTTTGCCATCAGAAACCAAAGAAAATATAGTGACAAATCCAGTGAATATTTCCATTCATTGTACTTCATCCACTGTACCAGAAGAAGAAGAAGAAAGTGGATTGAGTGAAGAAGATGATGTTCTGGATGCTGACGAAAATATGCGAGTATGTCTAAGTTCTTTTCTTCAATCCAATCAGAATTTATTGAAATTTCTGATATTTCCTAGCGTCAATATATTCAAAAGAATGATTCACGACGTGTATCAGTTGCAGCTGAACGATACAATCCGGAGGATGACGATTCTGATGATGAACAAACCCACGTTTATCCCAAAACTCCGGACCAACGACGACGTTTGAGAGATGCTGTACGTCATAGTCTTTTATTTCGTACATTAGAAACGAAACAAATCGATTTTATCATCGATGCAATGTGGGAAAAACAAGTGAAAAAAGGAGAATATATTATTCAACAAGGTAAGTCATTTGTAGGGAAGATCTCCGTTTCATCTATACAAGTTCTTACTTTCAACTATCAACGTAGGCAAAGACGGAGACAATTTTTATGTTATCGACGAAGGAACATATGAAGTCTATGTTTCCAAAGAAGATGAACGTATTAGCGCACCGGTTAAAATTGGTGAATATGATAATACAGGTTCATTTGGAGAATTAGCTTTAATGTATAATCAACCGCGTTCAGCAACGATCATTTCGACGAGCGATGGCGTCCTATGGGTGATGGGTCGACAGACATTTCGTAAACTTGTTTTAAAACATGCATTTCGTAAACGTCAAATGTATGAAAACTTCTTACGTGATGTGGACATTCTGCAATCATTGACCGATTACGAACGATCAAATGTTGCCGATGCATTAATACCGATCGATTACTATCAAAACGATATCGTCATAAGACAAGGTGATGCTGGTGATCGCATGTTTTTCATTGAAGATGGTCAATGTGATATATTTGTGAATAATCAATGTCATAAACGTTTGACTAAGGGCGATTATTTTGGCGAACTTGCTCTTCTTACTCACGAACCTCGATCGGCAACAGTTATTGCAGCTAGTTATAAAGTTCGATTAGCATCATTAGAAGTGCGATCATTCGAACGTTTATTAGGACCATGTATGGATATTTTACATCGGAATACGTCGAGATATCTTAAATAACTACTAGTGTGTTTTTTTCAATGTGTTTGTATGTGTGTGTGTGTTCGAATTTTAATGATAGAATTTTAGTTTAAAGAAACGAATATGTATATGAATATTGATGATTTTAGGCCAGAGGAAAACGTGTTCATTGGATATTCCCACTTGCAAAATTTATTGTATCGGTTAACAGTAAAATGCGTATGTTGTTGTTATGAAATGATAAGAAACGATTATCCGAGAAAGAAGAGAAAAGAAGAAGGCAAAACGCAAATAAGTTTGCTATTAAAAATCACAATGCAAGGTTAATGCTAAGAGTGAAAAGTTATAAACAAGTAAAAACCGGTTTTCTTAGTGAGTGGAACAAGAGAATGATAGATGTTTGACTCACTAGAGATTTTCTTAAAAAGTTCCCCTCACACAATGTATTTTAGAATGACAATAAGAGATGAAAAAGCCAAGAAGAAACTGCCAAAAACAATTTGTACAAGATTTTTTCGATATGTTTAAAAGCGACCACCACGTGTCGATCGATTTGGCGCTGGAAATGCAGCATTATTGCCGTAACCGCCGCCACCCCCTGAGGAGCCGCCATAACCTGACACACCTGTGCGCATATTACCAAAACCTGAGGAGGCACCGTAACCAGATGCACCTGAACGAGTGCTAGTACCGAAGCTGGCACCAGCGCCGCCACCGCCCATACGTTGCTGTGTTCCCATACGGTTCAAACCTGGAGGAGGTTTTGGCTTGGCTATGATATTGGCACATTTCGGTATATGTCGTTCGGCAACATTTGGAGCGTAGTTTCGACCGCAATGAGGACATTGAACATAATCTGGATTAACGGAAGTTGGTGGGGGAGGTAAATCAGCCAAACGGCCACCTGAATAACAACATCAAGTCTTTTTCTGTCTTGTTCCAGTAATTTTTCTATCATACCTGATTTTTCATGGTGAGAGGCTTGTTTAGCGTAGCGTATAGCTTGGATAAAATCATTATGTTTTTGTCTCCAATTAGATTTTGGAATCTAAATTTCACAATTTAGTCAACTCCGACATTTTCAACTATTAAGTCGATTAGTTACTTGAGGTTTACTTGGCTGAGATCGGCCTTTGCCGCCTTTGCGGAAAAATGCTGCTGCTTCTGTTCCTTGTACTCTTTGTTTCGTCGAGTCGAATACTTTTCGTTGCTTATGAGCTCGTTTACATGCATCTTCATGTTGTTGAATACGATCGCTGGCAAATGTTCGATTACATATCGAACATGGATATAGACCTGCACTGCTTGACGAACCAGTTTCAAAAGGCGGAGCCATACCACCGCCGCGCTTTGTTGAACCAATCGGTGCGTCATCCAAATCATCTAAATTCACAAAATTCGATCTCTTTTTCAATGCGACGCATTTCACCTACCATACGAAGCATTTCCGCGTGTTGGAATCCCGCGCTCCGACATCCGTCCGCCAGGACCAGCAGGTGCCTAAATTACACGACGTGTTTCTCATAAATGAAAATCAGCAGGTAAAGTAGAGTCAATACGTACACCAATAGGTTTAGCAGCATTACCAGGTCTACAACTACGTTGATGAACTTGTATGCGATCTGAAGCAAATTTTCGGCCACAATTCTCACATGGAACAAGCTGTGCTTTAGATGCTTCATATGCTGCATCATTGATTTCATCAATTGAATAACTTCCTTTTGCTATTGAAAGACAGAATCAATCAAATGTGAAAATGCATGCATTCGTACGGGAGAAGAAGAAAGAAACCTACAGCCTATATGAATGTCAGGCTTGCGCGGAGCTGGTCGTCGTAAGTTTGGAGGTAGTTTAGCGTTTTCAATATGCCATTTCTCTAGACATTGAGGTTCATGAATTTCAATCGATTGTGTACCATATTTTCGTCCGCAAATATAACACATAACAAATTTGGGCATAGCTGGTGGGCCGCCACTGCCTCCCTAGTTCGAAAATAACGAGTCAAATCATTATCACATTATACGTCTATCAACATACAGGAGCATTCTTATACAAATAATCATATTCACCATAACCTGCTCCACCACCTGCTGGCTTCTGTGATCGGCCAGCGTTACGAGGTGGCGATTGATCTTCAAATCGACCACCGGCTCCTCTATTACGAACACATTTCATGATATCTTGTTCTCAAGAAATATCATCTCCTCCTACCGAGCAACAGGCTGTGATCGGCCCATGGATCCGCTACTAGCCGTTGTTTTCGCTGAAGTACGATTATTTGTTGCGCCATAGCTCATATTAGTTGTAGCTGCCGGACGAACACCTTTGTAAAAACAAAGAGACAAGTAATAAATATCGTTTTTTTTTGGCAAAACTTTATACCCGATCGAATATTTGATCGCATAGCCATTATTGAATAAATGAATCAAAAGTTAATCTTCCGAGTTATTTTTTCTCGAATAACTTGTGTAAAGCGATTATAGCTTCTAGTTTCTCGAAACTTGCAAAACAATGAAAATGGGATTTCAACGGAAAACAACAACAACAACAAACAAATGATGAAAATTTGTTATAATGACTTTTTTTCAACTCATTTGCTGCTATGCAACTACCTTCAGTAATGTTTCAATGAAATATTTTTCCAGACTATTTTCCTCCGAATAATTATCAATAAACTCGATTAATTAATTATGATTTTTCTTACACAAAGAAGAATTTCAAGTTTCAATAGAGGGCGTACTTTGTCAAACATACTGCAGAAGTTCTTATCAATACACTCAAAGAAAATGTTAAGCACATACAATATTGGATCTAAACACGAATGCAATCAGTGACATTCACCTAATAAAATGACATTTTTGAAATCTGATTCCAGTGATAAATAACGCGGCGAGATTATATCTCTATTAACAACATCAACACCTATGTATTTAATTGAATATCTCATTATTTATTTGTATCATTCGTTAAATATTGACAGTCTGTAAAATGGAAAAAGAAATTGTTGGAAAGCGAAAAAAGTAATCATAAACAAATTGAGCTGGTGAGGTCGAATGTCACCTCTGATTAATAGTTATGTATAAAGATACATCTATTGGATAGAATATTCTTTCCTCAGTATGCACTGCATGATGACATTGTTGATTTCCATTTGTTTTTGATATTTTGCTATTTGTGTCTTGCCTAATTATAAATGTACATATAGCCAGTCGTATCTCACGCATCGTCGTTATTTTTCTCTCTATCTCTCTCTGTCTCTGTTGTTCGCTGTTCGAACTATATGTATGTTTAGACGTGTAATGATAAATGTCAGTAAATGAATCTCTTTCATTCATCGATTGTTGATCAGGAAATATCGATAGTGCAACAAGAATTTCTTTCGTAGATGAATAACGATAATACTCGAGTAAGTCTCATTGTTTAGAGATAAATGCAAAAGAAATGAGTGCTTCCTACTGGCAGGATACCTTACTGATGTTTGATTGAAAAAGTATGTGCTGTAATTTGTCTGATTTTGTAATTATTCATTCTGTTTTATTGAATCGCAAGAGAAGCACCTAGTAACATGCTGAAGAGACGAAGAAGAAGGAGAAAACGAAACGAATGGTATACAATTTGCATCAACTGTCCGTCGTAGCACTTCAGTCAAATACATGTGAGAGAGTAAAACCGATTCTCTATGAATTTCTATTTAAAACACACACACACACACACAACAAATAGGCCTCTTCAAGTTTGATATGAAAGCATTAACTAACCATTTTTCGAGAATGTATAAACAAACAAATCGAGATTCACTTCTTTTTTGTTATAAGACAGCTGGTTTGATTAAGTGAATGATTTCTTATCTTCATTTTTGTTCTATCATAGGACTCAACGTCGAAATATACATACAAACATATATATCAAGTAAGATTAAACCAAGACGTACGTATAGATCACACTATTGTCCTTCTGTATATAAAGCATATGATCATTATCATTCAATTGATGATATCTCGACAGCTCAGTCGTTATGCAATAACTTAATTCGAAATAAACGATTTTTCATATATCTTTTTTTCAAATCGAAGTCAGCACAAGAAAAAAAGAAAGAATGGAGGAATCATCTACACTGCTGTTTGTCTCATAATTGATTGATATGAGAGGTATTTATTAACAGGTGAAGGTTGATCTGCTTCATCTTCGTTTCGATAAGCGTATATATATATAGATGTGCGTATGTGTATGTCATTCGTTCATTTTTTTAATCGTCTTATAGATATTTCATTCATTTTGACATCCTAAGTAGAGTGGTGAATCTCGTCAGCAAAGATGAATGGTTATTCGCAACGTTCGAATCGACATCCAAATTTACTTATTACAGTCAAACATGAAACGGAAGAACGATCTGTAATTGAAACTCATTCAAATCATCAACGAAAACGGCGAACAAAGACAAATTATTATCCAACAACGATTTACTACAATAGTAATCATCGTCAAAAGTCACAACCGACACGCTCGTCATATCCAACAAGAAACTACGAGCGCTATCCATCGACTGTTCGTCCATTGATGGAAATCAAGAATGTCTACGAAGATTTCGATAAGGATGAAATCGCTTATCTCACATATAAACCACGTGAATCGAAACAACGTGGTCAATATCGCAATCGCAAAGCTGAACTGGATTGGGATCATGCATTTGATCTTGATCAATTACATTTATACACCACACAAATCGATCTCGATAATCACTCGTTGACAAGTCTTCAAAGTTCAACTGACAATTCATTTTCATTCTTTTGAAACTATTTCTGTATATTTCCCTATCCAATATAGACGCCATTTTCATGTTACATGAAGAATAATCAAAGGTCATGCCATGCACTTTCATCGATACTTATCACGAAATTTATTTTTAATTTTGTATGTGAAACGGCTTTAGGATGGACGTTTTTGTTCCTTCTGTATAAAGATAGAAAAACTCCTGAAGTTCTGAACGATAAGAGGATAAGAGAAAAGAAGGTGAGCTGAAAGTTTTCAATACAAACCAAGATTGTTGACTCTGTTCTCGTGTGATATTCCGAAACGTCTAGGTCCCGTGAGTGTAACACGCTTTCTTGCATTATGTATTTTCATCTCTGTTTTTTTTTATCTCTCACTTGTTAACTCTCAGAAATCAAGACTAATTAAAGTTACGGTTGTCAGATGGAGAATAACAAACATTTGCTTAAAGACCAGATGTCAAGAATATTTTAATTCTTATCTATATCTGCGCTGACAAGTTGCAGAGGATGTTCCAAAGTTAATATAATTTTTCTTCTTCTTCTTCTTTTTCTTTGCCTAGAAACCTAGACGACTCCGAAATAATGTAACGTATCATATTATTAATTTATTTTCATTGATTATATTGAACACGCCATTCGGGTATATGATAGTGTAGGCAATTTCTTTGCTCGATATCGGATGACTCAATTAAATCTCGTTCGGATTGACAGAAGTTTGTAAATACATGCGTGAGCGTGTTGTCAAAAGAAATCCAAGCAGATTTTGATGGAATTTTGATCAAGAATAAATTGTAGTCTAGAAGTTGCTGACTAATTTGTATAACCATTGAACACGCACATAGTTATTCGCTCATCATACCTAATAAAAAAAAGTCGATGAACACATGTTCTCCTTTTCTTCTACGATCTCTGTTTTTCATCTTCAGCTCATTTAAACCAAAAGAATAGAAAAAATCAAGACAAATGTAGGCTACTAAAGATAGTTTTACACATGTTTGCGAAGCGCATTTAACCGTAGAAAGAAATAACAAAACTATCCTTTCAGAAAAAGATTGTGTGTCGAATCTAACGCAAGTATTATTCAACATGTCATATGTAAGTTACGTGAATTTAATAAATACGAACATATTTCTTCTTCTAGAATAACAATGGACGAAAATTGAATATGAATCAATTGCAAGGTAAGATTGGTTTAGAACTTCCGAGAAGCAAATCTCTTTTATCCGTGATTTTAGAACTTCGGCAAGCATTTGACTTGTTTGATTCAGATCGTAGTGGAGGAATCTCGATCATCGAATTGAAACAAGCACTTTCGGCATTGGGCGTGAGCATAAACGATCAAGAGGCTAGACAAATGTTCTTAGCAATTGATGCAGATAGTAAAAGAAAAACAGGGTTTACACTTGAAAAAAACATTTCATAATTTTGTTTATTTTTAGAAAATGGTTTGTCGAAAGCGGGCGTGTTTGTTCGATAATCATGTTGTTAATTGTATTTAGGTCGAATTGAATTCAATGAATTTGCTGAGATTGTCGCAGATTTTTACTTTAAAAAACATTCACGTGCGGAGATTCTCGAAGCATTCAGACGATTCGATCACAATCGTGATGGATTTATCGAAGCCGATGAACTGCAGAACATCTTAAGTCAATTGGGAAGAAGTTTTTCTAAAGACGAAGTAATTTCTCTGTTACATTTATTTCGACGATCAATATTCATGTGTCAAGTGTTCTAGATTCGTCTTATGATCGAGAAGGTCGATCGCGATGGCAATGGAAAGATTTCAGTTGAGGGTAGGTTGATTAATAATCAATCATAATGATATTCATTTCTTTGGCTTTTTAGAATTCGCTGCGCTGATTGAAAGAGAATGTTGACGGTGGAAGAAATTCGAACAAGAAAAATCTTTTTGCTTATTCTCGTCTTGTATGTAATTGTATTCATTCATAAAATTTGATTGATTACTAATTTATCTTTTCGTATTGATGTTTTCTTTTTTTTTTTGGCTCTGATACGATGAGGAAGAGAGAGAAAGAATAAAATCTTTCTCTTTTTCCTTTCGAAAGATGAAATGACGCCTTCAGGTATTAAAAAAAGGCAACTTAGAAAGAGGAGGAGGAGAGTTGGTATGCTAATAGAAAATTTTCCTTCTCTATTTCTCTAGAAGAAAGAAGATTGACAGTGTTGGAGTAATAGTTAATGTAACTCGTACTGTTATCGTCTTTTCCGTCTACTACAAGAGAATATTTCTACATAACTATTTCGGTCGACTGAGGAAAAAAATATTTAACTTTCTTCTTTCCTTTTCTTACTCATAGATTTAATCATCGTTGACGAGCTTTTTTTTTCTCCTTTTCTCACTGTCTCTCTTTCGCGTTTCTTTATTTGCATTAACCATGATGACGACGAACAACAACAAAAACAAGAAAAATCATACGAGAGAGTGAATCTTTAGCGTGACCTCGTTTGGTGAAGGTAAACTACTAGAGAATAACCATTTGAAAGAGAAATGAAATTTCAACGTCGTATACTTCCTCCACATTCATCAAATTATTTTGAAATGGAAGAGTATACCGCACCATCAGTGTCGCAACAATCAAGTAAGTTCGCTCATCAGCGTCCACAAACGAGGTCATGTTCTTTTTTTTATCTGGGTTTTAGTTTCCATTGCCGGTTCGACAAGTGACCTGAGTGAAATCGAAAGTGTGTGTAGTCTGTCGACTAATCTTCGCCAACGATCTGATTCTTTAACAAATCTTTTCAATATGTCAGAAGATAATACATCATTATCAAATTTAAGTATTGCTTCGTATACTTTATCTCAACATTCGTATGATAATAGTTCCCCGACTATCTACACGAGTTTATCTCCTCAACCCCCGTCTGTAAATAATAACTCCGACCGTGCTATTCGAGCTCGCCGTAGTGTTGGTTCGTCGACAACTAGTAGTCAGAAGAATTATTCGATTAAGACTGCTGAAACTGTTCTAACTACGATTGGAATTCACTCGTCATCATCAGATACATGTGGCTTGATCGCAAACGACGGAAACAATATCGAAAATATCGATGATCATCGTCCTGACGATAACGACGAAGAAAATATCTGTTCGAGCTCAGATGAAAATGACACGGACATGTTATCGTCACAAACGAATCGTGGTTTGAGAAAAACTGTTCTGAACAATGTTGATCGTCTGTTAAACTCCGCGAATAAACAAATTAAATTGTAATTAGAATTGTTTGTGTATCTTTTTTTCCTAATGTGATTACCTGTGATTATTGAAGCGAGAGAAAAATAACGATGAAATATGATTTTAAACGAAGAAAAAGGTTCTTCAAAGTCATCCTTTGTTTTCTAACTCTCGACGTGTCGTTTTAGTCAATTAAGTCAAATCAAAAGATCAATATTTGATTTCTGAAACAGAAAATTAGACCTCAAGTGCAAATTATCATTCAGGCTTGAAAAGTTTTACTGAAGAAAATGTTCGCGAAGCCCTTTCGCTAGAAAAAAAAAGTCGCGTTTTTATGATGAGTGCAAATAGTGGCAAAGTATAACAGTAATGGTTTATTAATAAGATAAAAAGAACCATAAATAATTATCGGTAGTTATGTTCAATTTGACAGAAAAGTAATTTCCTTTTTGATTCATTTCAGTTGTTTGATTATCCTCTGGAAGTGTGAAACTGATCATGGCTGATTCTTTTCGATGTTTTTCAGATTTTTTTCCCATTGCCGTCGGTTCGGATGGTTCGAGGGCAATGCAGATCGTGCAATATCAACTGCGTATTTATAGTACAAAAGTGCTGTCTTGGAATCGCCAAGTTTTTCGTAGGCTAAACCGATGTTACCGTTCGAGATACCTAAATGAGGATGATTTGAAGATAATGACTGTTGTTGAATATCTAGGGAAATCTGAAAATAGGCGAGTGCTTTTGAAGGATCATTCATTTCGTAATAGAGTTCACCGATATTGTTGTAAGAAGTACTCAGATCAGGATGGTTGGGTGGCAAGGATTGTCGTCGAATCGTTAGTGATTTTTCATAAAACGACAAAGCTTTTGAGCGTTGTTTCATATTACGATAAACTATACCGATGTTGTTATAACAATCGGCCAGGTAAGGATGAGTTGAAGGTAATGATTGTCGTCGGATGACAAGAGATTTGTTGTAATAAGAGAGTGCGCGTGAATAATCGCCTATATTATCATACAGTACGCCGAGATTATTGTAAGACATACTTATATCTGGATGATCTGTCGGAAGTGAGCATTGTTGAATGTCAAGTGCTTTCTCGTAATAGGCAAATGCTTTTGAAAACTGGCCTATTTTGAGATATGCTGATCCCATGTTATTATAAGAAGCAGCTATATGTGGATGATGTGGAAAAAGAGTTTTCTGTTTGATTTTCAATCCGATTTCATAGAGTTTAATCGCTTTTTGATATTCTCCTTGATCAGATTTCACTGCTGCAAGTTGGTCGTAAATATATCCCTTTTCATTCTCATCAACGCTATGACCCAGAAGGATTCGGTACACTTCTTCTGCCTTACCGAACTGACTCATTTTGCATAGTAGTTCTCCTATTGCATACCAACCTGTTGAGCCACTAACTTCTTCTCGTATAAGATCAGTCAGTACATGAAGTTCTTTATCATTCTCATTTGTCAATGCTAGATTCACTTGAAAGAGTCGCCGCTCATCGGGTAATGGCTCGATATTCTCAATTCGAAATATGGTATGCATAGAGAAGACAACTTCATCTTCGAGATTACCGAAATACCCGACGTTTTCGATGGAAGCGAAAGGTGTTGTTGATTGAGTAGGGTCGATCGACATGACGAAAAGAATACCAACCATCTCTGGACCTGAACAAGATTTCTGAGCAAAACTTAAAGACACCATTCGATTTCGACTAGTTGATAGAAAATTATTGAAAGCCATTAGACCATGTTTGGCTTGACATAAGTGCAGAAAATCACTTTCTAACATACCTTGACCACGATAGAGAGTGAAATGTTGTTTATTGCGCTGTTGTATATATAGTTCTTGAATCTGACGATGAAGATCACCAATATAAAAACCCATACTGACAATAACTGCCGCGTCCATCGTTCGAAGAGCACGATTCAGCATCGAATAGAGAAAACACTCATACGTGTACCACCAAATAGGCGTTTGTTGATGATATTCTTGCTGGAATTTGTTCACATTGACTAATTCGTATTGATTCTCAGCGAATTGTTCTTTACAATACGAGATAAATTGTTCGAAATGTGTCTGTTCGAATGTCATTGTCAGTAAAATTTCTTTGAGAATTTGTGTATACATAAACGAGCAATGGAGTCTATTCAAATTTTCCTCACTCGTGTCTTTAGCTACAGCTATAAAACTCATGGACATCGTATTCCGTTCACATTGATGAACAGCGTCTTTAACTGCATGACAAATTGAAACAATATTAGTAAAAACACCTTTGATTTTCGACCATGAATGAATCCATTTGTCATGCTGTTCTTGATCGTGACAAAAGATAAAGATCGAATCGATTTGAGACATGTCGTGCACTTTTGGAACCATACATTCACCGAGTATACCTGAGCAAATCATGCAAATCTTTTCATCCGTGATACTTTGCAGAAATTCTAGACATGTGTTCATATCAGTAAAGGTATTGATGTTATTGACGAAACGTCGTAGCTGCGTTATGCTATTCTTGCAATCGGAAGTGTTTTCATCTATGTTACTGTCGAGCCAGACGAGTAGAACATTCTGTACCATGCGATTGTTTGTACGTACAATTGTATCAGGCAACGAAGCTTCTTCGGTCTCTTTTAAATTCGTTAACTTAAAAGATGGTAATGATTGTCCAAACCCCATGTTACTTGTCTTGTTAACTTGGTGAAATTTTGTATTTATATTTCTTATTATGAACTGCGTTCTTTTTCATTAGAATTTACTTTGTTTGAAACACATGAAAGATCACCGCACTCGGTGCCTGGTAACACGTGAAGAACGAGAAAAAAAGAATAGTACGCTACATGGAATGATAACATGCGGTAAAGTCGACACAGAAGAATTTTTAACTGAAAAAAAAACCACTTTTGAAATATATTTTAGTTTTTCTCTTCTGATGTCCTTCAGTTTCTATGGCGTATAGAAATTGAAAGAATCTTAATGATGAAGATGATAATTTTAGAATGTCTGACAGATGCCTTGAAAACTTCATTCTATTTCTAAATTATCATTGAAATATCAGCGTTTCTAACAAACTCTTGCCATTGACATGTTTCTTTTTCTTTCTAATAATAGAAAGCCTTGTGTGAATATCGAACACCTCTTTCTGTTAATAAGATTATCTTAGATCTATCCTATTGACATTAATCTCGCAATAAAAAACAGCTATTTGACTTATTCTACAAATATCACACTGCTTCTCCTTGGAGATTAGGATTATGTAAACATTTGTTTGCGTATTCCACTAACAAGAATGTATATGAATTGATCAGATAAAAAAAATTATTTATTCAAATGAACAAGAAAAAAAAGTCACACAGACATTTATCGTTCTACTTTAAGGAAAAAAACGCAACAACTTCACACTAATTGAACTAAATATTAATACGAAATAGGATACAATGGTGCAACCTGATTCTTCCAAATGACATGTGGATTGCTTATATCATCGATTCGTCTTCTGTTTTTTTGCTTTAATATACACCGAGATTTGCAAATCCTTTTGTCATGTGAGCCCGAGAAATCAAACTATCAATACAAAGTAACACTGTTATGCCATCGGATCGAGTGAACAGGGCCGACGGAATTCTTGACCACGTTCATGGATCCATTTATTTGCAACCCATTTGTTGCCAATCAATACCGGACATGCTAATACAAGAAACCAAGCTCATGACACTTGAAATCAATCGAAAACAAGGTAACACTTACCGGCATGACGAGTATTGTAATCACCTGAAAACAAAATGATAACATATGGGAATGAACATGTTAATTTTCATGTTACCTTCTCCAGATGCGTATAAATTATACCAGAACGCAGCACTGCCTTTTTTCGGTTTCAGATGACCACCCACTATTGGGAAAACGGTTGCACCACCTTGTTCGACATCAGTCATCTAGAATGAAAGCCACTTTTGTTTTTCAAACATACTATTCAATAGTGTGTAATCGTCTTACATAAGTCAACCATGTTGCAATGCGGTTTCCTGTGTGAAAGCAAAATTCTTAGTGAATGTTTTCCTCGGATGTATAACAACTTACCAACACCCAGACTTGAAAATGCATCTTTTTCCGATTTCTAAATTCGATTTGCTTCCTATTACTTAACTCAACTATCTGACAATAACTTACTCGTGCAAAATCAAAATGTGGTTCGTAATGACCACCAACACCATAGTTTGCAATCTAAACATTGAATTTATAAAAGAACATGATTCCAAGACGATGACATGCCTGAAGATCTTCCGCTGTGATCATGTTTAAATTTGTGATAGCTCCAATTAATCTTGATAGACGAGCGACCACTGGTGAATCATCATTTCTCAGCCAAGCACTAAACATAGACGCAGAAGTAGAACGAAATCTCAGAAGATCTCTTTCAACAGGTGATTTATGCAGGATGCAAACAGCATTTAAACACGGTCATTCGCTACGATAGATGATTATCATGCACTGCGTTTTGGAATTTGGGTAGGGTACTTTTCTTTCGCTTTTCGTACCTTTTGCTCACTCGATAACTGGCATGTTCATTCCTTGCTGTTCTAGGATTTTGTATAATCGCTCTGATTAACTACAACCACAATGAGAGATGATTATCTTAGGTTTAGTCCTTGTTAGAGAGTAACATAAGGGCTAAAGAAGAATTTCTTAGATCCAACACAATGAATAATCACATGTATCCGTGATGACACGTTCATTCTATGTTCAACTATTAAATTCAATCATTCCAGATAACAAAATGTGCAGTTTACTACAGATGTTAACAACTAACTACGAACACAACATAGTTTTATATACCTCTTGCTGATTCTATAATCAGCTGGTTTAAAAGTATCAGTAACGAAATCACGTACGACGGCCCGTTGTAACTGTAAAGTGAGAGTTTAGATTTGGGAAAATCATCATTTTTTTCTTTTCTACAAAAAAATCTTCGTAGATCGAGGATAGACGTACTTTCGGTGAAGCAAGTGATTTGATCTCGGCGATTTCTGCATCGCTAACAACGTCATGGAAGAGAAAAATTGCCGGTTGATCCAATACTTGTTCTTCTTTGACGGGACGTAGAATAAGCAACGGATGATTATTATGTCGATAACGACAAAATAATTTAGCTTCGCGCTGTGGACTCAACTAAAATGGCATACTTCATCGAAAATCATCTTTAATGCTGATTGAACATACTCGAGTTTGGTTTTGTCGACAAAGTTCTTCATATAGTTCATGTTCTTCCAAGAGATCATCTGGTCGTTCATTTTTAACTTTATAATTTTTATTGGGTGAATTTGCTGAAAGTAAACTTGGATTCAAAGCTTCATTTGTATTCGTATCACCTTTGCGTTGTTGTTTACTCAACGTTCGGTTCTTAATAATTGTTTCATAGTAGATCTTATTATTATTCGCTCGAATGTGATTGGGAGCTAAAAAAGTTAACATCATCTTGAATCTATTTAAAGAAATTCGTTCTTATTCGTACATATTTTCAGCAGTTCTTCAGTGACCGCTAATGCATGTTCGACATTTCCTTGCTAGAAAAGAAGAGCACCATTTCGTCAATGATACGTAACGGGACTATTTACTTGTGATGTTGCATAGGCTAAATGATCTAAGATATCGATTTTGTTAATTGATGTTTTATTTTGTTCTTTATCGAGATGATCTAAAGCTTCTTGCATCCACATTAAAGTGTGATAGAAATCACCGCTTGTATATGCAACCCGACCCAAATCATAACATTCCAACGCTAGGAAAATAGAAGATGATTGATTGCGTGAAAGAAATGGAAAGAAAATATTGATCAGCTCACCACTCAAGCGTTTGGATTTGAATTTGGTGCTGATTTCACCGTTAGCTAATTGACTGGTATTCAATTTGTATGTATCTTGCAAACGTAACAAGCCCGTGGCAGATCCTAAGTTATTTTAAAATAGAAAAAAAGTACTTCAGAGAAATGACACTCACCAGTATAGTCCTCAAAGGAAGGAAATATCCATTTGTCGGCTAAATTCTTCGAAAAATCTAAAAATCAAAGAATATGCAGTCAACACAGGTTTTTAGAAGAATAGGTCTTACTTGTTGGCAACAGTTCTTCGATATTATACCAATCTGCAGTAAGATGTTTGATGAATAAATATGAATTGACTGGATTTCCGAAATAATATTCTTCGTTGCCTTGTGCTTGTCGAATTTCATCTTTGATAACGTTGACGAACCTTTAGAAATCGTCGGAATAGAAATAAGCAAACTGATCAACTTGGAATCGAATTACTTTTCTATTTGATCTAAACGTTCGTATTCTTGTTTCAAATGTGTTTCCAAGCTCTTTGCTAATGCTATTTCAGTTTTTAATAGCTGGGTCAGATGTGTTGTAGATGTAAACGATTCATTACGGACAAGAATTGCTTTAATCAGGAGAAGAGAAAGTATTCGTATGATAAACATCTGTTAATGAAATCTAAAATAAAGAACCACTAAGAAAACGTGTTTGTGATTGGAATCGTAATTATCGATGGAAACCAAACCAAATGTGTGATTATATAAGAAAAAGGTGCAAGGGTGTGCGCTTCAGGTTCAATACACTATCTGTCAGTAACGATCGACCATACTTCTCCGTTCTGCTCATCTACGAACGTTTATTACTATAACGAACGCCCTTTTACTTCTCGTTTATTCCCAGGATAGAGCAGACAGATTATGTTTATAGAATGATCTATCTTTTGGTACGAGAAGATATGTACAATATACAGATGTAGCTCGATTGGCCAATCAATTCACCAACCAAAATCAATTCACGATCCCTGCTTGTTTGCTCTAGATAGTTTTGTTTTCGCAGCGTTATTTTGAATAGCTGAATATTCGCACGTGTCTTTTGAATTCATCCAGCCAACGTGTACTTGCACAATACCCGTGACGCAAGAATATTCTAGAACAACTGACTAACGTTGCTCGATCATCCTTACGTTGTTGTTTTTTTCCATTTCTTTGCACTTACACCGTACTTGCCGTCATTGCCGTCATCGGTGTCTCGTAATTTCTACATCTTCTACCGGATGAATCATCCCCATACAAGCAAGAGTATTTAAGCACGGCGTTTTCTCCTTCTATTTCATTCATTTATTTTAACGATTCTTATTTTCTACTTGCTATTACACAACAAACATGCAGATTTTCGTCAAAACCTTAACTGGTAAAACGATCACACTCGAAGTTGAACCAAGTGATACCATCGAAAACGTGAAAGCCAAGATCCAAGACAAGGAAGGCATTCCACCTGATCAACAACGCCTCATCTTTGCCGGTAAACAACTCGAAGACGGTCGTACATTAAGCGACTACAACATTCAAAAAGAATCGACTCTCCACTTGGTTCTCCGCTTACGTGGTGGTATGCAAATTTTCGTCAAAACCTTAACCGGTAAAACGATCACACTCGAAGTCGAACCTAGCGACACCATCGAAAACGTTAAAGCCAAGATCCAAGACAAGGAAGGCATTCCACCTGATCAACAACGCCTCATCTTCGCCGGTAAACAACTCGAAGATGGTCGTACGTTGAGCGACTACAACATCCAAAAAGAAAGTACACTTCATCTTGTACTTCGATTACGTGGTGGTATGCAGATTTTCGTCAAAACCTTAACTGGTAAAACGATCACACTTGAAGTTGAACCAAGTGACACCATCGAAAACGTGAAGGCTAAAATTCAAGATAAAGAAGGCATTCCACCTGATCAACAACGCCTAATCTTTGCCGGTAAACAACTCGAAGATGGTCGTACATTGAGCGACTACAACATCCAAAAAGAAAGTACACTTCATCTTGTACTTCGATTACGCGGTGGTATGCAGATTTTCGTCAAAACCTTAACCGGTAAAACGATCACACTCGAAGTCGAACCAAGTGATACCATCGAAAACGTGAAAGCCAAGATCCAAGACAAGGAAGGCATTCCACCTGATCAACAACGCCTCATCTTTGCCGGTAAACAACTCGAAGACGGCCGTTCATTGAGCGACTACAACATCCAAAAAGAAAGTACACTTCATCTTGTACTTCGATTACGTGGTGGTATGCAGATTTTCGTCAAAACCTTAACCGGTAAAACGATCACGCTCGAAGTCGAACCTAGCGACACCATCGAAAATGTCAAAGCCAAGATCCAAGACAAGGAAGGCATTCCACCCGATCAACAACGCCTCATCTTCGCCGGTAAACAACTCGAAGATGGTCGCACATTGAGCGACTACAATATCCAAAAAGAAAGTACACTTCATCTTGTACTTCGATTACGCGGTGGTATGCAGATTTTCGTCAAAACCTTAACTGGTAAAACGATCACACTCGAAGTTGAACCAAGTGACACCATCGAAAACGTGAAAGCCAAGATCCAAGACAAGGAAGGCATTCCACCTGATCAACAACGCCTCATCTTTGCCGGTAAACAACTCGAAGATGGTCGTACACTAAGCGACTACAACATTCAAAAAGAATCGACTCTTCACTTAGTCCTTCGGCTTCGAGGTGGTACTGAACAATAAATGATCCTTCTGGCATTTAGCAAATTTTATTGAAATGACTTTTTTCTGTTTCTCATTCTCACTATTTCTGACATACACTTTGTTGTGTTGTTGATTGTCATTTAATGCATTATTTATCTTGTCTTATGGGCAGATAAGCAAACGAATAAACTAAATGTTAAACACTAATTTTTGTTTCATAGGATTTCTTTAATTTAGTCATTTCATTACAAGTTATTTAACGCATTCATTGTTATGTGTCTAATGACTGATGTAATTGAGTAGTCATGATACCACGGTATAGAAATCAGTAATAGAGGAAAATGATTGTTGATAGTTGTTATGTATTTGAAAATAATTTTACAATATGTTTCATCCAGCGAGACGATTCATTTTTTTTCTCAAACCTTCTTTCACAACCGTATCAGCAATATGCATGTAAACATATTCAAGGTCGAATATATAACCTAAATGCGTAGTGAAGTACTACTTCCTCGCTATGATTAATTGAGTCATGACATGTAAATCTTCGTCACTGTCTTATTGGTATTCATTTACGTCTATTTTCCCTAGGCAAACATTACAAATTCGTGACTAATCTTTGAAAAGTTTCCAGTTTCATCCCGAAGCGCAGTTGATTGTACCACTGATATCAATGAAGCTGTGCAAATTGCAAAATTTCCTCATCGTTACATTTCATTGAAACATGCACTTGCACTGGAACGAAAACTACGGACATTCTGATAAACGCCCCTCACTAAAAAGCCATAACATTCGCAGTTTAAACTAAATGACCTCGTTGAACATATTATGCGTGAAATATGGAACAATGAGTAGCTTCCATCAAGTCAACAGAAGTTTATGAACGCCGATAAGCAACTGAAAGAGGATCGAACATTGAGTGACTATGTTATTCAGAAAGAAGGCGCACTTCATTTCGTTTTTCTGTTACGCAGTGGTGACAATTCGTGACACATTTAGATTGTTACATCTGATTGATTTTTTTTCTGTAATGAACGACGTTATGCAAGAAATAGAAAGAATAATTTCTGTCGTCATTTCTAAAAGGAACAATCTATGACGAGATAGGCTCGTGAAATGTTCTCGATGTTTCGAGAAGAAACAATGTACGCGATGAAGACAACTAGAAATTTCGATAGACTAGAATTACGTCATATGTATCATTTCATCGTTCATTCTTTTATCTAATGAATAACACGTCAACGAGAAAAAAAAACACACAATTTGTGTCAGCAACACTTTGTGCTGATGTTATAGATTTATTCTGATAATTTAAACACTGTGCACATACAAAAAAAAACTTGTGAAATTTTACTGTCAAAATATGACATACTCTTCATCGTACAGCATCATGCTCCATAGTAACGATAATGATTTAGCGGTCGACGCTGCTGCTGCTGCAAATTTGCGATTGGTCTATCTGCTGGGCGTTGTCTTGGTGTGATTACTGTTGGTGCCATCATTCGCATCATCACCACAGGTTTTGGATTTGCTGGACTAGTCATTTTTTGCCCCATAATACGTCGTTTGTCTTCCTTCTGACGTCGATAGTATACTTCTGAAAAGTGTGCAACTAAGTTTTTGTGTACATGTTTATCACACTTATATAGCTTCTATCACCATATGCATCTATTCATTACAGGTAAAACTTGTGAAGCGTAACCAGAAAATGTTTCTCTCTAAAGAAAACGAAATGAGACTAGCATATGATGATTTCATTTCTGTACAGAAAAAAAACAACACAACAAAAAATACTGCGAATGATCAAAAGTTTGAAAATATTGTAGTTATTAAAAAGTATTTGATGATTTAATTGAGATACTCAAGCGCAACACACTTATTTTCTCATGCCAGTCCGCAACTAATTTGTTTCATTCATTAACAATTATCACGGGTCAACTTATTGGTTTAAATCACAAACTAAATTCATTATTCAATCACAATTACTGACTAGCACAAGATGGAGAAATTCACGAACATATCTGATACTATTGTTACATCTCTGTCAGCAAGTGATGTGTATCCAATAAGTACGTAGTGATGATAGGAAAACAGCGCGATTGTGCCTTGCGTAAAACTGTCATATTTGTATACAAAACACATTAATTACGATATTTTGGTCACGGTATTATTAACGTTTTGATCGATTTCTTAGTTTTCTTGAACAGATTTCATTTTCAATGGATATATACACACAGATATTTTAATGTATTATTTCATACTGAAGAAAATACATTTCAGAGTTAACTGTTTTTCTTTTGATTCTTTGCAGCAACTTGTCCAGCATGATAACCAGCCATGTACCACGACATCAACATGGAATGCAGCGCATCTTCTTCCGTCTTTGGTGGAGTAATCATATTCAATGGTAGTGGTGTTGGAATTGATGCTATTGTCGTTGGTTCAGTTATTGACGCTGGTGATGATATGGTATCGATCTTTTTCGTTTTTTGTTTGTGAGTTGATGGAGAGTTTTTAGCCTTCGAAGATTCTTTCTTGGTCTTTGGAGTATTTCGGAGACGATTTTGAATCTGACGATGAGCACGATCATATGCACGGATTAATTCTGTATCATCCCATACCTCATCATGGTTATCTGTTGAACGATCGAAGATTGTTTCACCAGCATTCGACATATTAAGCAACTTGGGCGCTTACAAATGCATATTTTCACTTCGTTCCGTCATATGCATGTACATCATCTGATCGCATAACCAATCGGAAGAAATCAACGCAAAGTGACATCTGTTTGATGTTAAAAAAGAACTTTATCTATCTCTAAGTTGTATTTAGTCAGGTGTATTACGATACATAATTGACTAGTTGTTGAATCAATGACTCTCAGAAGTGCAAAAACGATACAAAATGGTAAAGATCTGTGATAGCCGATCGATCGCTTGATTTGCTCATTTTACCCTGATCTTCATTGCAAGATAATTTCTGCTCATTTGTTTCTTCAATTCATCTAAGTAGAAAGTCATACTACCGACCTAATGATACCAACACGCGTAATATTCAGTACTCTATCTGGTTAATACTCATGACCTCCTATGTACTATATCAATTCAATGCTCATTTGTATTTTTTTGCATCTCATCAATTGACAATCATTTTATTATGAATAGTACATACTTAATTCAACATCGATCCTAATTATCGTAACCATTTCATCTTTACAGTGTCTATCTACACTGTATATGTTCGTTAGTTACTAATGGCATGTTAGATAAATATTCATTTGTTCATGTGATATAATCAATGTTGATGACAAGCCGTGATTTGATTAACACTACGACGAACTCATTGCCTGCAATAGTTCTGATTGAATAAGCTGGATGCGAGAGAGAGAGAGGCTTGTTTGGCTAAGAGCAGAAAAGAATGTATTTCTCTATGGAATCCTTTCTTTCTCTCTCTCTCTTTCTCGGAATTAATATCTAGACTTCTTTTTGGTCATAGTTTTATATTCTTGCCTTGATCAGAATAAGATCAAATAAGTTCGATTGAACGACATTGAGAAATCATCATTTTGTGAAAATTCCCAAGAGAAATTATTCTATCTGTCCGATTAAATACTTCGTTTTCTTCTTAGTTAATCTCTTCATTTTTGATTTGAACATACAGAGGATTGACAATACTTTTCATTTCATTAGTCTGAAAATGATTGAAGCATATTTCTCTCGGACTCTAGTTCAACAATCGAATCTCTCAATTGCGTAAGTAACATAAATTAGATCATTGTCTTCCAGACGAACATCATCTTAGAACAAAAAAAAAAAGGAAAGAAGCAATTAGCATATCGAACTACTTCAACTATTACGCCAGTACTTGACCTTCCTCAACATACACACATTGTTCGCATCTTTTTTTGGTTAGAATAAAAAGATAGACATGCATTGTTCAACGAGACACTGCATACCAACCACATCGGTCATACATACATACATATATCTTCTTTTCCTGTTCTTTTCCTTCTTTGATCAATTATTAAATGTCTAGAAGAAGAACAACAATTTAGTAAATGGAACACATTATGTACTATACACAGTTGTGTTCATTGACACATTTGTTCTTGCTTACCTAAACCTTCAAGTGTTTCTTTAGACATATTTTATCACATTTTGACTGAAATGAGTCCAACAATGCAATCACATTCGATACCCGAAGAATCCTATTGTGCACCGTGGGATTTAGGAGTTCAAGAAGAAAAGCTAAGACTTCTCAATGAACACCATCAAACATCATCAATAAAAAAGAATTCGAATACAACGTTTCACTTACCTCTCACAAATCAACAACCAGCAAATATCTCTTTTCATCGAACCTCTTCTGTACGTGGATCATCAAAATTACCATCTGAAATTCCTCTATTACCATCACGTGATTTCATAGCGAATTATCAATCCAATCATAATCCAAATATAAAACATGGTAATTCATCGTTGAAGAAACTCTCTAATTGTTTCCATACACATACGACTCGAACTGGTAACATATCGTCACCGAAGAAAGTAACCAGTAAATGTGATAATCAAGCGATGTCATTTGAAGTAAGTTTACATCTCTTTCTTTTTGAAACAGGTCACCATCATTCATTCGAACGTTCTCTATAGACAGCTTTACTTCGTTTTAAATGTCTCAGTGCATCTATTCACAACAATTCTCTACCTAAACCAGGACTTTCATACGAACAACCATGGCATGAATTTAACGCATCACATCTTCATAATCGCCATGGAAGATCGCTACAGAAACTCCCAAATACCGAAGAAATACAACAACATTGCATGTCACCGGCGTTCTCTTCTGATGCTTCTTACCGACAAGCGGATGATTTAGCAACCGTGCCCATCGAACGATATTTGTAAATATTCTCTGTGCAAAGAATGAATTTCTTAATTTTTCTTTGCAAATTTCTTCATTTAGTTGGTATCACTCTACGATGACTCGACGTCAAGCGGAAAGTATTTTAGAATGTCGACTTTCGGGCAGCTTTCTCGTACGTCAAAGTGAAAGTGGAAAAGCCGCTGATTATTCGCTTTCCATCAAGTAAAAACGATCACTTCTCATGTCGATTTGCTTCATCTACTAGTTTCTTCTGCTTTTTTAATAGAACACCAACAGGCTGTATGCATATGCGTATCTGCTACTGCAACGGTTTCTACGTTCTTGGTGAATGTTCTCGACCATTTTCAAGCGTCGCTTACATGATAAAATATTTTAGTCAAATATCTGTTCCAATTCGTGGTGCGCCACATATTAAACTAGGTACACCGGTCTCACGAAACGAATTATTATCAACATCACTTATTTCGACTGAAGAACTCTTGTGATTTGCTTTTCTCTCGTAATCTCTTTCTTATTTTAATACCTTAGTACAGTATTCATCAATAAAAATCCGTTGTAAGAGTAGAAAACAACATAATCTATCAATAATGAACGACATGTTTCTTAGAAACCTCCTTGTGTTGCCTGACAATCATTTCATTCTATGTTTCATTTACTTTTCTTTACTTCTAATTGAACGATAAGAAAAAATGTCGCGCAACTATACAGCTGGTCAGTTTGAACAGACATTTGCACCGAAACGTTTGCAAATGTATCAAGTGCCACGAGAACCTCAGCCAGGCCTGGTCAGTATACAACAAAAGCTTGAAGATCAAGAGATTCTTTTCTCTTTTAGTATGCCAAAGGATCAACGACAAGCGATTCAAAACAGTTTCTTACAGACAATCATGGGCATTTATTGCCCGGAGTTGGAAAATCCAAACGATCACCATTTGGAGAGTTTTTAGGTACATGGGATTTACCGAAAAGAATTCCCGTTCCTCTTCATATTGATCCAACCGGACGAACAGAAAAGAATTTTCAACTGCTTTGTGCACAACGTGAACGAACCTTAGAAGAAATGGAAAAGGCGCGAGTTTATAAAGTATGCTTCAATGATAGACTATAATAGAATTCCTGATTGATATTTTAGAAGGAAAATTCCTCGTGTCATTCGAACAAAAATCCTACCGATAACTGAGAACTAGACAACTTATTCGATGTGCATGACATCTATCGCACGCCTCCTTTTCGTCAATTTTATTTGTATCATTTACGCACCAATTGAATGTAACGATAATTTTGTTGTTCTAGCCTATCGAAAGAATAAATTTCGTAATGAATTCAAACTTCGATTATCTAAACATGAATAGATTTCGGTTGAAATTGATCTCAAACTTGTTCTTATTTTTTCAGACGATTGAAAAGAACATAACATGCGTCTCGAGACCTGTTACTATTGTTCATCGACGATCTGGCCCGGACATGGCATTCAATTCGTACGAAACGATTGCAAGGTATATTTATTTTTACCCCTTCTGTTTTCTTATCAACATCATAAATTAGATTTTCCGATTTTGTCGTTCACGTTGTCATCGGGCATTCAAGAAGAAATGGAATCCACGTAAATCACGATGGACCAAAGCCCATCGAAAATTCACTGGAAAAGATCTAACCACAGATACGACATACGAATTCGAAAAACGTCGTAACGAACCAGTGAAATACGATCGTGAATTGTGGCAAAATACGGGTAAAATGATTCAGAATGAATTGAGTGCATTTATGGTTGTTTTCATATAGTCAAAGCGATGGATAAAATTCAAGAAATCCGTACTAAACGAGAACGTCATCACATTATGAAACGGTACAAGATATTGATTTGATAAAAAGGGTCGAGTGCCTATATGTTGATTTTTCTGTTTTATGTTCAGTCTTCGACAAGGTACACTTGATCGAAAAGCAGCTGACTTACGTGAAGTACGCGATTACATCCATCTTGTTCGAGCACCGAATGCAACAAAACCAATGGAAGAAATTGAAATGGTTCAAAAAGCCATGCAAAAACGTGAAGAAGCTGGCGAACTTCTCACTAAGATTGGTACGACAGTATCAACAACGAAGAAATTATCAGCATTACGTCGTCGTGCACCGAAGATTGAAGTTACAATGGAAACATCAGATAATGAACAGGTGCTCAATGAGGATATGGAATGAACATAGCTTTCATTGTTTCGTTGTTAATCTGTCAAAAAACAATAAAAATCGTTACCGATCGTCGTCAAAACTGAAAAGCTTCGTGCGTGTCACTCATAAAACTACGAATTCAGATTTCATTGTTTCTTCGATTATATTTTCAAGTGACATAGAATATTCAAATGAATTATGAATAGTCAGGATATTGAGTAATGATTTCGCTGAAAAAGAATCATAAACCGTTTTCTTTAAACTGAAGTTTCCTCAGAAGAAAAACATTTCTGAGTAATATCTTTCGTGAGATAACACATAATCATAAGCACAAAGCCACCACAATTGTCTGCTTTAATAAAGACATCTTTATCGGCTGTCACATGTTTTCTGACGGCATCTCTATCTGCCCGACCATTTGAACACATGAGGAATGTATACTCGGACAGGTCAACTTAGAAAACATCGGTCAATGCATATATAAAGGCTGTATATATATATATTTATTTTGCGTACGTATCGCAATAGTTGAATTTCATTGTTAACATTTACTGTCGAAGTAGGCCGACTACAATCATGTCTTCCACACAATATCCAATTCATCTACATTTCCACTTAACCGTGAAGGTAAGACATTTACTTTTGAATCTGCAAGATTAGTCGAGTGTGCTATCGAAATAGAATTCTAACGGAAGATGTTGTAATTACATTCACAGACTTTGCAGGGTGGGGTTAAAAACGGCATGAGCAACTGCTTGCTATAAACTTGAGTTCATAGGGCAACGCATGCAAAATTTAAACAGGCGAAGTGACGCGACTTCCACTATCATGTTTACTACAAAACATGACGAGAATCGCCCATATCCGTTGAAAAAGAATTTGTCAGATTTCAGTTGCGCGGTCTTAACATTTTCCGGTCAAACCTTAGATGACACGAGACTAATGCATGAGCATTGTAAAGCAAACATACGTGATTCACTCCGTGAATACTATCCTTTCAGTCAAGGGATTCATCATAGAAACGAGGTCAGTAGTTATGAAAATGAACTGATCGTCACTACGAATATCGGATATATGATGTTTTCTTCTCGGCGTGGTGTTCGCCGTCGAATGTGTTTTCGCTAGTATGGACGACTATCGATGATGTATAGTTTTGTCGTTCGTACATATACATAGACTGTTCACAAGTCATTTCTATTTACTCTCTCACAACGAACACGCAAATGAATTTATCTTTTTAGATGTCTTGTTGCCTGTCCGGGTCCCGATTCTGGTGCCCATCGTGGTGTTGTTGTTGTTCTCGAGAAGTCGGCAACAATATTCCCCTCACCACGACCATGATGTCCCCCACCCCTACTACTACCCAACCGGTAAGTAGAAACATTCAAAAAATTTCAATAAAGTCTGTTTTTTCATTGTAGACTACCAGCACCCAAACTCAAACAACCCCACGCTCCAGTCCTCCATCCTCCATCAATACAATGGTGAGTGATTTTCTTAAAGAATATCTGTATGTTTATTTTCTTTTCTAGGCTGGTGAGCAACCCCAAATCCCCAGCTCCACTTTCTCCAACTCGGCAACCTACACTATCAACTAAATCCTCAATACCCACCCCCACCCTTCCCCCGTGAGGGACCCGCGCGGCCCCCGCCTGACCCCAGCCCC